CTTGTGCCTATTACATTAATATTAATCTAAAGGTAATACAATAAGTATTTATTCGATAAAAGATTAAAAACTTTAGAAACTAAATTAGTGTCGTAGTCTACGTAGTGTAAAATTTTTATTAGTAGTTTAGTTTGTTTCGAAAGTAAACAAAGCGATTTGTTCCTCCATCTGATCAACTATAAGGTAATGCTACTTCGAAATTACTGCTGAGGAGGATAATTATAACCTTTGCACGTTTTAAAGTGCAAGTTAAGCATGGCCTTGGCGACAAATCCTTTACCACAGAAGTGGCAAACATGCGGACGCTCGCCGGTATGACCACGGACATGTGTAACCATGCTACTTCTCTGAGAGAAACATTTATGGCAATATTCGCAACGATACGGCTTTTCGCCAGTATGAATACGAATATGTTCAACCAGAATAGTTTTCTTAATAAATGCCTTTTCACAATAAGTACATTTAAAGGGTTTGTAACCACTGTGAATTCTCATATGGAATTTCAGCTTTTCTTTGCTTGACAATAGTTTACCGCAAATATCGCAAACGGCGCCGTTGCCGGTATGAGTATTCATATGAATTGCCAAACTGTTTCGATGTTGATAGACCTTATCGCAAAGTGTACAATGATGCAATTTCTTTTCTTCGCCATTGAACTTATGCTGTGTAGATCTGTGCGCTGACAAGTATCGCGAGTAAATGAACGCTTTGCCGCAAATTTCACATACAAATGGTTTATCGCCGGTATGATAGTTGGCGTGCTCCAAATACCATGTGCGCACGTTGAAGCCTTTCTTGCAAATGGTGCACGTAAACCGAGGCGCACGGTCCGAACATTTTTTGAGGTGATTTTTCAGTTCTTCGATATGAGGGGTCTCGTAATCACAGAGGACACATTGGAATTTCGAATGTGTGTCTTCTGTGTGCATTCTTATATGAATTGAGTACTCCAGAGGAGTGTTAAACGATTCCGAACATTCGTTGCAATTGTAAATATTTGAATGAAAGTTCGCCACGTGCTGTTTCATTAACTGATTCGTTTTAAACCGCTTGCCGCACACTTCGCACGAATGCATTCTGCTCTTTGCTTTTGACTTTTTCACTTCGTGCTTGGCATCTTTGGCAGCCTGTTTTTCGGCATCGGATTTTCGGGGCCGTCCTCGCTTCTTCTTTTTGACTTCAGAAATAGTTACAATTGGCGTTAACATATCATCAATTTCCCTAAAAAAAGTACATGTTAGTATACATTCTACTCACTGTTGAATCGGTACATGGTGAACAACAGAAATTATTATTAGCACTTGTATCAGTTTAGAATGTGTTTATTGACCATTGTAAACATTTTATTTTAGTTGGCAACCTTTGCGATAATTCTATTGCCGAAGAAAAGAAAAAGTGAAATTCCATTGAGAATTATATTTTTGCGGTCCTAATTGAGCCTATAGTAAAAGTTACTATTAAGAGAGCAAACAACGTTATTTTTTATCATAAACTTTATTTTGTTGAACTTAAAGTACAAACTGCAAAAAATAAATAAAGGATGAAATTTTACAAAACGTTTATAATTTCAAGAATCTCCTGCCACTGGTTTTGTGTTTCGACCGGTGGCTTCCTCGCTTACTTTTTATCACAGTACCGACTTGCATACGGCTTCTTCTCAGTGAAAATCAGCATATCAGTTGCAACATTTGGATTAAAAATTGTCCAGTGTGCAATTTCAGTTCAATTTCGGCAGTGAAAACCGAATTGTCTCCGCAGGGCCAATAATCGCATATCGAAAAATAATGCACAATTCGCATTCGGCCACATTTGTATGGCCTTATCACAGATATCACAAAGATGTGATAATTTCACAAAAACTGCACTGTCCTACACATAAAGAAAAAAAGTACTCATTTCTATATTTCAGTCCTTTCTTCATCGTTCCCTCCTAAAATGGATAAATTTATTAGTATCCATCTAAAACAAGAATGTATCAATTCATATTAGGCATGCATGGCAGTAAATAAATAAAACTTTATTAATTTTAAATTATTGAACATTTATTTCGTAACAGTGAAATAATTAGCCTTTGCAATTTTGTTGGTGTGAATGACGAGCAGCCCTGGATGTGTACCCTTTTCCACAAAAATTACAACAATATGGCCTCTCATTTGTATGCAATCGTTCATGGGTTGCTCTTACACTCGAACGAGCAAATCGTTTATCGCAATATCTGCAAGGATATCTCTTTTCGCCAGTATGTGTTAATTCGTGAGCTTTTAATCCTTTTTTCAAGTGAAACTTTCTATCACAATATTGGCATTGCAACTGCTTATCTTCGTGATATTTTGCATGTTGGCGCAAGTTACACAAAGCAGAAAATTCTTTACCGCATTTATCACATACGTGCTTTTTATCGCTGTGCACACTATTTAAATGTCGCTTGTAGGACACAATGTATTTGTACTTTATATTGCACTCTTTGCATTCGTAATCATCTTGTTCCTTGTCGCCAGTCTTTGGATGACTGATATTCATATGCGACTTCAAATCATTATGGGTGATAAAATTTTTCAAACAAATGCTGCAATTATAACTACGTTCACCGATATGACGCTTTTTATGATCCCTAAGAAGATTGAACCCCATAAACCGTCGATCGCAGTTAGGCAAATCACATATAAACGGTCGCATACTGTTCAGGTGCAATGAATAGTGATTTTGTAGATTTAGTCTGCGTGCAAATGTTGCGGTGCACAGCTCACATTTTGCAACATTTGTATGATCATACACATGCATTGCATATTCCAATGTTTTCTTAAACGTCATGTTGCAATATGTGCAAGTGTGTTGAATTTCATGTTGACTAATATGTTCTTCGGCATCCATAATCGTATCAAACAACATACCACAAATGTCACACACATGCGACAGTTTAGAATATAGTTCAACTTTTCTGTAAATTATTCGATTTCCTGGATGATTAAAAGAAAAATGATCGGTCAATTGCTTGGCATTCATAACTGGTTTGCCAAGGTTACACAGAAAACAGAAATATTCTTTTCCATTGCTCTTTCGTCTGCATCTTTTTTGTTTAATGGTGCCGATATTAATTTCTTTTTTACTAGATCTTGTTTTCTTCCTAAAAAAGAACATCATTAGTTCAAACCTCATTACACATTATACAAATTCTTCCTGCGTTTTCTTGAAAAAATTACAGAACAACGCTTTTTGCCTTAAAGCATGCAATTTAATAATTGCAATTGGGAACGTTGCATAGAAACTCTTTAAATGCATTTAATAATGAATGATTGATAAATAATATAATATCAAACAACATATTGCAAATAAAAAATTCTTCCTAGAAAAAATGTATTAATCAAAACAATATGCCGCTCCACAAATTAGAAAACAAAACTTAAATCTATTAAAACAGTTTAATTCTTTAATATTTAATTTAGTACAAACATTTATAAAAATATTCAATAAATTTAATCTGATTTCCGACACTTTTTCTTATGCATTCGCATCACCCCGCTTGAAATAAATCCTTTTCCACAATTCTCACAAATAAACGGTCTTTCATTTGTATGAATGCGTTCATGAATCTTTCGACTTCCGGCTTGTGTAAATGCCTGCCCACAATGTTTGCATTTATAAGGTTTTTTGCCACTGTGGATTCGTTCGTGCACAAGCAATTGTCGCCTGCTGGTAAACATTTTTTGGCATACTTCGCAACGGAAACTTTTTTCTCCGTGTTTCAGTTTATGCAATTTTATGTCTTTTACATGTTTTCCGCACACCTCACAAACCTTGTATGGCTTTCTGTGCGTAGAACTTATGTGCTTCCGCAGAGAGAGTGCACCTTTGTATATTTTATTACATATTTGGCAGGTCAGTTCTTCATGTTCCGTTTGCTTATGAACGTTTTTCAGATGTATATTTAAATATTCCTTGGTGCTGTAAAATCGAGCACATTTTTCGCATTGAAATTTTTCTTGACTAGCACTGTAATGTACGTTAACAACATGGCGCTTCAGTGCAAGATTAAATTTAAACTTTCGTTCACACATCTTGCATTCATAGTTAAAAACTTTACCCGTTCTGAGCTCTGGGTGGACATTCTTAATATGCATCTTCAAATATGATTCAGTAACATAACTTTTGCCACACAAGGAACATTTATAAATTGCATTATCCATGTGACGTTCTTGATGATCTCGAAGTAGGTATAGTTCCGTATAGCGACGATTGCATCCAGGTTGATCGCAAATAAATGGCTTCATACTATTTAAATGCACGGCATAATGATTGATCATGCTTTGTTTGTTCTTGAAAACTGCTGCACATAATTCACAATTCGGTATTCCGGTGTGATCAAACAAGTGCTTCGCATAGTCCAATGTTTTCTTGAATTTCTCCCCGCAATGAATGCAAGTGTGTTGATTCTCATGCTGATTAATGTGTTCATCGGCTTTCATTATTGTATCAAAAGATAATTCGCAAATGTCACATACGTGGGATAAATGGGCAAAATCTTCTATTTTCCTATATGTTTTTCGAACGCCTGGATGTTCGAGTTTGTAATGCTCGGTTAATTGATTAGCATTCATTACCGGTTCTTTCTTGTTACATAAAAAACAAAAGTAACATGGTTCATCTATGTCCTCAGCAGGAACATGATTACTTTTAGCTCTTTTTTTCCTAAAAAGTACTATCATTAATGAAAAGTAATTATTAACAAATGAAAGTTTTTTTATTATTTATAATAAAAAAAAAATTAATAATGCATCAAATAAATTAATAAGCATTTCATAGATACAATTAGGGACAAGTATATTTTGGGTTTTTAGTTTATTTCTATTAATTTACAAAAACATAGGTATGTATTCGTCAATTTTCCGAGACAGGCCTTTTATTTATCCTTTAATCCCTTATTATTACATAAGGATACACAGGGACATCCCATAATATTGGACTGTAAAATAAATGTTTAAAGAAAACAATCACAATAAAGATAAAATTGATCTTATGCAGAATACGTAATCCATAACAATATATTTATTTAAAATTGTACGTGAATTGAATTATTTTGTTACGAGTTACATTATGTTTTGTCTAGAAGACATCATCAGTAACTAACTTACGCCAGTAAATAAAATTTCCTAATGATTCTCCTATCACCAAAAAGCCAACCTTAGAGCTTTAAACATATTACATAAAAATCATCCAACACGATTTATTACTTTTATACATTTTTATACAAATATCAAATACATTTTATATTAAAATATCCCCCGACACTTTTTCTTATGGACATTCATGACTGAGGCTGAAGTAAAACCCTTCCCACAGCCCTCACAAATAAATGGTCTTTCATTAGTATGAATTCGTTCATGTATTTTCCGAGTTCCAGCTTGTGTAAACGCCTGTCCACAATGTTTACATTTATATGGTTTCTTGCCAGTATGTATCCTTTTATGAACTTCCATTTGCCTCTTACTGGTAAACATTTTTTGGCACACTGAGCATTGCACCGATTTTTCTCCGTGTGTTAATAAGTGTAATGGCATGTCTCTCACTGTTTTGCCACAAATCTGGCACACTTTTAATGGTCGTTTGTGCGAAATTCTAATGTGTTTCTTTAAATAAAATTCGCCTCTAAATACTTTATTACATAATTCACAAATTAATTCTTCGTCTTCAGTTTCTTTATGAACGGTTCTTAAATGGAGCTTCAAATACTCTTTGCTGTTGTATAAACCCGAACATTTCTCGCATTGGAACTTCTCATAATTTTTTAAATGTACTTTGCTCATATGACGTTTCAGCGAATCATTCACTTTAAACTTTCGATCACACAACACACATTCATAATTAAATTCTTTGCCAGTTCTTAGCTCTGGATGGGTAGCATATAAGTGTTTCTTTAGATATGAATCGGTTAAAAACGTTGCGGAGCAAATATCGCATTTAAAACTAGATTGGCCTGAGTGTTTTGTTCATGTTTTTTAAGTGCAATAAACCCAGAAAAGCGATGATTGCAGTCTGAATGTTGACACAAGTAAGGCCGCGTACTCTTTAAATGTGATGAGTAGTGGCGAATCAAATGTGCCCTGTTTTTTAATGTTGCTGAACACAATTCACATTTTGGTATACCAGTGTGCGAATATACATGCTTCGCATACTCAAAAGGTCTCTTAAATTTATCACCACAATGAGTACAAGTGAGCTGGTCGTCGTGTTGGTCAATGTGCTTATCGGCCTCGATTATGGTTTCAAATGTCATATCACATATGTCGCATACATGCGATAATTTAGAAAACTCTTCAATTCGTCGGTAGATTTTTCGCAACCCTGGATGCTTCACCCCGTAATGCTTTGTTAATTCGTCAGCAGTCAACGCTGGCTTTCCCTTGTTACATATAAAACAAAAGTAACAAGTTTCATCTCCAGTGTCCCAATAGCGACGTCTTTTCTTCCTAAAACGAAGAACTATTAATCAGAAGCATTTAACATGTAAAATTAGTTTCCCCCTTTTTCGTCCTAGTAAATATCAATTAATTATTATTCTTCATTATATTTAATCATTATTTAGAAAAATATTAATTTTATTTACATGTTAATATAATTACACAGTTATACAGTTCTGTGACACTTTTTCGTATGAACATTTAAAACCCCTCTCGATGTGAAACCTTTACCGCATACTTCACAAATAAACGGCCTTTCATTAGTATGAATGCGTTCGTGAATTTTTCGTGTCCCGGCTTGAGTAAATGCCTGTCCACAATGTTTACATTTATATGGTTTTTTGCCACTGTGAATCCGTTCATGCACAATCAACTCTTGTTTGCTCGAAAACATTTTTAGACAATGTTCACATCGAAACGTCTTTTCGCCATGTTTTAATTGATGTAAGTGTATTCCATTTCGTTTCACACTTTTGCCACACACTTCGCATACTTGATATGGCGTATTATGCGTAATCCGTATGTGTCTCTTTAAAGCAGCCGCGCCTTTGCAGATTTTCTTGCACACTTCACAGGCGAGACCTTCATATTCAGTAGGTTTGTGTACTGTTTTTAAATGATACTTTAAGTATTCCTCGCTGCTGTAGAAATGTGCACACTTTTCGCATTGAAACTTGCCATTGACATTACAATGAACCCGATCCACGTGGCGCTTTAATGACATATTGTATTTAAAACTCTGCTCACACAATTTACAAGCGTAATTCATGATTTTACCAGTTTTAAGCTCTGGGTGCACAGAGTTGATATGAGATTTTAAATTAGTTTCGGTGAGATATTTTTTCGCGCAAATCTCGCAATTGTAACTCGGTTCACCCTTATGTCGCTCTTGGTGATCACGTAGCCGAGAAAGAGTTGTGAAACGTCGCTCGCAGCCAGCCAATTCGCATACAAATGGCTTCATACTCTTTAAATGTACTGCGTAATGAACATTCATCTTCTTTTTGTTCTTTAACATTACAGAACAAAATTCACATTTTGCACTTTTTGTATGCTCAAACAAGTGTATTGCATATTCTAAAGTTTTTATGAACTTTGCTCCGCAATGGTCGCAACTGTGTTGATCTTCGTGTTGATTGATATGTTTTTCCGCTTCCATTATAGTTTCGAAGGACATATCACAAATATCACACACATGTGATAACTTGGCAAAGTCTTCAATTCTCCGGTAAATTACTCTACTCTCAGGATGTTGCGAATTATAGTGTTCTGTTAATTCGGCTCTATTCATTACAGGATTTTCGGTATTACATAAAAAACAAAAGAAACGATGCATGTTCTTTGTCCCACCAAGAAAAGCATCACGCCTTCTTCTCCTAAAATACAATAGAATTAATAAAGTAGTACATTAAGGTATTCTAATACTTGTTTCACAGTTGATGATTCCTTTAGATATTTCTTTAATTTCATGCAATCGTAGATACTATGAAAATTTGAATCCCTTCAAATACAATTCACAATAGAAAATACTTTTTTCCTTTAATTAATTTAAACGTAGAATATTTCAAGTACTGATATTTTATGGATGTAAATTAGAGATCATCTACAATCAATACACTTGATTTCTATTTTAGTACATTAGGAATCACTGAGCACCAGTAATATCCACACTTAGTTTCCCGTACAGTAGTATTATGATGGAAAAGCGTGCTCCAATAATACCCATAAAAGCACTTTCATCTAAGTATCACTTAAAATACAATCTGCTCACATAAACAACATTTTAATTTACAAAATTAAACAAACAAACAGCTAATTTTACGTCATCATCTTCGACATTGACATCAATCATCTCTTCAAGTCTATTAATACTTATAAATTTATTTATAAAATCACATAATTTTAAGACATATGTTCCACTTTTGGAATACATTTTATCTTGTGTACATTTAACATGCCACGAGACCTAAAACCCTTGCCCACAAATCCAAGACAAGCTGCCATTCCTTTGAATGAAGTCGTTCGTGTACTTTCCTGCTTCCAGGTTGCGATTAGATTATTTGAAGACGTTAGTTCCAATTTTATAATACATTTTTTTTCTTGCGTATATTCACTCCGCATTCCTGAATTCTTCTGTTTCCCGTTTACGATTATGTGTTTTTAAGACACAAGCTCCAATTTCGGAATACATTTTTTCTTGTGAACATTCAACATACCGCCAGATGTGAAAGCCTTTCCACAAAACTCACAGACATATGGTCTTTCATTTGTGTGAAGTCGTTCGTGAATTCTTCTGCTCCCAGCTTGCGAGAATCCTTTTCCGCAATGCTGACATGGATACGGTTTCTTTCCGTTGTGAATACGCTCGTGTTCTACGAGGGCCATCTTTATGGCAAACATCTTATCGCAAAACGGACACGCAAATGTCTTATCGCCGTGTCGCAATTGATGCAAATTCATTTGTGATGCCTTTATGCTTTTACCACAGATATGGCAAACCTGATGGGGAGTCATATGCGCCCGTCTTTTGTGCCTTTTCAGCGCTGCCTCTCCCTTGCAAACTTTTGTACAGATTGGGCAATTAAAATCTTCGTAAGCAATCTCTTTGTGCACTGTTTCCAAATGTGTTTTTAAATACCACGGTGTCGCATAGAATTGCGCACATTTTTCGCATTGAAATTTAACTGGTTCGGTAGACTTTAATTTAGGTGTTTTCTTGCGATGGGTCTTTCCATGAGCTAATAAACTATCTGCGTCAGGAAATCGCATGCAGCAATTCAACTCTTCACACTTGTAAGGCTTATAATGTTCACCATGTTTTCCATAATGTTTCGTCACGTGTTCTTTCTCCGTCAGTTCCTCCGAACATATTACACATTTGGAGTGACATACATGCAGAAACTGATGTTGAGTGTGATAAACCATGGTCGGAAATGATTTGTCACAAAACGTACAAGGGTAGAGACTTTTATGTTCGCGTAAATGAACATCCAATTCTTTGTAGGAAGAAAATTCCTCTTTGCAAATTTCGCAAACTGGCATAACTCGGACAAATTTACGTAGTGGGTAAAATTTGAAATTACTGATATTATGCTCGCTCTGGTAATGAGTTATAGCTTGATCCTTTGTCAACCCCTCGCCAGTCATACAAATCTTGCAATAATATTTTCGGGGTCGTCCTCTAGTCCTAAAATCAATGTGAATTAGTAACATTTACATAAAATTCTAAGCATAATTGTTGGATAATACAACTATAGAAATCCACAAACATTGTGAAAATCTAATGTAATAAGTCACAAATAATTTATTTATGCGTGTCACTACAGTTGATTCATAAACAATGATAAAATAATGTTTTCAGCATTTTTCATGGACAAAATGTTTTATTGGAAATAGCGCATACATGTACATGCACATGTAAGTTTGTATCAATCTTTCCTGTTTATTTCCGGATAAATGTACTAGTAATTTGCAACCATTATTATATTAATTTTTTTGTGATAATATAAAATTAATATTTTCACATTATAGTTATTCATATTTATAAGTCTCATTTGCTCGTGCACAAAAACAGCAAAGGTTTGAAGCTCACAGAAATATTATTTAGACCAATATGAATTAGATATCTTCGCATTGAACGTTACAAAGTCATCAAGTCACTAAATCTTGTTTAATATAATTAAAACAATAATCATACGTTATCCTGTGTTGTGATTTAATATTTCCTTGCTTCTTAAACATTTTTCATTAATAATTTCAATGTAAGCAGGTAGTACTTTTATTTCAAGACCAATTAAAGTTTAAAATAGTTACTATTATAATTTATTACACAGTTATTATTATGAAACGTAATATTTTGGAATAATCATGGCTTAATTATAATATGTTTTCGATTGATTGCCACATTAATAATTTCAATTAATTTCTTCTCAGAAAGGTACGTGAACAAATTACCCGCAATTTTTTTCCCTAAAATGAGCCTCAAAGCATGTAAAATAATTGAAATGTCAAATGCATAAAAGTGATCATTAGAATCCATTAGAATTTGCGAACATTTTTATTATTAAATAATTTTAATACATGTCAAATTGATAAATAAGCACTTTATGGCAATTTTATTTGAGTACTTTTCATTGATATTGGATAAATTGAAGGAGAAGCTTAAAATGCAATTAAAAGCAGTATCATCATATTATAATATGGAAATAAATACGATCAAACTAAAATTCCTAATTATTGGGAATTTCCGTAATCCCGTCGTATTTGTATGCTGTTACGTTTGTCGTCGATAGCTGGCCTTTCGGTTTTATTAGATTGTGGACGCTCTTCATATGTGTCTTCAAAGAGTGACTTTGAGAAAATCCTTTTTCACAAACAGTGCATACATATGGCCTTTCTCCAGTGTGAGTTCTTATATGTTCTCTCAGTCTCAAATAACTCGGAAAGGCCTTCTCACAATATTTACATTTATATGGCTTTATATTATTGTGGATATTCATGTGAGTCTTGAAAAGATCATGACTGACAGTTTTTCCACAGAGTTCACAAAATCTAGGCCCATGTTTAATACGTTTCTTCTTGATTTTAATGCCTTCGTGAATCGCCAACTTGTGCAACTTTAAATTGCCTTTCGTCGTTAGCGTCTGCCCGCAAATATCACAAATAAATGATTTATCGGCATTCTTGTGCCATTTCATATGCTGGTGAACAGCTTTGTGTGAATTTAAAATCGTGTCACACAGAGCACATTTTTCCATAAACTTGAACTCCTCAGGGCATTTGTGATTCAATAGGTCTCGTTGAAAGATAAACTTGTCGCCACATACATGACACACCTGCCGTTTCGTTTCATCTTTATGCACCTCATATAAATGACGCCAAAGCCTTAGGCGATTTCGGCACATTTGCGAGCACTCGGGACATTTCACCATTGGATCGGCAAGATGACCAAACATGTGATTGCGCAACGTTGTCTTTCGAGGATAACTATTTTTACAAACAGAACAGGGGTACAAAGAACCCTTGCCGAGACTTAATGATGCTATATACTTTTTTATATCCCCGAGTGATGCTATTTTACTAAAATAAAACAATTCTATTAGTATTGAGAATATTGCAAAATAATAAATATGTAGATACGGTTATACTTTTAATCGTAAGAAACATTTGAACCATTATCCTTGTAAGTACATTTACAGCACCTTCTTATTGCTGGTATTAAAGTTTACTCGCAATGTTCTTACGATTGAGCAATATACACATTTATTTTGTAAAAGGCAAATAAATTACAGCACATAAAGTAATACAATTTGTCAGACTATCATACGGCAGGTATAGCTTCCTTTCCATGTACACTCTCTTTATGCGTTTTCACGCAATGTCGTTGAGTAAATCCCTTTCCACAAATATCGCAAATATACGGTCTATGTCCGGTGTGCGTTCGCACATGTTCATCGAGTCTTCCTTTCGATACGAATGCTTTTGAGCAATACGTACAGGCATACGGTTTAATATTTAGATGAATATTCATGTGAGTTTTCAAATGATCTTTATACATTTGTTTACCACATATTTCGCAGAAAACAAATTTTCTGTACCGACGCTTATCAAACTTAACTCCTTCATGTTTTCTCAATTTGTGCGACTTCAAATATTCCTCGCATCCAAGGATATCTCCACAAATGTCGCAAATTACAGGCTGCCGACTCGTGTACCCATTCGGACACTTGTGTGTCTTTAGTCCTTGCCAAAATCTAAACTTCTGGCCGCAACAATCGCATTTCTTCATCTTATCCTCGTTGTGAACTGTCTTCATATGCCGCGTAACAAGGAAGGAACTTACAAATGTCTTTTTACATATTCTGCATCGCATACGATGTTGTTCACTTTTAATGTGCGTGAGTAAGTGCTGGCCTAAGTTTGTTTTGTGGGCAAAGTTTTTATCACAGCATTTACAGGGATAGCGACCGTTTATTGGTTGCACGCTTTTGATGTAGTGCTGTTTCTGTGCCAGAGTTATCGACCTAAAAGTTGTTAAATGTTATTACAATTCACAGGTAATCAGTATAACAAAACTTCGCATTGATAATTAATACCATTGTGTTATTCCAAAAATATTAGTTTTATTTAGTTCACAATATACTCCAAAATAACGCATATTCAGAATACATTATTTAACTCAAAAAAGGAACTATCCTTATGTAAATTGGATTTATTTGACAACTTTGACTTGTGCTGTTTCTTGTAGAACGAGAACATCGCATAAAAAATCTGTTGACTAGTTTATTCACACAAATTTATAACACTATACAAACATATACACTCATAAAGCAGCAGTCTTTATGTCATATGTAACAAGTATATTTCATTACTAAAACGATAATGAATTTACATGTCTTCTATAATTTCCTTAGTACAATCCTCATAAAATAGCTCAACTTCATTACTTTCTATTGTTGGAAATTGTTGATTACCACCATGATGATTTGCTAAATGATCATTCAAATCCTTAATTTCATCAAACATTTCATCACAACAATTACATGTATATGACTCTGTAATTTCTTCTTCATCCTGATCCTGGTCATCGTCGATATTGTGGTCTTTGAAATGTTCGCGAAGTAGTTCAGTACTAGCATATGTCGCATCGCAAATGTAACAAACAAAGCGCCGTTCACCCGCAACTGTCTTTCGTTTTAACTTTGGAGGCGGTTTCGGCTTTACCGGTACATTTTCAATGTGTACTTTATTAACGTGACTTCGTAAAAAATTCAAATCAATAAACCGCTCATCGCACAATTGGCACGGAAAAGGTTTGTCGATATCACTATGCGTATGCAAATGTACCATTAATTGATATTCGGTCCTAAATATGTTATGGCATTTGCTGCAAGGAATATGACCAACCTCGTGAGTACGACGCATGTGTGTTGCCAAAACATCTTTTCGCAAAAAGTCCTTGCCGCACAACTCACAAATAAAAGATCGTTCGCCGGTATGCATTTTCATATGAACATTGTGCGCACCTTTTTGAATCGATTTCTTTCCACATATATGACAGATATAGCGTTCGCCAGAATGAATCCTTTTATGGCCGTTTAGTGCACTTTTTGTGCTGTAATACTTATGACAAACGTCACACTCATAGGTACGTGGATCTTTCTTGTTATGCATGCTCATGTGATCTCTATAATACCGTTTGCTCTTCAAGACAGAACCACAAATTTCACACGGGTATCTAATGCCTTCGTGTTCTGCTTGTCGGTGATGACTATATGAAAAATCCGAATAAAACTCTTTGCCGCAATCTTTGCATTTGTGTTGATATTCACCGGTGTGTCTCCTCATGTGCACTTCTAAGACTCTGCTTGATGCCATTTTTCTACCGCAGTATTTACAAGCGTATTTTTTATCGACTTCATGCAACTTCAAATGAGAGTAATAAGCATTCTGGAATTTAAACTTTTCCTCGCATATTGGACATTTCAAGTCACGTTCTACATGCGATTTTTCTATATGCTTTTTAAGTTTCAACTGATTGTGAAATCGTTTTCCACATTTTGAACAGATCAGTGTTCTTGGAGTTGGTTTTTGGCGAATTTCAAAGTCAGAATTGGATTCATACTCCAAATCCTCATTATCTATCTTTTGCAACTTTATTGTCTTCTTCTCAGCGGTTGGTAACAGATTTTTCTTAAATACTACCGGCACTGATTTTAAAATTAACGGTATTGACCGCCCGTCCTTTGTTCGTCCTGTTGTTATTGTCACTTTTTCTTGCACAGTTGGTGCAAAAGTCACGTACTTCTTGGGTACGCGTTTTGGCCCACTTGTAGTTTCAATTGTAACAGTTTCTTCATCGTTTAAATCGCAATTACTCCTAAAAATATATTTATTAGTTTTTACAATATACAAAACATACCATCATATGCATTTTTATAAAAAAAAGCAAATAGAACAAAGAAGTATTTATTTTCGGAATTTTCTATTGTAATTAACCTCATGAAACAATTTTTACAATCAATGCAAAACATTAAATAATTCGCAACAATAAATAGCATCGCAATGCTCGAAAGAATTAAGTAGTATCTTCAGAATAATTATGGTCGCCTTTACAAAACTTGTGATGCCTACTTAGGTCCATTTTATACGACTGACATTTGTCACAAAAATGGACTTGCTTTTTATGTTCCTTTAAAGACTGGTCGTTGCTAAAAATAGTTTTACATGGTGGACAATAATGATTTATGTTATGTACATTGTTATAATGATCTGTCAGATCTTTAGCAGAACATAAAAACTGATCACATTTTTTACAAACATTCGATGAAAAATGTTTCTCTAGTGAAGGATATAATTTGTGACATTTCGCGCAGAAATGAACGTTCCTATTATGATCTTTTAAGTTTTCAGATGTAGAAAACCTGAGGTCACAGGTAACACATTGATTTTGATAATCATGAACAACTCTATAGTGAATATCAAGTTCTTTTAACTTGCATACAGTATAACTGCATAGTTTGCATTTCATTTTAGTTTTATGGTTTTGTAATTGCGCAAGTCTATTAAAAACGGCCGAACAAATATTGCATTTATGAAATTGTTTATTTTTGTTCTCAACTACACTTTCCTTGGTCAGCGCAGTTGCAGATGATATTGAAGAGTTTTCATTTGTTGTTTTAATCTGTTGGCTCACTTTTCTAATATGTTCTGGAACCTTATCAGGTGTAATTCTAGTCAGCACGTTTTGTGACGTGCTCGGTTTGACGGTTAAGTTAACTTTTGTTTTAGGTTTTTCTAAAAGTTGACTTAACGGCTTCAGAAAAATTTTGGGTCTAGGTGCCGCAGGATCTTCTACTTCTGGCATTAATATTGGAGGTGTGTCGCTTGTAGCATGTGCTCCTGAATTTGTTGATTTGCCATTTTCTAATGCAGCTGCAAGAATGGGAGCCTTTTGAAGCGGTTGCATTTCTAGTCGAGGCATTTCACTATCACCATCGTTCTTTGACGCCTCAGTTCGAGCGTCTGATAAAACAAAACTGCTCGGTAAAGCACTAATAGTTGATTGAATTGAGGTCGGTCGAGTCGTAATATTTGCTGTCACTCGTTGCTTTATTTTAGAGCGATATTGCTTTACAACCCCTTTAGGTAAACGCGGGATGATAATTTTCTTTGGAATGGTCGCACCTGCATTTGATACTGGTGTCGAAGACGGTATAGTTTTATTTGGCATAGCGTTAGAAATGTTCACAGTTACACTATTTTGTAAGGTGTTGGTGGTATGATGCATCGAAGACATGACAAATGTTGGAGCCATTGATTGCTGGACCATGGTATTAGTTGGTTGAACCACAGTCATTATCGTTGGTTGAACAATATTATTGACAGTAGGTTGAATTATATTTGGTATCATAGGTTGCATCACGCTGCCAATTGTTGGTTGAATAATATTGCTAACTACTGCCGTGGGAGATAAAGCTGAATCGTTTAATAGCAATGGCTCGCCAATAGTCCTCTCTGGAACTGGCAATCTCATTTGGCCATTTTGTTGCAGCATATAAGCCGGAATAAGGTATGCTTTATTAGTATTTTTATCTACAACCAATATTTTGGTTTGATCTTTGTTTCCAACTATAGGCTGGGGCAAAGACGTTGGTACTATTTGAGAATTTACAACAGTTTTCAATAACGTAGGTTTCAACGAATTTAATTTTGGAATAGGTACTTTGAAAGAGTTTGTAGTACCAGATGTTGCAGTTGGCATTGAAGTTCCTGGAGTAATCGCAGTTCCAGACGTACTGGGCTGGGACACAACGTAAGAGCACACTTTATTTTGTCCACTGTCCGTATTTGTTTGGTTTTTCGTAAATTTCATTTTGATGCTTGGATATTTTTTAGAATTGTTTAATACTCGGGGGCTCGGTTCTTTACCAACATGTTTTGTTTTTACATGGTCAATGTATAACTTTTCGGATGTTAACGACTCATCGCACAGCTCACAATTAAAACAAACATGTAAAAGCATATGCTCCCGAAGACTTTTAGGGTCGTTTGCCGTCATCCCACATTCTTTGCAGATAATATTCTCGGGAAGACTATGTCGCAGAACTTTGTGTTGAATGAGTGATTGTAAATCGGGAAAGTCTTTTTTGCACAATTGACAAGTGGGCTTATGTTTCGCAAAATTATGTTCTATTAAATGATAATACTCGTTAAACGATATACCGCAAGGGTTACACCTCCACTTGCCTAAAGCATTATAATGCACACGCTGAGTATGCGCGTCAAAATTGGCTTTCGAATAAAATAACTGCGTACACAGCATACATGCTATCACATTATGCACGTTTTTAAAATGTGTGGCCAGTTCTCGTTTGGTTTTAAATACCTTTAAACATTTTGAACATTTCATGGCTTTCATGATCTTTTCTAGAGCAAGTGCGTTACACTGATCATTATTTACGCTCTGTTTGAGTTCAACTTTTATACCGACTGTTCCTTTAGATTCTTCCTTCTCTACGTCAAAATCACCGTCTGCATCATCCTTTTCAGGTTCATTGACTTCCTCACTTGACACAGAATTAACAGACGACGCACCATCATCCGCGTGCATTTCCTCCATATGTAATTCCATTTTAAAACGATCCCGAAACTTAGCAGTACAATACTCGCATTTATATTTTAAGCGTGATGTAGGTATAATGTTGGTTTGATCAACGTCACAGTATGCCTGCGTTTTCATAAATCGATATCGCTTGATATCGAAATCACAAGTCTCTCCAAGAAAAACAATACAATCTTTCAGCCCATACTGTTTTTTATAGCTTGCTAAATTGTCCGGTATTGTAGACCTGAAAAGATTGTCTGGTTAGTAACTTTGTCCGTACGGTTGATGATACACTAATATAACAAAACAGTAGGTAATGTTTTGCGTAATAGCAATAACAATATTCCAGATGACAATTATTTAATAACGTTTATAGAATCTATTCTTTTGTTTTAAAAATGATAACATAATAACGTGGACTTTCATACAATCAAATTATATTCGTAAGAAAATCACACACTAGATGAACACATGCTTAGTTACGAACAGAAATAAATAATATTAAATTTTCAATTAATTGTACAACATGAGCTAACATCGTATTTGAAGACATAGAAAAGTTATTGGAATTACCAATTATTTTATTAACATTATGTAGCTAAATTCATATATATATACAAGATAGATATTAACAGATTTGAATGCACTCTTTCAAGAGGATTCATTATAGAAGAGATCAAGATGATATAGATGATAATCTAAAGCTGAATAATTTCAGTCGCTATTTGAAGCCCATGCGTCGCAATGTGCTTTTTAAAGTAATATTCATCAGCAAAAGACCGCCCGCATTCAGTGCATTTATGCCGTATCCCCATATGCCTATTTTTATAGTGATTCCTATATTCACGTACGGTATAAAATCCTTTGTTACATTCCTCACACCGATGCCTAAATTGATCTAAATGTCTTAACATATGCTCCTTTACATTTTTCTCATACATAAAAGTCCTAAAGCAGAAATTACAAATTGCTCGTTCTGTATGTGCCGCCACATAATGTTTGTAAAAGTCTGTATTTTTGGTAAACGTGGCCGGACATACATCGCAACTATTTATATAACACTTTCCCTTTTCAATGTGCCTGAAGAACACATACTTGTTGATAAATAATTGTTCACAACGCAAGCATTTGTAATGGACTATATCAACGTCATTATTTGGATTAATCATTTCGTAGCTGGTAGCAGAGAAATCCGGTATTTCGTGTCGTCGCTTCGGTACCTGAAGCTTGTTGCATTTTGGGGAAGTTTGCGAACTGTCTTCCGTAGAATATTCAACCGTCGCTGTCAATTTATTTGAACTCTGTGGTGCCGCATCAACTACTCTAACATATCGTCGAACGTTTGGTTCCTTTTTGACACGCTTTTTCGCTTCAAGTTGTCCCCGGAAACACGATGGAATTATGTAACCGTGATCAACTTCTACAACCGAAAAATCAGGTTTACCCGCACCGGGTATGTTTTGAGGGGTACTTCTGGCACCATCGGCAGTCTCAATAACCACTTCATTAATGCACTGATTGTCATCATCTAATATATACAATAATTCTTGCGTTGCATTCATGGCAGGTTCCCCAGGAATGTTAATTACGGCTTCTACTTGCTCATCGTCATACATTACTTCTTCAGTCTGATCAGCAACTTCATGGTATATCGTGTCCTCGTCAGCGACTTCTTCACTAACAATATATTCAGTTTCTGATTCGTGTTGTTCTTCAATTATGTATTCAGTTTCACATTCTAATTTATGCGTTTCGTAATGTTGATAAAGCTCAGTGGTGTTTTTGAATGAACTCCCGCATCGGCAACACGAAAATCTAGAACCGAACTGGGACATGTGATGTTCTAAGTAAGACTCGCGATCGGGAAAAACTAGGGCGCACACTTCACATTGATAATTGTTCTCATTAATGGTCTCGATTAAAATTTCTTCAGATTCGCCTTCTTCGGATATGTATACCTCCTCTTCTTTGAATCTGAAAATGTATTTTATTTAACTAAATGCACCAAACAAAACAAGATTTTGTAATTTTATTTGGTTATCAAATATTAATTAACAAATCGTTGATAATTGATTGCAGTATTTATTATACCAATTAAATACACACTGAAAGTTAAGCACTAACGCATAAAATTCCCATCTGCTCGACGACGCAGCAGTCATGTATAATTATCAGAATATCAAAAATTCAATCGCCCCTTAGATATATTTTCAAAACTTGAATATGTATTATCGTTCCATATAAGAATGAATGGATTATTTATATTTGAAAGCTTGATTCGACCCTGAATACCACGTGCAACATAAAAAAAGAAAAATGTTAAATGAACTTTTCCCTGGCAACAAGAATTTGACACGTTATCACGCATATATCAATAATGGTACTTACCTTGAATGTTCATTTCTAATATCTTAGCTCATCCATATTTTCCGGAACCTTACTCTTGAAAGTATCTATACGCTAAACTCGCAACGGAAGAATTCTGAGATAATTAAGGGGTTAATATAAAATTAATTAAATTTAATTCGTTTTAACAAAATAAACTTTAATTGATGATGTTAAGTTATGAAAAAACTAGTTGAGGGTGGTGGTCTTCAGTCACGATAATTGAAAATAGTTACATTGCGATTGGTTTTCTTATTTGATTTGAATATTTGTCCGAATAATCAATTTTTGTTCTGGGATCACTAATTTGATACATTCAAAATACGAAACATGCTGCTTAAATCATCAATAACACAAATACTCTTCGGCAGGGTTTTCCAACGTACCGAGCCGTGGGCAAAAGCGTTTGGGAAACCCTGCTTACGGTATACCCCGGTAATCTGAACTCAAGATCAAAACCATAAAATCTTAAAAATAACCAATTAAACTACTACTTTACGAGATGTGTGGGTACTGCTAATGTTAAAACAATGATTTTTGATTTTGATCCAAGCTTTAGAGAATTAACAAAGTATGGAATTGTCAATAAGGTAACAAGCAAATATGCACCAAATGGTAAATTTATTCCAAATTGCAAATTGATTTACTAAATCTGTTTGAATCGCAAAGTATGTGTTCACTACACGTTAATGAGAAGCAATTAAAAATGATCAATAATTGACAATGTAAAGCGAAATTTTATCAACAAGCTAATATAGAAATATAGATATGACAAGCAGGGTTAAAAATAAAGTTATAATTATAGGTTTATTGTTATTTTTTTACTTTACGCAATTTCATGTCTTTAATTAACAACATCTCAATTTAAGAACATTTACATTTAGTTATAAATACATTGATTGAATACATTTGATCAAAAAAAAGTCCAGTTGATCTCTCGACGGGACGCAGGTAACTCTGAACCTAAGAACTCGAAGAGAATATAAGTGCATAAACAAAAATTAAATAAATCGATGTCTCCAATGAATCCACCAAATAACATAAAACTAGGATAATAAAGGTGTTGCAATCGTTTTATCTGCTAGATTTCTACTTTACATAGTATAAAGCTTAGCACTTACCAAAAATAAATTATTCAAATATTACGATGAGTAGTAACTAACACGCACACTTCGCACACGCACTGGTTTACACTACAAAGCATTGCATATAAATTTAAAGCAATTTATAGCAAACAAATAAACATCTTCTAATTGAAGAAGATGTAAAAGGGTGTTGAACTATGCACTCAACAAATCTTGAATACATCGTATTCAAAAAAGTAAATAAATACAACGTATTTATTTAAAAAGAGACACCGTTGATGTTTAAACTCACATAAAAAACACACAAATATAACGTATTAAAAGAATAATACATTATCAACTGGAATGAAATTTGCAAACGCAAAGTTTCAAATAGTAAATTGTAAAAATATCACAATTTACAAAACCCATCACATTTTAATCTAAATGAGATGCAAGAAAGAAGGATTAACCCAAAACTTGCAAATGTGACAAGTACAAGAAACAAGTTACTTTCCATTGAAAGTAACGTTTTAACATAATATACACATGGAATTTTTATATCTTAAGTCGAAAAGTTGGATGTGCTTTTTCTGAATAGAATTAAAAGTGAAATAATCCGGTATTAGACTTCAAGTTGACTAATTTAAGTTTCCACCTACCTTATTCAATGTTGATTCAATATTATATCATAAATATTATTTAAACATAATATGCAATAGTAAACAAACGAATATTTTCTAGGCAACTTGAAGCTATTCATCACATCCAACCGAATAATATACTATGATTAAATCACAAAAGAGTACTCACGGTCCAGACGTCGTTTTGGTCCCCGAAGGTCCAGGTTGTTGTGAGTCCTCCTCTTCTTCTTTAGCAACAAAGTCAGGGTCGGCCATATCATCACCTTCATCTTCCAAGTCTTCATCCTCATCATCGTCATCCTCTTCACTCTCATCTTCAGTCTGTGCAAAAAAAAAATGTATATATAGAAATTGTATCATAAATGACCTCAGAATAAAACCTTTGCAATGCCCGCGTCTGTGTTGTCAACATAATCTTCGTCAGAGTCATCCTCATAGTCTTTTACTGTGCTTACGTAACTACTTGAACGTCGAGGTCTTTTCGAGACAGACTCATCGTTAGGATCAGCTGCAGCCTTTTTCTTTGTACTATTTGAAAGGTTCTAAACAAATGAACAAAATGAAAATTATTAATAAGAATAGTTTGTAAAAAACAACAAATTTACCTGTTGTGATTCATCGTATTCCTCAGGTTTGTAAGCTAATTGCTGCTGCTGAATGATGTAGTTTTGTGTGTCTGATGATATTGCATCTATTGCATCTGAAGATCTTGCATCGAGATCAGTCACCGGCTCTTGTTTGAGAATGACATTGGGTTGAGTTGCTAGACCGATTGGTTCATTTGATTTCTGTTTGGGTTCAACTCCAGCAGCTGTGAGCCAATCAATAAGTTGCTTCTCTGAGTTAGAGGATGTGTTCCAGAATTGATAGAGAAGGTCTAATTTATATGAGCACCCATCGCAAATATTCTTCGGTAAATTGTCTTCTCGCGATACCTAGACAAAAGAAATAAAACCATATAATCGCATGTCAACGGAAGTGGATTCTGTCCTGCAATGTACACTAATATTGCAGACATACAACGCGCTTCATATGAAGGACATGCGAACAAACATGAATGCGCTCCGCCCAGGCGTTGGTTGCAGCGAGCAAGCAGGCGCCGCGCAGCCAACTACTGGTATGCGTCAACGATCGAATATTCTGTAATGGCGGCTTGATTTGGCGTCACCCTGTAAATGTTTGTTTGCAAACACTCGCCGCTATCTACGCGCTTTTAACAAATCGCTTGCAACTTGGTAATTTTTTGTAGGTAACTATGCATAAAACGCAATTTTCTTCACAAAAATGATACACTTGTCATCACGTATACAAAGAAATTACTTGACGCAAAATCGATTCTAATACATAATGAAAGCTATAGTAGCAATGAGTGTATTAAACAAAAAATATTACACGAATTTAAACCAAAATCACATGCTGTCAGCATGATAGCCAAATGCAAGTAATACTGGGAGTTCAACATGGCGGTTTGAAAGCGTTCTTACCTTAACCGGCAGGCACGCCGTTATTTTGAGAAATATTTGTTGTACTTCGCCCTGTCCATCGAAAATGGGTAAATTCACTTGCTCTTTGACTAAACATAGCCGGCACATTTGCATCATTTCGGCATAGGTCGTCATTATGGCGAATATGGCAAATTCTAGTCATTTAAATGATTAAACTGCTCACAGCACTGCACTCCATTTACAATGATGTTCACCACAACAAGATATCGACCGAAATGAACCGGAATCTCAACTCTCAACACACCGTAGGATGACGATGCGCGACGCATGCGCAAGCCGTACCGACGCCGCTTGAATTTTTAGGCGACCTCTATACCACTTCCGTATATTCAAATTTGAAATGTTCAGTCAACTCAACAGATAGCGAAGCAATCGAATTTTGTTAAAAAAGATGTGCATATTATATCAATCTAATACTCGATAATATTTTGTAGTGTGTGCGTTTTGAAGACAAACATTTTTATTTAATATGTACTTACATTGTCGTATTGTAGCAGTAAGATAGATAAAAAACTAAATTGTATTTAACAATTGCAATCGCTTATTTTATTTAATCTGCATGCCTGTACAAAGAATTATATGAACAATAACAAAAGCGCATAATGTTATTTTTATTCAATTATTTGCTAAACACTATTCATTAAAGATTTAAAAGGAAACAAAATGGATTTATAATTTTGCCAAGTTTTTAAAATTGTGATCCACGTTAGAAACCTGTTTAAACGAAAAGAAGTTGGTGTTAAATACTATATGTATATATGTTTGCGGCTGAGTGCCACCCGTTTTTGGGGTGCAGCTCACCTCTGTCACTATCCTTTAACCAAATTATTAAGGAGATTGCAAAATTTTATAAATCATTATTACGAATGTCCTCAAAATGCTTGAACAAAAATATGCTTGTTTTGGTTCACATTTGTAAAATATTGAAATATATTATTGTATGTATCAGTTTGTATCAGTGTTGAATGTTTTAATATTTGTCTCTTTAAATGGTAAACTGTTCTGTGCAGCTTTTAAAATTATTAATTTCTATCTGAAGTGCCTTTATTTTAAAATTTTAAAATTTTCAAAAATTAGATTGTTTTGATAATGGCAACTTGGGTGCTGTTTTGAACAAAAATTGAGACCCAAGATAAAAAGCAACAGTAGTAGTAATATTTATAAAATAAAATAACTTTCAACTCAAAGTCGCGTTGGTCAACATCTAAAACTATATTAAAGATGTACCCGTTTGTGAAGCTGTTCTGTTCTATAGAAATCTGGTTCACTGCAACGATTGCAAAGTGGTACGTTGATGAAGACTATTTTTAAAAACTATGCTTTGACCAAGGTACCCAACTGAGCATCTCAACTGAGCATGTGTTTAGTTAAGTTTATTTTAGAACACCAATAAAGATGTGTAGTGGCGCACGCGGCGCTCTAAATGTCGGACGCAACGGACGAATCTGGAGTCTGGTGTCGCTAGGTTATTTTTAAGCAATGGCGCATGGTCGCTATCGCATAACCATACATGGTAATTGAGAAAATCGAAACTAATTTTAAGTTCAGCGACATGCTATATCTTTCAGGCCTCACCAGGAAAGGCCTCGGACGCCGCACGTGTGTGTGCGACGAGGAAATTCCAGGTTATTGAAACATGGCGTCTGTGCACTGTCATAACTTCGGGTTGTTTATTAATAACTGATGTTTTTTTATTATTATATGAATTGCATAATTAAGTAATTATAATTAATAATAATAAATAATATAATATATGATATTCACAAGATCGTAAAATGAAACATGTTCACGTAAAACATAAGAAGAGTCTTTCTGGCAGTGCAACCATTGTCGCAACGATGACGATATAATAATAAAGTTGTAGTTGTAATTGTATTTGTAATAATAAGTAGAAGTAAGATAGTGAGGAGTTTAGAAGCACTTGCGGTGGACGATGCCTGGGCCGGATTCGTCGTATTCCTGCTTGGAGATCCACATCTGTTGGAAGGTGGACAGGGAAGCCAAGATGGAGCCACCGATCCAGACGGAGTACTTCCTTTCTGGGGGAGCGATGATCTTGATCTTGATGGTGGATGGGGCAAGAGCGGTGATTTCCTTCTGCATACGATCGGCAATACCTATAGGCAGAAGAGAAGTGTGTCAGCGCAGCCGTTCGAGGATGAAGAATGTCTTCATGTAACTTACCAGGGTACATGGTGGTGCCACCAGACAAGACAGTGTTGGCGTACAAGTCCTTACGGATGTCGACGTCGCACTTCATGATGGAGTTGTAGACGGTCTCGTGGATGCCGCAGGATTCCATACCCAAGAAGGAAGGCTGGAAGAGGGCTTCTGGGCAACGGAAACGTTCGTTGCCGATGGTGATGACCTGTCCGTCGGGAAGTTCATAGGACTTCTCAAGGGAGGTGGAGGCAGCGGCGGTGGCCATTTCCTGCTCGAAGTCCAGGGCGACATAGCAGAGCTTTTCCTTGATGTCGCGAACGATTTCACGTTCAGCGGTGGTGGTGAAAGAGTAGCCACGTTCGGTCAGGATCTTCATGAGGTAGTCGGTCAAGTCACGGCCAGCCAAGTCCAGACGGAGGATGGCATGGGGGAGGGCATAACCTTCATAGATGGGGACGGTGTGGGAAACACCATCACCAGAGTCCAAGACGATACCGGTGGTACGACCGGAGGCGTACAGGGAGAGCACAGCCTGGATGGCGACGTACATGGCGGGGGTGTTGAAGGTCTCAAACATGATCTGGGTCATCTTTTCACGGTTAGCCTTGGGGTTGAGGGGAGCCTCAGTGAGGAGGATGGGGTGTTCCTCGGGGGCGACACGCAGCTCATTGTAGAAGGTGTGGTGCCAGATCTTTTCCATATCATCCCAGTTGGTGATGATGCCGTGCTCAATTGGGTATTTCAGGGTGAGGATACCTCTCTTGGATTGAGCTTCATCACCGACGTACGAGTCCTTCTGTCCCATACCGACCATGACGCCCTGATGCCTTGGGCGACCAACAATGGATGGGAAGACAGCGCGGGGCGCGTCATCACCAGCGAAACCGGCCTTGCACATGCCGGAGCCGTTGTCAACGACCAACGCCGCAACATCATCGTCACACATTTTGGATGAGGTTTGGTTTTTTTCTTCTGTAACAGGCAAAAAGATACGAGCGTGAAAATCAGCGCGCCGGTGCCAAAATTATAATATTGAGCAGCGTGCCAAACTTTACATAACAATATGTAACGCGCATAGTTTACTAGAACGCGAACTAAATATACTACGCGTACAAATTCAGCGTAATCCAATTATACTCGAATCGATTCGCCGAGGCCCGTAAATGAATTTACTTGTATTTATAAAAACTGAATGACAAAAATTTTATATCGTCGTAAAACGCGGCCGATGATATTTCGCATTTTCAAAAATAAAAAATTTTGAATGGCAAAACTAACTAAACGTAAAATATTATTTTGATAAAACGTTTCACTTTATATTTATTTATTTAATATTTTTGCTCGCCGGTTATAGCAGAAAAACACGATAATATTGTAAAATCACCAAATTTTCACACCGTCGCGTTATAATCCAAAAAAATCTCGAAGTGGAGCGCACAAAATCGAATTCGCGTCCAAAAGTCGTGAACACTACTGAGTAACTAACAAGCCTGGCGCTGGTATATGAATGCGTTACACTAAAAGTTTAAAATACACTACTGTACCTCGTACGACAGAAAGGACTCAGCTGCTAAGCTTGTAGGCTGCGAGTGCCGTTTTTGCGGCCGTCCGCCGCTTTTATACCACCGTCTCCTTCGTCTATGAATAGTACGCGTGGTCCATGTATGGCTAGCTAGGGCCGCGACGCAGACGCGTGGCGTCGTCCAAATAAGGCAGCCGCGACGCTGCTTAACTGTGGGAGGTACTGCGGCCCATATGCAGACATACCATCCCTACGTCGTAAGGCCCCGCGCCTCCAACGGCGCGCCCGCGAGATAAACACACGCGCAACGCACGCGTCGCGACGCGCGCTGGGCCGCACGCACCGTGCGAACGGTTTATTTCCTTTTATGGATAAATCCTGGAATCCCCGAGGAATGCGCTCGGCCAATCTAAACATACTCGAACGATTATCTACAGTGCTAATCTATTATTCACTGCGCTGATTACGCATCCGTCGCCAAATTTACGATTTTGCGATGAGTCGGTTTTTGTTTCGTTATGCGATCCATATTTTGCAAATCGTACCATATTAGGTATTGAAGCTAAATTTAAATTTCTCCGCCACTTGTCCACGAAGCGACTATTTATAAACTGCGCCATGAGGGTTCTTTGTGTCTCCGACGCACCATCTGGAATTCTTCATCTTCGAACCCCATAGATGTGGGCTAAAAATGCCTCCAGAGCAGACAAGTGCATCAATAAGAAGTTTAATTTTTCTAAATCATTAAGTGCAAAGAAACTTTGAAAGCAACGTGCCCCAATTGAATAAAAATAGTCCGATATTATTATGAATCGTCATCGGAAACAAAACATTAAAAAGTAATTGCATCTAAAATAAGAACGAGAATAAAATATTTATATATTCGCGATGCGCACATCCATATAGCATCCGCGCAGCTCGAAAAAGTTTTCGGCAGGAAAGTGCCGCCAGTTCGCTGTGAATGTGCAGCGCAAACGCTTGCTTGCCGTTTGCACACCTACTTTTTTGGTGAATAGTAAACCGCCGCACATGCGGATCACTTCACATATTTACATTAAGTTTTCACATGCGTACACCCATTCCAGGCAATTAAAATCTTCAATTAATCATGGTTTGTGAAGTTCGTACCACTTAAAAGAATTAACAAGCCGAAACGCTCGGAACAACGATCGCGCATAATGTAGACAAGTATGTACAATTAGCAACTTTCAATTGGTAATTATATCGCGGCAAAATTCGGATTTACACTCCCTAATTGGATTGATTAGTGTGGCAAATATTTATTTTCCAAATACATCAAAATTAATCCACCTACTTCGACTTTCTTCCTATAATAATCGTATGATTCAAAAACCCATATTTTCGATTTTCTAGCCGAAAATGTTGCTATTTTTGCATTTCTGCTGATATGTTTATTGCTAAGGGTAACTGCTATCAAATAAAAATAACTAGTGCATGTTATAAGGTTATTTCAATATCACAGGAGGTTTTATTTTCCGATTGTAAACAATCAAATACATTAGGTAGGTACATGTAAATCATTTAAGTACGCTTCCTTAAAAGGCAGTGAAAGTTAAATGCATACGACACAACTATTTTTGCACTGCACAAGAAAAATGATTTCCTGACATTTTCAGCAACGATTTACATACAATAAACAGTCTTTAACGTTAATTGATGAAAGACTGTTCGATTGCAGCGAATTAACCCAGTAAACGTAATTAAAATCAACGAAACTGTGAAGCGTGTAATTAAATTCGATGCGATTTTTTCCGGTTATTTAAAAATACTGTGGCTTTTGAAAAAAGTAACATTTGCTCGCATCGTAAAACTCACTAATGCGTAAACCAAATATAAATTTTGATACAAAACTTATTGACCACATAAAAATTAATTATTAATATACACAATGTAAGCTTTTAATGAATAACTGTTTATATATTTTACAAACATTAGTATTTACAACGTTAACAAATACATTGCCTCGTCGATCACAAAAACTGACAAATGAGTTTCGTGATATCCTCAACAAGTTCCGCAGTGTACCCAATTTGGAAGAGATTTTTAAACAATTCCAACTTATCGTTGTACGTGTTATCATTGACCAACGCGTACGCTATACTATCAATGCGTAGCATATTCGTGCCAGATTCAATCGACCATTTGTATATCGTTGGCACCGTGTGTAGCGATATTAATTGCTGCACGTGGCACAATAACATATAGTTTAATTCACTGAGTAAAAACCGATCGGACAGCAGCAACACTTCTAAAATAGTATCCAGATGATAATCGATGCTGAAACTACTGCCAGTGGATAAATAATCTGTTTTGAGTATTTCCAATAAACACTTCATAGAATCACAAGAAACATCTTTTAGCGAAACTTCCTTTGACTGGGACTCTACAAAGAAGCCGCCGAGAAGTGCGCTAAAATAATCTGATTTGTTATTTAATTGATCACGATCAGCATTTATTCTGGTGCCATCGTCGAGTAGGAAAGTGACCGTATTTTTGCACTCTTCCGGTAATACATAAAAACCAATTTTGATAACAGACTGTTCACATTTCGGAGATGTCAGTGCACCTCGAGCTGTTTTCCGCGAGGACGCTTTTCTCTGAACTGGATTTCGAATTCTTAATGTCGTCGATGCCAAAGTGCAAATTGACTTGATAATCTTATCTTGCAATCGGCGATCCTTTTCCTCCTTTAGTTGATTCATTAATAAATTTAGACCGCCATAATCCAATAGTAATTTTACTAATGTTACTTTATTTCTACAATATTCATAATGTTTAAATGTGTATTAAGTAAATAAAGCTGTAATTTACCTTATAACATAGGGTATTGACAAAGCTATTTTCGACTTGACTTCTTGGCTATCCTTCCCCAGTAAAATATATGCAATGTCTCCTTTAATACCGTTTGAATCACCTGTTGTTAAAAAGTTAGAAATTATTTGCTTCGCCTTGATTTGAAGCAAATCACAATCACTGCAGATATCAGTATGTTCCGTATCAAGCACCTCATATACTTGTGAAATCAAATCAGACGCCATAAATGGTATTAGAAATTGATGTGTTCTAAAATTAAAAGAGTGAATCTTAAAATAACGATGAACACATTAAGTTGATTGACTTACAGTGTGATTGCTTTGATAATGAAATATTCCTTTTCATTCAACTCTTCAGTAACAAACGAACCCAGCATTAAATTAATTATAATTGTTATCACTTTAACATCTCCTAAATGTTGATGTATGGGTTTCACAGTACAGTACAATTTCAAGAGCGAGCATAATTCGTATCTTAATTTGCACCGCAACGCCATTTGGTCTTGAGTATACGTCGGTCGATGGTCATCCGTGTCTGAGGGTATTAATTCTTGAATCTCTTCATTTTCATCTCGATACTCTTCATCACATTCAGTCTCACTGCAAAGCGGTGAATAATTATCCGAGTCGGAATCTAAAACCAGAAGAATCAATTATATTTATTTTTATAAATAGTTATGGATTCATACCATCGCCAGTAAAATTTGATGTAGCTGCAGGTGAAAATGGTCCGCAAGAGGAAACATCACTACATGAACTAGGACTAGCGCAACGATCCGAGCTCCGATCAACGTCCATTGATCGGAAAGTGTCGTCATCAATTCGTTTCATTCTCTTGCAATTTGTTCCTTTGTACTCTTTCTTTTCATGCATCTGTAAAGAGATTTTCCCCGTCGATTTTCCTGTCAATACTTCCAACTTCTTGACTATAATTGGAATAATATTAGCGTTTAACTGCGAATTCACAAGTTCCTCATTGTATTTGCAGTTATTCAGCGATTGGCTTATATAAATGCAGCATTGCACAGACCAGTCCTCGTTACTATTGTACTCTTGTAAAAGCTTTATTAGAGTATTTACGATATTGGCATTTTTGAATATATCCTGAAATCCTAGATGATCCATTAAATTGGAAACACACGAGAGAAGATGCCGTTGGGAACCATTGACATTACTAGTTTGCTGTTCAACCTGTGTAATCAGAATTGTAATTATCGTTTCAATTGGTAAGTCAGATAAATTCTTCGACATTCGCGCCAGTCTTAAAATGATTTTTGTGATGCGTTCTGGTTCAATTAATATAATTTCTCCGAGTGATTGCAGTGCATCTCCTTTGGGTGTGTTTTTCAACTATAACAAAATAAAAACTTAAAAATGTAGAAATGTGAAATATAATCATTTAAATACTTACATCAAGAATAAGATTACTATACTTATATGAAGGTGATGTAATAATTTGAAGTATTTTCAATATATCAGTAATCAACACATCATCCTTCTTGTTCTGAGTCCAGTTTTTGGAACATTTTATGAGCACCATTCCAATTGTCAAAATAATTTTATAATCATGTACTAAACTATTGTAAGTTAGAACACTGAGCATTTTCCTAGTATACCTGAGCGCCATACTGACTGTTGGCACAGAATAAATGAGTTCCTCACTTGAATGACCAGCATACTCAATGAGAAATTCATTTGTCACAGATATCACTTTTGCCTCCTTTTGCATCAATCTGATAGGCTCATATGCATCACATATATTCCCAAAAATACGAAACACGCGCCCCTGAATACTATCCTTTTTATGTTTGTCAAGAACTCTTAACAAATTCTGATGAATGTGCAATTCATTTACCTAATATAATAAACATATTATTAATGCAAATTAATGAATTTAACTGATTATTTTAACATACCACATGGTGCACAACAGATGCATTCATACAACAATTGCCCAGAATACTAAGTGTTAGATCAACAACTCTCAGGTTGTTATCAAACTGAGTGAAACTAATTATTTGTTTCAGCATCTTACATTTTCTGATGATGTCAATGGCTTGTTGATGATTAGATCCATTCACATGCTTTCTGAGTGCAGCTAGGATGTGCACCAATTTCTTGCCACTTTGTGGCTTTTTGAGAAGTTGCAGAACTTTGTCCAAACACAGTTGATCCTCCATGGTTTCACCCAAATACACATCAAGATTGCTTAGACAAATTAGTATTTTAGAGCTCACTGATTTTTAACTTAACCCTAATCAGGTAATCAGTGTTGACTAATTTCTGATAGTCAAAAAGACTGACATTAAACGTCTATTGTACCTATATTAGAACAAAAGTTTGTTTCCATTCTACTTCACAACTTCACTTTGCTTCCTTGATTTTCTCATCTACATATGACAACAAAAGCAAGTCTAGCAGATTGCGGTTATGACTATTTTTATTGTCCTCGAATGTATTTTTATCTTAAACTATTGAAATGAATTGTTTATTCTGCTCGATCTAATAAATTTTATTATTTCAATATTAACAACTGTAGTTGTATTAGTTCTTTGTCCAACAATTAAGATTTACTTTCATTATTTGTGTAATTTGAAACTGCAAATGCATTTGCGTAAAATCACCATGAGATGCCACTATGCGGCTAAATAATTCAAATTTATATTTTTGTTCAAAATTATATAAAATTAATCGATTCTTGTATAGCTTGTACTATTTTTTTTGTACCATATAATAAACTTAAAAAAAAATTATATTATATTCAAGTACTACCTTTTTTGCATGTATATGCTCATGTGAGTTGCATTTTACAATCACAACAAACAAAATTATTGCGCTCTCAGGTGCGAGTAATTTATTAGTCAAAAATAACATTTGATACACAAAAATGTGAATGTTTATTGTCAAACATCAATTTTGCGTAAAATGGGAAATTGCTGCTGCAACAAACAAGGGGCTAGTCGGTTCGTAAAGACTTTTATAGTTATTTATCATGTTAGTAATGTATATTCTACTTTAGGAGAATTGTTCTACTTTTACTTGGTCTTGATAATGCTGGTAAAACTGTCACCGTACAAAACTTGAGTGGTGAGCGAACAGAAACAGTAATGCCCACTGTTGGATTTTCTGTTGTCAAGCTGAAATACTCCAAGTATGATGTAAAAATCTTCGATTTGGGAGGAAGATCCGATTTTCGGGATGTGTGGCATAGGTACTATGTTGATGTATGTACAGTTTTATTAAATAATAAATATACACTGATTTGATTCTGAAAACACATTTTAGGCACATGGCATCATCTTTGTAGTTGATTCAAGTGACTTGAATCGGTTGAGTGAAGCCCAGGCAGTGTTGAAAAACATTGTGTCTAGTTCAAAAATACAAGGCAAACCCGTGCTTGTACTGGCAAACAAGCAAGATCATGAGCAAGCTCTAGATGAAATTGATCTAATTGATAAGTTAGACCTGGAATCATTAGCAAATGAAAATGAATGTCCAACTTTTATACAATCATGTTTTGCAAGTGGTTCAGACAAATTGGATAGTGGAATTAAAATCGGATACAACTGGCTGATCCAAAGCATAATCGGGGATTACAAACATTTACAGAAGCGGGTAGAACAAGATGTGGAGTGTCAGCAAAAACTAGACGAAGAAGAGCGCATTGAAAAGTTTTTGCGAATAAAACGTATCAATGAAGAAGAAGCACTGGAAGCAAAAATAAAACCGTCAAATGGTACAACGAATGAGATTATTGTTGTGCAAGAGAGCAATCGTGTTGATGTGCATAGTGTTTCAAGTACATCAACAGACATTGAGTCAATTCCAAGTGTTGATATCGTTAACGATATTTTACCGGAATCCACGCGACCTGAATCTGCAACCAGTTTGATTCGTAAACAACTCGAGCTTGGTAATCTGAAACGACGAACGTCGCTTCAAATAATGCATAATAATAAGGTTTCCCCCATGCACGTGTTTGGCGCTAAGCCCAAGACAGTAAAGAGCGCAACGGCGCGTAATAGTGCAAATTCGAGAAAACTTCCCGATAGGAGAAACCTGCGTTCAGCTGGTGATTCTGTCTTTATCGTTTCGCGCGATAATCATCGTGTGATGCCCAATAATGACGGATCTGGAGACTTGTCTATGTTTAATTCATTGCGCCGAGAAGCGCCTCTTCGACAATTCAATGTTATCAAAGATGTCTTGCCACCAATCAATGATATTCATTCCCATTCGACCCCCAATGGAACATACTTTTAGGTTGCTTAAATGGTTTTTATGAAGATTTTACAAACGTATGCCAGGAAAGCGTCTTAAAGTCGTAGATTAATTGTTGAACCCCCATTTTTATAAACTTTTACAAATGGTAAAATATTTACAAAGCCATATACAATCAATATATATAGTAACAATTAATTAATTCTTAAATCACACTTAATATAATTACATATCAAATAGTTTTTTTTAACTTATAGAATAAATTAATGTTGCATAATAAAATGTCATAATTATCTCATAATATAAAGCATTCTGGCGAATTTCATTCAATTCCATTTCATTTCATTGTTTATCAGTATACCCAACGACCTGCTTAAAGCAATTTACACGTGACTCATAACATATCTAATCTTTCAACGATTTGGTTAAAAAGTGTTTTGAATCGTTTCTGGTATATAAATGAAATACATATTCTTTAAATACACGTAACACCATCAACGAACATTGGAATTAATAAACGCTAATATATTGAATAACATAATATACAAATAATCCAACTCTTTTATATTATCAGCACTGGAAACAATTTTTTTCTTTTGCAAATCTCCTCACAATTATAAAGGTAGTTGCACCCGGTTCAAACAAAAAATACACGACGAATTACTAAGAGAATTATCATGGATACAATAATCCAAATCACAGTTGACCAAAATCGATCTCTGAAAACAGTTATATTATAAACTTTCTATCTATATCAACAATAGTATACATAAACCAGTACATACCTATTAACACTCTGGATTGATGCCTCAAGTAAACTATCAGTTGGTGTAATATTGCTTGACTCTGTTCTTGGAATATTCAATCTTTGTCTTAAGTCGGATTCCTCTACAGGTGGATTATCTCCTTCATTAGTTTCCTTTTTTTCAAAGTTTTTTCTATTACTTTCTTCTTCTGCCTAAAATCATTACAAAATAGAGAACAGTTAAAGAATGTATTTATTTCATTTTAAAGACTAAATAGCAAATTGCCCTGTGTTGCATTTAATAAATCAAATTTTTGTGAGAGGTTAATAAATTTTGCAGTAATTTACCAGCACTATAAATAGAAACTGTGTATATAACATATATGAATCACTTTTACAGTTGAATCAAAACCCAGATTATAGCTGTGCATACATGAAACATTATGTCTCTAAAAGTAGACTAAGAATTCATGAAAACAACTTACTTTTAATGCAATTTGTTTTATCATTGATGTTTCTTCCTGTGTCAATGATGAGGTAGGTGGTGCTGCCAATAATTTCTCAGCCACATTTCCACAAACAGGACATTCCCATTTCAATGACTTCTTGGCTAAAACCTTCCTCTCTTCTGGTGTGTACTCCAATGATCCAATTGTACCAGCTGCAGGAGAAGGCATAAATGCAATAAGTGCTAGTAAAGCAGTTCTAATTGACCATGATGGTTGCCAGCTTTCTGGATGATGACCTGATATTGAAAGACAAATCTTCTTGTTCACCTCAAATCTAAACAAATTAAAATTTTAATCTCATATAGGATACAAAGAGAAAAAAAAACCAACCTTCCATTTGGAGTAAGCAATATAATATTTGGTGGTTGCATGGGATACTGTGTAGGCAAAAGAATCCTTCCGTGGTAATAACCACCCTCAAATTCAGTGCTAGGAGGCCCTCTTACTGTGAAATGCCACTCAAATAAGTTGTCATCTAAAGGGTTTGCAAAATATTCCTCTGTTGGTTCAGCCAATTCCATTGCCTCTCTCATCAATCGCTTCACACCTAAAATATAATTGATTCAATTGGCAACCCACCACTTGAAAACTTTATTATTGCATACCAGGGCTCTTCAATTTGTATTTCGTCTCGAACGCCATGATATTGAATAAGTCTTTGAAATGTACACGAGAAATTTGAAGATTGTCGATGCGGGATCGTCATCAAAAATAACCAAAGAAACTCGATAACATTATCCACTAGAAAATGTCAACTTCAGCCGTTACCGATCAGCCGACAATGCAACGAGACCAACACAACGCGAGGAATGGAACAAACGGTACTAATCAGCCGTTTCGCATTTATTTGCATGTAGATATGCCGTGGACTAGCACCAATGGAATGAATGCACAATTATCGCATCGCACTCAACCCACCAGTAAAAACTAACTGACGTGTTTCAATTATTTCCTCCTTTTCGGTCGCCACAACGCTATAAAAATGGAATTGTTTGCATATTCATATACACTGTAAAACTCAGCTTACAACAATCTAAACCATAAAGAGACAATATTTGTAGAATATTAAAACCTAATTATAACAATTATTATAGGTTAGGTTATGTTTATTTGAGTAGAAGAATATGTATTTGAGGTTAATTTTGGATAGGCAAAACTCGAAGACACACTATCTAGTTGAACACTAGCTACTGAGCTTCATATTTAAATATAGATCTTTATCTGTAACAGCATATTTATACCAAGAATTAGTTATTTCACTATGTGTAGAGTAAGCAAAATAATGAAATATATGTCCAAAAATTAAATATTTATGGCCTGAACTTTATGTTTCCTAGTTGTATAACTTACATTCATAAATTATTAATTACTTAAGTCACTAGAAGTAAAATAATTTTCTATGTACAATTAACTACTCTATTAAAAATCCTCATGACATACGGTGTTATTCTGGATGACTATAAAAAATGTGAGAACTATATTCGCTGGCGGTTCCAAAACGCTTTTTACAAAACGGACACGGAAACCGAGATCCAGTGCATTGGTTTTTCTTGTGAAAGTACAAATTTGATTTGTTCCCAAATTGCTGGAAACAAGACGCACATTTATACCCTTTAGCAGAATCGCTCTCATCGATAGGCTGCGGTGAAGGCATTGGCGTGATTACGGGATTCTTTGCTCTCTCAAACTGACTGGTTTGCCGCGGTGGTGTTGGATTCGAAGTTCGCGGCTTAAATGTGATATTCGGATTGTTCTCCACAAGTTTCAGAACGTCTGGATTTACACGGCCAGACATGACTCTCTTCAACGGAGTAATACTGACGCTGCCAATAGTTGTTGTTGCACCCTCGTGAATTTCAACAATCGGTTCAAAGCTTTCCTGTTTTATTTTCTTCGGCGGTACAATCGGAGGGGCAGCAGGGCGTTTTTGCGCATTTTGCTGGGCACCACCCGCCGACGGCTTGTTGCGAACATGTATCCGCATGTGACTATTACGTGAGTACACAGTCTTAAAAACAGCGCTGCAAAAGTTACACGGAAAGTCCTCCACTGGTGCTTCGGTGATTCCATTCTCTTGTTTGATTTTAACCGGCGGAGGCAGAGGTTTAAGCGCCGGCATTTTCTTGGTGTTGCTTCGCACTTTACTGGAGAGAGCTGGAGGAGCGAAATTATTGCTGTATGGCCGTATCACGGACAATTCAGGTTCAGTCACGCCATTGCAAGAAACAATATGCGAGTTATAATTGCTCAATTTCGTAAACACCTGATAACATTTTTTGCAGAAATAAGCCTGGTTTTTAACGACATCCGGACTGGCACTTCTAATCGGTTCATTAGAATATGATTCCCTCGGCGGTAGTGACTGCCGAGAAGGTGGAGGTGGATTGTCCAGCACGGGTGCAGGTGTAGGAAGTATTTGTCTCACTCTAAGCTTCATCGGCGTTGGTTTGGGCGGTGGTGGTTTCGGCGCTCGGGAATAATAAGCGTGGGCAAGCAGCGGAACGTACGTTTTCAAACAACTGGTATCATATTCAACAATGTCTCCACGATCATTCGTGGCAAACACACTCAGTGATTTTGTATGACCAGCCAACTCATGCGCATTAACATGTCCAGGTAGTTCGTGTTTATTGCGTTTATGGAACTTCATGCCACAGTAATGACAAGACTGGCAACAAGTTGCCAGAAAGTAGTGATTATCCATTGACCAGTTATCTTTAAAAGTGTATCGGCATAGTTGACAAAACTTTTTCCTCGCTCCGCAAAAAATCACGCTCTGATAATACGTATTCCGCACTTCTTTTGGAATACTCTTTAAAAGTTGTCCGTTGGCATACGGCACTTGGCCAACAAAGTAAACTATAGAATTTCGGGAAGAGTCTAATTCAGGTGCTTCTTCTTTTACTTCGACTTTCTCTTCGACAATGGGAACTAGCAGATCCTTTCCATCATCCCCATTAACTTCAGTCATACTGGTGGAATCAGTTGCCGGTGCTTCCTGCGCTGCCATCCATAGGTTACGAGTCTCAAATTCATCTTGAGAATCACTCCAGGCAGATCCTTTATCAACTCTGGGAAGATGTAACTGAATGTGAATATCCAACTCATGTACTGCCAATTCAGCCTCATCTTCAAAGATTTTCTCACAATATCTACAACAATAACTCAAACTTTCTGATATTCGGACTTCTCGTGTTGAGAAGTTAAATTCAAAGTCAGGGATGTTTTGTCCATTTATACACTGCACTACAAGCTCAATTAAATCCCGAGGTTGATACACAACCTCTTCAGTCTTTGTTACTTTTGTGTATAAGTTTGTTTTACTCCTTGGTCCCGAAATTCTTGGCTTGTGTTGAATAGACAAACCACATTCACTATTGCATGACTTTTCCAATGGCACATTTGAAGATACATCATGATCAATTTCCATATCCTCAACTGATCTTGTATCAAGTTCCAATAAATCTGAATTTGTTGTATGCTCTGAGAAAATACTAGTAGAATTATGTATATTGGTTGCTTCAGAATTTACATCTTCATCCAAAGTATAAGGCAACTAAAAAGAAAGAACAATATACAATTAAAAGAAAATTAGCAAATTTAATTAATATTACCACATGTTTTTTTGCTTTCTCCAAGTACAACTTAACAGCAGTATCACCTCCAATTGTGTGTAGTAAATCATCTTTGTGTTTTTTAGCAATTTCAATACAGCTCTTTTTAAACTCACAAAACATGTTCAGGTTCTCATTGCAAGAATGGCAAATGAACTTTGATAGAGGATCATCTTTATAAATCTGTAAAAGAATCAATTTTTATAATATTTATTATCAATAACAACTCATATATTTAAAATTTTCACATTTTGCATTTAATAATTAGCAATAAACACTAATTATTACAATAATTTACTGCAGTATAATTGCAGCAATAATTTGAAGTTGTAATATATACTCACCAGTATAGGAAGACAATCCTGAATCATTTTGATTATTTGTATGTTGAAAATATTTGTTTCTAATACACTGTACATTTTATCATTGTTTTCGTCACATAGGCGACAGCTTCGCGCTGCGGCCGACTCCGTCGTCATATTTAAAGGTTATGAATGTTCGGGTCGCAAACAAATATCACTCCGGTTCCAAATTTGAAATTGGTTCTATCTGATTACCAACACTAGCTCTTCTTTCTAATTCACGTAAACTTTAATCGTGTAGCGATGTTACATTGGTCAGCCATTTTCGTATCGAATCACACCAAACGCTTCAAATTCAATAGAACCTGGTAGTGGTAGAGTCGCGAAGCTGTAAAACACGACAACTCCACAGTCACAGGCTCCTCGGATCCTCGGATAGCGTTGGTTGCGGTCGTTGGGTCGGTTCGGTTTGCTACCTGAGCTTCGGTTGGTCCGCCGGCTCGCCGCTTGTGTGAGGGCAGTACATGCGCCCAAAGGGAGTTCAACTGCTCACCTAAATTACGACGTACTAGGAGTATCCGTATCACCTGCGTCCCCCGTGTCCTGTATCACCTCTCACCATTTAACACAATCGTGCCACATCGATGTATCCACGATGGTGTTGCAAAATTCTATTTTGGTGTGCCTACTTTTGCAGCAATTTGCACTCAGGGCCAGCAGATGTAGTGGAAACTTCGCGCGCACACCCGTGTTCTCGATGGTTTACTTTGCGGTAGTCTGCTCTCTGTCAACCGTTAGCGTCATGCCGTACTCTCCTATGCTTTCCACTGCTCACGGCTGATGAGAGCAGGCAGACAGACATCGGGGCAAGGCTTGTTGGATTACTACACTCTGCTTTGTTGCATTGGTTCGGGCGGCTTGACCTGTCTGGTCGGGTCGCTCGGAACAAGTCTATCATAGGATTTTTGCCTTCTGGGATGACGAGGAAGTAAAGGATTCCAGCGGAGTAGCTTTTTTTGTCAATCCTTGCCGCTGTTTCGCTTGCTCCGCGATCATTTCATTCGACTTTCTCCAAATTGCCAAGCAGTCTAACATGTTGGGTCAGCTTTTACAGCGTTTGCTGCGTCGTAACACTATTGATTTTCTATGTACTCTCCAGGTTGCTTGCAAATGCCTACCTGATTAACTCATTGTTTCAATACCCAGCCATTTTTGGTTTCCAGACTTACCACAATCAATTTCGTATAAATTAAAATACAATTTCATTCTCAAGTTTAACGTACATACCACAAACATCAAGAAATTTAAGGTGTCGTTATATGTAGAGGGTAAAAACTCAAAACATGAGGAATCATCAAAGCAAATATAGATATTTATTTATTCATACATAAGAAGGTGATTAAAATAATTGCATCAATACTTTCCAGATTGAACGGAATACCTGACTTTACCACTTCCATCTGCCGTCGCAGAACTTGAACTATAAGCTCCGTGCGGCCCGGAAGCACTTCCAGACACATGGATATTATTTCCGGCTTCTTCCCCAAATCTTGAAAACACCCTGGGGCTACAAGGAGTAACAAATTGCAAATTAAATTCTAATAAAGTGTTATATCACATCCATCACATACTATAATAATTCTATGTAATGATGGTCAATAATTGTATAGTATACCACTATACCACAATGTGCGCAATTACTTGTTGAAACGATTTGCGGTCTAGGCCACTACATCGAAACTGCGTTCTAACGCGCGCGCTTTGTATATTACAATACGATGTACACCTGATGACCTGACCTTCACGATTTTTGCAGATTAAGCACAACCGTGATGATGCGAGGAACTTTTTTCCGTCGAAACGTAAACAATATGAGTCATACCTGTAATTACTATGAAATTAATTAAACGTGCATTCTTACCTATCAGAACCGACATTGGAATAATGATGGTTGTTGTTGGATGAAGGTCCGCTGGAATACCCAGTTCCACCTTGTGTACCTCCTCCACCAGACGCGGATGCACTGGAGAAAGAATATGCACCAGAGCCACTTCCGGAACCAAAACCACTGCCTCCGTTGCCTCCTGCTATACGTGCTTGGAATGCAGCTGGGTTGAATCCATCTGGGAAGTAAATGTCCCCGTGTGGTAATTGGTTAAAGAACTCTACAGTAATTGAGAATGAAGGAAATAAAAGAAATTATTTACAACTTGATTGCTTACCTCGTGCTTGTGCGAAGAATTGTTCCGGTGACGGTACTCCTGGAATGTTGGAACTGCGTCTTTTACGCAGAAGATGCAATACTGATCGCTTTGAGCGCAAATAAACGGTGTCGGACCGTTGACCATTTGCAATAATGTAGTAAGATTTCGGAATGTATTCCCCGGCGTCTGAGAAGATTTTTGGATTAATTACTTATAAGCGTATTGTTGTATATGTGGGTACTTACAAGCGGTAACGATTGTATAAATGCCCATAAGGCACAAAAGGGTTAAGGAAATGTGAGATGCCATTGCGGATAACTGACAATATTTTGGAATCACTGGGTAATCTTGCGATCGCAACGTGCAAGCACGTACTACTTTGCTAGTGTTGATTCTTACTTAAATATCAGTATAAATGAAGTACGCCGAACTCGTTAGCGGCACCGCGATAGAAGGTGGGATGGATGGGTACTGTCATCTTATTACGTAAACCTGAGCATCATCTTTACTTACCAACAATTGCATTTTTGTTATTGGTTACAATTTATCTATGTGTATCCTATTAAGTAATATTCACCATGCAAAAATTATGATAGTACAGAGAAAATTATTTAAAGGGTAACGAAAAGGGCCTTGACATAGACTTTATTTAATTTAGTAAAATTGTTAAAAAGTGATGAATTGAAAGAAGAAACTTTGGTTGTAAAATCTGTAGACAAGTATCAAATAAAGTCGCTATAAACTTATCTTTAAGAGGAGGTTTTATATCAGGTGTTAATCTCGGAAACCACGCATAGCTAAACTTCTAAATTTTGAGAAACAATACATGTAGCTATGATCTAATGAAGCTTTTATTTTTGTGAAGCTTTATTTGACAGTTTTTAAGTAAAATGCAAGTCTGCTATTGATTAAACTGGAATATCTGAGAAAATATAACATACATAGCACTGGTTTTTAAATAATTCTATTGCCTTAGGAATGCAAAGTAAAAACCAATTTTTTTGAGTAAAGCTGCTGTGCTTCGAAATCCACTATTAATTTTCTACAACAAAAGTTAGCAATAATGATTATTGTTGCACAGTAAAGTGATTGCTAAATAATTAAAAAACAACAAATAAACAAACACAAGTTTAACATTATTGTAGTTAATGTGACCAGTTTTGTTTTATCAATTTTTTTGAATATAATAGAAGGATATTTGATTGAAGTAAATAGTATGTACTTAAATAGTTAGTAGCCTTTACATACAAGATGCGTATTGACATTTAAAGAATGAAAATAATCCTAGTTTTTAATATATTTAATGTGTCTTTAATTCGTAAGTGTACAATTGTTGTAATAGATTTAATCAAGTGTGTTTATATTAGAAAAATTATTGCAGTTTGTTGCCTATTTTCATAATTTAAAATCAGGTAAACTGACAACGTCGCATTTTCCAGAGCAAACAAGTCCCCGTGAGTTGTAAAGTGGGATTTGTTTACGTGTAACTTTCGTGGCAAACGCTCCGTTGCAGAGTGAGCGGCACGGCCGATTTCGCGGTCTTCATTTCAGCCAAGTAGTGTTCATTATTTTGTACAAGTTCATTTCACGTAAAGTTTTCGTTGCTGAAACATCGTTCAGCACTCGTTTGCCCGTCCGTTTCGTAGTTGTTAGTGTAGAACACTCAAAAAGCGTGTGCAATGGCGAAGCCCGTGAGAAAGTCAGCGACGAAGAATCCGCCGATTCTCAGCCACGAATTTATCATACAAAATCATGCCGACATCGTCTCTTGCGTGGCTATGATCTTTGTGATCGGTTTATTGGTTCCGGTAAGCTTTACCTACAAATTATCACCTATTTAATTCATATTTATCTAAACATATGTCGTACATAGGTTATGTATTTGCCAACGTGAGTGAAAAATTCTGTTATTTAATTTGCAGTCTACTGCCCCATTAGCTTCAATCTTCATATCTCTTCAACACAATGTTACTGAGGCTGGCGAGATTCCTTTTTATACTTCAGGCATCAAGGATTGGGCAGCAGTGTTTTTCTACAGCTTAATTTGCATTGTAATTCAAGCCATCATTCAAGAATATGTTCTTGATGTAAGTACTACATATTTTCTGCAATGTAACACTATTATTAAAATCAATGGGATTTCAGAAAATTTCCAAGAAGTTCCATTTGTCCAAGTCCAAGCTGGCAGTTTTCAATGCCAGTGGTCAGTTGGCATTTTATTATTGCATCTGTAACATATGGGGCCTGAACATCATCTTCACTGAGAAATTTTTACCAAATGTAAGTGCTTAGACCAAACTTATGAAGAATTGTTATAGGTTTATGTGATGATTATTAATTTTGCTTCTTGTTATGCACAGATTTCCAATGTTTGGTCCGACTATCCTGCAGCAATGAGTTTTATGATGAAACTGTTCTTGATTACTCAAATAAGTTATGCTCTTCATGAAATTCCCGAACTGTACTTCTTGAGAACCAAAAAAGAGGAATACGCCCCAAAAACGATTAGTGCCCTTCTTACTTTAGTGACCATTGCTGTTCCATACTTCATGAACTTCAACCGTTTGTTGATTTGCTTGGTGTTCCTGCACTACGTTAGCGAATTCTTCGTTCATCTTATGCAAGTAGTACAGACTTTGGACAAGGATGATAAATTCTCGAAATGTAAGAGATTTACTCTTAAAATGCTTATTTCTTACTAACTACGATTTTTTTTTACAGTGGGTAGGTTTGTCAGTTTGTCGGTTATGGTCGCCACCCGTATCACCAGCATCATCCTCGCAACGTTGACCCTCTGGTTCGGTTTATCGACAAGTGAACCCAAAGAATTGGATATTGCCGCTGGTTACTTTAATGTGCCTTCAATTCGTTTAGCGTTGTTGGCAGGTGTGATTGCTGTGCAATTATACTTCACTTGCGTTGTAACGCATCGCGAATTGCAAGCGGCAAAAGAAAGCTCCACTCCTTTCGTTCCCGTGAAACCAGCCAAGCAACAGAAGCAGAAGGCCAAGAAGGGTAATAAACAATTCTAATAAGGCATGCACCTTTTTTAATCTTGTTTGTTTTTTTAATTGATTATATAATTATTATCAATGATTGGTCTTTTATTTTATGGCGGTACTTCTTTCTTTTACAGTTAAGAAAAACGATGATTCCGATTTACCCGAAGTTGACCAAAATACCAACAAGAACTTGAGGAGCAGAACAGCCAACAAAGCAAAATAAGATCATCGTTGGCGACATGTCATGGATTCTCACCGTTACATGTAGACATTGGAACTAATTTTAATGTTCTATCAACATCCATTTACATTATTTATATAAAATCGGATAATTATGCATCAAATGTTTTTTCCAGCAATATGTGCATTTACAATGTTTTCCACTAAACAGATGAAATATAAAAATAATATATTATAAGCAAATGCTTTTTTAATACCAAACTTATTTTACTTTGAGTCTTAATTAGCTGAATATTAAATTCATGAAATAATAAAGAAACATCACTACAAATTAATTTTCACTTATGCATAGGTGTTTGCATTTTGACCTTTGAATTATTTAATCATGTTATTAGATTACACGGCTCAACAAAAAAAAAATTATTTTTTGCCTAAAGTTTATTTTATGATTTTTGGGTTAATTATGCACAACAACTACCAGCGAATACCTCATTTTGGTATAAAGTTTGCTTTTGTGATATCTGTAGTAATAATACTAATTTTCAATTTTTTTTTATAAATGTTCGGGTCAAGTCCGACAAACGTTTTGATAACGCGGCGAAGTGTTGTTCAAAGTTAAAACATTGAACAGGGCAAAGCGACAGTCACACGGTCTCTATTTAATTATTCAATATATGTAAACACACCACCTCAAACCTACCACTTATCAGTTTCAGACTAAACATATTTTGGGCGTCTAGCGCACAGCAAGGAATTTCTGCCCTAGACTAAACACAAACATTAGAATTGTACAGTTAGCTATGTGACCAGAGGTGTTCTCACGATCTATGATTTTGTGCAGTAATATAAAAGGGACACCTCTGGCTCTGCGCCTCAGTTAATACCTACTATCAACTCCGCATTCACGTCTACATATACGTTTACAGCAGTCGAGTGACAAACTTCGATCAAATCGTTTAAAGTTAAAATGTCATCGCGAACGTGTAAACATGATGCTGATGCATTTTGTTATATATGTGGTCAGTTTATAAAAGTTCGAGACACAAAATTTAAACTGAAGACATCTCAGGTTCTCTGTGAAGCGTACGAAGCTTATTTTAATTTTCCTGTTCGCAATCAAGACAAGTCATGGGTCCCACATGTGGCTTGTAGTAGTTGTAAAAGATCTTTGGAAGGTAAGCAATTTTTAATTAAACAGTAATTCAAATGTAATAAAGATATCATTTGTTATTTCTACATGTTAGGTTGGTATCGAGGAGAGAAAAGATTTATGAAATTTGCAGTACCAAGAATCTGGCGAGAACCGAAAGACCACGTTCATGACTGCTACTTTTGCGTTGTAAATCCAAATAAAAGACGTAACGGAAACAATGCAAAACCTCTTGAATATCCTAATCTTGAGTCTTCTTCTGCTCCAATTGCACACGACCTGACACGACCAATTCCTTCACCACCAAAAAAATTATCTCCGAAAAGTTGCTCATCTCTTAGTTCCATTGAAATCCGCAAATTAGGCAAATTTTCGCCGATGAAAAATTTCCAAAATTGCTGAATCACACCCAAAAAGCAAGTTGGATCAGTTTTAAAGCAGTAGTAACTGGATTCTTAGGAAATAACAAAGCTAAAAACTACGAAAAATTAGTTGAAGACATGTTGAAAAATTTTAAGGCCATGGGTTGCAGGATGTCATTGAAAGTACATATGCTACATGCGCACATAGATAAGTTTAAAAATAACATGGGGGCATATTCCGAAGAGCAAGGAGAACGTTTTCATCAGGACATCAAGAACTTCGAACAACGATATCAAGGCCAATATAACGAAAATATGATGGGAGATTATATCTGGGGTTTATTGAGAGAAAGCACTTATGATCACAAAAGAAAGAGCAAAAATGTACACTTTTAAACTATATTTCACTTTTTTATAAGTTATTTTAATAATAAAATTTCATGAAAATGATAAATTAGGTTATTTGTATAGTTCTATCCTTAATTAAACATAAAAATCCCAAATTTTGAAAAATATTGTTAAATCTGAATTCTGAGTACAGAAGCAAACTTCTTTATGTCATATATTTTTTTTTTCGTGTAGTTATGACCTAAATTATCGAAATTAAACCTTTAAACGAAAAGGCAAATTTTGTGTTGACCTGTGTTATGAGCTCACTTATTTTGCAACTAGGAATATTTCCAGTGGCTACCAACCAAATGTTCTGCAATTAACTTTTAGAAAGTTGAAAGGGTCCATTAGCATTTCCCAAATATTTCCATTAATAATACCTACTTCTTTACAACCTGAAATTAATGCATATTGTTTGACTTGTATTTAACATGTAGTTGATTTATGGCAGACATAGCGACTGTTTATTCAACTGGGTAGATTATATTTGGGGAGTATCTAACCCATTCAGCTGTTACAAGTGATGTGGTGACGCGAATAAAACAAACACGTTCGTTGACTGCTGATTCAATATGTGTATTTTTGTATGCTAGTGTTGAATGTCGATTACACCACTCGAAGTCGCAGTGCGTACTTTACACCGCACGCTTAATGATACCAAACTGTCGTACTTATTAGACTGCTGTAAACCATTTACACACTTGCACAGTGGGGACAACGTAAATCGCGCGTTGTTTTCGTCGTTGTTCTCGTCCGGTTGTTTTTGCATCAACAGCTGACTCGCCTTGGGTGTTAACACTGTGAATATCTACATAATTACCAGTTATTGTGCACACAAACACGCGATTGTGAACATCACCGTTTTACCTAGCGCTTTCCAGACTGATTGTTCTACCTACGTGCAGTGTAATTATAATTAATCGAAACAAACGAAAATAATGAATCTATCTCGCCTGCGACTGATCACTTTCGACGTTACTGATACTTTGCTGAAATTTCGTTCGGCTCCCGGTAGACAGTATGGTGAAATCGGCGCCCTGTACGGTGTGACCGCAGACGACAACGTTCTCGCCGAAAACTTCAAGGCTAATTGGTATCGGATGAATAAGGAACATCCGAACTTTGGACTTGCGTCTGGCCTGGGGTGGGAGAACTGGTGGAAACACATCATCGCGGGAACTTTCAAGGATTCGGACTTTAACATCGAGGGCAAGAAATTGGACGCGATTTCGTCTCATCTAATTGAATTGTACAGGACGTCTACGTGCTGGCAACAGTGCTATGGTTGCCTAAATCTTTTATCGTATCTAACAAGTAAGAAAATTCCAATGGGCATTATTTCTAATTTTGATCCAAGACTGAGCACTACTTTGCTCAACACAAAACTTCGGCATTATTTCCGTTTTGTGTTGACATCTTATGAAGTAGGCTTTGAAAAACCGGATCTTAAAATATTCGAGCAAGCTATGATTGCTTCAAATCTAAAAAACTTGCAACCCGAGGAATGCTTGCATATTGGCGATACGCCGTTGCTTGATTATTTCGGCGCGCGAAATTCCAACTGGAATGCGTTTTTAATTCATGACAAATCGCCGAAAGAATTGAAAGATAAATACGGCGATGACATTGAGGAGAAACATGTATTTTCTAGTCTGTATGATTTGCATCGAACTTTTGTGGATAACAATGAAGAAAAATTCTTGTCAATGGGACCAATATAAATGTTATCAATTAAAGTTCATCTATTTTACACACAAAATACATAAGTTTATATAAATGTATATTTTATCAATAAAATTTCTATCCTTTTAACTATGTTGCCTTTTTGATATAGTATAACTTGGAATTGTATATTGAAAGTTAATCTTGGCAACAATAGAGAAGTTTCAAAGCAAAAGCCGACAACATTGCCGATCAGCTGGTTGGCGAAAGACCGGCTATCAATAAATCAACTATCAATAAATTGGGGCTAGCTCAATTTTACCGAATAAAAATTCAAAAAAATTTAAATATCTTCAATGATCCTATAAACATGATATTCAAATTAATTAAGTTGATCATATTTGGGGGTTCGAGTTTGGAGATCTCCAGTGTGTACCTATATACTTAAACAGCTGATGTTTACAGTTGTATAGATATTAACAATAACTTCTACTTATTTATATGCTACGATAAATGTACGAAGACGGTAAGTGTGAACTTTATACGTACGTTTACCTGGACATGTGTACACAACCTTGGTAAATGTAGGTTGAAGGGACCAATCAGAGCGAATTTCGAAGAGTTAAAATACAAAAATCTAAACTTGGAAATATAGTGGAAGTAGAGAAAATAGCGTGAGCATCATGTGGCTAAACGTTGTAAAACATTAAAACTCTCGTTTAACCACTTGATATTTAAATATACTATAATATGATGCCCGTTAGTGTTTTGCAAAAACGTCATTTTTGTGTTACGATATGCTAATTTTTGGTCTAGCGGGCAAACGAAGTATCCTAGGATAACGATTCTTTCAACAGATTGTAAGTATTGAATTTGTTTTTCATTTTCATATATATGTAATTTGTGTGATTAACACAAGGCAAACCCGCAAAAATGATATTTTTGTGTTACGATGTGCTAATTTTTGGTAGTTTTAGGGATATAGCGGGCAAACAAATTATCCTAGGACAGCGATATTTTCACCAGATTGTAAGTAATAAGTTTGTTTATCATTTTTATAAATAATTTGTATGAATATCATACGGGAAACCTGTAAAAATGTAATTTTTGTGCTATGATGTGCTAATTTTTGGTGATTTTAGGTGTCTAGCGGGCGAACGAAATGTTCTAGGGCAACGATTCTTTCATCAGATTGTAAGTAATCAATTTGTTTATAATTTTCATAAATTATTTGTGTCATTAGCACACGAGAAACCTTCAAAAATGTCATTTTTGTGCTTTGATGTGTTAATTTTTTGTTGTTTTAGGTGTCTAGCAGGCGAACAGAATGTTCTAAGACAACGATTATTTTATCAGATTGTAAGTATTGAACCTGTTTATCATTTTCGTAAATAATTTTCATGCTTCATACAATGGAAAGTGAATTAAATTAAACAAGCTAAGTAAAGTATACACTTACTGTACGCTAAACCCTCGCACCCTCACTGGTTTATTAAAACCATTGTTTTCATAACGATATTGTGAGAGTATAGTGTACAGTAAGTGTACACTTTACTTAGCTTGTTTAATACTCACCCTCTCGTAAAATTATTGTTTTTCAATTTTTGAATTAAATTAGTTATTTTAAATATAAGTAGACGCATTGCAGATTTCTAAGTAATTTATTTGAAAATCTCAAAACTAGATGGCGCTAGTTGGCTATGTTTAACTATGTTTTGATCCGTCACACCCAGACTTCGCTAGTGTCAGCTATTTATTTTGTTTTGTTCCGCCACGGGCAGATGGCGCTTCCATCGATTTGATTTAAATTTGTACGTAATTTTTATTGTTTTAGAGCGCTGAATTGCAGCGCGTATGTTACTTTTATACACAGCTTTTATGTTTAACAAAACAAGAAATAACAAAAGTTGCATATTTGGGCTTTGAATGTCCTAGTTTTCGGTTGCTTTAAGTGGCTAGTAGGCAAACCCGTCGTAGGACAACTATTATTTTATGTGATTCTATGTGATCTAGTTGTTTACCATTTTCATATACAATATTTGTGTTCAATACTAGGGGAAGCCACAAAAGTGCTATTTTACCACGGTACGTTTATTAAAAATCACTTTTCACAATAATCTTTACGTGATAACTTCATAACTGGCAATATATTCGTAATTGCATTTCTGTCGTGTGCAGATAGAAGAATGCCCCTCCAACTGTGGGTCAGTTATCAATTCTCTGGCTTGCTTAGATCTGCTTAGTCGGTTGACCGCTATTGCGTGGTGCGCACGTGTTTTCTTCATTGATCAAACGTGGTGCCGATTTCTTGCGTTTCTTGATATTTGATATTTTGTAGCATTACCAATATCGATTAACAATCAGAGACAGAGACGGAGTAGTAACAGCCCAGTGTAGCGCACAACGAATGATTTGAGTGATTCTTTGAGGTCCGTGCGTGGCGTCCGTCGGATATGTTCCGGTGACTATGTATACTTCCTGGAGTTCAAGTTAAATTTATGTATTTGGAATCACCGTGTGGAATAGTAAAGAAGTGCGTATCATCAATTCTACATCCATTTTGCGGCTACGTGTTGTGCTTCTCTGTCGTTTATTGATGGAAGAACAAAGGAGTAAGTAGCATCAAATAAAAGTTTACTTTTATTTAACTTTTTAAATCTTCCAGTTACCATGTTATTGCTTTATAATAATTGTAAATGTTCAGTCAATAAAGAATATTTTTAAGGAAATTTTACATTCTTGTAAACAATGTGTCCCTAGTGTTCACTTAGTCGTTTTCAGGTTAGTATTAAGTCATGTTGCACTCTAAGCCTACACCAATGTATAGCATAGTATAGTACAGTGTAGTATATGTGCGCTGTTGTTTTATTTTACTGTAAGATATGAAAACATAAATAGAAGAAACCAATAAGATTTGATAAGAAAGCCGCGTGGTTCTCAGGTGTGCAGCTCATGTTGCTATATCGTAGGTCGATGGTTCGATCCCCAGTTATAAAAGGCATTTTTCTCAAATATAAAAATAAGAGGTGTAATTTGGGTTGCATATGTAAACTCAAATGAAATAGAATAGAAATTGCAATACAAGTGAAGAATAAGAGAAGTAAGAAAGTAAGTTGAGAAACAGAGAACAGAAAAATAGGAGAAGTAGAAGAAGGAATAGCAGTGAAGAATAGAGAAGCAGAGAAGATAGGAGAAAAAGAACAGGAGTGGATCAAATTTTTGAATTTTTTGGCGGCGTGTCGTTATAAGACAGCCCACAGGTCGATGTGTCCATTGCTCCCGGCCCATCCTACAGCTACGATGTCTCTACGCTTCATCCCCAGGATTCTTAGGCATATCAACAATTTTTATGGTGGGGGATCATCCCCGGAGTGGGAGAACTCCATATAAGGACATTCCTTATGAGGACTTGTAAAAGTATTTCTAAGTTTTAAGTCGTCTCAAGACAGGCAACACTTAAAAATATTTTTACAAGTTCTGACCTGTAGCTGAAATGAAGGATGGAGTACACAAATCGTACAGGATACCTTAACAATTTTTATAGTGGGGATCATCCCTGAGAGAGGGAACTCTCTTAGAGACCTGTACCTGAAATGATAGAAGGGGTAGACACAAATCATAGGAGGCACAGTCAATTTTAACATTTCTTTATTGAAACATGTATACATTGAAAACTTGTAAAATATAATACTAAACAATATATGCGCCGCCATTTGGAATCTAGTTATAAGAGCAGTATAAGAAAGAAAAATCTTAAGTTTAAGTAGGATGACATATACTTTCCCCTTTTGACAAATTCTCCCCGGGAAATTAGTATACAGGGTGTTACAAAAACCCACTAAGGAAAATTATAATACAGGGTGACACAAAAAGAAAACTACAATATTTTAAAAGAAAATCCTAGGTTTAAGTAGGGTAACATATATCTTTCCCCTTTTGACAAACCTACTACGGGAAACCTTAATACAGGGTGATACAAAAAGAAACCTACAATATTTTAAAGGAAAATCTTAATTTTAAATGAGATAACATATATTTTTCCTCTTTTGATACTACGGGAAATTAATATACAGGGTGTTACAAAAAGAAAACTTAAAGTTTTAAAAGTAAAACGCCCAAACACTAATAAATATAGTCTATTAAATTATAAGGAAAATATATCTACTTGGTGATACACAAAGAAAAATTAAGATTTAAGTCGGAAAACGGATGAAAACCATCAGGAATTTAAAAAAAATCAAAATGTTTATACCTAAAATCAAAGAAAAGTGAAAAGTAAAAAAACATAAAAATGGAACATTTCAAAAATTGTATTTTCTCTGGATATGTTGGAAAAGTGATGGGTTGGATATTACAAAAATAAAGCACAAAGCAGAATATTATTATAAATCATGTAAAACAACCAGCGACCAGCCCGGAAAGCCGCCAGAGGATCAAGAACGCAGCCGACGGCATGTGACCTTAATGTTTTTAATTTGTACATCAAACAAAAAAAAAACAAAGTATCAAATACGTAATGCAAATCAACGGTATTGAAACAGGGACAAACATTATTTGTAGGCTTAAAGACCACGCAGTTGAAGTAAAGGCAATAATGGATTTGATTTTCAAATGGCTTAAGAAATGCGAGAACATACCTTGATGCAAAATTAATTTTTGCGCTTTTGGCCTATCCAATAAATTGTAAAGACCTTAATTATGCACATTGTAGAAATGATGAAATACACGCATCATACAAAAAGAGTATCCGACGGCCGACGGAACATCACTCACGTTTTACCTCTGCGTATAAACAATTCGCTTTTAACGAACGCCGCACATCACTCTCGCACAAGAAATATTACGTAATGACGGGAAGTAATTAAGAAACTCAAATTATTATGAAGAAAATGTGCGTGCAGATCAGCCGACGACAAATATGAGACTGACGTGGTAGGCAAGCCAACCGCGTGGCGAACCGCATGGCGACCGCACAAACATTGCACGAGATAAGAAAATTTGTTCGTTTGTAAACACTGATACATTCAATGTGGTAATGCAGAACATGAAAAGAATTGTACTCGTACAATGTATGGAACTTTTAATTTCAATTAAATTATGAATCGGACACCAGTAACAAAATTATAGATTAAAGCCGTATTGGCGTGTAAACACCTATTTTTTTAAATTTAAAATTGTAAATCCTGAAACAGTTCTTTTAATTCTACATCGATAATTTTAGTAACTTTTTTTCCTCAGATTAACCGTTTAGGCCCTATTTGCCAATTTTCGTGAAAACTGCATTCGACATAAAAAAGAAAAATCGATTACCTTTTTTATGATGTAATATTTTATTTCAACAAACACCGATTCCGTAATAATTAGAATTTTTGAATTCTGTTTTTGGTTTTTGGGTGTATATTAAATTCTAAATCGGAAACATGTAACACAATTGTAGATTAAAACCATTTTGGCATGTAAAAATCTTTTTTTTAACTAAAATTGCAAATAGGGCCTAGACCGTCCATGATACGAGAAAAATAATTCGTAGAAAAATAATTACTTAAATAATCAATTAAGATTTAATTTATCTTTCAAAATCCAAAAACGGAATTTAAAAATTCCAATTATTTCAAAAGCTACCCTAGCTGGAAAAAAGATATTTTCATAAAAAAGGCAAAAGATTTCTCTTTTTTATTATCGGAATTAAAAATTGTATTTAATAGTGGTGGGTAGTGGGTTTTGCCGGAAAAAGCCGCCAAATAATTAAGAACGCAACCGACGGCACACGACAATCTTAATCTTTTTAATTTGTACATTAAACGAAAACGAAACAATGTATCGAACGTATTGCAAATCAACGGTAGGTATTGAAAACAGTGACAAAAATTATTTGTGTGGTTAAAGACCACGCGGTTGAAGTAAAAACAAGTTAAGTCAATAATGGATTTGATTTTCATATAGCTGAAGAAATGCGAAGAAATGCATACCTTGATGCAAAATAAATTTTTGCGCGTTTGGCATATCCACACAAAATACCAAATAAATATGAATTACGCGTATGATACAAAAAGAGTATCCGACGACCGACGGAACATCACTCACACTTTACCTCTCACATCACTCGCGCACAATCAAAGGAGCATTTAGAAACAGTACGTAATAAGGCGACAAAAAATTAAGGCACTCAAAATATTGTAAAGAAAATGTGCGTCCAGATCACCTGACGACAAAAATGAGACTAACGTGGAGACTAACTGCAGGGGATAAAGAAACTTGTTTGTTTGTAAACACTGATACTTTCAGTGTGGTAGTGCAGAACATGAGAAGAATTGTAGGTACTCGTACTATGCATGGAACTATTTATTTTTATTAAATTCTTAATAATTTAATTCTACATCGTTTATTTTAGTAACGTTTTTTTGCTAACATTAACCGTTTAGAGCCTATTTACAATTTTAGAAAAAAATGCATCCGTTTTTCGTAGAACTTTATGTTCTTACCAAAAAATTCAACTCTGTTTTTTGAATGAAAAATATTTTAACACAATAGTTTGACCCTATTCATTGACCAAAAAAAATTTTAAGTAAAAAAGTTCGATCCTGTTTTCCGACTGAAAAAATTTATACAAAAAAAATCGACCGATAAAATTTTAAGTAAAAACGTTCGACCCTGTTTTACGACCAAAAAAATTAGAAAAAAATATATTTGACCGAAAAATTTTAAGTAAAAATGTTTGCCCCTGTTTTCAACGGGAAAAATTTTAACAAAAAATTTCGATCAAAGAAATTTTAATATAAAAATTCGACCGAAAAAATTTTAACAAAAATATTCGACGGAAAAAATTTTAACAAAAAAATTCGACGGAAAAAATTTTAACAAAAAAATTCAACCGAAAAAATTTTAATATAAAAATTCGACCGAAAAAATTTTAACAAAAAATTCGACGGAAAAAATTTTAACAAAAAAATTCAACCGAAAAAATTTTAACGAAAAATTTCGACCGATAAAATTTTATGAAAAAAAGTTCAACCCTATTCTTCGACCAAAAATATTTATTAAAAAAAGTTCGACCCTGTTATTCGACCAAAAAATGAAATTTATTGGACCAAAATAGAGATATTCGAAGGGGATTTTAAGACACTTATAAAGGGTTTATAGGGTTAAAAAGATATGCATTCTATAAAGGGTCTCTCGAACTTTAACATGACGTTGAGAAACTTCAAGAAAATCAATTAGTTCACGAGATATAAGGTGTTTTCCACACCATGTTTTAAAGTTTTCCTAAAATTGCTCATTTTTGAAGAGCATTTTAGGGCACTTTCGAAAGGGCTGAAAGGTATAAAGAGTATGCATCGTGTAGACAAACTCCCTGACCCTTCTTTGGCGTAGAGAAACTCTAAGAAAGTCAATTAGTTTCGGAGATACTGGGTGTTTTCCACAGTATGTTTTCAAATTTTTCTACAATTGCTCATTTTTGAAGGGCATTTTATGGCACTTTCGAAAGAGCTGGAAGGTTAAAAAAGTATGCATCGTGTAGACAAACTCCCTGACCTTTTTTTGGCGTAGAGAAACTCTAAGAAAGTCAATTAGTTTCGGAGATACTGGGTGTTTCCTACAATATGTTTTCAAATTTTTCTACAATTGCTCATTTTTGAAGGGCATTTTAGGGCACTTTCAAAAGAGCTGGAAGGTTGAAAAGTATGCATCGTGTAGACAAACTCCCTGACCCTCTTCTGGTGTAGAGAAACGGTAAGAAAGTCAATTAGTTTCGGAGATACAGGGTGTTTTTTACCCCATCTTTTTAAATTTTCCTAAAAATGCTGATTTTTGAAAGGGCATTTTAAGGCACTTTCGGAAGGGCTAATAGGTTGAAAGGGTATTCATCGTGTAGAGGAACTCCTTAACTCTATTTTGGCGTTGAGAAACTCTAAGAAAGTTAATTAGTTTACTAGATAAGGGTGTTTTCCACACCATGTTTTCAAAATTTCCAAAAATTGTTTATTTTTAAAGGGCATTTTGGGGCACTTTCAAAAAGGCTGGTAGATAGAAGGGGTATGTACGAAAATTAATACACAGGGTGTTACAAACGGAAAATTACTTGCCTTCGCGGCGAGGGCAAGGCGTGCATCGTCCAAAAGCATTCTTCCACCATTTGAATTCAAAGCAAAAATAAAAATATCACGAAGGGTTCACGAAGTATGAGCCGTTTATCACCGAACAAAAATGCGAGAAAGGGGTAAATGTTAGCGGACATTTTAAGGCAGTAGGTGCAGAATTTCACAAAGGGCCAAGGGTGTATTGTCTAAAACCATTCCTACGCAATTAGAATTTATGGGAAAAATAAAAATATCATGAAGGGTTCACGAAATATGAGCCGTGTTCCACCAAAAGTTTTGAAATATTGGAAAAAGGGCGCACTTTTGCGGTCATTTTGAAGTACGTAATGAGGCAATAAATGTTTGTCGCGTAAATTATAATGAAAAATATGATTGAATTATAAACTTACGACCTGTTCAGTCACCAGGGCACAGTAAGTGCTGTAATTGAAAGAAAATATGTTGAAATATTTCGTGAGATTTAAGAATAATATATTCATACATCTTAGAGCAAATACAATATGTGTTGTTGAATTAAGAGTTACTTACACAAGGATAATGTTGAATAAATCTACATGGGGCTATCCTATATCCTATTCATTTTGCGATCGACACCGAACCTTGTAACTTGCATAAGTGTACGAGTACACACGAATCGTGATCAAATATCTACCACTTGTGTACAATACGAGTAATGTACTTTAAACGCGCAAATAATAAATAGCATTACTATAGTAATTGCAATTAAATAGTCAATTGATAATCGAATAAAACGCAAATTTAGAAAGCAGAAGTCCGAACAAACAATACGAGTCGGTCAAAACACGTCTGAATCAACCACCGACCGGCACGAAACTGGCTGAAAACCATCGATAGCGCATGCCGTAGCGAAAATTTACGATAAGTAAGAGATGCGCAAATCTGATGAGTCGATGACACGCGACCTTGTGCACAAATTAGAATAGGCAATATACATGTAATCTAAACTAAACTAGAATATGCTGAGTGCGGCGTGAGGAGATTTCAACAACGACCCACGGGAATCTCATGCGTTACAAAACAAACACACACACAAACACAGTTGTTAGATTGTGACTATTAAAACATTATAACACAGGAAACAAAAATAACAGTTTAAATATGCAATAATCGTTAAGTTTATTATAAATCGATTGACAACAATTTTGTTTGTGCATCATTTTAAAGCACGTGTACTTGCAAGATGTTGGTTGCACCTATATTTTCTCCCTAAATATTAAATACACGTACCTTAATTGAGGCAAAAACTCGATAATAAGTTAACATAACAATATTAGGATTTTCATAAACATGCTTAACAATATATCGATTATAATAGTTTCGTATACCAGCAATAAATATTCAAATTTAATTTCACGTTTAGTGATCGATAAACGTTTCGTTGATTCGTGTTTAATCAGTTACACCGATAGTTCGTGTAATTGCATACTTTCCAAAATTTCATGACCGGTATCACAGTTATTGAACCACAGTCGATTTTATCTGGTCTCTACGGAAAATACAAATTGGTTAAATGATTTGAAATTGTTTCTTCGCTCATCAATTTACAAATCCATGAATAATTTATATTTCCCGTCCTAACTGCAACATAAAACATTCGAATTCTAAATAGTAGCTGGTGGCTAATTGTATTAAGTAAAAGTTCCTATAAAATTAAACTACCTGCTAAATTTGGAAGATTATTTACATCTCAAAAAACGTAATCTTATTTGCAAATTAAATGATTACTTAAAAAGTTGTTTGGCGTAATACCAAATTTTAAAGAAGTACTCGTCCCTTCTAAGAAGAGTTCCTCTGGCATAGGAACTAATATCGGCATCCATGTTGTGATCTCTCAGCCAGGATGTCGTGTTTTCAGATATACTGTAGGATGTTGGCTCGCGATCAGTAAACTCCCTGAATTCTTCTTGGTCAGCTTCTATTTAAAGTAAAATAACAAATGTAATACGTATGCAGTAATAATTCACCGTTTCAGAATAATACCTGCACCAGGAAGAACTTTAAATGGTTCATCAGATTCGAGAGGATCACTCAAGCCAACTTCGTTGCGTGCGAATATTCTAATCAGATAATCGTGATCTTCTTGCAAGTCTCTAATTGTGAACTTTTGAACACCCTTCGAGACTCTGCCAATTTCAATCCACATAGTCTTCTTTGTATCTTTAATTGCAATGTTGTATCCCTGCAAAGGAGCTCCACCATCGCTTTCAGGAGCGCCCCATTCAATGATCAAGGCGTTGGGACCAATAGTGCGCATTTCAAGTGGTGCAGTTGGGGGTGTAGGAACAGCTAAAAAGTGAAATATTTTGATACTTCTTGAATAATTTTTTTTTAAATTATAATGCATACTGGCATGAGATTTCAATTTAACAACTTCGGTAGTTGCGGGGACGCTCACACCAACCGCATTTTCGGCAGATACTCGGAACAGATAATCGCTCTTATCTTTCAGATTTTGAAGTACATACTCCAAGTTGGAGGCATCAATTGAAATAACTTTTTCCCATTTGGGCATAAACTCCAATTTCTTTTCAATGACGTAACCGATAATTTCACTTCCACCGTTGTTTAATGGTGTTTCCCATTTAATTGTGGCACTCTTGCTTCCGGCTTCTTTGACTACCAAGTTGACAGGAGGCGATGGAGGTGCTGTTTAGAAATTGGATTTAGTTAATCAAGTAACAAATTAAATTATCGTAAAGCTCACTCATATAATCAATTTTAGCTGGTGGGAAAATTCCAAGTAAGCAATAAAGCGTTTCATCGGTTTTAGCAAAGCGATACTCAATTCCTATAGCAAAAGCATTAATTTTTATTTAATGTGCAAAGCGAATAAACAAATTTTAAAAAACCAAAGCATTTAATAATATAAACTTACTTAGACGGGCCCCTGCAACGATTGGTTCATCAGGAACGTAAGGTTCACTGAGACCTACAGCATTTCGGGCAACAATCCTGAAGAAGTATTGATGTCCTTTCTCCAAGTAATTAACAGATATGTCTGTGTTTCCTTTTGTGCTGCCCAATTTTTTAAAGTCTTTCTGTTTGCTCTCTCTTATTTCCACAATGTATTCAATTATTTCACTTCCACCGTTGGACAAGGAAGGTTGCCAACATAAAGTAAATGAAGTATCTGACATTCCAGACACCTCCAATGGTCCTCGTGGCGGTGATGGAACCTCTTCCACAACAAGTTTCGTCGTGGTGCTGATGTCTTCAGCAATACAAGTATATTCGTATTCCTCCTCATGGGTGCAGTTTTTAATGATTAATTTTCGGATGCTATTCTCTGAGTAGAAGGAATACTTTTCACTTTCTTGTATATTTACACCATTCCTGGTCCACTTGACTTCAACTGATTCTGATAGTTCTACTTCCAATTCCACGGTCTTATTAATCAAAGTCTTCGTAATTTCAGGTAATTTACGAATGAACGATAATGTTGGTTCGTATACTGTCAGCCGTGCAGATGATACTTGCTGACCTACTTGACAACAGTAAGTTGCTTGATCGTCCATATCGCAATTGTAGATTTTAAGTTTTTGTCGCTTGCCATCAATAGAAAGTTGGATGTGTTCAGAGAATTGGATCTCCACGTCATTTTTGCGCCATGACACTAATGCATCGCCCTTGGTTAGCTCAATTTCGAATACAGCTTTGTCGCCCTTCCTTACGGTTTTGTCTTCTAATCTAGTCTTGATTTCAGGAGGTAATTCAATAACGGTGAGTTCAGCGTAGCATTCTTCGTCAATTAACGAACAGTAATATTCGCCTTCGTCATATATTGTTGTATTATTGATGATCAGTTTTCTGACATTTCCTTGTTTCTCAAGAAGATAGTGTGAGTCAGTACTTTCAATAACATTATTGTCCTTCTTCCACACTACGTTAGCAGAATCGGATGATATTTCAACCTCAAGTATGGCACATTCTTTCTCAGTAACTTCGACGTCATGTAAACGCTTAATGAAAGTTGGTTTGGTGTCAATAATTTGCACTTGCGTTTGAGTGACTTGATTTTTAACCATGCATTTGTATTTTCCAATATCCTTGTGAGTAATGTTCTTAATTACTAATTTATGGCAGCGACCATCTTCGATAATAACTCTGTTATCCATTCCAGTCAACTCTACCTCTTCATAGAACCATTTGACTGAAACCGTATGCGATGTTTCACATTCTAGTACCAGAGTATCATATTCAACAGTTTCGTATATTTCGCGTAGTTTTCTTGTGAATTTAGCGTCCACATCAACAGTAATTTTAGCACCATGCGAGGCTTTACCCACTGTATTGGAAGCAATACATTTATAATCGCCTGTATCTTTCTCTGAATCGGCATCCTTAATGACCAATTCAATAGTTTCGTTTTCATAAGTCATCTTAATTCTGGGTGACTTCTTTAATGGTTGATTGTTGCGCAACCACGTTACTTCTGGTCTTGGTGTACCAATTACCTTTGCTTTCAATGTAATTGTTGCTTTATCTGGTACGGTCATTTCTTGGAAGCGTTCCACAAATATTGGTGGTTCCAACTTCGGTGTAACAGTTTCTAAACAAAAATTTAACACATATTATTATTTGTTTTAAATCTCTTAGTATTTAAAAGGAAAGAAAATAATAATATATGGCAGCATCAATTAAATAAAAATAAAAAATAAGCAAAAAAATAATATAAAAATATATTTCATAAAACAATAATCAATAAAAAAAGCTAAAAGAAAAAATTGTTTCAATAAAGCCAAAGAGAACCAATAATTCAAACCTTCAATAGTTAGATATGCGCTCGTTTCAATGGTTCCATTGCTATTCTCAGCTTTAACAGTATATTCTGCTTCGTCGTCTTTGGTAGTTTGTGATAGCATACACGTGTATTCGTCTCCGACCTTTTTCGGGGTAGGAACCTTAATAGGTTTACCATTTTTAAACCATGAAATTGTAGGAGTTGGATTTCCTACGATGCTAGTGCACAACATGGCAGGCTCACCTTCCCTGACATACACATTTTTCAATGGTTCGATAACTTGTGGAGATTCCTTCTTTCCGGTTTTAACTTTAATAATAGTCTTTATTCTTGATTCCCCTTCGCGATTTTTGGCAATAATTTCGTATGTGCCTTCCTGATCTTTTGTTATTTCTTTAATTTTCAAGATTGTCGAATACATATGCATATCCGAGTCATTGACAACAGTGGCATTCTTTTGAGTAATTGGTTTGCCATTGTGAAGCCATGTTATATCAGCTTCAGGAACTGCCACCAATCTACACTCAACGACAACATCTGTGCGTTCGTTAACATATTGCGGTTTTGGCTTCTTGGCAAATGTTGGTGGAATACCTTCAAGAATATCGGCCAAAGATGATTCTCGCGAGAGGCTACGTCTGGACAATGTTGTAAAGTCTGATCCATGGTCAGATAATGGTGCTTCCACTATAAGCTCGGTAGTGCTTGAAGCAAAACCTGCGGAATTCTTAGCAACACAAGTAAATGTGCCGGCATCTTCCGGAAATACTTCTCGGATGATTAAAGTAGCAACATTATCTTCATCGTAAAACATTTGGAAATCATTTGATGGCTTAATGATTGCCGTTTGTCGGAACCATGTGATTTGTGGTCTGGGCAAGCCTTCAACTTGACATTCAAATTGTACGGTGTATCCGTCTGGAATATGCTGTGGTTGCAACTTTTCGATAAATCGTGGAGCGCTTGTCTTTTCTTTCGGTTTAGGACCTGAAAAGAAGAAGTTAATAAACTGCGTTTAATTGAAAAAAAATTGTACTTACGTTCAAATACTGGTAACTTATCAATTTTTTCATGTAATTTCTTTTGAACAAATATGGTATAATTTTCTTCATCCATTAGGTACTGTGCGGGTACCCAACCCTTTTCTTCTGTTAAATGCTTCTTCACATACCACCAGTCTGCATTATCATTATCAATCACATATACTCTTTCACCTTCCACTAAGTCAATGGCTTGGTCTGCTTCAGCTCTGTATGAGCTAATCGAATATAAGATGTCACCTTCGTTAACTTCGATAATATCTTCTTCTTCAATGTACTCTGTTTGTTTGATACTGAGCGATGCTTCCTCTATATAAAACAAATTCAATTAATGTTTGAAATAACCTGAGTAGGAAAGTAGTGCCGTAGCAATATTTATAAGCGTAAGCTGTAATGAAGTGTAAAAATAGTAACCTTCGTCAAATGATGGTTGAGATTGTTTGCGTAGTTTGCGTTTCAATGTGAGTGACTGTTCTTCGTAATCAATTGTTTTTGGTTTAGACTTGGTGAGACTGAGATCGATAGAAATTTCGTCTTCTTCCTGAATTGAATAACGGGGTTTCACCTTCCTTCTGAATGGAACATGGAAGCTTTCTGAAAAGTCTTCTTCATCATATGGCAATTCTTCGGCATCACTGCCTTCATCAATAATTTCTTCAATTGCTGGGCCCTCATCTTCATATTCCTTGTAGATTCTAATATTTTCTTCACCTGCTTCTTCCGAATACGTCAGTGGTCGTTGTTTCTTTAGTTTCACCTTTCCTGACATCGAAATTTCTTCCTCAGCATACGAATCCAACGATATTTTGAATTCTTGTTCAACATCTTCTTTGGTTTTCGTTCTCTTTGGTCTAAAGGTGACATTTTCAACCTCTGTGTATTCGGGAATCACTGGACGCTTTTTAACCTTCTTGAGTTTTTTAATTGTTACTTCTTGGTTGATTTCTTCAAATGCTGGTTTGAACGGAGGAGGTTTCTTTTTGATAGTGAATTCTTGTACTTCATCATCAATCACAACCTTTTTGATTGTTATTTCATCAGCAGCTTCTTCTGCAACTGGTTTCTTTGGTTTCTTTTGTTTTAGTTTAACTGCTTCCTCAACCGTTGCAACCGGTTGTGCCGGTTCTTCCTTTTTCTTTGGCTTAATTGTGAATTCACTTTCCTGAACTTCTTCCTCGGTTACAGCTGGTTTACTTGGCTTTCTCTTTGGTTTTATGGTAAATTCTTGAGCAACATCTTCAGGTTCAGGCTCAGGTTCCACAATTGGTTTTTTGATTGTAATTTCGTCTGCGGCTTCGTCAACCACAGGTTTCTTTGGTTTTTTAGTCTTAATTTTGACTTCTTCTTGCACTGCTTCAGGTTCGGGCACAGGTTTAACAGTTTTCTTAATTGTGAATTCTGTTTCCTGAGTCTCTTCTTCCGTTGCAACAGGTTTGCTTGGCTTCCTCTTAGGCTTCAAAGTAATTTCCTCGGCTACCTCTTCAACTCCTTCAGGTTCAACTATATGTTTTTTAATAGTTACTTCATCTGCTGATTCTTCAACAACAGGTTTGCGTGGTTTTGCCCGTTTTATCTTTACTTGTTCTTCAACTGGCTCAGGCTCTGCTACAGGTTCAGGTTGTGGTTTCGCAGGCTTGAGAGTAAATTCGCTTTCTTGAACTTCCTCCTCTTGAACAACCGGCGCTTTCTTCTTTGGTTTAATAGTAAACTCTTCAGTTGTATCTTCCACAGGTTCTGGTTTTTTAATTGTAATCTCTTCACTAATTTCCTCGACAGGTTTGCGGGGCTTAGTTTTCTTTACAATGGTTTCCTCCGCAACCGGTTCCTCAGCTGGTTTAGGTTTAGGCTTGAGTATGACTTCTTCGGATACTTCTGTGGTTTCAGTTTTCTTAGCTTTCTTTACCTTTTTCACAACAATTTCCACATCTTCCGAAACTACTTCCTTTGGTTTTTTAGGAACTATTGTAATTTCAGCTTCCTCAGGTTCTTCAACAATGGGTTCATCTTTGGTAAGGGTTACTTCCGATTCAATTTCTTCAATGACAGGTGCATCCTCAATAGTCGTCTTTATAATATATTCCTCTACAGGTTCTTCAACGATCGGTTCTTGTGTTGGCTCTTCCGGTTCAGGTGTTGGTTCTTCCTGTTCAAGATCTGAGTCTGAAGGCAACTTCTTCTTCTTTCGTCGTTTGGTTGTTTCTATATGCGTCACATCAACAATTTCTGTAGTATCCTTTACAGAGATTTCCTCAGTTGGCACAATCTTTGGTTGTTTAATAATAGTGTGTTCAACGGATTCTGGTTCAGGTTCCGGCTTCTTGAAAGGTTTCAGTTTAATTTCTTCTTGTGGTTCCTCCGGCTTAGGTTTTTGTTTTACCTTGAATTTAACCTCTGGAGCCGTTTCTTCTTCTTGTGGTTTTGGAACACCCTTTTCCAAAGAAATTGTGACTGTTTCCGGTTCCGGCTTTGGTTTCTTTGTCTTTTTAGGTTTAGGAAGCTCTATTTCTTCCTTAACAGGTTCAGGCTTTTCAATATCCGGAATATCCAGTTTCTCTAGTTCAACGGGTTCTCTTTCAAAATCAGTTGGCTCAAATGGAGCCACTTCAGGATATTCCTTTGGCTTCTTCTTAACTTCCTTAGGTTCTTCTACATCATGCTTTTTAACTGTTTTCTGAACCTCCACAATTTGTTCCTCAATTTTTTCAGGAACTTTTTCAGTTTAATGGTTTCTTCAGGTGCTTCTTCTTCTTTCGGCACTTTTCCTTTGCCAATTTTAATTGTTTTGGTTTCTGGTTTTTCTTCTTCCGGTTTTTGTTTCTTTTCTGGCTTCTTCTTATATTCGTCATCGACAGTTTCAAGCTCCCGCTTCTTAATTTCATCCATTTCAAGATCTAGTTTTTCTAATGTTTCAGTTTCGTCTTTACCGGCCTTTAGTTTCCTACGTTTCGTTTTAACAACTTTTTCAGCCTCTGCCATATTTCTTGAAAGAACACCATTATCTCTGTAAATGGGTTCAAGTTCAGTAATATTTGGTTTCTTTAGTACTTCATCAATGGGAGGAAAATCAACATACGTAATTCTACTCTTTAGTAGGAATTTAGGAAGCTTAGTAGATTTCGATTCCTTTCTCTTTTCTGGAATCTTTGGTTTCTTTAACTTTATTTCTGCCAAGTTAACCACAGCTTCTTCTGGTTTTGAGATAATCATTTTTTGTGGTTTAATTTCTTTTCGTTCAATTTTAATAGGCTTCAGTTCAGTAACTTCTTGTTTTTCTGGTTTTGTTGGTTTCTTTTTCTCTGGTTTCACTTTCTTAGTTACTACCTCCTGAACAGGTTCTTTCTCTTCAATAATTGGTTGTTCAATTTCAGGTTCTTTCTCAGGTTCAGGTTCCTCTGGTACTGATTCTTCAATTTCAGGTTCTTCCGGAACTTCTTTTCGTTTTGGCTTTTTAATTTTCTTAATAGTTTTTGTTTTCTTTTCTTCTTCAATTATTGTCACAGAAGGTTGTGGTTCTTCTTCAATAATTTCTTCTACAGTAATTTCTTCAGTTTTCGGTTCGATCACTTCTGGTTCAGGCTTTTCTTCAGGCAGTGGAACAACTTCAGTCAGCTCCTCATCCTCTCTCTTTTCAACCTTTTCTGTTTTTGGTTTTACTTTTTTAACTTTTTTGGTTTTCACATGTGTTTCCGTTTCCGTTTCTTCTAATTCCATTGGGATTATTGGTTCAGGAATTTCTTCAATAGGTTTCTTTTCTTCGGGAACCTTGACGGGTTCAATCTTTTCTACAATTTCCGTTTCATCTTGGGGTTCAACTGGTTTTTTAGGTATCTTTTTCAATGTGACTACTTCGGTTTCCTCTATTTTTTCTGGGACCTTACCTTTGCCCATTTCAAGAACTTTTGGCTCTTCTACTTTGGCTTCTTTTGGTTTCTTAGTTTTTGGTTTTCTGTATTCCTCGTCCACCTTTTCAAGTTCGGGTTTCTTTATTTCATCCACCTCTGTTTCCAGATCGTCAATTTTACTTGTTTCCTTAATTTTCTTCGTTTTTGTTTTTAATACTTTCTCTGCATCTACCATAGTGCGCGATAAACAGCCAGCATCTTTGATTGCTGGAGTAACTTCGCTTATTTTTGGTTTCTGAAGAATTTCCGATAGTGGCGGGAATGTTATAAACTCAATGCGGCTCTTAAGCATGAACTTAGGCAGTTTACTGGTTTTCGGTTCCTTCTTCTGTACCTTTGGTTTTTTCAATTTAATTTCAGCAAAGTTAATTGGTGCATCTTCTGGTTTGCTTATAATCATTTTTTGCGGTGTTTGGGCTACACGTTCTATTTTCATAGGTTTCAGCTTTGGTATTGGCTCAGCTTCGGTAATTTCACCAAATGACACACGCTTGGGTAACTTCTTTGTAACTTTCTTAGTAATAATTTCTTCCACAGCTTCAACTTTGTGAACCTTTTCTTCAACATGCTCAGTAGGTGCTTCCTCAACTGGCATTTCTTCAACAACCTCTTCAAAAGTTATTTCTTCCTCAGCCTCAGTGTCTTTCTCTCGCTTTGGTGTCTTGGGCTTCTTTTTCTTAATAATTTTCTTTTCCACATGTACGATTTCTTCTTCGATTATTTTTTGAACTGGTTTTTCTTCCTCTTCTGGTTGGGGTTTTGTAAATGGTTTCAATTTAATTTCCTCAGGTTCAGGTTCAGGCAATTCCTTTTGTTTGTATTTCAATTTTATTTCTGGTTCCTCCTCCGGTTCGGTTGGTTTTGGAATACCTTTCTTAAGTAATATTTGTTCAGTTTCCGGTTCGGGCTTCACCTTCTTTACCTTCTTAGGTTTCTCCTTTGGTTCTTCTGGTTTACTTGGTTCTTCTTTGTCTATTTCCGGAAGTTCTAGTACTTCTCTTTCTTGAGGTTCTTGCTCAATATCGTACGGCTCAAATGGTTTAAGTTCTGGTTCAGTACGCTTTTTAGTTTTCTTTACCTTCACAGGTTCAGGTTCCTGTTCTTTTATCTTTTCTTTAGGCTCTTCAGCAGTTTCAACAGGTTTCTCTGGTATTTTCTTTAATTTTACTACTTCTGGTTCTTCATCTGGTTGTGGCAATTTACCCTTACCAATTTTGAGGCCCACCGGTTTTTCTTCTTTCTCCTCTGGCTTTGGTTTTTCTGGTTTAACATATTTGTATTCATCATCTACTTTTTCCAATTCAACCTTCTTGAGTTCCTCAAATTCATTATCTAACTTCTCCAACTCTTCACTCGAATAACCAGTTTTCTTGAGTTTCCTTCGTTTTGTTTTTAATACCTTTTCTGCATCGCCTATATTTCGTGATAATTCACCTGCGTCTTTGCTGATTGGTTCTAGATCAGTAATAATTGGAATTTTTTCAGATTCTGATAAAGGTGGGAATGTAACATAAGAAATTAAACTTTTTAATAAGAACTTAGGCAATGTCGATGGTTTCCTTTCTTTCGGGGTGGGTATTTTTGGCTTCTTAAGTTTAATATCGGCAAAATTAATAGGCAAATCTACAACCTTCGATATTACAAGCTTTGTTGGTTTGATCTCTTTTCTTTCAATGTTAATAGGTTTTAGCTTAACTAACGGTTCAATTGTGGGTTCTTCTTTCTTTTCTGGTTTCTTTTTAATTCTTTTAATTTTAGTCACTTCCTTTATTTCCTCTATATAGATGGGTTTTGTTTCTGTGTCTTCTATGTGCTCTTCTGGCACATCTTCAAATATATCTGGTTCGTCAAGTTCTTCTTCCTTAGGTTGTATCTTTTTAACTTTTGGTTTTCGATGTTTTACTTCTTCAGTTGGATGAATAATCGGAACTTCATCAAATTCTTCGGGCACATCTTCAAACACATCATCCTCCTCGGGCACTTCGAATTCTTGTGGTTCTTCAACTGTTGTTTCTGCCTCCGGCAATTTAGATTTCTTACCTTTAACTTTCTTTTTGGGTGTAGGTTTTATGGATACTGGTTCAATGTCAAGAGGTTCGTCTTCTCTTTCAATGTCGTATGGTTCAGGCTTACCTACTTGCAGGGTTTTCGGTTCTTTCTCTTCTTCAGGTTTAGGTTTAGTAAATGGTTTTAATTTAATGGGTTCCGGTTCAATTTCCGGAAGTTCCTTTTGTTTATACTTCAATTTAATTTCTGGCCCTTCTTCAGGTTCTTTAGGTTTCGGAATGCCAGGCACAAGTGGGACTTCAACTACTTCCGGACTTGGCTTTGCTTTCTTAGGTTTCTTTGGTTTAGTTTTTTCAACGTCTGGCATAATTTTCTCTGGTTTATCCATTTCGGGCAAATCCAATTCTTCTTTTTCTATATCAGGTCTATCAATATCGTATGGTTCAAATGCAATCTTTTCTGGAGCACTTTCTTCTGTCTTTCTGACAGGTTTTTCTTCAATTGGTTTATCTTTCTTTGGTTTTTTAGTATCCTCTTGCGGTATTTCCTCCTCCTTCTTTGCAACTTTCTTTAGTTTAACTTGTTCAGGTTCTTCTTCTGCGGGAGGCATCTTGCCTTTGCCAATTTTTAATTGTGGAACATCACTTGGTTTTTCTTCTTTAGGTTTCTTTTCAGGCTTTTGATATTTATACGCATCATCAACTGTTTCTAATTTTGGTTTTTCGTAATCGTCCATATCTAAGTCAAGTTTTTCTAAATCTTCTACATGTTTATCTTTAGCTTTCAATTTGCGGCGTTTTGTTTTTGGTATATTTTCTGCTTCCGCAACATTCCTAGAAAGAATACCATTGTCTTTATATATTGGTTCCAATTCAGTTATCTTTGGTATTTGTTTAGTTTCTTTTAATGGAGGAAAATCAATATAGTTAATACGACTCTTTAACAAAAACTTGGGCAGCTTCGAATCTTTTCTTTCTTTCCTTTGTGGGATTTTAGGTTTTTTCAGCTTAATTTCTGCTAAATTTACTGGTTCCTCAGGTTTTGATATAACCAACTTTTGTGGTAATTGCGCTTTCTTTTCAACTTTAAGTGGCTCCAGTTTCTCTAACTTTGGTTTTTGCTTTGGTTTCTTATCACGAGGTTCTTCTTCCACGCGTTCAATTTCTTCTGGTTTTTCTTCGACAACTTCCTCAACGAATTCTTCTTTCTTTCCATGCACTTTCTTAACCTTTCTAACGACTTTACCTTTTTTCTCTGAAACTACCTCTGGTTCGAATGTCTCTTGAGCTGTAACGGAAACTGGAATTTCATCAAATGTTACCCCTTTTTGAGTTTCAACAGTAGTAATTGAAACATGTTCTTTGCTTTCTGTAACTGATGTTGCTTTATCAAACACCACATCTTCCCGAATATCACCTGAAAAATGATCTAATATTAATATGTTATCAACGGATATAAAAGCAACTATTGGTGTACACTTGTGTGTTTGCTTACCTAGCGTATCATCGGTTTGTTTAATTTCACTAATTGTGTGTGTTGTAGGTGTCTGTTCCTCTTTGGCTGGTCGTTTGTGTTTAATTATTTTGATTTTCGGTTGTTTGTGTATTTCGACGTTACTCGTACTACTAATGTTGGTTACCTCATCATCAACGCTAACAATTTTGGGTTTACGTGGCTTTTCTGTTGTAGGTGTGAATTCATCAAGATATTCGTTAACAAATGATTCGTCAGTGGTATATTTATTCACTGTAACTTCTGGCAATTCATCGTCTTTCTGAATGGTTACGATTTCAGTAGTTTCAATCTGACCGTTGTCCTGTGGTTTTACAATAACGCGTTTCTTAACCACCTTCTTTACTTTCTTATGTCCAACGGTTTCTTCAACAATGTTAATTTGCTCGGGTAGTTCTTCAGATACTTCATATTTGGTAGGTATTTCATCCCTGGGTTTATCCTTGGGTTCCTGTTCTGATATACTTATAGTAGTGATAGGTTCATCTTCTCCAATTTGTACACTTTCGATGTTAGTTATTTCTTCATGTGGCTTTTTGTGTTTCTTAATGATGCGTTTTCTTATACGCTGCTCAACAACATTACCTTCGGGTGTGACAACGTTTAATACAGTCACCTCTTCAGGTAATTCTTCAATAGTGACATGTGGCTGCGCAGTTTGCGATGGCATTTCGTCGGATGGGACCGATTTTACCAAGACTTTTGTTTCAGGGGCTTGGCCTTCTTCTTGAGTAGTTACTATTTCAGTAATTTGAGTGTCATTTCCTTTTGATTTCTTAAACAATCGTTTTTTAGTAGTTTTCTTACGGGGTCCATCTTTATCAGTGATTTCTGTAATTTCTATTTGAGTAGGCAACTCTTCAATTCGTTCTTCCTGGGTTGGCGTTTTGAATTCAGGTTTATTATCTTCATATGTGACAATTGATGTTGTTGGTTCTTTGCCTGGTTCTTCAATAGTAATGATTTCAGTGATTTCACTTGTTGGCTGAATTTCCTTTTTGAGGGTGCGTTTACGAACTGTTTTCTTTTCGGTTTTACCTTCTGCGGTTACTACATGGCTAACGGCTACTTCCTCAGGAAGTTCCTGAACTTTAACTTTGGCTTTCTTTGGTTTTATGCTAAATGGTTCCAAAGAATCTACTTCTTCTACATTTTCTTTCACTTCTATTGTAACCTGAGGTTGCTTACCATCTTCTAACACCGTAGTAATTTCAGTAGTTTCGGTATCTTTTCCTTTAGGTTTTTTGATGATACGTTTTTTAATTACTTTTGTTGTAGTTTCACCTGCATCAGAAACTTGCTCTAAAACTTTAATATCATTTGGCATTTCCACCAATGGTGTGGCATCCGTTGGCACATTCTCAAACACATCTATATGTTCTTCTGTAACAGTTATTTTTGAAACAGGTTCTTTAATACCTTCTTGAATTGTTTCTATGGTAGTAACTTCTGCCTTTGGTGCAATATGTTTCTTTATAGTCCTAGTTTTTTCAATACGTTGAACTCGTTTTCCATCGTGGCTAACAACTTGTGTGATTAACACCTTTTCTGGCATTTCATGAAGAACAGGTTTACCTTTCGATTTTTTCACCTCCCACGGTTCCAATGTTTCTACAATTTCTTCACTAAGTGGAGCCTTCTTAACTTTTGAAGTCCTCACGGTCGTTTCGGGCTCTTTACAGGGTTCTGTGATAGTTTCAATTTCAATCAATTCATCTTTCTTTTCCTTGGGCTTTTTGATAAGTCTTCGTTTAATGATTTTCTTCTTGTTGTCTTCAATTACTATTTCATCCGGCAATTCTTCGACTACAGTGGCTTCATCAGGAATATCCACAACGTCCGAAAATTCAATTTGTTCTGTGGATACAATAACTGTACTTACGGGTTCCTCTTCGCCTTCTTGTACTGTTACAATTTCGGTAGTTTCTACTTGTGGCAAAACAGGTTTCTTAATTGTCCGCTTCTTTTTAATGACTTGTACAGGTTGACCCCATCTCGACTTTACTTCAGTTACTGTTACTTCTTCAGGTAGTTCATGCATGCTGGGACGTGCCTTTGCCGTTTTAGTTAACAGTGGCTCAAATATTTCCGTATCTTCTTCATTATCCAATGCCTCAATATTTCTAGCTGATGATCTTCGAACTGATATTTTAGCTGGCTTATCTTCTACTTGTTCACTTACAATTTCTGTTGTTTCAATTGTTTTACCTTTCGGTTTTTTAATAATTCGTTTCTTTGTCGTTTTTGTCGTAAGTTTGCCAGTTTCATCTACAATTTGAGTGACTTGAACTTCTTCAGGAAGCTCCTCAATAACTTCAGTGTGTTCGAATACACCTGTATCAATTGGAGCTTCTTTTTCAAGTACTTTCACAGTAGTAATTGGTTCCTGATCTGGTTCCTCGACAGTTTCTATTACCGTTACTTCTTCCGTAGGTGCCTGCTGTTTTTTAATTATACGTTTCTTTACTGTTTTCTTAACCTTTTTGCCAGTTTCTGTAATAACTTCACTAACGCTTACTTCTTCTGGAAGTTCTTGGTGTACTGAACTTGCAATAGTTTTTTGGATAGGTCCATCAACAAGATATTGTGTCATAAATATTTCAGGTTCTTTGTCATCTTCTTCAATACATACAATTTCAGTATTTTCGGTAACACCGTCTTTCGGTTTTTTAATTAATCGTTTACGAACCGTGCGCTTCTTCGTTACATTATCTTTTGTGATGAATTCAGTGGTCACGGTTTCAGGCTCCTCAATTACTTCTAAAACAGTAGGAGTATCCTGAACATCTGAGGTTTCTTGTACTGTTACAGTGACAATAGGTTCCTGATCATCATATTGTACTGTTTCAATTTCTGTCACTTCCTCGGTGGGTGCTGTAATTTTCTTAATCACTCGTTTTCTAACCGTTTTCGTTGTTGGTTTGCCTTGTTTGTCTACACTTGGAACCAGTACCTTTTCTTCCGGTAATTCGTAAACACTTACATCTTTTTTCGACTTCTTACGAGTTTTTGGCTTTCGATCTTCTTCAAATTGCAGCGGTGTTAATTCAAGTTCTTCAGGTTCATAAACCCCTGTAGATATACCTTCAACTTCCCCTACTTTCAGTGGTTTCTTTTCTGGCGCTGGTGCATCTTTTGGTTTAGTGGGAATTGGTTTAAGAGATATATTTTCTGGTTCTTCTATTCTTTCGGGTATTTTACCTTTCCCTAGTTTTAATTTTCCAGCAGGCTCTTCTGGCTCTTTTGGCTTCTTTTCAGGTCTTTTGTATTTAGTTGTGTCGTCAATTTCTTCAGGTTGCACTTTTTTAGGGAATTCTATTTCTTCCAAGTTTTCTAAGTCATCCGTGCTATAATCCTTTCGTTTTGGACGCCGCTTCTTAGGTTTAATGTTTTCAGCTTCTTTAATATTTCGCGATAATATTCCATTATCTCTGTATACTTTGGGAAGATCTGTAACAAGTGGTAATTGATACTGCTCAGATTTAGATGGGAATTCAACATCTCGTATGCGACTTTTCAGCCTAAATTTAACGGGTTTTGGTTCCTTTAGTGGCTTCTTAGATGCAGGTTTCAATTTTCTTATCTTTGGTTCAACAACTTCTTTACCTTGATCAATTTTGCTTGTTTTTGGTTTTGGTTTTTTGATTGCTTCCGGTTTAAGTTTTTCGGGAGATTCCTGATCGACATCGTATTGAACTGTGGTGGTTTCATCTGGTTTTCCTTCTTCTTTTACTGTGACAGTTTCAATTACTTGCTGTGTGCCTTCGGATGGTTTTGTGATTTTGTGTTTCTTAGTAATCCTTTTCTTTGGCTTAGAAACTGTACCAACATCTTCAACAATAACGTCTTCGGTTACTGCTGTTACTGAAATGGGCTTTTCAGTATCGGAAATTATCTCATCATCTTCTTCAACAATGTAAGCTTCTGTCGGTTTATTTTCTTCTTCGACGGTTACTATGCTTGTAATATCTTGATTTCCAGCCGTAGTTTTTCTAATTCGTTTCTTCTTAATTGTCTTTTTACATACTTCTCCAGTAGGAGTAATAGTTTCAACTACTCGCACTAACTCTGGATACTCTTCAAGTGTTACACAAGCAGTCTCTGTTTCGGTGCCATCCATAAATGTCTCTAGTTCTTCTTCCGGCATATTATCATACTGCGGTAAAGATACAGCCTTCTTCACGATTTCCAATCTAAGTTGATCAATAACGTAATCTTCAGTGTCGTCAGCATCTTTGACAAGAGTGGGCACAAAAAGTATTTTCTCTTGTTTCTTCTTAGGTTTTCTCTTCTTACGTCTTTCGAATTCTTCTTTCTTAACTACTTCAACATGAACTGATGTTTCAGATGCTTTACCGTCTTCTTCAATTGTTTTAATTTCTGTTACTTCAATATTTGGCCCAATATCTTTGTGATAAACATTTTTAGTTGTTATTTTCTTTTTAGGTGTTTTACTATGAGTATCAATTTCAATTATTTGATCAACTTCTGGCATTTCCTCCACTATTGGAGATGCGTGGAGAATTTCTTCAGTAACTGGTTTATGTGAAATGTTCACTGAAGTATCAACAACCTGGCCATCTTCTTCGACGGTAACAATTTCAGTGTCTTGTGCCGTATCTCCTGTGCGTTTCCTTATCGTACGTTTCTTAATTATTTTCTTCACAACCTTTCCATCTGACGTCTCCGACTCAACAACGTTAATATTTAGTGGTAATTCTTCGACAGTTGCTACTTCAAACGAAGGTCCTTCCTGTGTAAAGGTAACCGAATGTGTGGGTTTATCACTTATTTTCGTTATCTTCTTTACCTTCTTTTTAATATCTTTTTTCGGCACATCTACAGTCTCTTCTTCAGATGGTTCTTTAGTTTCTGGGGTGTAAAGCGCTTTTTTGATAAACTCTAATCTCGCAGCATTTATCAATTCTTCCTCGGATTCTTGATTCTTATTAGCTAATGTAGGCACAAATAAGTACTTAGGTTCTTCTATTTCCGTAATTTCCTCAGTTAATTCAGCTGTTTTGTCAGTAGAGCCTTTGCGTTTCTTAATAATTCGTTTTTTAACAACTTGTTTTCGTAGTACTATCCCTTGTTACTACCTCAGAAACTTGCACCTGTTCCGGCATTTCCTCTATACATTCTGACTTCTGGAATTCAGGCCTTTCTAAGAAATGCACTTCCTCTTCAGGAAGTTCTTGTACAGTTACTGTAGTTTGGGGTTTCTTTCCTTCTTCTTCCAAAGTTACAATTTCTGTTGTTTCCTGTTTGCCTGCCTTACGTTTTTTAATGACTCGTTTCTTCACTACTTGTTTCTTGATGGTACCATCCCGGCTCACAACTTCAGTCACTTGGACTTGCTCAGGCATTTCTTCAATGTATTCCGGCTTTTTGAATTCAGGCCGTTCTACGAAAAGAACATCTTCTTCAGGAAGTTCTTGTACAGTTACTGTGGTTTCAGGTTTCTTCCCTTCTTCTTCCACTGTTACAATTTCCGTTGTCTCCTGTTTGCCACCTTTGCGTTTCTTGATGACGCGTTTCTTCACCACTTGTTTCTTGGTAGAACCATCTCTTGTTACGACCTCCGTAATTTGCACTTGTTCAGGCATTTCTTCGATATATTCTGGCTTTTTGAATTCTGGACGTTCCAAGAAATGAACTTCTTCTTCCGGAAGTTCTTGTACAGTTACTTTGGTTTCAGGTTTCTTCCCTTCTTCTTCCACTGTTACAATTTCCGTTGTCTCCTGTTTGCCACCTTTGCGTTTCTTGATGACGCGTTTCTTCACCACTTGTTTCTTGGTAGAACCATCTCTTGTTACGACCTCAGTAATTTGCACTTGTTCAGGCATTTCTTCGATATATTCTGGCTTTTTGAATTCTGGCCGTTCCAAGAAATGAATTTCTTCTTCCGGAAGTTCTTGTACAGTTACTGTGGTTTCAGGTTTCTTCCCTTCTTCTTCCACTGTTACAATTTCAGTTGTCTCCTGTTTGCCACCCATGCGTTTCTTTATGACGCGTTTTTTCACCACTTGTTTCTTGGAAGAACCATCTCTTGTTACGACCTCAGTAATTTGCACTTGCTCAGGCATTTCTTCAATATATTCTGGCTTTTTGAATTCTGGCCGTTCCAAGAAATGAACTTCTTCATCCGGAAGTTCTTGTACAGTTACTGTGGTTTCAGGTTTCTTCCCTTCTTCTTCCACTGTTACAATTTCAGTAGTCTCCTGTTTGCCACCCTTGCGTTTCTTGATGACGCGTTTCTTCACCACTTGTTTCTTCGTAGCGCCATCTCTTGTCACTACCTCGGTAATTTGCACTTGCTCAGGCATTTCTTCAATATATTCTGGCTTTTTGAATTCTGGCCGTTCTAAAAAGTGAACTTCTTCTTCCGGAAATTCTTGAACAGTTACTGTGGTTTCAGGTTTCTTCCCTTCTTCTTCCACTGTTACAATTTCAGTTGTCTCCTGTTTGCCACCCTTGCGTCTCTTTATGACGCGTTTTTTCACCACTTGTTTCTTGGTAGAACCATCTCTTGTTACGACCTTAGTAATTTGCACTTGCTCAGGCATTTCTTCAATATATTCTGGCTTTTTGAATTCTGGCCGTTCCAAGAAATGAACTTCTTCATCCGGAAGTTCTTGTACAGTTACTGTGGTTTCAGGTTTCTTCCCTTCTTCTTCCACTGTTACAATTTCAGTAGTCTCCTGTTTGCCACCCTTGCGTTTCTTGATGACGCGTTTCTTCACCACTTGTTTCTTCGTAGCGCCATCTCTTGTCACTACCTCGGTAATTTGCACTTGCTCAGGCATTTCTTCAATATATTCTGGCTTTTTGAATTCTGGCCGTTCTAAAAAGTGAACTTCTTCTTCCGGAAATTCTTGAACAGTTACTGTGGTTTCAGGTTTCTTCCCTTCTTCTTCCACTGTTACAATTTCAGTTGTCTCCTGTTTGCCACCCTTGCGTCTCTTTATGACGCGTTTTTTCACCACTTGTTTCTTGGTAGAACCATCTCTTGTTACGACCTCAGTAATTTGCACTTGCTCAGGCATTTCTTCAATATATTCTGGCTTTTTGAATTCTGGCCGTTCCAAGAAATGAACTTCTTCATCCGGAAGTTCTTGTACAGTTACTGTGGTTTCAGGTTTCTTCCCTTCTTCTTCCACAGTTACAATTTCTGTTGTCTCCTGTTTGCCACCCTTGCGTTTCTTGATGACGCGTTTCTTCACCACTTGTTTCTTTGTGGAACCGTCCCGTGTTACTACTTCAGTAACTTGGACTTGCTCCGGCATTTCTTCGATATATTCTGGCTTTTGGAATTCTGGCCGTTCTAAGAAATGAACTTCCTCTTCAGGAAGTTCCTGTACAGTTACTGTGGTTTCAGGTTTCTTCCCTTCTTCTTCCACAGTTACAATTTCTGTTGTCTCCTGTTTGCCACCCTTGCGTTTCTTGATGACGCGTTTCTTCACCACTTGTTTCTTTGTGGAACCGTCCCGTGTTACTACTTCAGTAACTTGGACTTGCTCCGGCATTTCTTCGATATATTCCGGCTTTTTGAATTTTGGCCGTTCTAAGAAATGAACTTCCTCTTCAGGAAGTTCTTGCACAGTTACTGTGGTTTCAGGTTTCTTCCCTTCTTCTTCCACTGTTACAATTTCGGTTGTCTCCTGCTTGCCACCTTTGCGTTTCTTGATGACGCGTTTCTTCACCACTTGTTTCTTTGTGGAACCGTCCCGTGTTACTACTTCAGTAACTTGGACTTGCTCCGGCATTTCTTCGATATATTCTGGCTTTTTGAATTCTGGCCGTTCTAAGAAATGAACTTCCTCTTCAGGAAGTTCTTGCACAGTTACTGTGGTTTCAGGTTTCTTCCCTTCTTCTTCCACTGTAACAATTTCTGTTGTCTCCTGTTTGCCACCCTTGCGTTTCTTGATGACGCGTTTCTTCACCACTTGTTTCTTGGAAGAGCCATCTTTGGTCACCACCTCAGTAATTTGCACTTGCTCAGGCATTTCTTCAATATATTCTGGTTTTTTGAATTCTGGCCGTTCTAAGAAATGAACTTCTTCTTCCGGAAGTTCTTGTACAGTTACTGTGGTTTCAGGTTTTTTCCCTTCTTCTTCCACTGTTACAATTTCTGTTGTCTCCTGCTTGCCACCCTTACGTTTCTTAATCACTCGTTTCTTCACTACTTGTTTCTTTGTGGAACCATCCCGTGTTACTACTTCAGAAACTTGGACTTGCTCAGGCATTTCTTCAATATATTCTGGCTTTTTGAATTCTGGCCGTTCCAAGAAATTAACTTCTTCTTCCGGAAGTTCCTGTACAGTTACTGTGGTTTCAGGTTTCTTCCCTTCTTCTTCCACGGTTACAATTTCTGTTGTTTCCTGTTTGCCTGCCTTACGTTTTTTAATGACTCGTTTCTTCACTACTTGTTTCTTGATGGTACCATCCCGGCTCACAACTTCAGTCACTTGGACTTGCTCAGGCATTTCTTCAATATATTCTGGCTTTTTGAATTCTGGCCGTTCTAAGAAATGAACTTCTTCTTCCGGAAGTTCTTGTACAGTTACTGTGGTTTCAGGTTTCTTCCCTTCTTCTTCCACTGTTACAATTTCTGTTGTCTCCTGCTTGCCACCCTTACGTTTCTTAATCACTCGTTTCTTCACTACTTGTTTCTTTGTGGAACCATCCCGTGTTACTACTTCAGTAACTTGGACTTGCTCAGGCATTTCTTCAATATATTCTGGCTTTTTGAATTCTGGCCGTTCTAAGAAATGAACTTCCTCTTCAGGAAGTTCTTGCACAGTTACTGTGGTTTTAGGTTTCTTCCCTTCTTCTTCCACAGTTACAATTTCTGTTGTCTCCAGTTTGCCAACCTTGTGTTTCTTGATGACGCGTTTCTTCACCACTTGTTTCTTGGTAGACCCATCTCTTGTCACCACCTCGGTAACTTGGACTTGCTCAGGCATTTCTTCAATATATTCTGGCTTTTGAATTCTGGCCGTTCCAAGAAATGAACTTCTTCTTCCGGAAGTTCTTGAACAGTTACGGTGGTTTCAGGTTTCTTCCCTTCTTCTTCCACTGTTACAATTTCTGTTGTCTCCTGTTTGCTACCCTTACGTTTTTTGATGACGCGTTTCTTCACCACTTGTTTCTTGGTAGACCCATCTCTTGTCACCACCTCGGTAACTTGGACTTGCTCAGACATTTCTTCAATATATTCTGGCTTTTCGAATTCTGGCCGTTCCAAGAAATGAACTTCTTCTTCCGGAAGTTCTTGTACAGTTACTGTGGTTTCAGGTTTCTTCCCTTCTTCTTCCACTGTTACAATTTCTGTTGTCTCCTGCTTGCCACCCTTACGTTTCTTAATCACTCGTTTCTTCACTACTTGTTTCTTTGTAGAACCATCCCGCGTTACTACTTCAGTAACTTGGACTTGCTCAGGCATTTCTTCAATATATTCTGGCTTTTTGAATTCGGACCGTTCTAAGAAGTGAACTTCTTCTTCCGGAAGTTCTTGTACAGTTACTGTGGTTTCAGGTCTCTTCCCTTCTTCTTCCACTGTTACAATTTCTGTTGTCTCCTGCTTGCCACCCTTACGTTTCTTAATCACTCGTTTCTTCACTACTTGTTTCTTTGTAGAACCATCCCGCGTTACTACTTCAGTAACTTGGACTTGCTCAGGCATTTCTTCAATATATTCTGGCTTTTTGAATTCTGACCGTTCTAAGAAATGAACTTCTTCTTCCGGAAGTTCTTGTACAGTTACTGTGGTTTCAGGTTTCTTCCCTTCTTCTTCCACAGTTACAATTTCTGTTGTCTCCTGTTTGCCACCCTTGCGTTTCTTGATGACGCGTTTCTTCATCACTTGTTTCTTTGTGGAACCGTCCCGTGTTACTACTTCAGTAACTTGGACTTGCTCCGGCATTTCTTCGATATATTCTGGCTTTTTGAATTCTGGCCGTTCTAAGAAGTGAACTTCCTCTTCAGGAAGTTCTTGTACAGTTACTGTGGTTTCAGGTTTCTTCCCTTCTTCCTCCACAGTTACAATTTCTGTTGTCTCCTGTTTCCCACCCTTGCGTTTCTTGATGACGCGTTTCTTCACCACTTGTTTCTTTGTGGAACCGTCCCGTGTTACTACTTCAGTAACTTGGACTTGCTCCGGCATTTCTTCGATATATTCTGGCTTTTTGAATTCTGGCCGTTCTAAGAAATGAACTTCCTCTTCAGGAAGTTCTTGCACAGTCACTGTGGTTTCAGGTTTCTTCCCATCTTCTTCCACTGTTACAATTTCTGTTGTCTCCTGCTTGCCACCTTTGCGTTTCTTGATGACGCGTTTCTTCACCACTTGTTTCTTGGTAGAGCCATCTCTTGTCACTACCTCGGTAATTTGTACTTGCTCAGGCATTTCTTCAATATATTCTGGCCGTTCTAAGAAATGAACTTCTTCTTCCGGAAGCTCTTGTACAGTTACTGTGGTTTCAGGTTTCATCCCTTCTTCTTCCACAGTTACAATTTCTGTTGTCTCCTGTTTGCCACCCTTGCGTTTCTTGATGACGCGTTTCTTCACCACTTGTTTCTTTGTGGAACCGTCCCGTGTTACTACTTCAGTAACTTGGACTTGCTCCGGCATTTCTTCGATATATTCTGGCTTTTGGAATTCTGGCCGTTCTAAGAAATGAACTTCCTCTTCAGGAAGTTCCTGTACAGTTACTGTGGTTTCAGGTTTCTTCCCTTCTTCTTCCACAGTTACAATTTCTGTTGTCTCCTGTTTGCCACCCTTGCGTTTCTTGATGACGCGTTTCTTCACCACTTGTTTCTTTGTGGAACCGTCCCGTGTTACTACTTCAGTAACTTGGACTTGCTCCGGCATTTCTTCGATATATTCCGGCTTTTGAATTTTGGCCGTTCTAAGAAATGAACTTCCTCTTCAGGAAGTTCTTGCACAGTTACTGTGGTTTCAGGTTTCTTCCCTTCTTCTTCCACTGTTACAATTTCGGTTGTCTCCTGCTTGCCACCTTTGCGTTTCTTGATGACGCGTTTCTTCACCACTTGTTTCTTTGTGGAACCGTCCCGTGTTACTACTTCAGTAACTTGGACTTGCTCCGGCATTTCTTCGATATATTCTGGCTTTTTGAATTCTGGCCGTTCTAAGAAATGAACTTCCTCTTCAGGAAGTTCTTGCACAGTTACTGTGGTTTCAGGTTTCTTCCCTTCTTCTTCCACTGTAACAATTTCTGTTGTCTCCTGTTTGCCACCCTTGCGTTTCTTGATGACGCGTTTCTTCACCACTTGTTTCTTGGAAGAGCCATCTTTGGTCACCACCTCAGTAATTTGCACTTGCTCAGGCATTTCTTCAATATATTCTGGTTTTTTGAATTCTGGCCGTTCTAAGAAATGAACTTCTTCTTCCGGAAGTTCTTGCACAGTTACTGTGGTTTCAGGTTTCTTCCCTTCTTCTTCCACTGTTACAATTTCGGTTGTCTCCTGCTTGCCACCTTTGCGTTTCTTGATGACGCGTTTCTTCACCACTTGTTTCTTTGTGGAACCGTCCCGTGTTACTACTTCAGTAACTTGGACTTGCTCCGGCATTTCTTCGATATATTCTGGCTTTTTGAATTCTGGCTGTTCTAAGAAATGAACTTCCTCTTCAGGAAGTTCTTGCACAGTTACTGTGGTTTCAGGTTTCTTCCCTTCTTCTTCCACTGTTACAATTTCTGTTGTCTCCTGCTTGCCACCTTTGCGTTTCTTGATGACGCGTTTCTTCACCACTTGTTTCTTGGTAGAGCCATCTCTTGTCACTACCTCGGTAATTTGTACTTGCTCAGGCATTTCTTCAATGAACTCGGGCTTTTTGAATTCTGGCCGTTCTAAGAAATGAACTTCTTCTTCCGGAAGTTCTTGTACAGTTACTGTGGTTTCAGGTTTCTTCCCTTCTTCTTCCACTGTTACAATTTCGGTTGTCTCTTGTTTGCCACCCTTGCGTTTCTTGATGACGCGTTTCTTCACCACTTGTTTCTTGGTAGAGCCATCTCTTGTCACTACCTCGGTAATTTGTACTTGCTCAGGCATTTCTTCAATATATTCTGGCTTTTTGAATTCTGGCCGTTCTAAGAAATGAACTTCTTCTTCCGGAAGTTCTTGTACAGTTACTGTGGTTTCAGGTTTCTTCCCTTCTTCTTCCACTGTTACAATTTCGGTTGTCTCCTGTTTGCCACCCTTGCGTTTCTTGATGACGCGTTTCTTCACCACTTGTTTCTTTGTGGAACCATCCCGTGTTACTACTTCAGTAACTTGAACTTGCTCAGGCATTTCTTCAATATATTCTGGCTTTTTGAAGTCTGGCCGTTCTAAGAAATGAACTTCTTCTTCCGGAAGTTCTTGTACAGTTACTGTGGTTTCAGGTTTCTTCCCTTCTTCTTCCACCGTTACAATTTCGGTAGTCTCCTGTTTGCCACTCTTATATTTTTTGATTACTCGTTTCTTCACTACTTGTTTCTTTGTGGTTCCATCCCTGTCCACTACTTCAGTTACTTGAATTTGTTCCGGCATTTCTTGAATTATGATGCTAGAACTTGCTTCATTAGCTTGAGGCAATTCTACATGTTCAGATGCATCTAATTCCTCATCAATGATGACATCACCCTCTTGCATACTACCTTTCTTTTGCTTTAAAATTGTTCGTTTTGTTTTAGTAGTTACTGTTGTGTCTGTGCCAGGTATGGTTTTAAATGTAGTGATGATTTCTTCTTTAGTGTGCTGTGTGTTGGTTATGTCAGTTCTAACGTCTGGCATCTGTTCGAGTGCAGTTTGCGTATTCATTGTAGATGGAATCTGTGTAATTTTTGGACGTGTGGTGTGTAATGCATAGTCATCCAATTCACCTGTAAGTATCATTTAATGTAAGTGGAATGCAGTAGTATGTTTAGTGCCTGAACTTAGTGTGCATTTGTTGTGTAATTTGGTTCGCGGCCCGATTGTGATGTTCTATTCTTTACTTAACCCTAATCCTAAACCTTAGATATACATAGGGAATAGTGTGCCAATACTCACCCTCGTGTTCGTTAGGAAGTACTTCATGTAGTACTATGCTTGCAGATTTGTCGGGAACTAATACTTTTACAGCTTTTTTCTGATTATCTTCGAAAGAATGTAAGGATTCCAGACTACCTGTTGCGTCTACACATGTTACTTGTAAGCTATGTTGTTCGAGCGCACTTGTATTTGCTTTTTCTGTAGCCATTTTCTTGTCAATTATTTTGTCTGGTGCTTGAATTGATTCAACTTCTTCTTGTAGCGCAACTTGACGTTCAACAAAACTCGGTTTAACAATATTTTCGTCAGCTTTGCGAATCATCACATTTGAACCTTCTGTTTCGTGTGCTTGTATTTGAGTTACTTCTACTGACTCCCGTGTATCAATATTAACATTCACTACTTGCAGCGATCTTTCTTCGACAGGGAGCATAGTTTCAGTTTCAATTGTTGAAACAACTGATGTGGTTAAACCATCAAACGTGGTTTGCTTTTGATGTGCCTTTGTTGTGGAATGCTCCTTGTTGACAAAGTCCTGAATGGTTGTCATAGTCATCGTTTCAAATTGTTCCAAATGCTTACTCTCTGGTATAACTGCAGTAGCTTTATCAGGTATAACGCTAGCTGGCTGTAGTTTATTGCCTACTTCTTCTGAGTATACTTCAGTCACATTCAGTGGAAGTGCTTGAGACTGGCTTACACCAGCTGTTTCCTTATTCGGCATACTTGGAGCTTTCGATAGCAAGTCTTCTTTTTCAGCAGACTGCGTGCTCGTGACAGATACCGATTCCATCGTTAACTGAGATTTATTTGCTGTAGCAGTAGTGGGCATTTCTGTTTTCATTTGATCATAGCTTTCACTTGCAACTGTTTCAGCTTTTACAACAACTTCTTGAACATTAAAATCAATCTGTGCATTGGAACCAGTAAATGATGGCTTTCCAGCATATTCTTGCTCCTTGTTATGGGTAGTTGTTTCAGATATAGTGATATGTTTTAATGGTACTAAAATTTGTTCTGCAGATTTGGTTAATAGCTCAGTGGCTTCGAAAACAGATTCCTTCTCCTGAACGTGTTTCTCAGATGTTATAATACCTTCTCTGAATTCTGAATCTTGAATTAGTTGAGCTTTCTCATTTTGACGTTCTGCTTGAGATAAGTCTCCAATATTTGACTGAGTTGTAATTTCAGTTTGAATAACAGACTCGAGTTCTGTATAACCAGGCAAAGCTTTTCTAGTATCATAACTTTGATCTTCAACACTAATTTCTTTTTCCTCTGGTAATATTTCACTAACATGAATTGGTTTGTTCTCTTCAAATGTTGTTGTAGCAAGTGAAGAATCAAACACAGGTTTTTGTGTGAACTCTTTTTCTTGTTCATGAATAATAAGCTCACTAGCAATGACACTTTCACGATTGTCCATTGTTACGTTGGCCTCTGTGGTTGTGTGCTCAATTGGAGCAAATTGATTGATTGATTCCAACGGACGATTCTGTGTTCTTTCTACAGCTTGCATTGTGTTTATTTCAGTGGAAGCCCTTTCAGTACTAGCTATTTTAGTGTCTAGATCACCTTCTACACCTGAAGTTAAAACTTCTGAAATAGTCAAACCTACAAATTCATCAACACTTTTAACGGCATTTTTAGTTAAAGGTTCCACAGTGTTTAAATCTCCCTCTTTGTCAATAGCTAAAGGCTGCGAATGTATTACAGATTGATGCTCTGTTTGGGCTTCTTGCGCCATAACTTTATTTGGTTCTTGAATGTCTAACGATTCTACATTATCACTTGAAGTAGTAATGCTAGTTTGAATATTTATTTTCTCTAGAATATCAAAAGTAGCCTTGCTGGTTTTTGGCTTTGGCGATCCTTCGAAAGATACTTCGTTTTCATTTGCTACAGTCTCTGAAATTGCAACGCCTTGGTGGCCTTCTAATGCAAAATCAGCTTTTTTCGTATCATGTTTTTTATCCAATGCTAAATCCGTTTCTTTTTCTTGTATTATCGGTTGCGAAGAAACGACGCTTTCTAATGCCACCACATTAACATTTGCTGAATCTTTAGACACTACAGCTGCTGTTATACTTTCTGATACCGAGCCCGCTGCGTGAACTTCAGTTTTCTCTGCAATTTCTAAAGTACTTACTGAAGTTATAGCCTTTTTATTTTCAGGAGTAATTGCGGTTTCTAATATTCCCTCTTTATTATCTGAAGTTACTTCAGTTGTAATTTGAACACATTTTCCTTGTTCTAAAGCAATTTTTGCTTCGCTCATTTCAGGTTTAAACTTTCCTTCAAAATCTTGCTCCCTGTCTTCTAGAATTTTCTCCGTTACGGTAACACTAGAGTAAAGCTCTTGTGTTGGCTGAACAGTTTCAGAAACAGTAGGTTTAATTTTCAATGTATCTAAGGAGTCTGATGTCAAGATTCTTTCTTGTTGAACTGCTAGTTCATGTACATCAATATTGACATTGGCTATTTTAGGTTCGACGCTTTGCAAGGATTCGTAGATTTCCTCTTTTTCGGCTGTAACAACATTGTCTATCATTACCGATGCTTGGTTGTCTAGCTTTACATCAGCTTTATGCGAGGGATGCTTTTCGGTTGGTTGTAAAATTGTTTCGACTTCATTTACTATTGTTTCTGACTGTGTGGGTGTCACGTATGGTTGAATTTCTTTGTTAGCTGAAATTGGTACAATTACTGTGTCTTCAAATGTGTTTAAGTGATAATTGGAAATGATTTCCTTGTTTGTGGCCACTTGCCCCAAATCTCCAAGTACGGTGGTAACTGTTTTCATTTCAGGTTGTTCTTTTAACGATAAATCGGATTCCTTTTCAGATATTATAACTGTTTCAACATTTACACTGAAGTCCTGATCGTATCCAATTTGTGCTGTAGACTTTTGTACATGTTCACTTGTATAATCGTGTTCTTGTTCGGTAATGCATGTTTCCAATTTTGATGCAATTGGTAGAGCAGATATCGCTAGTTCTGCTTGTGTTTTGTCAGGCGACTTTTCCGAAAAGTCCCTAATTGTATCTGATACACTGGTTTCAAAGATTTGTAAACTTTCCAAATTGTCCTGCTCTTTTGATGCTAATTGTAAAATTGGTTGTGTGGGACTGTCATACTGCATCTCTTTATCACCACTCATAACTTCTGTTATCATCAAGGTGTTTTTAGGTACATAATCCATGCCAGCTTGTTCTTGCTTTATAGTTTCTTCTTCAAAGTATTTTTCATTTTCAGAAACGACTAGTTCTGTTTGAATAATACTCTCCATTGTAACTGGTTGTTGGCTTGCTTGTGTTAAAACAGGTTCATGCGGTGTATGAACACCAGTTGATCCCTGCAATACAGTGAACTGGCTCTCAGCAACCATCTTGTGTGAAAATTCAGCATTAGCTTTAACTTCATCTGGTTTTGCTTTTGGTTTAAATTCATCTTCTTGTTCTGCTGTCAATGTTTCAGTAACATGGACTGTAATCTGCTCATCTACATTTACGTTCGCCGTTTTGCCTGTAGGTGCGACTGCTGATAAATCCATTTCAGCTTCGATACTTATAACTTCACTTTGAATCAAACTTTTTAATTCCGTGTGACTCAGATTAGCGATATCTTCCACTGGCGATATTTTGTCAAATTTAGTAAACGTGTCCAAAACATTCGTTACCTGACTCTCCGCAATTTGCGGGGGGTTTATATTAGCCTCTGCTTTTTGCACATCAGGTAATTCATCCTTTTGTAAATCTTTTTCTTGTTCACAGATTACCACTGATGTAATACCAACACCTTCACCAAGTTCAATATTGGTAAGTGGAGACTTTTCTTCAACAGGTGCTTTTTCAAATATACCTTCCTTTTCTTGAACAATAGATTGTGTTTGTGATATGCTTTCTAATAATGTTTGTGTTATATTTGCTTTTGATTTTTCGTGTGTATCTTCAACACTCATCTGCTTTGTTGTATCTTCTGTTATAACTTGTGCTTTCATAGCAACACTATGTACATCAATGTTGGGTGCTCCAGTTTCTGATTTTGGTTTTTCGGCAATATCTAATACATTTTCCAATTCAAGCGGTTCTGCTTGTGTAATTACAATGCTTTCCCCAAGCTCATAGGTAACATTGCTTTGTTTAGCATTGGGCTTTTCTTGTGAAACTAATTCAGCTTCTTTTTCTTCAATCAAAGCCTCAGTTTGAATTAAATGAATTTCAGTATCTTGCTGTTTACGAGCTACATCACTTACTACATCCAATTTCTGAAAATCGCCAAGTTGATTATTAGATATAACTTCTTGAATTTGCGCTACGCTTTGTGCAGTAATATTTGCTTCCGCAACTTTTTCGTCTTGAATTGGTAAGGTTACGATGTCTTCTTTCTCGTTTGAGATTACTTCCGTAACTACCAACTCAGACCCTGGTAAAATATTGACCGTAGCCGATTTCTTATCAGGGAATATTTGCTCCTCTAACGCTTTATGCACTTCTGTTGCATTTGCTTCAGTAACAATCAATTCTTGATTGGGTGTAGCGTATTTCTTTGCTTTACCTGTTAAAATTTCAGGTTCGGTTATATGATCCGCATGTGTCACAGTTTCCTGTTGCTCTTGCAAATATGCTTCAGAAATAGACACGCCTGTTAAAGCTGTAGCAGATAAAGGCTTACTGGACATTATAAGTTCTGATTCTTTTTCATTTGCATGAACCTGTGAAATCGACATTGATATTTCAGAATCGGTTATGTCAACATTTGCCGATTGTGAATCAGGCATAATTAAAGTCTCCTTAGACTGTTCTTTTTCTATTGTCTGAAATTGCGAAACTTGCAAATGAGAATGAATATAATGACCAGGTTGCGCTTGAGCATCATTTACAGGCGATTTTTCGAATTCGGCAGGGACGTCGGAAGCATGCACTTCAGTTTTGCAGGCAATTGGTCTACCTTCAAGCTGAGATTCTGGTTGTATTAAATCTGTTGTATGGGCAACGATATAGTCACCTTCTTTGTCATGTACTTCAGTTTCTTGTACGCTGAAGGTTTCTGAAGGTGATATTTCCATATTAGCCTTTTGACCAATTTGAACATCATCCTTTCTAGGTTCAAATGTCTCGTTTACATTTGGTGCAGAAATAACAGTACTTTCATAACACTCTTGGAGCGTTTTAGCTGTAACTGTCTTATCGAGTTGATCAGATAAATTACCAAGAGCATTTTCTGGCACTGTTTCTTCTGCAACACCAGTAGAAAGAAAATGCGTAGGACATGGTTTGCCCTTATTCGAATCAGGCAGTTCAAATTTCTCTAGAGCATGTTCCTTTTCCATAGAAGATTGCTCTTGTACGAGAAGTTCCGTATTCATGCCGCTCAAGCTATACGTACCCGTTTCACCCTGCAAAGTATCTCTCTGATAGACAGATTCTTTGTCGGCTGATTGAGTCATTGTAATTTCTTTAGCTTCAATGGTTGTTAGATTCGGTGTAGCCAATTGTGTTTGGAATACAAATTGTCCACTAAATTCCGCGGGGAAATCACTACTTTGAATTTGCGTCGTGGTAATACCTTCAACTTGAGTTACCGATTTACTAGCTTGAGCAGATGACGGCGCTTTATCTTTTGGCATATCTCCTTCTTTTTCTTGAACGATTAATGCGAATGTATCACTGACTTCTAAGCATGTGATTGAACTTTCGCCTGTTTTTCCTTCAGGTAGTTCACCTCTGGTGAAAATATCATCACATTCGCAGGGTGTGTTACTTTGAACCATAACAGTTTCTTTTGGAATAAAATCAACATTCGCGCGCTCGTTTTCATATGATAAAGTTTCTATATCTTTTGATGGCATTTGAGAATCAGTTGTGCTCGAAATAAGCCCTTCCATTAATTCAAATCCTGGTTTTGCTGTTGATTTAATTGGTTCTGGAGCACCTTCAAATTGAACTTCATTTTCTTCTGTTCGTGTCTCACTAACAGTCACGCTTGCGTCTAATTCAATTGATACAGCGGACGTTTGAGTAGGTGCTCGTTTATCCGGTTCATAAGCACCGGTTAGTTCCGGTGCGTGAACTTCCATGGTTGTTAATTCTCTTTGTGGTATTATATTTTTATTCGCAACTTCTGTTGCGACAAATGCTTCGGGCATATGTTTTCCTGGTTTTGTTTCAGTCACAACTTCTTCTACAACCAAAGATTGAACTTCATTAACGTCAATTTTTGGTTTTGCTGGTACTGGTTTTGTAACACTTAAACTTGTTTCTGAGTCACCTTGTTGAATTTCTTGAATCTCTACACTTTCTTTCAGTTCGTAACCTGGCGATGCCTGAAAACTTTTAAACGATGGCGTTTTTTCAAAATCGATTTCTTTCTGCGAAATCTCAATTTCTGAAACATGTGTAGCTTCTTGCATTAACACCGTGACGTTCGCTGTATCGCTTTGATGCTCATCGCTTTTATATTCATTCGGAAAATCGTTGGTTTTTATTTCTGATACGGTGACGGAAGTATTTGTAACGATGTTAGGTGTTGCATTCACACTGGCAGGTTTAAACGTTTTATCGAACTTGCCCGACGTGTTTACCGGATTAATCTCTGTAATTTGATATGTTTCTAAAGTGTCAAGAGTTTTGATTGCGTTTGTACAAGTGCTGGGAACATGTTTTCCGTCTTGTTCTGATTCGGAAGCTAAAGTTTCTTCTTTGGTAATAGCAGTATATGGCAGGACGTCTACAACAGCATTACCTACTTCACCTTGTCCAGTTTGTATTTGTGTAATTTGTCGTGTTGAAACAGTTTCGGATATAATTCTAGATTGGTCAAGTGGTACTTGTTTTTCAGTTTTTGGGGCAAATGTTTGTAAAGGTTTGAGTTCGTCTTCATCAACATCTTCTTCCATTTCAGTGGAATTAAATTTCCGCATTGCTTTTTTAGATTTTCTGGCGGTTATCTCTTCGACAACTTCAACTTCTTCAACAATATCTTCCTTCTCTTTAGTTGGGATCGACTTACTCTTGGTTTTCTTTGTCTTTTTGATTATTTTTGTGCGTTCGTTTTCGTTCGTTTGTATTGTTTCTTTCTTGTCAACATGGGAGATGTCTGATGTTTCATGTGTAGTGTCAGAGTCAGACAATTCTGTGATCTGTACTCCATCGTTAATATGTGCTGTGTGCTCGGCCATTTTGATGGCTTTTTGCTCAGTTTCCTCTTGAATGGTTTCTGTGAAAGTGTACCGTTTTGGAATTGTGGTAAAAAAACTGATTTAATAATTAACTAATCTACTCAAGTGTTGAGGCGAATATACAGCGGCGAATATACATTTATAGATCAAGTGTATTAGGCTTTCAGTGTAAAGCATTAGGTCAATAGTAATAGTAATAGTAAATTGTAAGAATATTGCATAGAATAAATATATACAAGATAGTATGGTAATAAATAAGAGATATGTTGAAGTTTTTGGGCGCATGGAAGTTGAATATATACAATGTGTATTTTACTTTAGATGACAATAACTGTTAGAACTCACCTATGAACAAATGCTCCGTCAGTAAGCCATGCAGAGTTGGTTTAGTTGCATATGATTCAGCGTTGATTAATTAAGCCAACAATTGATAGCATTGATTGATGCTAACTTGCATATTTCCACCGAGGTGGCAACACATTGTTTTTTAAAGCGACTGCAGTATGATGATAATATTTACAGCACTCATGATTTTATAATACACACTCAAAAATATTGTTTTCTTACCGACAATCTCATCTTCATTCTTAAATCGTAATTTTTTAACTTTCTTCTGACCTGGAATGTCAACACTTTCGTATTACAATATGTTCTTAATAATTCTACACTTTCCGCAATTCAAAGCTTATCTGGATTAATAGCGTTTAGCGTATGGAAACCGAAACTCATTCCATATAAGAATAATATTTAACTTAATATTATATTCCTAAGGCACACAATGACCACTCACAGACTTACCGGTTAATACTTGAATACGTTCAGCAAACTGCGCAGTTTCAGTTGCACCGTGTTTGGTTGTTTCCTGATGAGATCAACAATTTCATTAAAATAATCATATTATTGTGTTGATAATACCTCTAGCACTTCTGTAATTTCCCAAGCGTGAGTAATGAAGTCATCAGGTTTAAACAACGTGATCACTTCTTCCACTGTTGCGTATTTCAATTCTACCATCTTCATGAATGCCCTAAATCCAACTGTTGCAGCCATGACCTTCTCATCAACCGTTGTTTCCTCTGTAAGGACTTCTGAAATGAGCGGACCATAACCCTTTCGCTCAACGACGTTAACCATAGCTGATTGGGATTCTGGTGTTTTTAAGTATGGGAATTTGTCTTCGTTGTACAACACCGTGACTTCTTTGACTGTAATTCCATTGCGAACTAAATAACCAATTTCGGCTAATTCCCTCAAAGGATTCTCGCCAGGTCCGAATTCCTTGACGCGAATAAAGTCAAGCACTTCGCTTACTTCCTTAGCCATGCGAATTTCTTCATTGATGATAATTTCTTCTACTCGCTTGATAACTTCTTCGAGATTAACTTCAGTTACAACAACTTCTTCGGATACACTTTCAGATGTCTTGGTTTTGGCTGTGCGTGATTTTGGTTTATGTTTATCTACTTCACCCAAATCGGTATCTGTATGTATCTCAGACACAGATAAGGATTCCTTTGTTGAAATAATGGTCTTAGCCGTTTGCGAAAACTCTTCTGTGGTTTCTTCTGTATCATCGATTTTCTTACATGCCGCCGTTGCTTCAGTAGACACAGGTTGTAAAACAGGTATAATAGGAACTGCTTTATCTTTTGGTTTTGGTTGTTCCTTAATTTCTTCAGCTTGTTCGACCGCAACAACTTCTTTGACATCCAATGGTTTAATCTCTTCACTTGTTAATGAGCCTCGTTGACGACGGCGAAGTTCACGCGATTTCTCAACGCGAACCTTTTCCTTTTTAATTTTCTCCACCTTCTGCTGAGCCTTTTTAAGTCTAATATCTTGTTTTTGTTCTTCGGTTATTTCTTGCACATTTAGTTTGGCCTTTGTGACAGCCAGTCCAATGTCACTCTGAGCTTTGCACACGTACGTACCAACATCTTCTATGGTAACGTCTTTGATCGTGCACAAGGTCCTGTTATCTTCAATTCTGATCTTAACTCTTTCTGTGTTTCTTACGATCTTATCATCATGGTACCAAATTATATCTAAACACATAATGGTTATCCTTCACCCAAGCATAAGTTTTTATTAGTTTTTACCTGGTTGTGGTGTTCCGGAAAACACACATTCAAACACAACATCTTCTTCTTCCGAAGCGTGAACGTTTGTAATTTCCTTAACAAATGTGGGAACGCTGTGTGCGGCTATGAATAGATTAAATATATGTTAATTTGTATAAATTTATACACAAAATACACAAAACACACGGGTTTATAAGTGTTCAATGATTTATTCAATTTAATTAATATCACAATCAAACGACAAAACAGTAATAAATTATTATGTTAGCAAAAACGCATTGTCAGTTATTACTATCGTCAAATGCAGAAGCTAATCCTCGACCATGCGAATTTGATACACAAGCGCTTTCAAGCAATAAAAATTCTTGCAGCTCTTCTTGGCTATCAACGGTATGCAATTGATTGAATGCACTTGGGTCCAATTCACGTGGCTCAAATGGATACATTGTATTACACTGAAAGCCAGCATTCTTTTTTTGTTTTGCGCGAGGAAACGTATCAAACTTATCGTGCAACAAGTATTCAACATCCGATGGAATAGGGTCACACGATACTGAAAGGGATTGCACGTTGCTTGCGCAATCAGCCGTGCCTTCAGTAGAAGGCTCGCTATATTCTTCAATTGGTGATAAAGTATAGAAACAGTTAGTATCATGCGAGTATCTTCGTGGTTTTTCAATTGGCTTATAGTCGATCGATTCAATGTCATCTGATTCTACTCGAGTATAATCGTTTGATGATGATTCGGGAATAGCGGAACTATTAAGCAATTCCATTACAGAGCTGATGGAATGTCTGTGAGAGTTTAAATATTCATCCATTGCTGATTTAACAAAATTTGATTTTTTACTTTTTGGAAACGGATCGCTACAAATTGATGTTACCGAACGTTCGGAAGAAACTGAGTTAGAATCAGACGCAGATGAGTAATTTAAATAAAATTGATCTGGTGGCACATTGCGATAATTGATTATATCTAAAGATGGAGCATCAACATATCCATCATTTACATAGGGTGCGGCATCTAAACTATCTAACGACAAATCACTGGGCAAAACTGACATGCAACTGCTTTTCGATCCTTCGTTACCTTTTAGTGCAGCTTGAAGCTCCTCCATGTGGGTTACCCATTCCGGTTTGCGATACATTTTTGTGCCAACAATGCCTAATAAGAAATATCAAATTAATGCTTGTTTTTATTCATTTTGACGGATGAAAAGTTTGTGTGTAGTTCTTAGTAAAAAGAGGAAAAAAGGGATAGAAATCATTTCATTTTATACAACCTGAAAAAGAGCTAGATTAGTGAACAGATAAAAACGTATTAAATCACCTTCAACGCTTTCAACCATTAATTGTGTGGAAGTCACTGCCACACCTAGCTCATTTTGAGCTTCAAATACAATATCTCCGGTGTCATCAGGATACACTTCAGATATCGTGAGCACCGAGGTACCATCTTCGAAATTCTCAATAACAAATTCATTGGACGGTTTTATTTCTTCATCGTGCTTTAGCCATTTTCCCTTTGGCATTGGTTTGCCAATTGCCTTTACTTCCAATCTTTAAAGTAAATGTAATATTAAAAATCAAATTGTTTCACACTTGTTAAATTTAGACTATACCTTGTAATGTCACCATCTTTAGTTGAGATTACTTCTGGTAATTTCTTGATTATTTTCGGCGCACATTCATCATCAGATAGAACATCTAAATCGCTCAACGTCTGTAATGAATCAGAATATAAATAAAATGTAGTACTTTAATATTATTTGTAATATACTTTATCTGCAATTAGATCTTCTTCAGATTCAGATGGACCAGTCATTAGTCCTATCTCAGAGTCCGGAACGTATTCATATGCTGTAAAAATAGTTTATTAAGAACACAATTAAAAATTTTGTAAATATTGTAATATTTACCTTCAACTATTAATGATGATTTACATATTGCTTTTCCTACTTTGTTATTGACTTCACAGGAGTATTCCCCTGCATTTTCCGGGAAAACTTCGGAAATAGCTAAACTGCATACACCTTCCGAATCTTGCATGATCAGTACGTCTTTAGCTTGTTGAACTACTTCATTATTATGGTACCATGTAACCTTGGGTGTTGGTTTTCCAGACACTACACATGTAAATTGTACTTTTTCTCCATCCATTACTCTCTGTGGTGTAATTTGTTGGACGAATCGAGGATATTCAATCTCTTGTGTAACTTGCCAGTCCATTTCTTCAACGACATCCAGGGTAGCTGTGCAAGATACAGAACCAACCGCATTTTCAGCACGACATGTAATCAAACCAGCAAAATCAGAATCAACGTCGTTAATAACCAAGATGGATCTGTTTTCGACGGTAGATATGCGAATATCAGGTGATGATTGTATTGGAAATGATCCCTGATACCATTGGAATGTGGCTGTGGGCGATGCTTCGACATTAGCTTCAACCACAACCACTTCACCGGGTGTAACAATTTGAGGGTAAATAGGTTTGATGAAACGTGGTGCCTGTGAGCTTAATATTTCTTCGTCATCGGTTATCATTACAGATCCACCCGATCTGGTTTCACCCTTCTCATTTGTAATGCGAACTTCATACTTCCCACTTTTTTGTGGTGCATCTTTAGAGATAACAAGTTTGGATTTCTTGTCTTTTGTTGTAATGGTATAATTGTTATCTGTTTGAAGAACCTTATTGTTTCGTACCCATTTAGTTTCCAGTTCTGGCGAACCATCAAATTCTACATCAAGTACAAGATCTTTTCTTGGTTTGCTAACCACTGCTTCTACAGGTTTTGTTATTCTTGGCGCAACCAAAACTACCGGTTGAGTAACTCGTACTGCTTTGGATGGTGTAATATTTGTGCGACATTCCGCTTTTCCAAATTTGTTATCAGCAATGCAACTTATAATTGCTTCTTCTGTTAAGGGTTCAAGTAATTCTAGTGTTGTAACTCCTGTTTGTGGATTGAATGTAATTTTGGTCTTCTTGTCTGGCTTAATCTCTTGACTTGCGTTGAACCACTTGATATTTGGTGTTGGTTTGCCAACTACGGCGCACTCGAGCATTGCAGTTTGTCCTTGCTCGATGAACTTGGGTTTGAGTGGCTTGGTAAACCGTGGGGCAATTCCGCTTTCTTCTTTTTCTATTTTGAAAGCAATATATTAGTATAAAAGTAAATGTTTTAATACAAATAACAACAATTGAAATCAAACAAACTCAATTTACCAGATTATTAAAACGTTATAACTTGAAAATGAAAACAACAAAAAACACCTTGTTAGCTTCAAAGTACATGATTAAAAGCTTAAAACGTAGAAAGCATTAAACAACACACAATAATACGAAATATTATACCTAGTATTATTAAATTCGCTGTTGATGTGGCAACACCAGCGAGGTTTGTTGCTTTGCAAGAATAAATAGCAACATCAGTGGGTTCCACTCGTGAAAATTCAAGTGCCACAGTATTTTCGGTAACGCGTACAAATACTCGTTGTCCAGTTTGTAATAACTGCTCATTCTTGTACCATTCAACATTTGGGAATGGTGTTCCTTCAACTTTACAAACAAGGCGAGCAGGTTTGTTCTTTTCAGCAGCAATTGGTTCAACGCGTTGTATAAACCGAGGAGCTTTTGGCTTATCAATGGTAATTCCAACTTCAGAAACCATTGTTTGTTCAACACTTTTTCTCACCGCTTTGTTAATCTCCTTGACAACCACTTCTCTCTGTACATTTTCCTCGGCTACTTTATCGGTCACCTCAGACACGCGTTTTTGTGATACCAATTCAATTTCTGGAATTGGTCCTTGATCGTTGTCTTGAACAACTTTTTGTCTGACTTTCTGTACTTTCTTTGATATGGTACTTGTTTTGGTTTCTTTTTGGAAAGTAGCTGTTTGTACTTCTTCTTCTTTCGGAATTGGTTCTTCCACTTTCGGTTTTTCTTTCTTTTGTACCACATCGCGTTTCTCGATCAAAGTTATTTTTGTTTCGGACTGAAGATTTTCTGTTTCAACTGGAGTCAAAACTTCGGTGTCTTCTAATTTTGTTGGAATTAATTTAGGTTTAGGTTCTTCTTGGGGTTTTTCAATTTCTTCAGGTTTTTCGTGTTTGGGTTTTTGTTTTCTCCAGGGAGTTGGTTTAAATTTGATTGGTTCATCATCCGGTATTTCTGATGTGGGTATGTCATCTACAGGCTTTTTGAAGGAATCATCTACTTCCTTATCTTTTGGAATTGGTACAGTTTTTGGGATTGGTTTAAGTTGTATTTTTTCTTCTGGTTCAGGTGATTTTGGTCTTCTTTTACCAGTAGGCCATTTCTTTTCTTCTTGGACTTCTTCTGGTACTTGCTTCGGTTGCCTTCGCCAAGGTGGCAATGATTTATCCTTTTCTTCAGGTTGTTCAACTGGTTTCTTAACTGGTTCAGGTAAAGCTTTTTCTTCGGGCTCTTTCTTTATAGGTTCTGACGGTTTGAACGGCTGCAAAGTCACTTCTTCGGGTTCTGGATGTTCGAAATCTTTAACTGGTTTATGTGACTTTTTAACTTCTTTAGGTTTTTCAGGTTCAATTACTCTTTCTGGTTTAGAAATTGGTTTCAAAATTACTTCCTCTTTAATATCTTCTTGAATCGGAATCTTTCCTTTGCCAATTATAATTTTATTTGGTTTTTCTTCTTCTTGGACTGGTTTTGTTTTGGGAGCTCTTTGCCAAGGTAATTTAGTTTCCTGTGGTTTAGGTTTCTCAGGAATTATTTCTTTGTCAAATTCAGGCATAGATTCGATAACCGGTTCTTCTCGTTCTGGAATATCAAACGATTCAACCTTTTTGGGCTTTTCGATTATTGGCTTAGAAATTGGTTCTTCCTTTTCTACTACTTTTTGCTTCGGGACAGGTTTCAATTTAATTTCTTCGGGAGCTTCGGTAGTTACTGGCTTTTCAGGACGACGTGTTGGTTTTAATTTTACGGCTTCAAACTTCTCAACTTCCTCGGGTTGAATAGGTTTTTTAGCTTTAGGTTTATCTGGTTTTTTCTCATCGTCGACCTTCAGAACTACGACATCCTCAACTTCCTCCACAGTTTCTTCAACAATGTATGTTTGATCTTGTGCTTTTGGTTTTTCTATCTCCTCAACTTTTGATACTTCAGGTACAGCAACTGGCTGCTCTACTTTCTGTGCAACTTTCGGTTGCTTCTTAATCTCTGGTTTTGGTTTCTCAAGTTCTTCAACTGGTTTAACTTCTAGTTTGCTTTGAGGTGTTTCCTCTTTAGCTTGCTCTTTGCCACGCCGCCAGGAACGAGTTTCGGGTTGTTTAGACTCTGGTTTCACTTCTTCAATCTTTTCGGTTTTAGGTTTACGCCAGTCCTTTGTTTCAACTGGAGTTTCTACAATTTGTGGTGCTACAGTGGGTTCTGTTACTGGAGTAACTTCTTTTCTTTCTGGTTTAGGTTTACGCCAGTCCTTTGTTTCAACTGGAGTTTCTTCAATTTGTGGTGCTACAGTGGGTTCTGTTACTGGAGTAACTTCTTTTCTTTCTGGTTTAGGTTTTCGCCAATCCTTTGTTTCAACTGGAGTTTCTTCAATTTGTGGTGCAACAGTAGGTTCTGTTACCGTAGTAACTTCTTTTCTTTCTGGTTTAGGTTGACGCCAAGGCTTAGCCTCTAAGCGCACATCTTCAGTTTCAGTTTTCTGGATGTCACTAATAACTGAACTATCTGCAATTTTGGCTGTCGTTTTCTGTACAGTTTCTACAATTTCCTGTTTTTGAATTGTTTCTTGTAAAGTACTCGACTCACGTCGTACAGGCTTTAATTGAATATCTTCCAATTTTTCTTTACTTATATCTTTCTTCGTTATTGAAGATTTCCTTAATTTAATTTCTTGTTTATTCCATGGAACTGGTTCTTCCTTAGGCTGTTTCTCCGGCAAACGTTTTGGTTGGGTAGGAGCATCAGGTTGTTCAGCCTCGACTGGTTTCCTTGGCTTACGCCAACCCCTTTCTTCAAGGGTTTCTTGCTGTTTAACTACTTCATGTTCATCTAATTTTATTAAAGCAGAATCTTCGACGACTTCAAACGGTTGAGTTTCTTTTGGAATATCCTTGACATATTTTTCCTTTTCTGTATCAAGTTGTTTTCTCGGTTTTCTCCAATCCTTTACTAAAGTTTCTTGCTCTTTAATTGTTTCTACTTCATCAACCTTCATAATTGTTGAATCATCTTCTGTTTTGAATGGTTGAGTTTTTATTGGCGCTTCCACAGTTTCTTCCTTCGGAGTATCGACCGGTTTCCTAGGTTTTCGCCAACCTCTAGTCTCAAGAGTTTCCTCTTGTTTAAGTGTCTCCTTTTCATCCAGTTTTAGCAAAGTTGTATCCTCCGTAGATGTAAATGGTTGAGACTTTGCGGCAGTTTTCCGTGTGTCAGTTTTAACGTCAATTTGTTCTGTTTGATCTTGTCGAATCAATGTACTTTCCACTGTAGTTTGTTGAAGCGTTTTTGAGTCTCGCCGCAATGATTTCAATTGAACCTCTTCCAATTTTTCTTTCACAATATCTTTTCTTGTGATAGACGATTTCCTCAATTTAATTTCTTGTTTATTCCAAGGGACTGCTTCCTCTTTTGGCTGAACTATGGGCTTGGTGTCAGATGGTCGTCTGGGTTTTCGCCAGCTTTTTGATTGAAGATTATCGGTTTGTTCAGTTGTTTCTTTTTCATCAATCTTCAGAATAGAGACGTCTTCTACCGACTGAACTGTAGTTGTATCTGGTTTTACTTCAGTTCTAGGTTTACGCCATCCTCTTGTTTCTAAAGTTTCCTGTTCCGTGATAGATTCTTTTTCATCAACCTTAAGCAAAGTTGTGTCTTCCGTAGTTTGGATTGGTTGGCGAGGTTTGCGCCATTCACGAGTGGAATCCTCAGGTTTTTTACCTTTTGATATTTCTTTTGTAAACGTTTGTTCTCTTTCATCTACATCCAACAGAGTCGTGTCATCTAAGTCTCTAGTTATCATTTTACTATCTTCAGTTGTCTTGCGTGGTTTTCTCCAACCGCGTGTTTCAGTGGTGTCAATTTGCTTCGATTCTTCAACTACCTGCTCTCTTTGATCAATATTCAAGAGTGTAGAATCGCTTATATCCTGTCTAGTCATAGTACTTTGTGTGTCTTTAATACTTTGCGTTTGTTTTTGCAATTGCCACGGTTTAAGCTCAACGGTTTCCAGTGACTCGCGTCTGATTTCTTTCTTATCAATTCTTGAATGTTTTAATTGAATTTGTTCAATTCCCTCTTTGGCAACTTCTTTTTGCACTCGCTGAGTTTTCTTTAAAGTAACTTGTTGTTCAGTCCAAGGTACGGACCTTTGATCGGCTTGGGTTGTTTTGATTGCTTCTGAAATCGAATGCTTTTTGCGTCTCCACGGTAAAGTTTCATCACCCATGGGTAAAATTTCAGCATCGGTGGGAATATTTTCACCACCATCTTTAATAATTGAAAATTCTTCATCAGTTGTTTTAAAGCTTGAGCTTTTATGATCTTTTTTCAAACCACCCGTTTGGTCTTTATGATCAGATACGGGAGTTCGATAAACTTTACCAGGCCGCTCTGGAATGGTAAAAACGATGCATGTAAGTAAAATCTAAATTTGAATTCTAAGAAGAGTCCGTCGCGTAGGTAACCGATTCTATTTAAAGTTCTATTACTGTTTATATTTAGACGTTTATGATTCATAATAGAAACAATACTGGTACGCAGGTTTTCACGCATCTGCTGTGCGTAATCCACGGCAGGAGAGTGATTGACGACGCACATTTCTCCCTCCTACCTTTTCGGCGGCACGGCAAGCCGAAAGCGAGACCGTAAATTTATAAAGTCACTTATATTCAAGTATCATCAGCGGTTGCACGTTCAAGTAGAGTCGCCGCATTTAAATAGTGATCGTTATAAGAAAACTTTACTCGTTTAATAATAAAGTGCAACACAGTGAAATTTTAATCATCAAGGCAGTTGGATTCGTAAACATAATTTAAAATAAGATTAGTTTTGTTCCTAAGTATAGAAGAATAATTGGACAACAGTTGGCCCGCAGAAGATATTAATCGGAACAAAAAGAAGTGAAGCAAGTTTCAAAGTTGTGCCTTTTATCATAATCAACAGACCAAGTCGAGTTAAATTGGGAAATTGTGACAATTAACTTGAGATAATATATTTTAAATTAATTTATTGATTTTGGTACAAGTGCTGATTTAGAGATGTATAATAGAATATAGTAGTAAGTAGTATAACTAGAAGTTAAAAATAATGTGCATTTATATTTATTGCCAAATGATGTATTTGTAGCGTGGCGGCAAGATCAAATGAAAACTGTTTTTTGTTGTTCTAGATTTTGTGTATACGATGTTTCAAATTTAAAAAATGATAAAGAATAAACAAGGTTGACTATTTTTAGTTAACCTTGTGTTTTTGTGTCGACTAATCTGTGATTCATACCATTACTAATGAACCCGCAATCTATCATTCGAAGCTCTTGGCAGACCGAAACAAATGAGTACGAAATCAAAATTGTTCAACCGCATTTGAAATTTGAAATGGTAAGGTGCAATCAACAAATCTGGCAAAGGTGGCACTACGATTTGGACTACTTCAAGCTCCTAATTTAGAGTGTAACGTAATCCACGCAAAGTTTAAAATAGTTCTTTGCGTGTATTCATTTGGTGCACACGGCCCGAAATATATTATCCCAACTCTTAGACATAATCTCAATCTTTCTGTTCAAAATAGAACTCACTTTCATGCGAGCTTGCTAAAGGTTTGTGCATTTTCGATGGTGGCATTGAAAAGAGTTTGATTTACGATTGAATTATTGCACGCACAATATTTATACATATATACGATTTGTTCGAGGGCATTAAATTTATATTTAATGTTCCGCTCGACTAGAAATAGAAATAGTATTTATGTATTTATTTGTGTGCTGATTCACCTTCGTTTTTTTTTGCAAATGGGTCGTATCGTGAAACTCAGGATTGTGTTATGATATTGCAATTTATTGTAAATAATGCACTATAACTATACAATATATAACAATCAGTATAAATTATGATATAAAGCACAACTTTGAAATAACTCATTTTGCGAGAAAAGCTAAATTCAATCCCTTCAATACATATACAAATCAACTGGAACTTAATTACAACCTGACCTTCCACCGAATTATTATAAATTAGTTATCGCATAACCATTTTTGTTTGTAATCGGTTTTTAAGTACAACCCAGAATCCAGTGATTTTGGTTAAAACATATTTTACCGTCACACCGATTAGCAGACAAGACTCTCAATTGATTAAATGATTACATTTTAGGATTATGGGGTGAAATAGATTTTGAAAATCAAAGATAAATAAATATATGTATAGAGATTATTTCTTACTTTTGACGATAAGCTTGGCGGACTGCTCCACGACTCCAGCCGAATTGGTAGCCCGGCAGGTGAATGTACCAGAGTCCTCTTCGTACGTAGACGAAATTAGCAGCACAGCGTTGTTGCCCTCATTAATCATCTGAAAATAGAGAATATCACGAGTTAGTTTGGTATTGGCTAGATGTAACATTCAACATTCTAGTGTAATAAGCACCAAAATATTTTTGATAATTACCTGAAAATCAGGGGATTCCGGAATAAGGAATCCATCACGCAACCATTGAATAGATGGTTTTGGTTTTCCCGCGGTAACGGATGTCTTGAACTGTGCAGGACTTCCCTCCGGGACGATAACATCTTTCATAGGTGTTAACTTTGATAGGATATCTTGACTATCTGGTGCCAATACTTTCAAATTTGCTTGAGTGCTGATTGTTCCAACCGGACTAGTAGCAACGCATTTGTAGACACCTTCATCTTCAGGGAAGGCTTCCGAAATTCTCAAGGTGCACACATCTCCGTCTTTGATCATTTGGAAATACTTGGACGGCTTAATTACCTTGTCGCCCTTTTGCCATTTGATTTGTGGCATAGGTTTTCCAGAAATGACGCATCTGAATGCAACAGATTGTCCCTCTCTAATTGTTTGATCTTTGAGTGGTTCTAGAATAGTAGGCGCTTTCTCCGTTCCGGGGGACGATTGACTCTCGGGTTTGGTTGGTTTGCTGGCTGCCTGCACTACGCATTCCGCTTCACAGCGAGCTTCGCCTGCATTGTTAATGGCAACACATTCATACTTGCCAGAGTCTTCTTGCACCACTTCAATAATCAACAAGGTATAGACTTCGTCTTCTTCCAAAGTTTTGTACCTGATGTCAGGAACAATTTTCTTTCCGTTTTTGAGCCAGTATACATCCATAGGTTTTGTACCATTGATGCGGGCGTCAAAACGAACAAGTTGTCCAGTTTTGGTTGTGCAGCTTTGTGCAGTTGTGAGGAAGCTGGGTGGTACTTTTCCACCACGTCCAGATCTCCTTCTTTCCATGACAACTAAGTTAGCACTGCATTTGGCCGTTCCACCGCGATTTTCTGCCACGACACTAAACACGGCTGAATCTTCCAAGAAGACTTGACGTATTTGTAAAATCGACTTGGTGCTGAGTGTGTACACCTTCAAGTCTGGAGAGCTAGTAATTGGGAAATCTTCCCTGTACCAAGTGATTGTAGGTAACGGATCACCGTCAAATTCAACTTCAAACTTGGCTGGTTCATTTTCAAATGCACGACATGGTTGAATTTTCTTCGTGAAGAAAGGTGGATTTGAAGGCAAAACCTGTTCTTGTACGACGCGTTCACTTGTTTTAGCTTTATGTTCAACATCTGTAGTTTCAGTGGATGTAATGTTACGAGTAATTTCAAGATCTCCTTGAGTCTCCTTTTGCGTTTGCTTTTGTTTGGTTACGTGAATTTCACGACCATGCACACCAGATTCAGTGGGTCCTGGTGGTGATCCAGGTTTACGTTCTTGATAAGAATCAACTGCAGATGTGTTCAGCATTGTTTTTCCCTTCTCTGTTTTTCTCAATTCAACTTGTTCACGTTCTTCCTTCGTTAGCTTCTTGAATTTTGGTAAGTATGGGATTTGTCCTAATGGACGACCAGCTGGTTGTTGCTCCCTAAAGTTTAAAATGTGATTAAAACTCTATTGTTATTGTTCAATTTAGGATAACTTACAAGCTTTCCTGGTACTTTGCAGCCATGCCTTTAGCCATTGTGTTGTTCACAATTTTCTCACCGGGAATAGCGAACTGATGGCTTGCCTCACGCAGTTTAAATTCTTTGGTGACTTGTGAATTTTCCAATTCTTGTAACTTGTTGTAATATTCTTCTCCTTTCTTGGATTTCACCAAATGCTGCCATTCAGCTTCGCTTCCCTTGAAGTCTTTCGGTTTTATATCGATATTATATGAATGACCACTTTCTTTCAAATTCACATTCCGCTCGTCGAAGAACTTTTCTAGTTCCGTTTCTTGACGTTCTTTTTGATACGTGGCTAATTCTAAATCGTACCAAGCTACGGCATTAAATATTATGATATTATTTGATCTCATAAAGGGCACAAGAAAACTAACATATACAACAATAAATGAAATTTACGATAGTAGCATGTTTCGACTGCTTCTTTGCACTTTCGTAAATTAATGACGATACAATACGATACACAAAATGCACGAATAGGCATGCAAAAGTAGGTAACTCATACCTGACTCTTGATTTTCATAATTGCAGACGAATTAAATACTCTAGTAATCTACCCATGATAGAAGGCTCCTAAGCTTCGTGAAAAGGATTGGATCAAAGGTAATGTGTGGAGAGTAATATTAGTGAGCATATCAAGTTGTTGCAGTGCATTGTGTAAAGTATCAGCGCTGAATATGCTTAAACTTTTTTCTACTCTACTATTCAAAGGGCTTCCAATATTGTTTGTGTTTAGCGCTTGTGAAAAGTACTCTGAATAATAGTGCTGTGGTAGTGACTGGAAAGAATAATACTTACGTCTCGGCGAATTTTTCAGTACTTTTCTATAATCATCATGCCTAGGAATCACATTCAACTGAGTGTCGGCGATTGCTTCTCCCACGGAACTCCTTGCAATGACTTCCACCTTTCCGGTGTCGTACTGGCGCGTTTTCGGAATATCCATGTGGTACATGCCATCATACGTCAATCGGTACCTTGAGCCATTAACTACTGTATGTCCATTAACTAACCACATCACACGTGGACGAGGATGGCCAGTAACACGACAACAGAAGCGTGCCCATTCTCCCTCTTCCACAGTGCATGGTTCAGGTTTACTAACAAATATTGGGGCAGACTTAGGCTTTGCTTCTTCTTCAGCTTCTTCAGGTGCTCTGAAATAATGATTTCGTGTATATTCAAGAATATTTAATAAAAAGAGTAATGCTTACATTTGCCAAGCAGCTTCCATTTCACGAATCTTCTCAATAGATTTCATGCCCTTGGGTAATTGCGATTCATAAATAATACCAGGCTTGCCAGCTGTTTTAATAATTGCTCTTGTTTCATCCATGCCGTATAAGTTAGTAGCACGACACAGGTATTCGCCGCTATCTTCCGGGTAAACCCAACCAAAATTCATGGCAACGTATCCAAAATCGTAGATGGGCGTGAACCGATTTTCTGAAATTAGAAAATGCATATAAATAAACTGAATTTTACTGATTTATTAGTTTAACTTACTATGTGATAACGGTTTTCCGTTGAAGAACCATTCTACTTTCATATTTGGATCACCGACAGGTGCTAATTGACATTCAAATTTAGTAGATTGCATTTCTACCAATGTTGTCTGGTCCTGAATTTGCGTGACAAATCTTGGCGGTTGCTTCTTATCAGCATCGTAGAGATCGTCTTCAGTTAGGTGAATTTCCGAGGTGTATTTCTTGATAGCTGCTTCCATCTGCATAAGAGTTTCAGACCTCTTCATGCCCTTTGGCACTTGGTTTTGTAAAATAATGTTGGGCAAACGCTTGCATGTCAAACTGCATTTGGTGAAATCTTCACCAAAGTCATTGTATGCGCGGCAAACATATTCTCCAGAGTCTTCAGAGTAAACATACAATATATCCAAAGATACGAAACCCATGTCATAGACGGTACGATAACGATGACCGGATGGCAAAGGTTTGCCGTTACGGAACCATTCAATCTTAAGCTTGGGATCTTCTTTTGGCTCAACGCGGCATTCAAAACGTACTGATTCGGATTCTTCCACAGTTGCAGATTCAATTTGGGTTATGAATTTAGGAGGACCCATTGGAGCATCTTCCTTGGGCGCTTCCGACACCTTTCCACGTTCCAATTCCTTCAGCTTCTCGGCGCTCATGCCAGCAGGCAATTGGGATTCGAAATCGATGTTACGCTTTGATGTTGTGGTAACAGTTGCTTTGGTAGTAGCAGTGCCCCATTTGTTCGTTGCTCTGCAAATATATTCGCCAGCATCACGCGTGTACGAATAATCAATGTCCAATGAGATAAATCCAAAATCATTTATTTGATGAACTCTGGATCCCGTTGCGAAAGGTCTTCCATTGTGGAACCAATCAATACGCATTGATGGATCATTAACTGGTTCGACTCTACAGTCGAAATGAATTGGCGCTCCTTCTGCCACATCAACATTATCCTTGATTTCAACAATGAATCGAGGTGGATCTGGTTTTTCTTCTTCAGTCATCTTTTCATCTCGTTTATACAACTGCTCTTCCAATTTTTGGATGCTTTCGGTACCGGTGCGGAAATTGCTTGGAAGTTGGGGTTCCATAATAATTCCTTGTCGTCCACGTACTTGTAATTTGCATGATACTGATGCCTCGCCATGCTTGTTTGTAGCTTTGCAGGTATATAAGCCAGAATCGCGTTGATATACTCCGGCTACTTCCAAGATGACAAATCCGAAGTCATTTATAGTTTTAATTCTTGAACCAGCCCACAAGGCCTTGCCATTATGGAACCATTCTACTCTCATACTGGGATCGTTAACTGGAATCAATCTACATTCGAAATGTGCCAAACCGTTTTCAGATAACGTCAAATCCGTTGGGGATGTTATGAATTCTGGTGGTTTGCCGGTATCATCATCAGGAGTCATTGGTCCAGGAATTACACCCAAACCTTCAAGCTCGGCAATCTTATTAATCGTTCCTTCCATTCCTTGGGGCAGTTGTGATTCCAAAATAATGCTGCGTTTGCCTTGTACTTTCATTGAGGCGGTGGTTACAGCTTCACCGTAGTCATTAAATGCTCTGCACGAATATTCACCAGAGTCTTCAGGGTAAACCGGAGAGATTTCTAAAATGACAAAGCCAAAGTCGCAGAACGTGCGGAAGCGAGATCCAGTTTTCAATGGACGACCATTCCAGAACCATTCAACCTTCAATTTGGGATCATCGGTTGGTATTAGACGAGCTTCAAAATGAGAGCTTTCTCCTTCACGTAGATTGTCAATATTAGCAAGCGGTACAGTAAATACTGGTGCTTTTCCAAATTCTTCTGAAGTTTTATCATCTCTGGTGCGAATTAGAGAATCTTCCAAGTCCTGAATCTTCTCCAAACCACCCTCCATTCCCTAGAATTAGGAGTATAATTTGATTAAATAGATAGTCATAAAGTATTGGTAGTCACAAACTTACCCTAGGCAATTGCGAGTCCAAAATAAGATTAGCCTTAGATGAACAGGTCAATGTGGCCTCAGTAAAATCTTCACCATATTTATTGTAAGCTCTGCATTTGTATGTACCAGAGTTTTCTTCATAGCAGTATAAGATGTCCAAAATAACAATTCCGAAATCATGGAAAGTGCGATATCTGTGTCCATGTGGTAGTTTTTTATCGTTATAATACCACTCAACAACCAAATCAGGATCAGCAACTGGTGTTAATCTAGCTTCAAAGTGGGCACTTTGACCTTCAACTAATTTACTTATACTGGAGATGTGAGTTACGAATTTCGGTGCTTCCGTTACGAAAGATGCGGACTTTTGCACTTGTTGGCCTTGGAAGCTTTCGAGTTCTCTAATTTTAGCTAACGAATCGGGTTGCAAACTCTCAGTGAAAACTCCGCTCCTGCCATATGCATTGATGGTAGCTTTGGTAAAGTCTTCACCGTAATCGTTCCATGCTCTGCACACATATTCTCCGGAGTCATGATTTTCAGTATGGCTAATGTCCATGAGGACAAAGCCAAAGTCGGAGACGGTCTTGATGCGGGTTGAATGTCTCATCGGCTTGCCGTTATGATACCATTCGACTTTGAGTTTTGGGTCGTTAACAGGTATAAGTGTACATTCAAAGTGAGCAGGTTGTCCGTCCTTAAGACCAACAATATCCTTGATGTGCGTGGTGAACTTGGGTGGTTGTCCTTTAGACTTATCAACGCATTCGAGTTTGACACTTTGTTCAGCTTTGCCCCATGCGTTAGTAGCAATACACGTGTAGGTTCCGGAATCTTCGATCTTTGTTCCTAGAACTTCCAGAACTACCATGCCAAACGCATGAACAGTCCTAAATCTGTGACTGGCATCAATCGCTTTGCCATTGTAAAACCATTCGACTTTCATGGTTTGATCTCCAATCGGAGTAAGTCCAGCTTCAAAGTGGGCAATTTCTCCTTCACTGAGATTAAGAAGTTCAGTAAATTCAGAAGTAAAAACGGGAGCATGTCCTTCTTCAGAATCGGGCATACGGGCATCAGGTCTATTAAGAGCATCTTCAAGATCTTGTATTTTTTCCAGGCCTTCTTGGCCCTTTGGATGTTGGGTACGTTCAATTAAACCAGCTTTGGTGGCACAGTATACTGTGGTTGAAGTAAATGCTTCACCTGCTTTATTGAAAGCTTTGCATGTGTATATGCCTTGATCGCGTTCATATACGTCAGCCAAATCAAGCGTAACGAATCCAAAATCACTAGTAAGCTTAAAGCGGGATGCATGATCAAGCAATTTTCCATTAAAGTACCACTCAATTTTCAAATTAGGATCTTCTTTTGGTTCGACTGTGCCTTCTAGATTCAACGGCTTCCCTTCGTTAATCCTGAATTCAGGGTTAAGAGGTATGGTCCAAACTGGTTTACCAAATTCTTTTTCCGGACCAGATGCTTGTCTTTGCAATTTACCAGCCACGGCATCATCCACTTCTTGCACGCGTTCCAATCCAGCAGGTCCTTGAGGATGCTGGGTTTGCAAATAAATGTTCTGCTTGCCAGTGCAACGAAGTGAACCGGATGTAGTAGCAGATCCTTTACTATTGATAGCTTTGCAAGTGTAAATTCCAGAATCTTCTTCGTACGAATGATTAATATCCAAAGCCACATAACCAAAGTCATAAGTAGACTTATAACGAGCACCAGTTGGTAATGGTTTTCCGTTAACGTACCATTCAATTTTCATGGTGGGATCTTTAGATGGTTCAACGTTACATTCGAAGTGTACATTCTCACTTTCTGTACAAACTACATTATTCAAGTGAGTAATAAAGATAGGTGTCTCGTAAGAGGGTTCGGCTTGTTCAGGGACACCTTCTTTAGGAGCTTCCAATGCTTCCAATTTTGGAATAGCATCTGGATGCAGAGTTTGACCCAATAACCAGTGCTTATCTTCAATTTTAAGTGTGCAAGTGGATACAGCTTCGCCAATAAGGTTTGTAGCTTTGCATGTGTAAATGGCGGAATCATCGGCACGTAGGCCATTAATTGATAAGGTTACTAAACCAAAGTCAAAAGTGCTCCTCAAACGGGTTCCTGTTGTAAGAGTAACACCATTTTTAAACCATTCGACTTTCAAATTTGGATCAGCGCGTGGTTCGACTTGCGCTTCCAAATAAACATGCTGGCCTTCTTGAAGTTTATCAAAGTTTTGCAAATGTGTGGTAAATACAGGTGCTTGTTGAGGATGCGTGTCTACAAACATTTCAGGAACTTTGTTCATTTCAGCCTCTTTGAGTTGGATCTTTTGCCATGCATCGGGTTGCAGTGGTTCACCGTGAATGCTTGATCTTGGCTTCACTTTCATTGAAATAGAAGACACTGCCTCGCCTGCTTTATTGATAGCTTTGCACATGTAGACGCCTGAATCTTCGCGCACCGTAGACATGATATCAAGGGTAACGAAACCAAAATCGTGAGTTACACGGATTCTGGATCCCAACTTCAATTCCACGCCATTGACATACCATTCAAAACGTAGATTGGGGTCTCCCACAGGTACGACTCGAGCTTCAAAGTGAGCGTGCTGGCCTTCCCAAAGTTCAGAAGGACCAGTGAGAACCTGGGTGAAAATAGGCTTCTCAAACACGCGATCTGCTTCTTCACGGCGTGGTGCATGTGGTGCCTCAAGTTGTTGGATTTTACGCATTCCTTCGGGATGTTGAGTTTCCAATTGGATGCTGGCTTTGGCTGTGTAAATTACAGATATATAAATAACATAATATGGTAAATATCAATATAACACTTACTTCTAATCTTCATAGATGCTGTCGTGACAGCTTCTCCAAGCGGATTAGATGCTCTGCACATGTATACGCCTTCATCTTCATCGCGAATGTGAGCAATATCAAGAGAAACAAATCCAAAGTCATGCATCTTGCTAATGCGAGAACTATCTTCCAAAGGTTTTTCATTGCGGAACCATTCCACCTTAAGCGTAGGATCTCCAACAGGAATTAAGCGGCACTCAAAGTGAGCTGTTTCGGCTTCTTGGATAAAGTCAATATTTTGCAATGGCTGAGTAAATACTGGACGCTGTCTAGTAACGTAATCCTCGTGTTCTGGTCTCTTGTATGGCACATGTTCTTCCAATTTGCGGATTTTTTCTAATCCTTCGGGTCTCTGAGATTCCAGAACAATGTTGCTCTTAGAAATTACTTTCATGCTAGCAGACGATACGCATTCGCCTAGGTTATTAATGGCTTTCACTGAGTATTCACCGGCATCCTCCGGTACAACATGGCCAATATCCAAAGCAACGTATCCGAAATCAAAGGTAATATGGAAGCGAGATGCACTAGGCAAAGGTTTTCCGTTATGATAGAATTCAATACGAAGATTGGGGTCGTGAATTGGTTCAATTTGCGCTTCAAAATGAGCTGTTGCACCTTCAACCACTTCTGGGGTACCACGCAATTGTGTAATAAAACGTGGTGGGAACGGAATTGGATCTTCAACTTCCAATCGAGCAGGATGTCCTTGGGCTTCCAATTCACGAATCTTTTCAAGTCCTTCGGGATGGTGAGTATCCAGTAGAATGCTCTTACGACTGCCCACTTTAATAGTGCAAGTATTTACGGCTTCTCCGATCAAATTGGTTGCTTTGCACATGTAAGTACCGCTATCTTCAGCGTATGAATACAAAATATCAAGAGCGACATATCCAAAGTCATGAGTTGTCCTGAATCTGTGGCCAGTTTTCAATTTGACGCCATTAACGAACCATTCGATTTTCAAGTTGGGATCATTGATGGGTTCAACACGACATTCCAAATGAGCATGTTCGGCTTCTTTCAAGTTTTCAAGACTAACTAATGGTGTCAGGAAGACTGGGCGTTGTGCCTCTGGTTCAATTTCTTCACGTTTGGGTCTTGCGTAGTTTTCAAGATCACGAATCTTCTTCAAGCGCTGTTCATCCATCGTCTCTAAATCTAATCCAGATTTAGCTAGAAATAAAATTTCAGTAAATAGCAGATATTTAACATTTCGCATAATTATGATACGTACCAACAACAGTGATGGAGGACGTAGTAACAGCTTCTCCCACTGCATTACGAGCACGGCACATGTAAGTGCCTGAATCTTCCGCATATGCATACAAAATATCAAGAGCTACATAGCCAAAGTCATAAGTTGTTTTGAAACGATGACCAGTTTGAATCGGACGTCCATTACAGAACCATTCAACTACCATAGTTGGATCGTTAACAGGGGTTAAAGTAGCTTCCAGGTGAGCACTGCGTCCTTCGGCAAGCCTTTCAATGTTCTTCAAGCCCCTACCAAATTGAGGTTTTTCGAAAATAACAGCGTCTTCCTCGCTAGTGCGCTTGTTACGCGAGTCATCTTCAAGATATTGAATCTTTTGCAAAGCTCCCTCGTGTTGAGTTTCGCGAATAATTCCTGCCTTGGATTTAACATTTGTTACAACAGAAGATTGGGCTTGGCCTAAACGATTAATAACTCTGCAAGTGTATTCGCCACTGTCTTCGGCATACACGCTAAGAACGTCAAGACTAGCAAATCCAAAATCATACGCAGTGCGGAAACGATGGCCAGTGGTGAGGGCTTTACCATTATGGTACCATTCCACTCTCAGATCTGGATCAGGATAAGGTTCAATTCTGCATTCGTAATGCGCGCTCTGTCCCTCGAATAGTTCTTTAGGTCCGTTCAATTGAGTAACGAATCTGGGTGCTTGAGTGACAATAATGTCCTCTTCTTCACGCCGCTGGTACTTGGCGGAATCTTCAAGTTGACGAAGTTTTTGCATGGCACCTTCATGTTGAGTTTGTAATTCCAAGGATGCCTTTGATTGAACTGCCAGCGTTGCTGATGTTACTGCTTCGCCCAACTCATTAATAGCACGACAAGTGTAAGTGCCGGAATCTTCCGGATTAACATACTTCATGTTCAATGCGACATATCCAAAATCGTGCATTGTAGTAATGCGGTTAGATGCCTGAATTGGAACACCATTCCTGTGCCATTCGACACGAAGTTTTGGATCTCCAACAGGAATTAATCTTGCTTCAAAGTGGGCCGCTTGATTTTCAGCCACGTTCACGTTCTTGATTGGAAGCGTGAAGACGGGTGCTTGGGTAACAACTTCATCTTGAACACTTTGTCTGCTGTAACGAGAAGAATCATCCAATTGCCTGATGCGTTCTAATGCACCTTCATGGACTGATTCGTTATAAATAGTTTTCTTGGAGTGCACAATGCACATTGCGGAAGTGACAGCTTCACCCAATGCATTGGTTGCGCGACATGTGTAGGTACCAGAATCTTCTGGGTAGCAGTAAAGAATATCAAGCGCAACAAATCCGAAATTGTTGGTTTCAGAGAAACGAGAACCAGATTTGACTGGACGGTTGTTGTGGAACCATTCAACTCGCATGGTAGCGTCCGAAACCGGAATAAGCCTACACTCAAAGTGGGCACGTTGACCTTCCTTTATTTCAACATTTTTCAAAGATGTAGTGAAAATTGGTGCTTGAGTTGTAATTTCCTCAGTTTCCTCATGACGCGAATAACGGGAGCGATCTTCCAAGCTTTGGATTTGCTGCAATCCTTGTTGATTTTGAGTATGGGTGATAATTTGCCTGGTACTGCGGCAGCTCAGGACACAGTTAGTTTCGTCAGATCCAACTAAATTAACAGCACGGCAAGTATATGTGGCCGAATCTTCCGCAATTAGATCAATAATATCTAATGCAACATATCCAAAATCGTGAATGGGTCTGAATCGGTGACCAATTGTAATGGGCCTTCCATTTTTGTACCATTCAATTTTCAAGTTGGGATCCGTGACTGGTTCCACTTTACATTCAAAATGAGCGTGTTGTCCTTCCAACATACCTTCGCAATTTTTAGGCTTAGCAATGAACCTTGGCTTAACGTTGATAACTTCGTCCATATATTCAGTACGCTTGTATCTAGATGAATCTTCCAAGTATTGAATTTTTTCCATTCCAGCTGGATGTTGGCTCTCAAGCATTAGATCTTTCTTTGCAATGACCCTGACAGAGCATGAAGTTACTGCTTCTCCCAACTGGTTTCTAGCCTGGCAGGTATACACACCAGAATCAACAGGGTATACGCTGAGGAGATCCAACGCTACATAATCAAAATCATATGCAGGACGGAATCTATGGCCCACGCGGATTGGTTTACCATTACAGAACCAATCCACTTTCATTGTTGGATCTCCAACTGGCTGCAAACGGCATTCCATGTGAACATTGGTACCTTCAATAGTTTCAATGTTATGCAAAGGTCTAGTAAATTGCGGCGCTTGGAAAACAGTTACTTCCTCAGTGATTTGCTTGGATGCACGACCTTCCAACATTTGAATTTGTTCCAGCGATTGTTCATGCTGTGTATCGGTAATTATGTCAGAGCGGCCAATAATTCGAATAACGGCGGAGGTGTGAGCCGATCCTAAATGATTCGTAGCTCTAACGGTATATTCACCGGAATCGGAAGCATTTGCTTGAATGATGTCCAAAGCGATGAAGCCAAAGTCATTATAAGTTCTAAAGCGGGAACCAACAGTGATAGGTCGACCATTACAGAACCATTCTACTCTCATAGTTGGGTCACCCATAGGTTCCAGGCGACATTCGACATGAATGTTACGACCTTCCGTAACGGGTCTTGGGTCAGACAATGGTTGGACAAAAATAGGTTTAGACTTAGAAATTTCTTCAATTTGGTATTGAGGTTCAATAAATTTAGAATCCTCGAGCTGCTGAGTTTTTTCATAGCTTCCGTGGTGCATACTCCTGGTATCAATTGATGAACGAGCTGAAAAAAATAAATAACATTATTAAATTAAGTTTCATGCAAATTTACAATGACGTCATACTTTCAACAATCATAGTTGCACTCAATTGTTCCTCTCCCAATGCATTACGAGCCACAACGGTGTAGGTGCCGGCATCTTCCGAGCGAACGCTTTGAATGTCAAGAGCAACATAACCAAAGTCGTGATAAGTTTGAATCCTATTGGCAGATTGAATTGGTTTGCCATTGAAATACCACTCGATTTTCATGGTTAAATCGTTTTGCGGTTCTACGCGCGCTTCAAAGTGAGCTCGTTGACCTTCTACAATCTTGTTAGTTCCCTTCAAGGGTCCAAGGAATCGCGGTTTCTGTTTGACCACAACTTCCTCGCGTTCCATACGTTGATAGCGACTAGAATCTTCAAGGTATTGAATTTTCTCCAAACCACCTGGGTGTTGAGAATCGACTAGAATATCTTGTTTACTGACAACGCTCAATTGAGCAACAGTGTTAGCTTGTCCCTTTGAATTGAAAGCGTGGCAAGTGTAAGTGCCCACATCATGAATAGTTACGTCCTTAATAGTTAGCGCGACGTAGCCAAAATTGAAGAAACTTGTAATTCTCGAACTTGCTTCAACGGGACGACCATCACGGAGCCATTCGACCCTAAGAGTAGAATCACCCACAGGCTCTAAACGGGCTTCAAAGTGAGCAAAACCTCCTTCACGGATGCCAAGCTGATCTTTAATTGGAGTCTTAAACTCGGGTGCCTGCAAGCATTCGGGAGTTTCTTGTACGAATTTTTGATGTTGCAATTGTTGATAAGCTTCCAGCTCCTCAACTCTTTCGATATATCGTTGTTGTTCAGGAATACCCAAATCACCGGTAACGGTAGAGCGAGAGAACACACGAATAGTCGACGTGCTAATGGCTTCGCCTAAATGATTAACAGCTCGAACGGTATATGAACCGGCATCTTCGGCACGTAAGTGCATAATGTTTAGGGAGACGTAACCGAAGTTGAAGATCGTAGTGATTCGCGAGCTGGCTGTTATCGGTCGGCCATCTTTGTACCACTCCACTTTCATTGTAGGATCGCTAACAGGAGTAAGTTGCGCTTCAAAGTGAGCGTTTCTACCTTCCTGTAAATCACCTAAATCTTGGAGTGGGCGGATGAAGTGGGGTTTCTGAGAAGACTTCTCATCGTAACTATCGTGTCTTTGATACTTTGAGTAATCTTCGAGTTGTTGAATTTGTTGCAAGCTACTAGGATGTTGACTAGAACGTTCGATGGATGCCTTCGATTGAATGCTCAACATCGCTCTCGACTCTACGCTACCAGTGCTGCTGGTTACTCTGCATACATATTCTCCGCTATCTTGCATGATGATACTTAATAAGTCAAAAGCAATAAAACCAAAGCGGAAGACATAAGTTGCTCTAGAACCTATAAAATATTCAATTGCGTTAAAATCGAAATATGCTGTTGACCTTAATTTAAACTTACTAGCTGGTAGGGGTTTTCCATTCAGGAACCATTCTACATGCATTGTTGGATCACCAACTGGTTCAATCCGGGCCTCAAAGTGTACCTTGCCACCTTCCACCTGCATGACATCGTGAAGCGGGATTATAAATTGGGGTGGAGGATACACCCGATCTTGCTCAGGCAATGCTGCGTAAGGTCGGGATGGTTCTACATGCTTCAGGTAAATAACTTCGGGGCCTGGAGCGGGCCTAGTGAACAAAAAAATAAAACTTAGTTGATTAACAAAATAAAGAAAATTTATCTTACTCAGGTTCGATTATTTTAGTGGGTCGGGGTAAATGAAGACGTCTTGGTTCGGGTGTTTGTCCTTGCGGGGTTTCAATAAACAGTCTTGCTCTGGTGGCGGTGGAGCCGGCAACATTCTGTGCAGTACATTGATACCAAGCGGCATCCGATGCCTTGGGACATGGGATATCCAATTGGGTCGCACCACCGTCAATAGAGATACGAACATTCGGACTGTTGGCAAGCGGGACGCCGTCCTTCTGCCAAGTGATTCGTGGTGTAGGAGTTCCCACAGCCCTTGCGTTGAGAACCACCGGTTCACCTTCCTTAACGTTTACGGTCGTAAACCTTTCGACAAACTTCGGAGCAACTACCTGCTCCTTTTCAATAACATTCAAATTACATTGGAAGTTTATTTCGCCAGATTTGTTGCGAGCCACACAAGTGACGACACCGGAATCATTGCGACCTACATTGGTTATCATTAGTGCATGATTTCCTGATTCGTTTACGAGGATCTTATGCGTATGGTCGTCCGTAATTTGTTGCCCGTTGATGTACCAGGTTACTTCAGGGTATGGTCTGCCGGTAACACGGCAATCAAAACGAGTCATTTTTCCTTCAGTTACATCTCTGTCGCCACATACGCGAACGAAATTGGGGGCAAGCGTTTTAGAAGCATCGGTGGTCTCAACGGTTTCAATTTGCTGTGATTTAAATTGAGACTCGTGGATAAGCCCCTCCTGGGTGCTAACAGGTTCGATGGCTAAGAAAGCGGAGTTAATTACACATCCTTGTGGATTTTCTGCAAGCAAGCTATAATGGCCGGAATCTTCGGCGCATACTTTTTTCACACGCAAAACAGCTTGATTATTCGAAAACGACGTTTCATATTTCTCGGAATCAACCAATCGCTGGCCGTTCTTGAACCATGTCAATCTAGGTCTAGGATTTGCTGAAACCTTCGCCGAAAATACAGCGTCCGAGCCTTCAAGTAATTTTGAGTTACGAGGCTTTTGGGAGATTTGCGGAGGCGCTGGAGGTCCGAGCGATCTTTCAACAACGGTTGACATTTGAAAATCTTGTTCATTAGAAAAACGGCGAGTAATTGATTCCCTGAAGGACACCTCACGTAGAATCCTGTACTCAAATGTGTCGATCTTAAACTCTTCAACGAGGTGGCCATTGGTGTATGACGTTGTTTGTTTGGATGTTTGTGTTTGTCTGATACCTCGCAATTGGGGCATTTGCATTCCTTCAGGCGAAATATAAACTGAGCAAATGGCTTCGCCATATTGGTTCCTGGCAGTGCACACGTATTCACCTTCATCGCCAGGACCAATACTGTTAATTTGTAAAACTATCTCTCCCGTCTGACTGTTATAGGAGAGTCGATATTTGTTCGAATCTGTGAGGGGCGCTCCGTTGCGAGTCCACGACACAGTCGGCTGTGGTTTACCAGTGACCTTACCATCAAAGCACGCATTACCACCCTGCGCAAAGCGGGCATTGCTAAAAATCTTCTCAAATACTGGCGGTGATGCGTTCGGGCCGAAACCGGTCAACTGTTGTTGCATTCCAGTCTGCTGCGTGTAACCGCCCTGAACTGAATATAAAAAAATCACATTAATCCATGAAAATAGATTGTTAATTAGAAATAAGCTTAGGCGCGTGGACGCTGATTTAAGTCAACGCTGCGCAAAGCAACGAGCATCTATTTTTATCGCGGCATCGCGTTACAGCAATCCATTTTTGGAGCAACTATCTTTAGTCGGCCAATGGAAATTTGCTACCACACAGTTTCACTTATATAAACTACAGTTTAAGAACGAATCTGTAAATTTGAATTATGTTTTTTTGTTATTTTCCTCGTTGGCTATTCGAAATATCCATAAAATTTCCCGGCAAATTTCACCATGGGTAATAAACCGAAAATTTTCTAATCAAGAAATGGCTATTCAGAATTCATTTAACTAGAAATACTATGTACACATGAAACTTGATATAATTGCTTCACATCAGAGCCAAAATATAATTTTAGAAATTGTTTCATTTTGTAGTTTTTTTTTTAATGTATTAGGATGCAAACATTTGAAAAAATACATTATGTGTGTCAATCCAATTGGAAAACGCGTATTCTGGAAGATCTCGTTGAATGTATCACAGCTTTATTTTTGGTTCATGTGCAGCATATATCTCTGGCTACTCTACATTTTTGGCAGGATGCCTGAATAACAAATATTTTTAACAGATAATTTGAATGTTTTGGCGTTAAATTTATTTTAAGTTTCAAACTACACCTACAATTGTTAATCCTTTTTAACAAAAGTGGTATCCATAAATTTTGAAAATTTACGACACTTCCAGCCAAAACCAGCATTTGAAGCATTAAACATTTATTTTAGATGTTAGTACGTTGTAATAAAGCGCCATGCAAAATAAATCTAAAAACTTAAAGTTGGGGTTCGAAATAAATGAGTATGAGGCAAAACGAAAATTCTGATGAAGGGGGTGCAAAAAGATGCTAACCTGTTTGATGGCTCATAACTTGTCTGGTGACATGTTGTTCGGAACTAACCCTTTGCTGGGTCATATGTTGCGAAACCTGCGACATTTGCGAATGCTGGGTGGTCTGCTGAGACATTTGACTCTGTTGAGTCTTCTGAATTTGTTGCTGCCTATTCATTTTGTCACCACAATAATTTCACAGTCGATATCAAAATATAATATTGAAGCACAACTATATTAAAAAACACTTTTTGAAGAATTAATAACGATTAAAAACAAAAGCACGAAAACGTTAAATCTTTCGTCGAACTTAGTAACTAGCAGTTTGTAAGTATTTTCACGACGTTTCGATAATTATATTTCGTCTTCTTTAATGCCATCCACGGCTTCAGTTAGCAGAAGTCAAGTCATCATCCCCGATAGATAGAATACCAAGACGTCGGTCGTTTGCAAATTGTGAGCGAAGAATGAAGCTCTCCTGCAGCGAGCAGCGTGTTCGAAGGTGGGGCCCGCCGAGTAATGCCGAGTGTTCTATTTTAGGTATCTTTCACATGATACCACATAAGATTATTGCTCACCCAAGCTGGGATGATGCATTTCGCAGCAAAGCTTCGATTTTGACTCATACTCACTTACTCAAATTTCATATTAACGTTTATATATTTTACAATCGCTAATTGATCGGTTAATCGATAAAAATCGCTTAATATATTACCATTCCACCATTCAATGTATCTTTTAGTCCACCAAGTATTACTAGTAGGTGTTTGTACATTCGGCTGCGTCAAACTTACCCACATAGTAAAGGGTTGTTGGTGATGCTTGAAGCTGTTCGGGTGAATTTCGACCGATTGTGAATTGTCGATACGTTCCGTACATGTGTGAAGGAACTCCTTATTTGCAAAACGAAAAGAAATACAACATACAATATTTTTCGTATTTAATGGTTTAATATTTATTATAAAACAATAAGCATTAATAAAGTAAAAAGTTCTTAGTATGGAAGACAAGTAGAGCTTATTATATGAAGCAGTAGGAAATCAATTTACATTTTTGATGTGAGATAAGATTTTGCGATATTGTATGAATACCACTCAAAGTTGAAAGTACAAAAATAACTCTTACAGCATTTATTTTTAGACAACTATTTGGTCAATTTTTATTATATCGGGCATACAAGTAGAATCAAGTATTTAGACAAGTAGACATCAGAAGTGCGAGAAAACCGTTCTATAGATATCTAAATTAGCTAATGCACAAAATTAAAGCTGTGCCAAAGTGTAGACATTTTAAATACACATAAATTGTTAAAATTTTGCAAGTTTGACTGTTGAAAGCAGTAGAAAATTATTATTCTAGAATAATATGATTCATATTGGCATAGCGTTTTGTTATACTCGTAACCACGGCCCATTGATTTCAGAATAATATAATGCGTATTTTAAACTCGCCCAAATTTTTGCTCTGAAATCACAGCTATAATTCCATTCCTTGCTATCGACTCACACTTAACGCATGTTTTCCGTTTTTCACGCCAAGATTCACGTAAAAATAGCACTTCAAACATTACGAATGCCATTGTTATAAAAATAAAAACAAGTCTGAAGTGTAATATTACGAAAATTTACGCACACGAATAAGTCAAGTCGTTTTTTTAGTGTATATGTTAATTATGTTGATTAATTAATTACTATAGAAGTTACAAGTGTTAAAAAAAGTAGGATCAATGTTTTTAATTTTTTTGTAACGTTTAATCAAAGATGAGTACAGTGTATTTAAGTAGGTTCGATAGGATGCAGTAAAATAGTCCTCCACCAAAAGAAAACTTTAATATCATATCCACGACAATAAATAAATACATACAAAGCAAAGTACAAGTTATAGACAACAATACTACTGTTCATAAATAATTTACATTCAAATAACGGTTAATCAAAGAAGTTACGAATTTTACAATCAATAACCAACAACCATAAACATAAATATTTGTATACGAGGCAATAAATATAGTATAATAAAATTCAATAAGTACGTCTAATGAACAAAACACCTTGAAACAATATACGAGTAAATAATTAGATGTCATTCAAGACCAGTGTGGTCGACCATCACCAATTTAAATATATGAAGATCGTCTCTCACCTGGTACTTGCAATGTGGCAGTCGTAGACACAGCTCCAGTTTGATTAGTTGCAGTGCAAGTGTATGTTCCAGCATCCTCTGAAAATGCCATCAAGTTAAAAAGATAACTCTTTCAGCGTAGACTAATATGGTATTACCTGGATACGTTTTCGGTATAGTAAGTCGGCAGACACCATTTCTAAAGTAGACCTGGTAGTCTTGAGAGTTTTCGATAAGACGTGAATTTTTCGACCACAAAATGGTGGGTGGCGGATCGGATTGAACGATGCATTCGAAACGTGCGATTTGCCCACACACCGCTGCGATATCTCGTAAGGGCTAAGAAAATATTTTATATCAAGTCATTCTTTTAGAAAAGTCAGAGTTACTTACAGTAATGAAGACGGGGGCTCTCTTGGTGGGCAATTGAGAATTAACGTTGCCATTCGTTTGTTGTTCGCAATCTTTTAATCCTCCTTAGAAATTATTTTTAAAAAAATATTTAATTTTGTTTCTATAATATTATTTGTTTTGTAAAAGTTAGAAACTGATTGAGAAGCTGGTCAATATCAATAATTTATTATATACTTGGTGTAAAATGGTCTTTGCAATGCATGTTATTTTACGGGTGTGTATATGGTTGTACTCGTATATGTAAAATATTAAAATATTTTATCCAGCCTCTCAGAAGTGTTAACAAAATCCCTTATACCTTGATAATTATTAAAAGCAGGTGAAGTGCTCGGTAAACTAGGAGAAATCGAAATCGGACTACACGACGATTGCTCCCAAGTTTGTTTCTTTACTCTATCAGTTTCGCATTCGGACATTTCGCTCTCGGAAGTCGGTTCCCACTTGACGTTTTTGTTCGGCGCTTTAAATTTCTTTGGTTGAAACTGTGGAGTAACAGCTTCTGGTTTGCTAGTTTCGTGATAAACCGGCATCTCGATCGATTCGGAGCGTTGAGGTGGTTGGATTATGGTTTTCTTAGGCATTGGGATTTCCCCGGGTTTGCCATCACCAGGAAGTACAATACCGAATTCATAGCCAAAGTCATATTTGAAATATATTAAACCAGTATTAGGATCTACGTGTTTCGTACCTATAAACGTGTTACAGCCCCAAATAGATTAGTGATAGATATATTAAAATGACAAAACTTACCATATTGAGCGGCTCTTGATTCTTCTCGGTACACTTGAGCATCGGAATCATCCTTGGATCTTAATATTGGCTTTTGAACTTTGGTTTTGTTGACATCGTCCATTATATCAGATGCAAATTTATGTGCTTTGGATTTGAACGTTTGTGTCATGTTACTCATATGTTCGGATGCAATTTTGCTTGCTGTTTGCTTTGTTATATTTTGGGAAATTCCGCGCATGTTGCTAATCTGAACGGTTTTATCGGCAGTGGCTTGGGGTATGAAAGGCGGTTGCGTGTCATATTCCATAGGTGTTTTCACGTGATCTCTTGATGAAGGTACGCTCGATGCGCGGACAAAAGTTGGGGCTTTGACACGGCGATAATAAGAATCGCCCGACTTACCAGTTGGTGTCCATTTAGACTGAATCTTAACTGAATCAACTTCACTTTCGTAGTCGCTCTCCCTGTAATCTCCCGGGATAAATTTGCTTGGTACTGGTGTGACTGACTTCTTGGAGCTTTCGCCAAATTTAATTACTTTGGTTGTTTGCTGAAGGCTAACGGTCCTGTGACTGTTTTCCGTCGATTCATTAAAATTCATAATATTTGAAGTTTCCGTTTGCACAGCGTTATGGTATGGGGCACTAGTGGTAGAACGATAGTATTGTGTGGTTTTGGGCCCTGGTGTGTAAACTAATTCAGGTGGAGTTCCTGGTTGCAGAATTATAATCTTCTCTTGCACACGTGGTGTGGCTGGTACGATATCGGTAACAGGAGGTCTTATAATAAACTTGCTCGTGGGAGTCGGTTTTGGTATAGGCTTGATAATCTCTTCTAACTTGACGCTCTTTTTATGTTTTTCAATTGGCTCAAACTTTGGTTTTGTGGGCATTTCGACTTTTGATGGATTTTCAAACTCGTTGGGTGGCGTCGGCAAACGCTCAGTACGTTGAGGTTTCAAAGTAGGCGTTAGAACGGGACGCACTGGTTTGAAATGCTTTTCTTGGCCGAGATGCCATGAAGTTGAAAGTCTGCCATCGTAATCACTTTCATAATCGCTTTCCCTAAATTCGCCTTTCACGAATTTAGAAGGACTAGGTGGCGGTGGTACTTTGACGCGTTGAACGGGTGGATCGGGTTTAAATGGAAAAGGCTCCAGTGGTGCACTAGTTGAAACACTAACAATAGGCGTAGAGACCAACTTCTAAACAGGTAAAATAGAATTTGCATTAGTTTCCCATTTTAAACATAATGATTTTTGAAATTGTACCGAAGAAGCATGATTTAGGTTATTGCAACAAACAACTCTTCACACAATATTAGATTACGAGTACTTCGATATACACAATCGAACCTTTTTCGACGACGCACTTGCTGAAATGTGCTTCTTATGAGATGTGACTTTTGTGACAGCAGGAGATTTTGTAGGGACAGACACAATATGCTCATGATGGGACACCACATTACTACTATAGCTCGATTTTTGCTCGTGTTTTTGTTCATATGCAATCGTCTGACGGAACGGTTCATCAGTATCTGCTTGGTAGCCATCTGTAAAGACCTTTTGCTTAGTTTTTGGCGATTGAGGTTTAACTTTTGGTTCGGCATAGGCATATTCCGGAGGCGATCCCTGTTTAATGTCCAACGGCATGCTCGTTTGCTTCGATTTGGTTTCTTGAATTTCGGTTGATTTCCTAAATTGAACGGTTTGCTTGTTCACTTGTTTCACTTGTTTTACCAAGTTAATTTCTGGTCTTGGAGAAGTTACGACTTGTTGGGGTTGTTCAAATTGAGAAGGAGCAAGTGGACCTCTTTCGCAAGATCTGGGACGACTTGGGAATACCGCTTTCGGCGCGGCAACTGGTCTATAAGTTATATCTTCCGTATCACTCGAATGAGGCTTCCATTTTGCCGGTATACGAGTAGCATCAAAGTCACTTTCATAATCGCTGTCGGTGAATTTACCTTTAATAAATTTGGATGGTGTGGGTACTTCCATTCTAGGGCCCCTTGGTCTTTCAGGTTCAGCTTTAAATGGAAACGGTTCTAACTCCTTGAACTTTTCAAAAGTAACAACTGGTTCAACAACTTTTTTTGGCGGTGCTACTGGTTTAGCAGTTTTTACAACCGGACAAACAACGGGTGCTTTTTTGACTGGTGCAACTACCTTTTCTACAACTTTCTGGGACGCCACAACCCTTTCCACAACTTTAGGTGGTTGTACTGGTGTTAGAGGAGGAGCATATACAATTTCCGGTGGTGTGCCTGGTTCCAGTACAAATTCATCAGTAATATCTTGCACAGAAATGGGCCGACATGGCAACGTCTCCAATGGCGGTTGCCAGGTAGTTGCTTTGGTGGATTGAAACTGCTTCAGGTTTTGATTTTGCTCATATTTATATTCCTGTTGCTTCACAAAGCTCGATTCTTCTTGAATTTCTGTACTTTTAGAAGATGTGGACACATGTGCCACATAATGTGGTACTTCAAGTGGTGGTGGTACATGTTTAAATGTGGATGAAGTAGATGTTTCCTTAATATATGTATGAGTAGTGGGAGTTGTACTTTCTTTGATAGTTGTGGTTTCAAACGTGGATGGAGTAACTGTTTTTTCAACTGTCTGATTAGTCCATGTGGGAGCAACTTTCGGAACTGCTGGTTCCGGCTGAAGAGGAGGCCATGCTTTCTGCACATTACTCTCCGGCTTCTTATGTGCCCATTCTTTTTCCATAGCTATTGCTTCCGCCATTGCCTGTTTTTTGTAGTCGGGAATTGTTTCAAATTCCATTGGGGGAATCGGTGACATTGGTTTAGTAATCGGTCCAATTGCCTCTGCTTTATAAAACATCGCACTTTCTGATTTAAATGTTTGGCTGAATGATTTAGATGTTTCTTCGTGCGTTGTTTGCTTCATTGCCTGAACATCCGGAAATATTTTTACGGCGCCTAGAGGTATTTCTCCTTCTGGTAAGTCGCGTTGTAATTTTTCTATCTTCTTAACCCGATCTGTTACGTCCTCGTGCAACTTAACCGATTCTGGTTTTGTAGTGTAGCAAATTTCTGGCGGTGGCTCGGGTGTAAGATTAAATTCGTCGTAAAGATTTGCCTGATTAGAGGTAAACGACGTGTATTGGGTATCGTGAGTTATAATTGGGGCAGTAGGCTGTAACAATGGTTCCACATTCGATCCTGTCATTTTATGTTCACCAAGTTCTTCAAATTTAGTATAAATATCTTGTTTAATTTGTATAGGTTTTGGTGTTTCTTTAGGCTTATATTCATCCACTTCTTTCATTTTGTTTACAAAATAGTTCAAGGATTGTTGCTTAGTTATAGAACTAGTCTGTATTCCTTCGTCAATCTCTACCGGTGGTTCGGTAAATTCCACTTCCTTGTGTTCAACACGTTTGGGCATATCGATTGTTGGAACTGGAGTAGTACGTTCGAGCGTAAACGTTTTGGTGTCATGAGTAATTGTGTCCTCAATGTGACGGGAGACTTCGGTTGTAAGAGATTCAATTGTTTCTGGAGGGGACTGAAATGAATCAGTTATGGGAATAGGTTTCTGAAGGGTGGATTGATCCGTTGACTGTTGAATGTTCGAACCCGCCTCCGATGACTTTTAGAAAATTGTAAAATGATCGTTAATATACCTATTTTTATCATGTTGAATACCTAAAATATTCGATTTAACTTACCATAGTTTCATGCTTTCTTACATCTTCATAAACCACAGTTTTCACCACTTCTACCATCGTATCTGGAGTTGGATCAAATACAGCAATATCAGCAATGCTTTGAGCTTCTCCTCCGGGGTTAACAGCACATACCATGTATTTTCCAGTATGTTTAGCTTCCGCTATTACCAAATAAATTTAATTTAAGATAATTGTATGCAAAGATAAACTTAAGTTTCTAATTACCTTTTTCAAGAATCAAGCGCTGGCAATTTCCTTGAGCAATCAATTTATAATCACTACCTGCATCTGTTTTGATTGGTTGTCCGTCTTTAAACCACGTTATTTCCGGATCAGGTGTACCGCTGATTTCAACTTCCATAATTGCACGCTGGCCCTTAGAAATTACCTGAGCTTGCAACCTCCTTCCAAATACCGGCGGAAAAATGGTTTCTGTTGAAATTTAACAATAAATCAGTAACCGTTATTATACATTTCATTTTGCGCTTACTTCGTACTACTAAATCAGCTGTACTAATGGCTTTTCCAGCTTCATTGACCGCTGTGCAAGTGTACCTTCCAGCATCAGATATTGCAACATCTTTCAGTTCCACGCGGGCAGAATTATGTTTGAATGTAACCGTTACATTATTGCCACTTTGTAGCTCGTTGCCATTTTTCGTCCAAGTGACTTCAGGTGTTGGCGAAGCGTCCAAAATTCCTTCGAGCACCACATTTGCATCTTGATCTACTATCTTTCCAATTACGGGCGTAACAAACTTAGGAGGTCTTGCTTTAAATATTGATTTTGGCACTGAAGATTCAATAGCCGAAACGATATCAACACTGGTGACTTTTTCATGAACCACCGGAGGCTGATCACCAATTTTGTGATACTCTTCCTGTCTAGAACTTTCTTTGACTTCTGGTGCATTTTGGTTAATTTGCTTGAAATATTTTGCATCTTGACTAGAGTATTTGTGTTCTTCAACATGAGGAGCCATTCCAGTGGTAGAAGAGAATATATGACTTGTTGTGGATGATGAAGATTGAATATTTACTTCTCGTTTCATTGTCACTCCTTGTCCCGAAATCAAGTTTGATACGATTAAATCTTGTGGCAAAGCAATATCCTGTGATGGTTGTATTTCCAAATTTGCTGAACATGTTTCTTGGCCCGCTTCGTTTTCTGCCACACATGTTATTTTACCAATGTGATCTTTAGTAACTTCATTTATAGATAAAACTTCACGATTGCCCGATGTTGAAATGAGAAAATCTTTTCCCGCTACAGGCGTGTCATTAAACAACCAGCGAATTTTAGGTGTAGGTTTTCCCGTGACAATACATTCGAATTTAATAGCAGTTCCTTCAACAACAGCCTTATCCTTGAATGATTCCCTAAACGACGGCTTAATTTTAGCTTCTTCGTGAACTTTTGATGTTTCATGCGATCTTAATGTTTTAACAATCAATTGTGCGAAACATTTAGCTTCTCCTGCATGATTAGAGGCTTTCACAGTATAAACACCTCGATCTTCAGGCTTGACGTGCTCAATTAGTAGTTTTAAATTGCCATTTTCATCTTGTGATATATTTATATGGGCGTCCGCTTCAATCGCTGCATTGTTTAGTAACCATTTAATCTCGGGCTTGGGATCTCCAGAAACAGTTGCTTCCAAAATAACCGTATCGTTTTCGGACACCAGAATGTCGGACAGAAGTTTACTGAACTTTGGCGCCGATCCAACAGCTTCGAACTTATCGTCGGACGCTTTTACTTTATCTGCATTTGGTGTCACGATTAAAGCGGCTTTGCTCGACGCTTCGCCGGCCGAATTCAACGCAACAACTTTATATTCGCCTGCATCTTCAAGTAAGGCTTCTTTGATTACTAACGAACAGCGGTCACCTTGGAATAGAAGTTGGAAATCTGATGATTCCTGAACCGGTCTATCATCGTGATACCAAATGACTTCCGGTTCCGGTTGTCCAACAATCACACAATCTAGTCGCACACGGTTTCCTTCGTTGATTGAAACATCCTTCAAAGGCACTTGTATTGAAGGCTTGATTGGCTCCATATCGCTGGCTAATTCAGAATCGGACGTTTCGGGGGGTAAACGTCCCTTAACAGTGATTGTTGAAACACTAGAAACTTCACCCACTAAGTTAGAAGCTGAAGCTGTGTAAGTTCCAGCATCTTTCGGAAAAGCTTCGTGTATAATAAGTGTCGCTTTAGATCCGTCGAAATGTAGCTGAAAATTGAAGGTATTTTTAGATATAGAAAAAACGCTCAAATGTGAAATGTCTCCGACGAAATTGAATACATATTGATATTCGCGAATCAAATATGACGACGATACAGCGATGCTGTTCGGATGCCAAAAGAAATTTGAAGAAATGTTTGTCCCTCGAAATTATGTCGTTCATTTTTAGATCAAACTATATAACCACTTGCCAAAAATTACGCAAATATAACACGAGTATTAAATAAGCAATAAAATAATGCAATTATAGATTATATATTACAAAGCGTAAATGTTTGTAACGCGACTTACTTTAAGTTCGTGCGTCTCAGTTAGTGGTTTTCCGTCTTTTGACCAATTTAACTTCGGCGTTGGTAGACCTGTTACTTCACATTCCAATTTTATCTTCTGTCCAGCTCTAGCCATAATATTTGAGAGCGGTGTTATAAACGCTGGCATTCTCGTGGGTTCCAATGCTAAACAAAAATAAAAAATAAATACATCTATTATATTTCTGTGCGTTGTTTTCGTACTCACAAGTTACATTTAAGTTTGCAGTGGATTGTGCAATGCCAACTTCGTTATACGCTTTGCATGTGTAATCCGCTTTATCATCTAAATGAACCTTGCTTATGAGTAATCTGGCTTCGCCGTTGTTGTACGTAATTGAATAATACGACGAATTATCAATGCAATTCAAATTTTTGTACCACTGCACTGTTGGTAATGGATTTCCTTCCAGTTTACAAACAAATTCGAACGATTCATTTTCGTTGATTAGTCCTGGTTGCAGTTCTTTAATAAAATGCGGCGGTATCAGTTGTTCTTCTGGTAAATTTTCCTTAACTGTTAGATATGCTTCCGTTTCGGCAGCACCAGCAGCATTGATAGCCCTGCATGTATAACGTGCAGAATCTTCATTAAATGTTTCGTCAATCGTTAAGGAGCAAAGACCCTGATCAAATAATGTTTGATAATCGGGATTATTTTGAATAGAAATTCCGTCTTTATGCCATGTGACAACTGGTACAGGATTTCCGGTAACGCGGCACACAAATGTGAATGTACTTCCTTCTTCAATCAGTTGATCATTTAAGGGAGATGTAAAAACTGGAACTTCCAAAGTTGGTGATTCAACAACATCAGGGACCTCGTGTATTTCCTCGATAACAACAGATTGTTCAGGTTCAACAACTGCAGCTTTCGCAGTTTCAATATTTTTGATTTTCGTCCACAGACCATTCAGTTCCTGAGTGATAAGATTATAAGACTCCATCATAATTTGACTTTCATGTGGTATTTCATGCGAAAGTTCATCGCCAAATAAACGAGTTGCAAGTTCTATTATTTCTTCAATGCGTTGGCTCTGTTTAGATTCTCCGGGTTTCAAAAACAATTCAATTTCGTTCAATAGGACTTGTGCATCTTCAGGTTGTTTAACCATCGTTGATCTAGTGGCAATAGAAGATAATAAAATGTTACCTTCTTGGAACCATTTATTTGCATTGTCAATAAGAGTAAAATATTGCACGCTCAAGTTAATCAGATTGCGTAATTCTCTAATGCGAGTTTTCAGTGCATCCCATCGTTGTTGCAAATTGTTTATTTGTTCCTTAATCTTTTGGCTTTGTAGCGCTTCTTGATTTTGTAACATGTTCGCACCGGTCTCAATAAATTCGGATATTTTCGGTTCTAATAACTTAACGGTTTCTTCAAAATATACAAATGAAAGTGATGTATCTTCGGCAGCTGACAAAGATTGACCGTATTGACCTTTGACTACGTCAAGTTTTTTATTAAGTTCGTCTAGCGTGACATTTATTTGGTGTAAATCCGTTTCGAACACATGAATCTTCTTTTGAGCTTCAATATTATCTTTGGCCTCCCTATAAACCTTCGTAAATTCTTCCTCTCGAATTTGTAACAAATAGTGAAGTTTCTCTATGTCTTGTTGCGCAACATCCTTTGGTTCTTGTTTATTTATTTTATCAATGATCGTTTCTTTCTCCCGCTTTGCCATGTTAAATTGGTTGTGAATACTTTGTTTTCTATTTTCAAATTCTCTAAGCAATAAATCAATATTAGGATAAAATTCCAGAGATTTACCAGCATCAAAACTTTCAAAATACTCAGTGACAATAAGATCAATTTTGTCAATATTATTAAAGTAAGAAACCATCATTTGCATCAATGTTTGGTAGTCTGTGCAAATCATTTTTAGATTTTGTTTCATATTTAATAACTTTTGCTTAATTAGGAAAGTTTGATCATTAGGCGATCTCTGTATGATTGTATCTGCCACCCGCATGCGTTGTTCTATTTCACTTTCCGCATTTCGTATTTGAGTCAAGACGTCGTTGAGTTTATTCTCAATATGTTGAGCAACTATTTTCGGATCTGTTTCATTTGTTGTAATTATAGGATACAATTGCGTGTCCATCTTGGACATCCAATTTATGGTCTAAAATAAAAAATAGTTACGAACATCTGAGCGCAATTACATATTGATTGATAGTATGTACCTTTGTACTTTCTTCCATATTTTCTTTGATAAGTACCTCCACTTCACGCTTCTCAACACACCTCGTGAGCACCGTTTGCCAATTGCGCTGGAGCGTGATCTGCCTGCTGCCCAGCCTGTCCAGGACCGACTCAACGCAGCCGAAAGCTGCTTTGATGTTCAGATGAGGAGGCTCGGTCACCTATCGCAAAAATAGAACGCATTGTCATTTTATTTCTTTACAGTACAGCAAACTTGGCAATGACATTTACGCTAAACATGTGTAGCTTATGTTCTAGCTACGCTTCCGTACCTTTTTAGCTTCGTTGATGAATGTAGCACCAGTATTCTTGGCGGACTGATAAAGTGGTACCAATTCACCGATTCGATTCTCAATAGCTTTCTCTGCTTCTTCAGACAAGTCTTCATGGTCTGTTATAATTTGGTCAATGTTATTCATTTCGTTCTCCACTTTATCGGCTTCGGTATGAAATTTCACGTATAGCACAGCCCAGTCCAGGCGTGCTTCTAAAACATTTTTGAGATTCAACCATCTCTCGTGTAAAGCTTCTACTTTCATTTCGACTTGCAATCGTTGATGATCGTCTAAATATTCGAGGATTGGTGGTAGTGTTAGTAATAATGTATTAATTTCGTTTCCTTTCGTCTGAAATGGAATAATAGCAACAATAAAATAAAATAATCGGACTTATAAAATTCAACTCACTTGCAAATCATTTAGCAGTTGATTATGCAAGCCCAAGAAATCTCGCGCATCGGCCAAAGAATTTCCCATATCATAATGTTCCCGCAGAAATGTTTCAGCAACCTTAATCAGCCAATCAGACAACTCATCCTGCCTTTCAAAGAAATTCGTAAGCGCTCTAGCGATTTTCTTGTTCTCTTCCTTATGTGCCACACAGACGCCATCAAAGTGTATTTTACGACGCTCCAATTCTTCCAACACGTTCCGGACGCCAGATGCGTTCATCTCGGTGCCAATATCAGCTAGAAGAGCATATCCCTCAGATATAAGACTAGCGGTGATTTCCTCTACGGCGTGAATGCAACGCTCATGTAGCTGAGCTAATTGCGGAGAAGTGGCTGGAAGTTCATTGTTCTTCAATTGCATGTCTATTAGATCTAGCTGACTGAAAGCCTAAAATAAATATGCACAATTTATCATTCCTCTACTTTATGATCCAATGTGTTCAATGTACATACCGATTGCGCCGTTTTAAAGAATCTTATAACTTTTTCAAACAAAGCATCTCTGTGCTGTAATTCACTGATATAGTCGGATGTAGAAGATAACACGTCGTACGCATTGCGCTTGGCTTGTTCACCAGCTAGGCATCCAGACTCAAGAAGATGTTCAGTGGTCTTCGTGATTTTTAATGCCTTGTCTTGAAGCATGTGTCCTTCAGCAATCAGCTTCTCCAATTCACGTTTGAGTAACTCTGCGCTTGACACGGAATCACCTAATTGGTCACTGGCTGTTAAAGTATCTTTGCGTTGAGCAATTGTATCTTGAAGTTGGCGCAAATCAAACGATAACATTGCTAGCGCGAGGCATTGTTCCAACTGAATCTTTCTTTGGGTGAATATCGTTTCTAAAGCTTGCCTTCTATAATGCAATCGTTCCATCCATTCTTGAACTTGCGTTAATGCTGAAATGCAAAGTAAGCAATATTACATCGTGATTTTTTATCGGTAATATCAAATTACCTTTCTTCGCAGAAAGTCGAATTCGATCGGGTCGAGAGTCGAGTGTGCCTTCGGCTTCCAGTTCCTTCAAATTCCCAATTATCATATTACCGGCCTGCATTGCCGCCATTAGGGATTCCAGCACGGTGCGCCTGAGTTCGTGAATATTGTTCAACAATGTTTTGACTGATTCGATTTCAATGGGTACCAATGTATCAGAACATGCTGCTTCCAATGCACTCATTGAATCAAAGAACTCTTGCGCTCTGGTGTGATACTGAACGTTCAGATCCAATAAAATCTTGCGATTTTCCAGGTGTCCATTGATATCGTTCCATGCTCTACCTAATGACTCAGCCATGGCGGCATACACTTCGGCTCTGGGTTTTTGGGTTGAAATAAGTTGATCAGCTTGTCGCAGTAACTCGTCCACGGGGCTTTGTTTATTCTAAAAATATTTACTTAAATATTCCGAAGCTACTTTAAAGATTTTGCGAAAGCAAACCTGAATTTGGTGTAGAACTGCATTGTGCGCTTGTTGCAACTGTAGGGCCTCCTCTAGAGTATCACCAAGGGCCGTTAATTCGGGCGTTACTTCCAAAATTTTTAATTGTAACCACTCGCCACACTAAAAAAGAGTTCATAATCATTGGCATCGTTTTCAATGACATCTTTGTATTAATTCTCATTTATGTCACAGTTTGAAAATACACCAAGTTTGTTTAGTTAGCGTAATATTTTTATAAATATTGCGAAAATAACTGAACTTGCCAAATGGTTTTGCACCCGGCAAAATAAGTGTGCATTTGCATAAATATCTTCACTGATTTCATCAACAAACAAAAATATCGCTACATTTCAGTCACAAATCGAAATGCATCCAAATGCATTTGTATACATTCTTTAAGTTTTTTTTTTTAATTTAATTAAAGATTCCTAATAATTAATAACTCGTTAAAATAAGTATTTAATTTAAAATAAAAAAGGTTATTATTAAATATTTATAGTCTATATAATTATAAACCGAATGAATGTATTTTATAAATTAAAATTGCCGGCTGAATTAAAGAGTTACGTGGGTAATGCGCGCACGATTATTTAAATAAATTATAATTTCATTCAAGATATTTATTTTTTCTTATTTCTCGCGGCTTAGTAATTTCCAAAGAGTTTTATAGTAAAACTTAGATGTATCCTGTCGATACCTTTACTATTCATTCATTCATTAATAATGTATTTGATTACAATGTGTAGGATCCTAAATGTGAATGATCGTGATTGGTTCAAACCAAGTAGGCGTAAATTTCTTTTCCGTTAGTAGCGTGCGCACTACAACGAAAAGCAAGTGCTATTTAGCATTTTTACTTTGAAGTTAATTGAACTTGGATTTAGTTTATTTCAACACCGCTTTATTTTTTCAATGTAATTAATAGATTTTTATTACATGTTGCACATTGTTGTCCTAACAGATGCCAGAAAGCGAAAATTGTTTATACGACTTTGGGCTTTACATAAACAGATGGTTCCGCAAATAGACGCTATTTTATGTTGCGCGCGGACAATTGATCATTATGTATGAAAGAGACCATATAGATTTAACCCAGATTTTTAAACGCGTTATAATAATTTTTCAACAAATAGAATACAATTGCAAATTGTTTGCCAAAGCACAACTCTCGTACGTAAAAACATCTGAGTTGAGTTATTATAATGTATGTACGTTCACATACACTCCTGGCACTTGTATTATGCATATTTCTAGTTAAAGAGTTAAAAATAAACCAGTGACTGGGAGTAATTGACTGCAAAGCATCGAAATCCAATATCAACGTAACATCATGTGATTCAATGCCTACGCTATTTGGAACAACGGCGTTTATTTTAGCAATTGCGCTAAAGGAATATCAGAAATATTACTAATGTATTATTAGTTTGCATGCTTCTTGCATTTGCGATTACAAGAGAAAATTTCACCGAATGTAGTTTGTGTTTATATCCCGCGCTCTAAAAATAAATCCTGACGTGTATTCAAAAGAGAGAGGCGCGTCGCGCTACTTCTGTACTCGCACATGCACTTGCAAAATTATGCTCTTATAAAATCACACTTTAAATGTCAACGCCAATAATTTGCGGTAATAACATTTCTCGAATATTGTGAGATACTCGGGTCCGAAAGCAATTACAATGAATATGCGCACATAAATGGTAAAAACGTACATGTAACAAGGCGATAACTAATCTCGTCCGGCCGCTCTGGACGGCGATTGTGCTAATCGTCGTTGTTTTCTTCATCGCCGATATGCCCGTCGACTGCATCGCAGTCTCCTTCTCGCTAACGTTTTCCATGATTCGAATGCAACAATTGATTACACAAACATGTCATTAATTGAAACCTAGCATGAGGGAACTTTTCGATTAGCGCCGCGAACAGATGCGAACGGCGCACATGCGATGTGAGTCTAAGCCGCGATGGAAGTTATGCTTTTTTTTCACGAGATGTGCGAGTCGTGACGAGGAGAGCAGCAACAAGCCGCGCGTGTGGAGATGCCGCGAAACACACTGATCAAGTTCGTGAGTTGCTAGTCCGCGAGCTCTTCGCACCGCCACGATGACCACGGGCGGGCCTCCAGATTTACGTGCACTATAAAACGGTGGAATGAAGTAGAACACTACCAAACCGAACAGAAGGAGAGAAGCGCTAATATGTGCGTGAAGCAACCGGCTCGGCTTTACTTCGTCGAGTTCGAACTCCGTTGAATGAGTAAACAACAGCATTCTATGTAAATGCGCTTTGCTGGTTATACAACCTAGTCGCAGTTTTGCTCAGCTCGGAAACATCGAAAATTTCAGATGTCATTAGTTAGCAAACCTTCGGTTTTTTTATTTCAATCAAGTCGTGTTGCATCTGTTAGCATAAAAAATGAATTGATGCAGTTCGAAGCAGTTGGGCAGATCTATAAATACACAGTTGAATAGCACAGTTTTTGGCATGTTATATTGCGCTGATTTTTAAAAATTTCCTACGCTATGCCTCGGAACTAGCAAATAAACACTTTTTCTACATGGGCCATGTATTGCGTACATTACCCACTGACGAATAAAATTATTTTTAGCTTTTCCAATGTGCTATAACTCTGCTTTGGCCCAAATAAAATCAATGCTTCAGAATCTGCTAGTTATCCTAACTGACGCTGAGTTGGCTTTTGACATGCTTTAATCTGGGCGAATAGATCTCCACTCCATAAATAGACAAATTGCAGGAATGTTTAAAAACGGACAAGGTTAGTTACTTTTCTCTACATATAAGTGACAAAGCCATGTCTTGTCTGTAACAGGTTTTGATACGTCTATAAAACATACGTTTTGATTAACAAAACATCGATTATTATAAACTGTAATTAAAATTTAGTATAAATCTTGAATTTGCATAAATTATTCCGCCTAATTTCAAATTTATTACGTATTCCAGAAATATATAAATTATCTTATCAAAATGTATGCAACCATATGCAAAATTGATTGGTACGTCCTTGGAATGCTCGATAATTGTACCGTAACTCAAACGTGGTCATTTTATAACAATCCTGAGATGTATAATGTTTGCTGTGTACGTAAAATATATAACAATAATTTACTATAAGTACACAACAATAAACTACTTTATATAACTTTTACTCTTAATTTGTTTAAAATTATCTCAATCTACTAAAAATATCTAACTCATACCCATAATCTTACAATTCACATGCATATACTTGTCTTTTATGTAGAATTAACGACAAGAAAGTACTTACTTGTATGCTGTTAGGAAGTAATAATTATAAGAAAAGCGGAAGTCTGATTTACACCTCCACTTTTCTCAACGGCTGGTCATAGATACAATAAAAATCAATAGACGAACAAGTTACGGTCTGCATAGTCAGTTTGCATAACATATGTAAATGATAGAGTGAAATTGCATAGTCTGTATATTAAACACTCACGTTTACGTTGCATAATAATAAATTGTTAAAAAATAAAAACTCTAGACAAACAATACATTATAAACACTTCGACACAATCAAATCGTTACAATAAAACAAAACAAAGCAACAAAATCAAAAACAATCATACACAACTCTTCAAAACTTGTTTAGTAACGCAGTTATAATTCCATGGCACCTCGGGACTCACCTCTTGGAGCTTTTTTAAGTACTGTAATTGCTCGTTGTCTTCATCGGATGGTCGTAGGTCGCTTACTTTAGAAACTTCGGTTTTTACGCTTACATCACCACCGCATTTTATATCTTGCGTATTGCGGACTGTTTCCGAAGTCAGGACAAAAGACTTAACATCGAACGCATGCGTATGTTGAACTTTGATGTGAGTGGTTTCGGTGACTTCACGTGCGATTTTACCACGTGGCACGTCGGGTGATGGTTTGAGCACGGTCTTGGCTAGTGGTAGATCGGGTAAACCAACTGCCAACACCATCTTTTCCTTTGCAATGTCGTCATGCATATCGTCTTTTCCGTATTCCCACCATTGCGAAAGATGCTCGGAATCAGACGCCGTGTTGTACGAGGAGGAACGCGAATGATGCAGCGTGCAATCGGAGGCGGTAAGGAATTCTTCATCGGATTTCCCATCATCGCTGCGGATATTTCTCGGCGACAACGAGCCAAGATTATCCTGTAAAGCATTATGACATAACCTCAATTGTAAAAAATTATTTACACTATGTGCAACTGTTATTACAGTCAATTTGGTTGTGTTGGTGTGGATAATTCACAAATATCATTCGCGAGATTAAAGTAATTAAGACGTGTGTACATGTATGCGTGTAATGCGATCGAGTCTTACTTTCGATATGACTGCGAGCGATTAATGGATTAATTATGAAAACTTTTACTTGTGTCGCCTGCAACGTTGCAGTTTATTGACTCCGATTAGCACGTACTACAAATTTCAATCGGGATTTTTACGCATACCAACGCATAACACCCGTGGCGGTGCAGTTTATTATGCATTAAAATTAGCATTGCACATATGCACTCCTGCGAGTGAGTTGCTTTCCTAATTGGAGTAAAATTATTTAATATAAGGAAATTGAAGTGAACTAGTTTCGCGAATGCTAGTTTGATTTGTGAAGTGGCGTACAGGTCAGGAAATGCAAAACTCACTATGATGCAAATGTGTGCAAAAGCTTTCATTTGAAACTGTATTAATCAGTGAAGTGAAGTGGTTTGTTTGATACGTTTGTGACGTATGCAGGACAATTACACCAAACGTGCAAACAAATGCCCGCCTTTCACAGGGGGGAGTTTGTTTAAATAGACGAATCTGTGTCCGAATTATCAGTTCAGTTCTATCTCTGCAATTGACAACTAGTACAATATGCAACTATCAATTGTAAGTACTCCGAGTGCAGTGAAGTGAATTCAAGTGAAAATCTTATACATTTGTTTAATTTTCTTGTCTCTACAGTTCGTCTTCATTGCTGTCCTTGTTGTGGTCAGTGCCCAACATGGTGACCATCACCATCATCACTTAGAAGAATACGTAGACTATCAAGCGCACCCACACTACAACTACCACTATGGTGTGCATGATCCCAAGCATCACGATGTCCACGACCAATGGGAACACCGTGATGGCAAGAAAGTCAAGGGATCCTACAGCTTGAACCAACCCGATGGTAGGAAGCGTATTGTCGAGTACGAGTCTGATGGCCACGGCATTCACTACAACGTCAAATACGAAGGACACGCCATTCACGACGAGGGTCATCATGGCCATGGGCACGGACACTCAACTAGCCATCAATACGCTCACGCCGCCACCAACTACCACGGACATGAGGGCGGTGACGGTCATCATGGGCACTAAATAGCATCCACTACATCTGTACATAGTCACAGCAGCCTCATTTATCATCATTTCATTCCTCTACATTTACTGTGTTGTTCTTGTTGTATGATATTGTTCCATAAATAAATGTTTTCCTTATAAATTTTGTTTCATTTATTTAATTTTACTTCAAATTTCGACATTTTTCAAATCAGAAATTTAAAAAAAAAACACAAAAAAAAACAAAGGAAAACTGAAAGATTCTTAACGTGTACACACCTGACTATGATATTTATCACTTCGTCCAATCGGAATTGGAAGAGATGTGGCCGTTGATGAAATCATCGCATCTTGCTGAGCACTTTTCAGTGTTTGGTCTAGTTCTTCGGCTAAATCCGTGATTTCCACCAGTCTCTCGCCAATAGCTTCGACGGCAGTCTCATTGTCAGTCGGCTCGGTGATTTCAATTTTCTCCAGGTCCGAAACACTTTCAGACATTCTAAAAATAAAATGCACGTTGAACCAAAACGTCATGGATAATTACATAGCAGATCATTTCAAATTTATTCAAAGTACATATAAGTCTTTTTATTTATTTTAAAACATATGCAGGAATACGCAAATGTAATGTATTATTATATAAAATTAATACTTATATTTAAATAAATGATCAAATATAATTTTAGAAAAATGTGGGTTTCCAACGGTCGTATTCGAATAAACAAGTACTTTTGTAGTTACGTTAGAAGCAAAAACATACGTCGTGTTAACAAAATCTAAAATTAGTAACCGAAAACGTGTGCACGCTACGATTCGGTTAATGGACCTAAGCTACTTGTAGATGCTTTTCAATCACAAAGCCAAAACGCAACTCAATTTTAAATTGATTATTCAAATTACAACAACAGCGTGTTTGTAATAGAATGTTAAATTTCGCTTGTGTAGCAACAGCAATGTTTGTTTAAACTTTAACTTCTCCTCACCCGGTATTAGGATTAGGATGTTGAACTGTTGCCTGTTGGTCCACCACTGAACCAGCCGTAGCCCCTTCCACACGTCGTGACTTAATTCAACATTCAATATTTTCAGTATGGAGCCGTACTTTCGGCCACTTTCGAGAGATACTCAGTGAAAATACTGTCAACCGCACTTATGTATTTCCAGTAATAAAAACGCTTCCCGAAAATAGACCTGATTCGCTTCAGCTAGTTCGTCGTCGCTGGCGCCGAATGTTGCTTCCGACTTCGAGTGAGGATCATTCGTAAAGTGTTTATTCGACACAAGAATAACCAAACTAAACGACCAGTACGACTTCCTAGCCCATAAAGCGACATTCGACATTTTTATGTTCATTGAGTTGCCAAATTTTTCGAATCGTATCCCTAGCACACCACGCACAACAACGCTTTTTTTAACTTACCGATCAATGCTATATAATGGTTCCTTGAGTCTGCTTCGCAACAATCTACCCAATCGGACCATTCGTCCGACATCAACGAGTAGACGTTCACGAACAGCACAATATTGCTTCACTCTTTGACATCGTTTGGCAGCTTCGACTAGCGAGATGGTTGCGATTGCTTCTCGTAAGTTTCGCATCTGATTGCATTGTTCTTCCACAGATCTATGAAAGACGGCACATACTCGTAATCTGGTCATCTGTTCCTGGCTAATTTTCAGAAATTTATCCCAGGCAAAGTGTAGATTTTGCATCACGTCTTTGTTATCAGTTTGTGGCAATTTACAGGAGTCTCTTAACGCGGCTGCTGCTTGAATTAGTTGCATACCATAATTGTATGAACACTAGAAAAATTATTACATTAATTGAATCGTTATAAAAATTATAAAATAATAATATTTACTCTAGCTGTTTCAAGATAAGTCTGATGATCGATTTTCTGCGCTTGAATTTCATAAACCGTACAACCAACATGACCATGGTACTTCAACAAGCCGTGAAATAGTTCGTCTAACCATTGAATTGCTTGAACTGCATCCGACTCGAATTGATGAATGATAGTGGTTTGCTCCAGCGTCAATTTCTGCAATTCCACGCTGTCGCTTAAAATGTTTTTCCTCGCGGTTGTAGCGTCCATTATATCACGAATGTTTCCTATGTCATCCGAATAATTTGCGAGGATCTCGCGACCTAGAGCGTCTTTCACAGGCATTGAAAGCATATCAGATAATTTTTCGCCTTCCTTAAATAGTTCTCTTTCTACCACATCTGGAAATAATATAAATAATATATTTTTTTAAATATAACATTGCAGTTGTGTAGGATTGATATTTTTACCTAAAGCACGTTGACATTCAAATAGTTTCTTCAATTCAACTTCTGCGGTTGCAAAATTACTCATTTCATTTTTTACGACTACAGCATCAAAAACGTCGCCGGTTTTATCAAAATATTCAGAAACTAAACGAAAAAATCGTAACGAAGTGATTAAAATATTTCGACGACGTTCAAGTCGATTTGCAAAACTGCGACAAACAAAATCCATAAAATCTTTTTGACTTATTAAATCTTTCTGTTGTTGCGAAAGCATCGTCTCATTGGCGAACGATTCGATTTTAAATAGCAATTCAGCATAAGCTCCGTAAGCATTCCAACATTCCAATTCAATTCTCTCGTGCGCTCGACGCAACTCTTCAGCGGAGGCCAAGTCATAGCCAACTTTCAAATTTCTTTTAAACATATCCTCAGCGGGTCCCAGCACCCAATTGACTACAAACTGAACACCTTCTTCCAGAAATAACAAATCTTTAGTGTTTGCAAAGCTTTTCCGCATTGAATTTTTAAGATTGTCGAGGTTTATTAATTGTTTCCTCATTGAACCAACAATTGTTTCTAGTTTGTCAATTGTATCGGCAATATCCTGTGGCGTAGCCATTGACTCCGATTCCGATTCAAATTTACGATTTCTGTTATCGTATTCGATTTTCTCAATTAGCTTACTACCTGCAAACAATAAAAACAGTTTGATGATGTAAATAAAGTAACGTTTATGGTTCAGTAACCTTTATCAATACAGTTGTTGGCGACTATTTTTAACACGTCCAACCGCTCAAGAAGAAGTTGGTGGTTGTTTTGTATTTGACTAGCCTTCAGTGTATAAATATTGGAAATGCTCTCCTGCAGCTCCTTTAAATCTATAGAACATTTTTCTGACTCTTCGTAGAACTCCTCCACTTTCTAAAAATGTTAAAGCTTTTGTGTCAACAAATTGTAATTACTGTGCACACAAATGTGCGCAGGCAGAGGAAATGAATGAATAAGCTATTTAAATCAACAGCAACACAAGCCCACTACTTACCATTCTGTTTTCAAACCATTGATTCGAGTTGAATATGAAATTTCCGCCCAGCTCGATCGGAAGCTGAGGTCGCTCGACATACTTAAATAATCGCGACAATGGAATGAATATCACCTGTAAACATTAAACATCACGTCATAATCCGTGCACAAAAGCAAGTTTTGTTTGTGTTTGAATGCTGTTTAGAAAATTGGTTGATTATATTCACGAAAAAAAAAAGTGTATGCTGAATAATTTATGGCAGTTCCTTGAAACTGCCTACTTGATAAACCTGTTGTATGTAACTGTAAATGCACTAAGATGTTAAGTAGTTTTAAGTTTTATTTCACTAATGGTAAGTTCTTTTCAAGACTTTACCGAGGTAATAAAGTATTCGTGACTAATTGTTTATCTATACTCGTAATAATAAATTGCATTCATTTCCGCCGTAAAGAAGTCATTTACGAATTATAAGTCAATAACATCTACCTGTCCATCTTTCTGCGCATTCCGGCAACTCTCTACGCGCTGCTTATCCCAAAACGCATCCGGTCGTAAGACGATAAACTGCGCCAATTCTCCAGTTGGAAAAGCGGCATTCACCTGTCGAATGCACGATCTCGCAACCCTCCAAGGACACTTTCTTGCATCCAATATAACAGTAAACCCACGTCGTGCGGTTTCGTTACTGAAATTAACATCAATTAGAGTAGGCCCACACTACGTGAGTGTCGCAACACATATAAACTTAAATAATCATGCAAATTTGAAATGTTAACTGCGTTTGTAACACGTTTCTAAGCCACAAAACGTAATAAAAACAATGTTGTTGCACGTTTTAAAATTATTTACTTTTTTTGTTGTCTTAATGCGGTTAAATTCAAACGTGCGTACAAGTACGTAATGAAACTTGTTTTTTTAAAAAACGCTAGTTACCGTTACTATAATACCTAAAGCAAACGCGGTAAGCAGAGCAATTCAGCGAACGAGCTTGAAATGCATCTGTCCGCTCAACGCGCGGGTCATTCAAAGTAAACACAACCACTATACATATTTTGGTATTATTTACAACCTGAAGGACACACCTGAATATGCTAATTATGTACGTGAGCGTTGAAGAGACATCTAAATTATTGCACTGCTGTGGCACATGTACGGCTATCACGCAACGCTCTTCTTTATCACGGCCGCCGGGTACATTCACTATGTGCGTTTGCAAATTAGAAATTGTCCGATCGTCCATTCTACAATTTAAACTTATAAATTTAATTTTTTTTTTTTTTGATAAAAAAAGATATTACCTTATTTTGTTGTAATCCAAATTTGCAGTTAAACAAGTATTTTATGACTTAAATTATATTAAATAACGTCACTGATCACGCGCGCAAAATTTGTTTGAAGGCTCCGCATGTTTTGCTTTTTTAAACTAGCAACTTGTACTTTGCGACGGCGAGCAGTACCACGCGTACACTCGCCACGTGTGGCACCATCGTGATACTGACTCGTACCTGGTGATCACGTATCGCCGCAGAGTGTGTCACAGGCGCGCCTCTTACCGACGCTTTTACCTTCCTCATCATCGCCTACTCAACTGTAAACGCTCAGAAGCCAATTTTTCCTGTCAACAATTCACAATTCATATTCACAAGACTATAATGCAGGCATGCATGATCATGAAGTGCGATTGCAATCATTGTCTCGATTAATAGTAGTTGATTTAGATTGTACGATATGCGTTTTTAAATGCATGCGGTGAAGAGGATGTGGATGTGATGAGTTCCCCACCTCGGCCAAGCCCTACGGCGAAGATTCCAACGGTACTGTGGCACCAATCATACCTGCAGTATGTGCAGCCTCAATTGGTCCTCGACACAGAGAGAAAGTAGCACGGCTTCTACACACATATTGGTTTTGTTCATACATGTATAAATCAATAAAACTAACACATAGGAATTTATTTTGTAGAAATTTGAATTGAGTTGCAAAAATGCCTTGAACTTGTACCATGGACAATTTGACTGGCGCAAATTTAACGGGCTTGTAATAATTCATATGAGGTAATTGCGTGTAAATACAAATTTAACCTTGACCAAAAGTTAATGGGTAAAATTATATGTGATTATTTTGCTAATGACATTAAATACTTAGATTTTTGAAAATTAATTTCAAACGATTGTTATTGGCAAATATTGACTTTTAACTCATGCTTTAAACACTTGTTTTAAAACTTTTGTTTCTTGTATGTCGATAAGTACGGATGAGTAATTTCTTGCAAGGCATTCGTGAAACTTCGTTAACTGATTATTCTTTATTATCGTGGATATCATTTTGCATGCAGTTTGTTTGTCCGTAATGTTTTATTGTTAAGTTGTGTAAAATCTTTGTTATTTGATAATTTTGTACTTAAACAAAGGCTTTAATTGAAAGACGCATATTTTTAGCATGTTAGGTTTTACTTCTTGGAATTGATTAATAGTGAATCATATTTGTTATTTTTCTTACGTTGACTATTGACACTCAATTCAATATCGCTGTATATTTGTAAATAAATTTTGTTTATATGCTACTTAACATCCTCCAACTTGTTAAACTGCTCTGTGAAATTGAAATATACAATAATTAATTCAACAATTGATTCAGTAAACAAAATAAAATTAAATTTTTTTAAAAATACACCTAAAATACTTAAAACATATTTATTCATTTCAATGTCTTAATTAAATTAAATTTACAAATCATTGGGTTCAGCTGGTTGTTTAACCCAACCGCAGAGTTCATACAAAACCTTCAAGATATCGTAAATTCCCACGTCCATATCTTCTAAATCTTGAGCGACGCGTTTGAATTCCGGAGAGTGAATAGTTTTGTCAAACAACATATGCATTTCTTCGGTGGTGATGGCTGAAACAAATTTAATAAACACTGGACTTTCATGCATTTTCTTAGTCCAAAGGTCTATTAATTTGTCGTAGGGTATAAGATCATTAAGGTCAGACAAATAACTGCCGAAACTCCTATTGGTGTCTTCCGGAACCGAAAAGACCATGCCACCCATGATATCAGAAATCATCTTCTCGTATCTGTCCAAATCAAGCCCGGCTTCTGAGTATTTCATGCGCAATTCCTTGGTAGACGGACGAGACATCAATGCACGCAACGATTGTTTGAACTCTTTGCCCTGCACGTACTTGAGAGCAGCCTGCATTTCCAAATCGTTATTCAAATGATCCATAAGAGTCGCGTACATCTTTTGCATTGGCATGGCCACAATGAAATCTTTGAATTCCATCATTAATTGAGCTCGATATTCAGCGTCGGTATTCTTGGGGGCTGCGATTGCCCCCATAATCAACCCGAATAATATTATTGCTTTCATCATCTAAATTTATATTTATTATATAAGCGTTAAAATTGATGTAAAATATATTTCCATATTAATTGTCTACTACTTACGTTTGAGACCGTGTTCTAGTGATGTATAGTTGAAAATTGAATTATCATGGAGTTGACTTGTGCACTTATATAGTGGCCATGTTGCTTACGTAGATGAGTATCATTATTATTGTTATTAGAGACGATGGAATTGCACGCCGCACTGGATGTTTTGTTTACATGCAGTGGCAACAACGATAATGATTATGGATGAATTAGCATATTATGAGTGATCATTTTTTTTAAACAAACGGTAGAATTACGTCTACACAATTTGCGATTAACAATGAAATTATTAATTATTGACATAATTACTAAATGTCTATAATAAGTATCAGTACCAATGATATATGATTTCAATTTTTTTACTTAATTACAGGTACCTAATCTGATTAACAGTCTTAACTTCTGATTATATTTTCTTTAGTAGAGTTTACTCCACATTGAACGTCTATCTGAGTTGCCTAAATCGCAGCTTCGGGAAAGCAAGTAGCTTGTTTCAAGTTTCTCTAGACTGCGTCCTAAATTTAGCACGGACTGGGACAGACGGTTTCGGCCATCGTCGATTAGTATGAGATGGGGAACACACCTGGAAAAACCCATTCTCGAGAAAGGAATAAAAAATATCTGTTATTAAAGGGGGCAGGTATGTACAATACATTGTTTGTTTTAATTAATAGTGTTGCGCAACAGTGAAGTTTGAGTCGGAAACGCGGTGTACAATTGATGATCTCAAACTTCATATTATTAGCATTTTTAACATGCATCTGCCTAGCTACTGACTAGTTCTAGTTATTTCTGTCGTTTTGTTGAGTTTTATTAGGCCAGGGATTTTCGTACCAAAAATCAATATTTCCACGTTTTTGAGCGATAGATCATGTTTTGTATTTAATTTGCTGTGTGTTTTGAATTCAATTGGTTTAAATTTGAACGCTTTTAGAACGACCCAGCCCACCAGGTAAGCCATACCTGGTGGCGGTTGACGATGGCACGCCCGATGTTCTAACCATTCGATGGGCACCTTCTACGAATACTGGTGGGACTACCTTAACTCAATACTTGGTGGAGCATAGACGTAGTGGTTCCCCACACTGGGTGAAAGCTGCACCAACAAAAGTGTCCGTTTGTGAATTGACCCTCAGCGGGTTGGAACCTGGATGGCGGTATCAATTTCGTATCTTTGCTGAAAATTTGGTTGGAATATCGGATCCTAGTGAACTATCTGAACCTTTAACTGTAACCCATCAGCGGTCCGCTATTGTTGCACCCAAATTTACCCAGGAATTGCAAGACACAGTTGCTTTAGAAAATAACAAAGTTGAGTTTGTTACGCACTTCATTGGACAACCAACACCTAAAATATGCTGGTTTAAAGATGGTTTCGAAATATTCAGCAGTCGAAGGACGAGGATTCTAACCGAACAGGATCGAAGTGTTCTTACTATTCATCAGAGCGCTCTAAGTGACGAAGGTGAAATAAAATGTGCAGCAACGAACAAAGCTGGTCATGTCTCTACCAAAGCAAGACTCACATTGGAAGCTCCACCGAGCATACGTCTGCCACGACAATATGAAGATGGTTTGTTATTTGAAATTGGCGAACTATTACGGCTTAAAGTCTCAGTAGCAGGGTTGCCGCGACCATTGATATTTTGGTCACACGATGGCGAATCAATAAACGAACGCGAACGATACGAAATCGAAAATGACGCTAATTCGTCTACTTTGAAAATTAACGAAGCATTACGAAGCGATCGAGGCGAATATCAAATAAGAGCTGTTAATAAACTAGGCACTGACGTGGCCTCGTTCTTAGTCACTGTTACAGACAAACCATCGCCACCCGGAAGCGCTAAAGTTGTCATGTCACTTGGACGCTCGGTAACACTATCATGGAACACACCACAGGATGATGGCGGGTGCAAAATTGGTAACTACATCGTCGAATACTATCGATTGGGTTGGAACGTATGGTTAAAAGCAGCGACTACCAAACAATTGAGTACAATATTGGGAGATTTAATTGAAGGGAGCGAATATAAATTTCGCGTCAAAGCAGAAAGTCCATTTGGAGTAAGTGAGCCAAGTCCCGAAACTGATCTAGTCTTTATACCAGATCCCAAGCGAGGTATGTTAGAACCCGTTGGGGGTAGAGGAAGAAGTCAACCTAGAGATATCATAGACGATTTGGTTCCGGTAGCGGCAAAGCGGAAGAAGGACAGATCCCAGTCATCATCCCGAGCGGAAAAAGATGAAGATTATAATATCGGTTCACCACCACGTCCAAGACGTAGCAAAGTCACGAGTCCGCCGAAAACACCAGACTTTTCCCCCAAAGCAGAACGGAAAGCAACCACTTTAAACAAAGCAATATTTGATAGAGATACAATGTACCAAGATTTAAGTTACGGTAGTCCTGAGCTTAAAGTCACTCGAGCCGATGCACCTGGCCCGGTAGTTGCAGAAGTCAAACCAATGCAACAAGCAAATAAAAAGCCCATTGTGCCAACTATGCAATTAAATACAATTCCTGTTGAGGACAATACAATCAATTCACAACGGTCTACTCCAACAAATCTCAAAGAAAGATCACCAAGTCCGAGTCACTATGTTCAAAAAGGCGATACCCACAAATTTGTGAAAGATAAACCTTCAAACTTAAGAAAACCTTTGTCGCGAGATAACAGTGAAAATTTAGGTGGAAGCACAGAATTCATGATGGTTTTATATCCCGAAGAAGTTAAAGGTACGCAAAAATCATATACGTTTTACTAGGTATTATTTAACATATTTTTTATAGGAAGCGGTGATCCATCCATGCATCCATTTGAAGATATGGGATCAGTGCCTCCTCCTCTATCGTTGTCTGCTCCTGAATTAGGCTCTGAACCTCCACAACTTTTTGATCCAATTAAATATTCGGCTAGTTCTACCGAATTACTGCACGAGCGTGCAATGGTGCGTTTTTATAATGAAGCTTTGGCTGAAGAAGAAGCCATTCAACGTAAAATGGAAAAGCAGGGAGTGGATGCGCGAAAATCTAGTTTAATACCGAAAATTCAAATAAATAACCCTGATGAACAAGATATTACAAACCTTGAACGTAAGCATTCTTTGCGTCGACGCATGTCCGCCGGAGGCACGATTCCTCAGAATATTCTAAACACACAAAAACGACATAGCTTGAGGAGATCTGGAGATTTAACGGATTTGTTTGGCAGTGGTCTTCTTAACAAAAACTTAACTAACGAAGAACGTAAAACCATTATGCAAAATCGACAAAGATCAACGTCCGAAGAAATGGAGGAGGAAGAATTTGAACGTATTCGCGCAAAAATGTCGGAACGTAAACCAATAGTACCTAAGAAAAAGATTAGTGTAGTCAACGAAGATGTGTGGGAAGATGAAGAGTATACAGAAAGTTTATCAGAAGAAGAGTTGTCTGATAATGAAAGCATACGGCCAGAGGTTAAAGTTCGTGAAATTTCCCCCGAAGAAGAAGATGAAACTTATCATCCTCAGATGAGCATGAGAGCTAAATTTGATGCACCGTTTGAAATTTTAACCAAACCAGCTAAATTGCCCGAACCTAATTTTGTGCCAAAGCCAATATTGAAAAAGAAAGATGGTGAGATGAGTCCACCAACGTCCGGCTCAGAAATGGATACTCCAAGGTCTCGTTCCAATTCATTGATAGATGAATATTTGGACATTCAACGTCCCAAAACGCAAGTAAAGGAAGATCAAACTGAGGATAAAAACACCAATGCAATTGCAGGAGCTGGTCTCACTGCAGCGGGTATTGTTATTTCCCAACCTATTTTACACCAAAAAGAAGCGGAAGAGTCTAAAAGTGTTATTGATCATTATGGTGAAATTGTTCGCACGAAAACACAGAAAACATTGCGAGGTATAGAGGATAATCCAGTTCGTGCCGCTTTGAAAAAGCAAGCACAAATGCAAGCACGTCTGCACTACAGCGATGAGGAAGAAGAAGAGATAGTACCACCTCCACCTGTGAAATTGTTTGATCCACCAATTATTGAAGCTGACAAAAGTAAACCAAAACCGTTGGAAAACAGAGCAAAACCTTTAGAAAAGAAGATTGAGCCGCCACCTAAAAGCGCTCCATCTCCTGTTAAATCCAGAGATGATATTTATCCAAAAATACCTCAAATTATATCAAAACCCATTGATCCACCAACACCAAAAGCGGTTGAAGTATCACCACCGACACCATATAAACCTGTGGAAAGTATACCAAAGAAAAATGAAGAAGAACCTGTGCAACCGAGAACTCGAGGACGCGAAGAAACAAGATTTGGTAAGCGAAGTGTTGCAACATCCAAATCGCCTCATCGCATGGGGTCTGATATCAGTAAGCCATCAACTGCATTGCCAGAAAAAGTATCTAGATCAACAAGCTCCAACCGAACACGAAGCACCAGTAAAACACCTTCCAGATCGACGTCCCAGGCACGTCCTCCATCTAGGTCAAGTTCGCAAGCACGCCCACAATCTCGGTCTAACTCATCGATGCGGCCTCAAAGTCGATCTGCATCTAAATCGCGACCAGACAGGAAATCACCTTCACCAGCGCCTATGTACTTACGGAAGCCAAAAATGTGCGAGATTATGACTCAAACGTCCACGACTGTTGAGCCCGACGATATTGTATTCGCAAGAAGCGAACTGCCAAGTGATGATAAACTGAAGGCGATTGCGCAAGTAAAAGTTAGAAATACAATGGATTACATTACGGATTTGGCAATGTTTGCTGTGGTATTTTGGGTGTTTCTCTTTAGCAATGAATTGCTGGCGATTCCATTTTTACTGGTTGCTGTGTTTAGGCAACTTCAAGACGAACTTAAAAGATGGGTTCCGAATTGGATTAAAAAGCGGTGGAACAAAGGTAAAAAAGAGTAAATAATTAATTTGTTCTACATTTAAGATACGAGTATGTTGTTTGTATTTCTGAAATAATCTAAGTCATTCACATAAAATCTTTCGTAACAGATGTAATTGTTTCATTTTACTCACTATTTATGTAGGTCTTATAAAATAGGACTTCATGAAATCATATCAGTACATAGTTGACACATACGATCATTTTTTTCTGAATAAATTATGTTAAACCGATTATATTTTTTATTCCTTTGTATGTTATCTTATGATGAAGGCATATGAATCTTTTCTTTCAAGAAAATTGCAGTAAACGAAATTATTCATTCATTATTCAAGAAAAAAAATAAAAAGTCTAAATTTTAATGCAGAATATTGAAGAAAATGTGATTTTGAATACTTTATCTCAAAAAAAAAAAATTGTTCTGATATATACCGTTTTGATAATAATCACCAAATAAATAAAAATTCCGCTTGTTATTAATTGAAATTCGAAATATCCTATCTTGTCAATAATTATCCACCTGAGGAATATGATCAAAGGGTCCACGTGTAACATAGGTAGGCAGAAAAAAGAAGTGGAACCCAAAGATCAAGTAATTTGGTAATTTGCTTTGTTTTATTTCTATTCGATGTGTTGTTGTACGTTGACCACAGAATATATGATTTCATCTTCTGAAGTATATATACATTTACATGAAGATCGTCATAAAGGCTTCGAATATATAACACATGTTATAACATTATAATGATAAATCAAATAAAGCTATAATGTTAATAAAAATTTCGCTAAAAGTATGGGTTTAGAACAATTATCCTTTCATTTATATATAACACGTAAATTAATTTTATGATATTTACAAAACTTTTGATTTTTTTACCTCATTTCTATGTCTTTCGCAAAACTATTGACAAATATTATTTGTTTATTGAATCTTTTTAAATAAACACATACATCAATGCTACAACCTTATGCAATTTATTAGATACATATATAGCTACCAAAATTAATTATATTTCTTACTAACCACCATTCTTGAATATGCATCGTCAATGTCATACATCTTAATATCTGATTTTTTTTTGTTCTTGTAAACATAATACAACTTCATATAGGTATAAGTAAGAGATTCTCATCCAAAATAAGATTCGATTTGTAATTTGGAAATGTATGAGCACTTAGTTTCTACAAAATTGCATGATATGTTCCTTTAGTTTAGGTTGATTGTAATGACTTTGAACATTAAAACCACTCGCGTTCGCCAGATTCAATCTTAAAAATTTAAAATTAACAGATATTTAAACTATGATAGCAGTTAGAAATATGAGAATTAAGAGAATCACAATTATGAATTCTGATAAAAATTATCACCTATTTCTATTATAAGCCCTTCTATTTAAAGTATTCTCTTTTCAGCATCCAGCGCCATTTCATCAAACTGTCTCCAAGGCCACTCTGCATATTACTATTTCCTTTGGTCCCACCCTTTCCAAATCGGTTAAACTTTCACAATTAAATCAAACGTAATAAACTTAAATAGAAATTAGCACTATAAAGCTCAGTATTCAATTTGGAGGGAATATCAGATCCCACAATCATTGACTAGTTTGAAGTCTTGTGGTTCATTCAATAAAATCATTGTAATTTCAATGAAACAATGTCCCTCTTCTTAAAAAATATATTTCTGAGAGAATGTAAGAAATTAAATAATTTTCCTACATTGCTTCACTGAAATATTTCCATATAGGATTCTCATATATGAAATTCTTATAATTATTGACTAGAGTGTATTTAAAGTGAAATTATATTCATGAGCTGCACTTATCTTAATCAACTAATCAGATCTCTGCCAGTTTCCTGCAACGTTTGCGACGTGAGCCTTTCAATTTCGTTCAGCAAAACTTGAGTGTCATTGTCGATTTCCGATGCGGGAGGACTAGGATTTAATGAATTGTGAACACTATCCCATTCCAATGAGTTAGCCGAAGATATGCGCGACCACGACTCACTATTGCACGCTGGAGCTGTGTTTCGCGTACTAGATTCACTGCAATTGTCATCTCCAAACGCGGTCCACGAGCTTCCAGACGTGTCAGGGACCATTGACGGTTGGACTATTTCATGTTCCCATTCCAAATCTAGTGAGCTTGCAGGCGTTGAAACTGTGGTCTTCGCCAAAAGTGCTCTTGCATCTAATGATTGTAAAGGTATGTCATTGCTGTGACAAGAACTGAAAAATGTAGATACATTGCAAAATAAGTTGATAGTACAGTAGAGTAATTTAATTAAAGTGGAATACTCATTACAGCAGTAACCAACTAACCAACCTTGTGCTTGGTAGTTGTTGGGATTCACTAAGCCTATTGTAATATGAAAGATGTGGATTCAGCATGTCATCAACCAATTCCAACACAGGTTTTTGCAGCTAAAATAAACACAAATCAAAATTTTCATGTTCAGATAATAAATACCCATAAAATGCAAATATAATTACCTGTAGTCCCTTCTTTGATTTCCTCCTAAGAAACCATTTATCAAGAAACCCCCTGCAAATCCCCAGATCAATTACAAATTATTATAATCTAAAAGAAATAATACTTGCCTTGACTTCTTGTATGGAAAGGTATTCTAAAACAAGTATTAATATTGTAAAAAACAAACAGGATTACATATGAAACAACATTATTTACCTCTTCAATGAGAAAATTGAAATCAACCGAGTTACTGTTGCGGCAGGACGATTTGGGTAAACATCGCCCGAAACAACTTCCCATGTTTTTAGCAGTCCCTGTGGGACAACAATTTTCGCCAACTCCATGGGGTCTTGAATATGAACATTTGAGTTGGTTCAACTTGACGAAGTACTGATTAACTCCGCACCCTTATTGACTCACGCGTATTTCATTATTCTGGTCGTAGAATTAATTGAGAACGTACAATACAATCGAGGGAACTTCATTTATACGCCGCTATGTTGACTACCGCCGACTACTATTCGACTATTCCCTGACGTTCAGCTGTTCATCGCGCAAAAAACTCCGGATGGAGGGCGCTGCTGTTAGTAAAACACTGGACAGAATTAACCCCGTACAAGTTCAAGAATCGTGCAAAAATAGAACAATGAGAGGAAAATAATTAATTATTTCTTTCAGAGAAAGAATTATATTTTTAGCATAAAATCTTTTTTTGCAATGTTTGCTTTAACTATCTTAAACTTTCCAGAACATTTTTATGTACATTTTTATTTTCTAAAAACTGATTTATTACTTTACAAAACATTACAGCTAAATTGACCATAAGTATTCACTCATATTTCCCAATTTTGTCAATTTCCTCCATAATACTACTTGTATCAGTCAAGACTCATAGAATTTTCATACACAAATATAATTGCTGCTTGTCCAGAATCTATAAATGTTTCATTTTTAATCCACTGACACATGTTACAACACTCACTTTTCCAATGGATTTTTTTTAACATAACTAAAGCCATGAAACTCAACACTTTCATAAACAATTTTCCTATTATTTCTACAGTCTGGTCCACACTTATGACTTGAACATTTCTTGCATGGAAAGAAACATCCTGGACATGCAGAATCCAAACAGTCACACATACTGATGCCTGTACCTATGTGGTATCCAACTGAGTCAAAGGCAGCACCTGGCATTGTTTTCGATTTTAGTTTTCTCTCAAGTTTTCTTTTCTCGCGATTACTTGTATCTGGATTAAAATTGTCCAATAATTTATTATTAGTTGCTAGGGCAGCCAGTCTTCTAGGATTTGCAGATCTTGTTGACTGTTCTGACGCATTATTTGTTGACTTCTTTGCTATTCTCCCAGATGAAACTCGTGTTTTACCTGAATCATTCTTGGAACTGGATGTGGACGTTGATATCGATGCATCAGAATCGTTCACTGATTCATTGGTATTTGATTTTGTTTGTGACATATTTTGTGCGATCGGTAAAAACAATTTTAATTTCAACTTTTAACCATGGAAGTTGTTTGAGCGCAAAATAAGACCACAGAATTTGAGGTTAGCCTCATTTGGTAAGCATGCAAGCATACATACACATTCAATACTTACAATTCAAATCGGTTTAGATTCTTAATCTGTTTTCTTAGGTCAAATTCTATATCAAACATTACTGCACACTAGTTTAAACTAAACATCTTAATGTGTGGTTTCTAATTTTGCGAGCTTTTTATTTTATATAATTAAATGGAAGTATACATCAATCATTAATCAACATTAACCAATAGAGTATTTACTAAAGTAAAAATATCAACGCTACGACGATCTTGCGTGATAGCACCACGCGTTTGTATCCAGAATTCGTTCAACTACCCTAAGATCACATTCGAAATTATTCCGAGCAATTAATTATAGGCTTACGCATATAAACGTTAAATTTGCCAAATGAAGTTCTATTAAATTGCGTGCTTCATTGCTTGAATCTTCTTTTGGCTTTGTAGAGAAAATCCTTAGTTGAATGCTATTCTATTCTATAAGTATAGACAACGGATTTGGTCTTGATGTGGCTAAAACACAAGATATGAATTGTAATGATCATTTCGCACATAAAAGAATAAAAAAAAATACTATACTTACAAGTAACTTGATGTTGATTAGCGTTTAGACAATTCTGCCACTCGGTCAGACTAATAGATCGATCCTTATTTATATCACAGTATCGCGGCAATTTTTTACCACAACGTTTTAGATTTTTTACCAAGGACATTGCGTCCTTGAAAGCTTTCCATTCCGCCTTATCTAGAAACTTGTTTTTGTTTTTATCGTAGAATATGAAACTCCACGCAGCTATGCGTTCCTCCTTAGATCTGCAATCATACACATAATTATATTCTCTTGTATTTTGAGTTTTAAAGACATCTTTCGTACCCAGGTATTGTTGAGGTACCACTTGTTTCACGCAGCATATTTGTATGTAAATAATTCATCAAATCTGCTAAGAACGCCACCTTCTTATCTTCTGGACAACCTTTCATTGGTCGAGTGACAGTCGTGGAATCACAAGTAGGCATTTTATCCTTGAGAGAAGTGCCCGGAATATTTTTGCCCGTATCTTCATTTACACACCAACAGTATCCAGCCGACTTATAACACTGCACCTATTTTCAAATAAATACTTTTAGTTTTACCATTATTATAACTATTATGTGAATACTACCTTAGCATATCTTCCGTCCAACGTACACTCAGGAACATAATCAAGTTGAGAGCCTTCGTCCAAGGCGAGCTTTCGATCCGCCTTGCAGTCCGTGACATCGTCGTCCTTGCTGTGGTCATGCGTGTCTTCCATATCGGATGGCGTATTGTACGGTGTGTTGTCAACGAGGACTAAAAACATATGATTCAGTCGTCGTATCGTGCGTTTTGATAGAAAATTATTACTATCAGGACGAACGGTGCGCACCGGCGGCAATGGCAGATCGAGCACGTCTCCCACGTCCACCTCGGCGTCTTCTTCTTCCTCCGGATCCTGTGAGTCGTCCGTGCCGCTTTGCCCTCCAACGTCTACGCGCAGCGACATAAACACACGCATAAAAACTATTTAAGTTCACAACAAAGTATGCGAATGGCAATGCTCGTTTACTAGCATTGCGACGTCCCTACCCTACGATTTCTACTGAAAACTAGAAGAACTACACAAATTATATTTAAGCAAAATAATTATACAAAGTTACGGAAATACCAAAACCTTGTTAGAAGCTGAAATTTTTAAAAATATTGTTACTATCTTTACTGTGCGCTACTCATTGATGTACCAGAAGTAAAAGAAAACAAAAAACAGTCCTTGGTTCCTGGTTTTGTCAAGAAATCACCCGTTATGTAATATCATTTCAATTTTCTTTTAAATAAAATTTTGTATAGCTGTAATTTATAAAGCAAAATAGTAACAACCAAACCCGTTTTGTCTGACAGCTAGAAATTGTAGGATGTTTAAGAAATTTTCTTTTTCGCCGTCTAAACTACCGATTTATGGATTATCACCTCAAGCCTGTCTCCGACATAACAAATTTAAAATGTAGCAATAGAATGGTCCACAATTACCAGTTACTTCCTAATAATACAACCCACAGATTAAAGTCACACTCTACAATGATATATATTAAGGCGCGCGCACCGACCGGATGGTGTGTGCGTGCGTCTTAATAAAACAAATTGAATCGAGCGAGCACTTGTCAGAGCCCCCAAGTGCCACCGAGTGCACGCAAGTACCTCTACAGTTACGCAGGCAACTACGCTGTCCAAATGCTAGTGCCCAATCGTCGCTACAGCTAGCTCATACTCATTTCAGCGGTAAACACCTACCGTCCATCCCGTCGCGCGTCAAGCACTGCGCCCACTCCGTCTTTCCAATGACTTGATCCCGATTCATGTCGCACGCCTTCGCGAAGCTCTTGGCACATCGCTTCGGCTTGACGACCTGCTTCACGAGCCGTTTGAGATCCTTATATTCGTTCTTGTCCAGATTCTCGTTGTGGTCGATGTCCATCTTATGGAACTTCCATTCTAGCACGACTGAGTCATTGGTAGCGATACCGCGGGCTGCAGGATGGTCACGAAGCCAATCACTCTTGAAGATATGTAAGAGGTTGCGATTGAAGAGGGCCTTGTCTTCCCAACTGCAATTACGTCCGCGGCGCTGATTTTTCGGCGAACTACGCGTGGTTTTCTTGCCAATGCGACCGCAGCGATCTCTGATGCCGGGTTTATGGCGTTTGATGGTCGCCGGCACGGGCCGGCCGTTTGGCATTGCACACCAGCAATAGCCCACTTCGGGTGAGCATTGGAACTGGGCGAAGCTGCCATCCGGTTTGCATGCCGGTTTGAATTTGTACGTCGGATACGCGTTGGCGTATTCCGAGCAGGTTTTCGGCCGTTTGCAGGGACCGCGGTCGACGAATGTAATATTCTCGTTGCGACAGCGTGCCATTTCTAAATGGCATCTGTTAGGATATGAGAGACCATCTGATCCACACACTGCTTTCCTTGCTTCCAGACCTAGTTTACACGATTTTGGTTCACATGGGCCCTGGAACAATTAAAAATCATGAAATATATTTTTAACACGGCGGTAACGCCCAAAGCATTAAAATAGTACGGACGACTGCACGTTGAATTCATCATCGAGCACGATCTGTAAAGTGAATTAGTTACGCTTGTTGACCACGAAGCGTTAACATGATATATGGACTTCTCACAGATAGCATGCCGAAATTATGACGTTGAAACGTTGGGAAAGTGATAGGAAAAGAATCAAATTGCATTTAAGCGAAAATTAAAACATAATGCTTTACATTTTGCTGACAATCTTGAAGAAAAAAGGTATGATTTACGATTCAACCCAAAATATTAGAGGCGGTCAAATTCGTGTTCGGTTCGAATTCTCACACGTTTTGTCGGTTGCTTTGACCAAAACTTCCCACAATCGATTTGATTTTGTCTCATTGCGAACTTTTTAACATAAAAACTATTTGGATGCGTCACCGAAACGAACCCCTGTTAAAAACAAGACTGGTTATGTAAATGATCTTTTGTTTCATATAACAAAATAACATTTTTAATTGATTGATACTTGTTGCTTAATTAAAATCAATTCCGCGCAAGTGGTTCAGTCACGAATCGCAAAAATATTCTATTCGGTCCAGTGATAATTAAGATTGAACTCTGTCCAGAGACGAACCGAATATTTATATCATTAATCTGGTTCTATTGTGACATTTATTAATTGCGGTACATTTGACGTCGGCAAATGCATTATCGCGAGAAGTTTATAAAAAAGTCCGAATTCAGTTTCTTTTTCTTCAACATTGTAGCATAAGTATCAATGTCATTCAACATAAACACTGATCACATCAAACAAGAGAGGCATTGTGTGTGAAAGATCTTATCACACAAATGATAAACTGTAACCATTTCAGTCTAGCACCTTGAGAGTGGAGAATGAAGAAAAAAATACATTGACATTGTATAAACGGTTTATCGGCGTAACAAATCAGAACGGGACGGTCTTCAGCAGATACACACGTCCCTGTGGACAAACACCGAAGCATCGCGAAGAGGAGACGCGACTAACTGATATGATGTAAAACAAAAAAAAAACATATACACACACACACTCGCACATACAAAATGAGCCGCGTGTCGGCCAGGTGTTCAGAAATACGAGCGACTGCATTCCGATAAACGCTGCCGCCGCACATTCACACATTACAAATCTACATGCGCTCGAAATGTGACACACATGAACCTATTCGCGGGCACTCGCCAACGAGTGTTCCCGTAAACGGGCGTCGGGATGCAATCGATGAGGAACCGCGCGAACTCAATTGGCGAACGCCCGGTATTGGTGTTGCATGTATATCCTCGATAAATGAGCGTGCGAGTGTGCCTGCTCAGCTCGGACCGCTGAAGTGACCGAAGCCACGAACAGGTGTGCATCTCGGATCCCATTGTATCTCACACCTGTGCGAGCGCGCCGTATCATGTCATATCTGCGCTTCTCGGCCCTCGCATAAATATACCTGAACGTACAAGTGTCGGCCCGGCATTAACATTAACCCAAAGCTGTTTCTCTTTTTTTTTTCACGTCAGACAAGCCCTCGACATGAAGTTTACTGTAATTGTCATTCGATTAGGACAGGCCACACGTTCGGGCGATTATTCACAATAACAGTCATTTATAAATATGTTAGGAGTCAATTTGAAATTAAACGAAGCAATTCTGTTATATGCAGACAATTAAATGTTTAATGTTCACTTACTCAACACTTTGTAATAGTAAGTAAATTTGTTTTCGGTTTGCTTGAACTTAAAAGCTCTTTAAATACGCGTTTAAACAGCAATTGCTGAATAATGGAAAGTGCAAATTTTGCTATTAAATATAAAGTGTTATTTTCTAACTTTTACTCACCAATGCAATGACAACGTCCAGTGCGGCAAGAAGCACAACGAAAATCCCACAATTTCCCCACATCTTGCCGCTCCCTTTCCCGGAAATAAAATATATCAAACACAAATACAATTCGAGAGTGAACGAGGATTAGTGTGCAATCGTCACCAAGAAGTCCATAACAACCGCGGGCAATGTTTAATAACTTAGCGCTCTCTTCATTTCTCGCACGTTTGCTTTCAACTCCAACCACTGAATTTGCATGCGATTCGAAGTTTGTCAAACACACTTGTTCGCGCACAGATCTCGCCAACTCCTTGAAAACGTGCGCTCGCGTTGGCGGCACTCGATGTTTGAATGGTGTGGCACTCGAAGAAGAAGAAGAAGCACACAGGGACGTAAAAGCAGCAGTCGTAACGTGCGAGTGGTGGCGAAAGCCGTGAGGTCCGGGGAGTGCCGGCGTTGGCGAGAAGAGAAGCCGGTCAGGTACCACGCTGTCTGGAAGGGCACTAAGTTTGGTCCCGCGCTGTCTGGGCCAGCGGCGGCCCGTATGCGCCCACGGACGCACGAGCGAGACGACACGAAGATCTCAAGAGGCACGCTCGCACAGGCGGTGGTCGCCGGGTACCCACTCGAGCGGTCTCCTCTTTGTCTTCCTTTGGAGTTGTACAGCACTTGCGGCACTTCGTGTTTGTTGCCGCTTCCCACTTGTTCGATGGTGCCGTTTCGTATTATGTGCGATGCTGGTCAGACGCTTGCATGTAGTATGTTCAGTATTGGGTGTTTCGAGAGTTCACAGGAGGATACCTTTCAATATTTATTCCGAACTCAAAATGGTCGAACGAGAATACCTCTATTTGTATAAGATTACAACTTTAGCAAATCACACTTTAATACAAATATTTGTTTAAGCCTGATACTAGTCATACTCGTACTACTGAAATGCACTTGCGTTTGATGAATGCGCTTCCTTACAGCGAATATCAACCGCACGCTGTTTGCGAAGCGTGAAAACGTACTGACGAACAAATTGATTCATGTTAGCTGATATACATTTTATGCCCGTTCGCCACGCTCCGAGAACGAATTATGGAGACTCGCTGAAGGATTGGACGAGATGGTGCCGAGATGTTTTAATTGCACGACACAGGTCGATCGGGTCAACGACGCTTGATTGAAGAAAACGATAGCGTGATGATGAGCATGGCCGAATTATATGCACGCATCAAATGTGCAAGGAATATTTTGTAAATACGTAGTTGTTTGATAACCAGAGAGTTAACTATTTATGAAATTATTTATCAAAGCGGAAATGGTTGCCGCTGGACGCGGCAAAATACTTAGAAATCATTATAAAAACCATGAGCTATCGATTTCTTTTAAAATTCGTCGACAAATTTATTATCGTCCGATTCGTTCCAGGTATTGTTTTAATTTAAACTGTATCCAAAATTGCTGAGCAGAATATTTTAATCTTAGTGCTTTCAGAAAAACATTCCACGAAGGATTAAGTGTGTTCGTGGAAAAGAGAACAGGAAATACAATTTGTAATACAGTGCAAATGACTTAATACCGATTTAATCTTATACAAAAAAGTCATGTTCAATTTATATGTATTATGAGATGTACATTTCAAATTAACTTTAATAACAGTAATGGTTTTGTACTTTTAAAGATATTGAAACGCTAAAAATACAATTCAAAAGTAAATTAGCGCTATTGTGTGTTAAGGTGAAGGACATTCGCAAGAGTCTTTACATAATTCTAATACATTTTTATTGCAGCATTAACACTTTGTATTTATGGTTGATGGTTGATGACCTTAATGTACTTACTTCAAGCACAGAATAAGTTAGTACTTTGCATAGCTTTTCATGTTCGCCATTCAGCAACGGTATATTTATCGGAACTTCTCTGTTTAACACCTTCTCGGAATTGAAGATTTATTTTCTTTGCGAAAAGAATTCGAAAATATTAGAATAAGTTATTGTCTACTGGCACAAACACAAGAGGTGGTAATTCAATAAACCATGTTAAGGGTTAACACATAATATAAATTACAACATCACTAAACGATTAGATGAAATATGTATTATGTATCCAGTCGAACATGCATTGCAGTATAATAATAAATTAATAAAATTTCGATTGCGTCGTACGGATATTGTTGGCGACAGCAATTAATAAATATTATGACTAAGTGCTATCTTATGATGAATGTTTTATGACTTTATTCGATTAATAATTAAACTGATTGTAATGAGGACGCAAGATACAAACAAAGTGGAAACATTACCAACGTTTACAACTTTAATTCTATGATCAATTTCAATTAACATTGAATGAACACATCAACATATTATAATTTTGAACATTTTCGTAATCTGCCTGATGATGCCACAGTGTTGATTTTTTCATTTGACGATAATTATGGAGTTTCATCACGTAAGTGCCTCAACAATTCAATAATCTGCACAAGCCAAATAATTGTAGATAAATAGATATACATATAGATATATAGATATACATAGATATACAGAAATTTATATTAAAATTTTAGATTTTTACAAGATTAGCAATTATTACGCGTATTAGTGGAAATGTATTGTTTATGATGTGGTGTTGCTATGAAATATTTTATGAATAATTTATTTGGACCTTTAAAAAGCTGGAGCATCATACATTTTTACTGTCATAGTATAAATCAAGGCTTTTTTAGAGTATATACGTATATTCGATCCTCTACCCAGTCCAAGAGTACCCTAAAATGCTCTTAAAAATTGTAATTTTTATAAAAATTTGTAAACATGATGAGGAAAACGCCCTGTATCTCCTGAAGTAATTGATTTTTTTCGAGTTTCTCACAGCCATGTCAGAGCTCGAGAGTCCCTCTATATGACGCATGCCTTTCAAACCTTCTAGCCCTTTTACAAGTATCTTTAAATGCCCTTTAAAAATTAGCATCTTTCCAAAAAATTTGGTTAATATTTTTTTTCGGTCGAAGAACAGAGTCGAACTTACTTTCTTAAAATATTTTCGGCCAAACAACAGGGTGGAACTTTCTTGCAAACATTTTTTTTCGGTCGAAGAACAGCGTCGAACTTATTTTCTTAAAATTTTTTTCGGTCGAACAACCGGAACAGACTTTTATTAAAATTTTTCCATTGAAAGCGACGAGATTAAATTGTGTTTATCTCGAGAACTAAGAGGGCTACGGAAAAAAATATCATATTCATATTCTTGATCCTTAAAGAATTCTTTTCAAGATGGCACCCTTCTTAAAAAACGACAAAACATGCATAAAAAAATTTAACGAAAAGATTTTGTTATAAGAAAAGCAAAAGATTTCTCTTTTTTATGTTCAAAATTCAAAGTTGGAATTTTTAAATTTTGATTTCCGATTCGGATAGATCATTTAATTCTATATCGATTATTTTAGTAACTTTTTTGGCTAGCATTTACCGTTTAAGCCCTATTTGCAATTTAATTAAAAAAATGTATGTAATTTGAATAGGGACAAAACCAGACTTAGTTTGGGTTATTATTATCAAAAAGCTTTATTTTGGAACAAAATTTTATTAAGATATAGTATGTAGAATCACATGTTCTTCATTATTTGACAATAAAAAGTTGTAATTTCCAATTTTTATTTTTAGCTTAGGAAATAACCGAGGAAACGAATAAACCAGTTTTTCAAACATATCTTGAAAACCATTAGAGATAAAGAAAAACGGGTTTCATATTCGTATGTAGAATTAAAATTTACATTATATAACATGTTAAAATTTTCAGTTATTAACACTTATGTAATAATTAAAAATGGTCAGTAACTTAAAAACTAATTAAGATAGTGCAACCAAACCTGGATTAATGCATTCCTGGCATTGTTTTTCATCAGTTTGGAAATTTTGGGGATAATTGGAGAGGTAGTTTTATTTAATCAGTTTTGAATTTACCACCCATTTTCCGTAATATTGATGTTATCAGAAAACTGACTTCATATCTTTCATCCCCTTGGAAAACTCAATCGATTAGCGTTTTGCATTTTCTTCTAGCTTAAAAAAAGTTTTTTGAGTCCAAAAAGAGTCAAGTGGAAAAACTAAATCTGCCATTTTAAAGATCCTTATCACGACATCAACAAAATGAAGAAAGTTCTTTTCTAACTTTATTATTCTATGAGAAAATTGCGGTGGAAAATTTTTTCGGCATATGTTTTATTTGAAAGTTTTTAAACGTTATCTTTCCTAGAATTTCATACCTAGCATTAAAGTGTTTTCGGTTTTTGTTTATCTCTTCTAGTTCCTGAGATAATTGATTTTTAAGTCCCTATGTGAATACACGTTTTACTTATTGACTTCTACAGAAAAAACCCTTAGTCTTATTAAGTGAAAAGTTGTTTAAATTGGATAATTAAGAGTCCCCCTACACAATGGGATAGTTTGTGTTTATTAATTTATTATAGTAGGTATTATTATTAATGTCAGGCGCATCCGCCATTTTGCATAATTTATAACTTTTAATCAAAAAAATTTAAAAAAATACTATTTTATTACTAATTATCAAAGAGGACAATTTTATGGTATGTTATGGTTATTATTTTAATACATAATTTTAATTCAGAATTCGATTTAAAAGATATACGACAATAATTGTTTAAATGTATTCTGCCTATATGTGATCTTTACAAGGCAATAAGACCTAAAACAAGCAAGCTTGGAGAAAATATTCCAATGATTAATCACTCATATTAAATTGTTTGTTAGGAATCCACAATCAGAAATAAAAAAATCCGACTTTTAATTTCGAAATATACTTCTAGAAATATGAAAGGCATATCAAAAAATCACCCAAGTTTGGTAAATTTGGTTGCCTACAAATGTATGCTCGATTCCTTTGACATTTCTCTTCGACCAATTCGTATGATTTGTACACAAACACCACCTATAACCTGCCAACATGGCTTCGGTAAGAAATGTAAAAATCTTTGAAAAACTCTAATTATATACGACGAATATAATACAAATTTGGTTTTTAAAGGTTCCATTGTTAGAGGATGATACATTAGATTTTGGAGAAGAAGACCACATTGATGCAGCAAAAAAAGGATCATTCACGTAAATTTTAAACCAATTTACAAATGCTTTGATAAATATTTGATTAATTGAAATTTAAGTGCAATATGAATAATTCTATAATTATGTTTTAGGCATCCATATGTTACCTTTATTTACTTGGCATTTCGAGGTGGCTCCATTGCTACATATCTCCTATGTGGATTTTTCAGTAACAGTTTTATAGCAAGTTTTGTATTTATTGTGTTACTTTTATCTATGGATTTCTGGACTGTTAAAAATGTGACTGGTAGGCTAATGGTTGGTTTAAGATGGTGGAATTATGTGGATGACAATGGACAGTCACACTGGGTCTTTGAATCTCGAAAGGTAAATGTAGATTTGTTTTTTTATATCGTATTTATAAACTTAAAAATTATTGTGGCCCTCCTTTTAGGGTCAATCACAGAACAGGGTGAATGATAAGGAAGCTACTATTTTCTGGTTGGCGTTGGTGGCCACACCTGTTATTTGGGGCATATTGTTTGTGGCTGCATTATTCAGTTTCAGTTTAAAGTGGCTGGTAAGTTTTTATGCAACCATTTAATATATAATAGATTAATAATGTTCATTCAGTTGTTAGTTATTATTGCACTTACATTGACTGGAGCAAATCTGTATGGTTACTTGAAGTGCAAATTTGGTTCAAGTGAGAGTATAACATCAGTTACTTCAGATTTCTTGAAGAAGCAAGTAATGCAGAATGCTGTGTCCATGATGGCGAGTCAGGCAAGTCCGCCGACAGCTAATCCAATGAATTCGACTAATACTGTTTAATTCGACAATTATTCTTGTATTCCACTACTATATAAGTTTGATAATATTAATCAATAGAATATTCATACATAAAACAAAAACTAGTCAATTATTGAACAGGCCAGTGGACAATGTAATGCTATATTTCATTGTACTTGCTATTTCAATAAAGTATGTAAAAAAGACTTATGATTATTCTTAACCAACAGTGCAACCACATTTCAAACACAATTAATATTGATCCATAGGTGAATTCTCAAATACGTATTTTATTACAAAATTTGCTTGCATTACAATTCAATTTATACTTTGTCTTTGACAACAATAATACTTAAATTCTAGTGAGAACATTATGATAACACGTAAATGAGATGATCATACATTGAAGGTGATGAACAGATATTTGATATATGGCCATATTTCTTTTATCTCTTTATGCATTACTGAATATACTTAATTAAGACTTAAATACTAAATACACAGTTTGTGAATTGTGATGATCGAGTTTAAAAGTTAAAATTACAAAATAAAAAAGTATTACTACATTAAATGTATTTGGCAATAAAAAAACCTTTTTAAGCAATAGTGAAGAAACTGTGAAGGTAATAATGAAGCTAATAAACCCGCGTGAAGTGGTAACTGTCATGTAATTGGTGAACTGATTGTGTTAGATTCTTATTTCTATTGAAGTTATATTTTCAATCTGTTTTGTTTTTCAATTGAATGTTTTCCAAACTAACTTCTCATCAGCCAAATCAGCAAAATCGTCTTTTCTTTCTCTCCTCTTGCCTTTACGTTCCAATAGTGTACATCTGTATCCAAAAGTTTTCTTCTTTCATGTCTCATTTTGTTATTTACTTATACACGTTTCCGCGCAAACATAATATTCAGTACCGACGCATACAAGAACAAAACCCAAGCAAATAGTGACGTTATTATGCCGATGATCAAATCTGCAGCGGTGTTGATAAATCCATCACGATATGCGTTTCCAGTGTCCGGTTGGATGTAGTCCATGAAATCAAATATCGCGTTGCACGCTAAACGATTATGCAGAACTGGCAAAAGGGTGCCATGGATACCAAGTTGATTGACCAAAGTCTGGCGATATTGGCGACACGTGTAGAAATAGCCATCAATGTAGAAAGAGAAGTGAATCAGAGAATATAATGTTAAAATACTGGTCATGGACGCAGCAAAAATCCAGTAGCAGCGTGAAAGCAGACTGATATTGTTATGATGCACGGCTTGCATGATAATCGTCTCGCCAGCACTAATAAAAAAATCAAAGCAAAAAGTTTGTTTGAGAAGATTTCTAATGTGTATGTGAACATTTAAATAAATCGTACTTACTCATTTTTACTAGTGATTGTTCGAGTAGTATTTTCTTTGGCACCAAAAAGCACCCTAAATCCATGATAACAAGCAAATCCAACGGATATAAAGACATACAGCAAAGGTCCAAAAGTTATCCAAACGCATGAAGCAGTGTCGCCACCTAAGTTAACAACATATTCAGGTATTAATACTAATTCATTACTGTACCAATAAACAAAAAATGTATTACCCAAAAAGTGGTTCGGTGTGTGTTTTCCATAAAAGATGCAGCTGCAGTTTCTGAAGTCTAAGTTGGTGCCGCACTGATTAAGAGTGTCCTTCCAATGGCTCCAGGCAATTCCGGCGGTGATCGATGCGGTTGCACCGAAAAATGTGCATAGAGTGTAAATCACACTTAAAGTGTTTTCGGCTTGTCGTTGATTCATTTTGTCAAACTACAACCAAGAAGATATAATCAATGCAAAAGACTTTTGCGACTTATGCCTAATTGTAAGAATTCCCAACTGCACTTTTGTAGGTATGCAAGTGCCAGTTAAAATGACCGGAAGTAGGTGCATTCTGACGATACAAACATTAAATATTTTCTACGCAAAACAATGCACGTTGCAAGAATCTTTGAAAATCTTGAGACTTTGAAGTGGCAGTATAAATTGATTTTCCATTATCAGTCATTAATTATGTAGTACTAGGTAGTACAAAGACGCATACGCGGAAGTCTATTATTGTATTAAATAAAATATAAGCGTAATTTTCTTTATACCATTAATAAGTTGAAAATACTTGCAATAATAACAAGAAAGCGTCATTGTTTACGTCCAAAGAATAATTAGTGGTAGCGCGATTAAAACATGCTTCAAGCTTTTGTTTTCTTGGATTAAAAAAAAAATCGATAATTAATGATGAAATAAAGGATACCTGGTCAATATTATTTTTTAAATTTCCTTCAACCGCCCGGAAAATATATGCTTCATATCGTCTGTAGTTGTACACGTATTACAAACATGACTAATATTATAGTAGTCAAAGAGCCAGACTAATAGAGCTTAATTACTATGACCTGTGGGAAACGTAAATGTGCATGTCCCTATCTGCGCGACTTGGTTGCGAGTATACTCGTACTGCGAGTATAGAAACGAAGTAACTTTAACGCGGGAGGAAAGTTCTTTGTTCCCAACGTTCACACAACGCTGTCAAACTGCTGCTGCTTTTCACGCAAATTTATTTCTGAATAATTCATTACTATAAATTAGATATGTGTCCAGTTCGCTTCGGTTAACAGACATAAAATTTTAACATTCATATGAAAAATTCGTTCCTTTCAATAAAATAATAAAAATTAACTATGTATGTACGTATGAACTTTCACACTTGCCCTATTTACCGCATGTGATACAAATTTAATCACGATAACTGACTGCGATTAGATAAAAGTAATATCGTTAAGAGTGATTCAATCTCGCAAAACTTTGTGTTGCAATGTTGACCAAACAGGCATTCCAATCAAAAGGTGTCATTCATTCACGTTCCACGCGCTTTCGGTTCGCGTTACTTACGAGTATACTCTCTCCAACATGAGATTCACTCACTGTTGTTTTATTCTTTTTTAGCAATGTGATTACTCGAAGAGTGCGCAGACCCATAATAAACAAGTTTGTTTGCAAACAGCAAGTAGTAAACAAGTAAATTGAGGGTACTTACCTTGTTTTCTTGAGTTTATGTGTTTGTTGGGCTGACGGAGAGGGAGCGCCTGATGCACTGGCCCACTAACGTTTTGGTTTTATTAAATACCTGTTGGCGACTTGGCGTCGGACGCGGCGAAAACGCCTAACGAAAACAAACTCAGGTGGAAACGTGCGGCGCGGAACGCGAGGTGAGCGCAACTGACGAGTTAGCGCGCGTTTCAAACTCAAGGTGAAAGTGGTTGGCTCCAAACAAGCATAAAGGCATAATCTTAGAGTGATAAATAAATCATTTCAATAAATTTCAGTACTTTTAGAGATTTTCACAAATAAAGTAAAATTTTTTGATTATTATATAATGAAAAACACCCAAATGGCGTAAATATGAAACTAAAATAATTCAAAGTGCGTTTTCCGATTACCAAATTAAAATGAATGTTTTATTATGAATATATTTGCTTACGACTCACTCAAGAACAATATAACGCAAGAACAACTGCAAATATGTGTTTTATTATTCATCTGCGACTTTTATCGTGAAGTTGATGGGTAGGGCAAATAAAAAATAAACTATGAGAAATCGCAATTACTCCTACAATTAACTATACAACTTGGAATGAAATAAAATTGTAGAAATACAGTAGTATAACATCATTGTGTTGTTATAATGCGTAGGCAGCGAAATGATGCTTTCATGTCGACTTCACCAAAGTTCAAAGTTCCATGTTTGGAAAATATTTTATCAAAAAACTGCTTGGAATTACCAAGATTTGCAGGGACAGGAAACAGGTCCCAAATATTGCATGTACTTAGGTAATTATTAGTTTGTATGTACTTTTATTGTAAACAAAAATAAATAACCAGGTTACATTAAAAAATAAATACAAATTCAAGTAGTAAACAAATAAATTTATAATAAACAAATGATACATTTTGTCGCCGTTGGATTTATTCTACAATGCGAATACTTCTACATTACTTTAAATAGTAGAAAGTAATAAGTCTGCTTGTTTTACATTTGTTGTAATATTGATGAGACGTGAGTAAAATAAGCCTCCGATTCGTTATCTCCTAAAGAAAGAAAACGAATTTGTAAGTTTAGTGTAATTTAATCCAACTATGTTCATATAGTTTCATCAGCTGTAACTATGCATATGTTTGATAACGGTTAGCAATACCAATAACACCATCCACTATCAACTCATACTCTGTATATAACCCTGGTTATTAACTATTTTTTGTCTAATCATTCATTTCCTTTGAAAAATAATCACAGCACAGTAAGGTAATCATTCTAAACGTACATTCTATGTACATATGAATACAATTACACACTCTTCAGATTAAAACAAGATGAGCAAATAATTGTAATGCGGAAATGACTAAATTCGATCACAAATTATTTGCTCGTCTTCGCCTGCTCATAATGCGCATTATAATGACTAAATCTATGCTGCAGTACTTCGCAAGCCCGCCGGCGTACTTTGTTCCAATTGTTATTTTCTGATGTAAGATGTTATTAATTATTGAAGGCATAATATGAAAGTCTGAGAGTGCTTACGCTGGATTATAATGCCCGACATCGGTAAATCGATCGCGATTATTCCACAGTGCATACAAACATGATATTCCTAAGCCGACAGCGCCGCCCAATCCACATGACCGCAGACCACCTATGCACACACAATATGTTTGAATAATTTATGTTATTAGGAGATGAAATTTAAATCTACTCACTTGTGGATTTGTATAAGCATCCTGTGGCTGTTGCGGCTGCTATTGTGTTCAGATCATCATCAGCTCCTCTTGCATAGGATAGAATAACACCAAATGCTGAATATATAACAGCAATAGACCCTAACATGTTGGAATTTGTGCTACCCTTCTTCATTACATGATTTAATAATCTGCACAAAAAGTATTATTAGAATTCTGAGTTTAAATTGTAGTTTCTTTGAGCTTACTGTGTCCTCCTTAAATTACCAGTTTGGCCTGCCAATGTGGTAGCTCTAAGTCCACTGTAAAATCCATTTGCACCACCAATGGCTGCACCAATCATACAGGAAGCACCAATTTGACCAAAAGCCAGTTCAAATCTGCCTCTCTGCTTGCTGTTGCCATCCAAAAAAATATATTCAGGTTGGGTTGCGGGTATATATACGGGGTCATAGTTCAGGTACGGTGATGAAAAGTTCTTTAGTCCTGGCAAACAAATAAATCGGAATTACATCTAGAACTATTCCATGCAGTATACATACACTGATTATTTAACACTGAGGTTATGTCAAACAGGAAAATCGCGAGAATTTCTATTTACCTGGTAGTCCAATTGACGATGATCCGGTGTCGTAGTTCTGTGAGTAAACGTCGTTATTTTCGTTCATCGTGTGTGTTTCTTGTGTCTTTTGCTGCGTAGATGGTGGCTGGCGCTTACAAACGCGTTTTTATTTCATGGACTACGGAGCGACAGATATCACGTACTCGGCACACGCGATGCGTTTGCAACCTGCACTGCCTACAACCTTGGTTACTCGATACTGATTGGTCATCGATATATCACATGACAAATGTTGCAGGAAAATAGTAGGCAACTTAATATACATACATATTGAAATACAATGGTAAGGTAATATACATACATATTATTAGTGTACGTAAATTATAGTGGATTGAAGATAAACGGAATGAAGGTATAATACAAACGAAATAATATTTAATTAAAACAAGATGAAGCGCACTGAAAATCTCCGTCCCCATCAAGAAGAACTGCCACAGTTGTCTGAATTGGCGGGTATACATGCAGATCCAAATTTATTAAAGCAAGTACAAAATACATCAATAATGATTTTTTCTACATTTTAATTTGTTCTTGCAGGATAATGATTGAATTATTAAACATGAAAGTGCCTCCACACACCTTGTATTCAATGCTGAAGTCAATTCGCTATTCCACTATTGAGCAACAAAAAGCACAAGCAAAATTATCTATGAAACATGATTCCTAAGTTTAATAATTCCGATTGTAACACGATCTCTAATTTAAATAATTTATTTTCTGCTTTGATTCAAATTGTTTGTATGCATTTGTATGCGAATATTTTGTAATATTTATTTTATACAAATTATCACGTTTACCCATTCCAGTTGACCGTTGTTTTTGAAGATCGGATTCTATTTGATGACAATTCCAATTTCTTCCGTTGCCTTCATTCGCTTGGTTACTAATTTTAGGTTAGAAAAGTGCCTATACAAACATTTTTATAAACAAAGTTATTGTAAACTTCAAAAGAACCGTGCCTATTCTTGTGATACTAATCTATTTTTAAAAGATGTCGGTTGAAGAAGATACAGAACTGAGAGATTTGGTTCAACAATCACTGGAAGCTAATGGCTCACTAGCTAAAATAAGGGTAACAACTTATTATAGCCTATTAATTTGCAAATTTACATAAAAAAGCTTTTTTGCTAATTTTATATGCATTGTTTTAAACTATTTGTATATTTTCAGGCTCAAATTAGAGCCTGCACATTTATGGCACTCATTGAAGAAGAGAAGCTGCAGACAAAACCATCATTTCACAATCATAAAATCAAATCTCAATTAGAACAACCAGAAGGCCAACTTCTCTTTGCACTGGTGCATGAATTTTTGGAATATTACAACATGCATTACACATTAAAACTCTATGAGTCTGAGACATATCAAAGTGCCTACTCATACAATGGAAGAAACAAACTGCTCAATGATTTACACTTAAATGATGATGATTTATCATCCCCACTATTATCTCAATTATTGGGAAGTTATCTCAAAGATGTTCCTAATGTTAACGGCATGGATGGATCTTCAAATGGCCATTTATTACAGGAAACCAAAGCACAAGTGCCTCTTTTGAATCAAACATTTAATGTGCACATTGATAGTAAACCAAACACTCCTCGATCTGTTAATTCTGATGGCAGAGAAGATACTTATGAAGGTACTAGTTCTATTGCTGAAGATAGTATTAAGGATAAAAGCTCAGTAGAGACAGAGAAGGACCAAGAGTTTAATGAAACAGATCATTCAAGCTCTGGAATGAATGGATTTCAATCAAATAATCAATCTCATTCTGCAGAAGTTGAGAAAAGTGAGAAAACGTCCAAGTCTGAAAAATATCGCAGCAAGTCACCACGCGAGCACGGTTCGAATAAGTCACGAGATTTTGTTCTGCCATCATTGTACACCTCGAATCAAGAATTTGATGATAATTTAGATAACTATGAGGAAGACTTTATGTCTACAAGTGAGGTAGAATTGAAAACAGAAGTCAGTCCTCATTCTCCGACCAGTTTAAATTTTGATAAAGCATCTTTAAAATCTCCGATTAAAGAGAGTGATATATCTGGAACAAGCGCTGCGAATGAAACTAATGCGTCTAGCATAAATAGCGAAGATTTCGAATTAAATTCGACTGTCGATGAAATACTCAAGTCAAACTCAAACTAAAGTAACAAATGAGATCGTAAATCCCAAAATTTTGTTACTTCAATCATCATGTACTTAAAGATATGAATTAGTTTAAGCTTATTTATTACGTTCGTCTTAATTTTCCAGTTTATAATTTACGAATCAATCGAATGCTTGTTGATAGGAACCATGTACTTAAAATATTCATTGTGCCTTAATTTAATTGTTTCAAATGTGAATGATATGAATAAAATTAATATAAAAAAAGTATAAGCCGACATTCCTGTTGGGAACTTAAAGTTTGTACTGAATATTGCACAGAAATTACTCAAATATTAATAATTTAATGTTTTTTCAATAATTACTGCACATTAAACATTAGAAATGTTTATATTTGTGTAACAAACAGGAAAATATACATGAATAACATGACAATAATGGCAGCTTAATAAAAATGCCAATCTGATATTAACTTTCATCATGTAAGTGTAAACAATCAAATTTCAAATGCCATGCCTTGTTTTCCACTTTCATTTACATTGCAATGTACATCATTGTTAACAGTCATTTTAAACTACACTTTACATAGGTTCCTCATGCCGAGAAGAATTACATATGATTTCTTTCCCTTTGTAATCTTTGGCTGTAAGATCTAGAGACTAGATTCCATGAGTCCATATATCTATCCATACACATGGCAACACATTTCTGAAATCATTTGATAAATTATCCTGGTTCATTATAATTTGTGAAAAATGTTATTAATACCTGTTCAGAATTATCTAAAGAGGTACCTGGCTTGTTTATGCATTTTTTGAAGCACTTTTCAGTCATTTTCTGCAAAAAATGTGAGATAGGTAAGATTTCTCAAGCACAACAGAGTTTGGTTTGGTCTATTCTTACTTGAAGGAGTTCTTGCGCGTTCGCTACAGCAATTTGCTGCTTGACTTGATCCATTAACTCGTCCTTTTGCACTCCAGACAATCCGTTTAATGCTGCATCCATTTTGATTGATAAATGCGATTCTTGAGCGAAGCACCCTGAGATTAATTCGAGTACAGATTGATAATTTTTAGGTTAAAATCAGTACGGTATGCAAGAGCGCACGCACGGCCGAGCAAAGGCCGGTAAGAATGGCGATTATGTCATTAGTTGTAAAATTATGCCAAAATTGACAAATCATAAATAATATGTCATGAATTCCTCAAATACTACATTGTACATATTTCGTTGGAATAGATGGTATCTAGAAATGTAGAATTAAAGTCTTCGTCCTGTTTGTTGCAGGAGAAGCGCCTCAGGACTTACACTTTCATAAAAAACGCAATAAATCGAAATTGATATGAAACGATATACCAAAATATAACAAAACAAACATTTGATGTAAAATCGGGCAATCTTCCAGTATAAGATCAGAATTACACTATTCGAATTTAATCTTTATCATTTTTAATTATCTAAATTCCGAAACTTTATTTACAGATGCCACTACGATGCAATTAAAATGTAAAATTTTACTGAATTTAAATGACTGAACAATAGTTCAGTAACTCTGCACAATTAGTTCTTATTACAGAAGGTATAAGGGCATAAACTATTTATTTTCTGTATTATTAATGAATAACTAAGTAATAGGTAGTAATGGATGAATAGATCAAATAAATGAACAAGACATGTATTACAGGACTAAAGTCCCCTCTGTAATTGACTAAATATGTACACGAAATAACAATAAATTCAATAATTACAATTATGTATAATATAATTAAACAAAACGTTTTAAATACATCTCAATTTCAATATGTTTTTAAATACACAAATAGTAGATTGCACACTTGTGCAATTCAGCATTGAATCCTTTCGTCGTTACATAAATCCAATGAAAACTTCAGTTGTCTTTGTCCCAAACTTTGCACGCTCTTCGATTCGCTAAAAAATATTCGCCCGCACATTCGTCAATAACGCCTACGTAATGTACTACCTATAAGTTTGAAACAAAGTTTTCTGCGTGTTAAGTTTGACTTACAGTCGTAGTAACATTAAAAAATATTTTTTGTGACGGTACACAATGACAAACAGCGAAAAACAATCTTCGAAAAGAATTAACTGGAGTAACAAATGGTTGGGTTGTCAGATCACCACGATTCGCGACGTTATCGAAGTACAAAAATATTACATTTCCTACAACTCATAACCGATAGAACTGATAGATAACTTAATTTCATTAAATGTATTGGTTTATATGTTATGTTCCTTTTTATACTCTTTTGTTGTCCTTAAAATTTAGTATTCTCATAAGTGCGTGAAGACGTAAGAATTTGGCTGAAATCAGTCGGTATAAAATGTACATTTCCTTATCAGCACAACAATAGTGTAGTTCATAAGTTATTTCAGGTTCCAGCTGATGTAATAATGTTGAAGATGTTACTTCTCAACAGTTCTCACTCTCTAGCGGTGAAATTAAACCGAAAGAGAGACGAAACTGTTGTACTGTGTGATATTCCTCTTCAAAATATCTGCACACAAACCAAGGACACGTTCGAACCTGCAACACAATCGACAAACAAGTTTAGCACGAACGTCTTCAAATTGTTGTACAACGCAGAAAGTTGTTATTGTAGAAGTTTTAATGGAATATTGCTTACCTCGCGCGATCCAACTTCACACATTTCAGCGGCCCTGTGGCGACAACAGTGGCAGCGCGTGGCCTGTCCAGCAGTAACGCAATCTCACCAAAGTAATCACTCGGGCCCAATCTGCCAACTTCAGTGGGATCTTCGCCCTCTGCCCTGTTCTGCATGACCAGCGCAGTGCCCTCGACGATAATGTAAAAGTCGTCACCAGCTTCGCCCTGTCGTACAATCGTCTCCTTGTCCTCAAAGCCAACCGGCTCAAGCGCGTCAGCGACTGTCAAGCGCTCCCACTTATCAAGATTCTCGAGGATCGAGACACGCGATAAGAATTCCTCGTACATCTTTCGTTTCCGAATAGTCGAACCCATCAATATCCGCCGATAGGAATCCCTATCGATGCCCCACAGCTTAACGTCCGTCTTTGCTCGCACGGTAGCCGCACGCGGTGTGCCGTAAATCAATGCCAGCTCACCGAAGCTGCCGCCCTCACCAATTGTTGTCACCAACTCGTTATTAACGTATACCTAGAAAAACAACAAATTAAATACTTTGATTCGATTAATTATCATCCACAACTTTACCTCGACTTCGCCTTGATCTATCACGTAGAAATTATCACCCTCGTCACCCTGCTGGATGATTGCCTCGCCGGGCAAGCAGTTGAAAGGAAACATCGCGTCGAAAATATCAGAACGTTCGTTCTCGTCCAAGTGCGCGAAGAGTACGTTCTTCGAAATGGCTTTGGCGAGCGCCGCCATTGTCTTGTAATCTTTCGGCACCACCTTCTTGACATAACTGGTGGCATCCTCTTCAGTTACCGGTTCGGCGGAGATGCCGCCCCGTCGACGCACAGGCTGAGTGGTAGCTGGCAACGGCGACAAGTCTTCGGTGTCTTCAGGCGACGCTGCCTGGTTTTTCGCGTCCAGTGCTTGTTCCTGTAAAATAAAAATCAAAATCAATAAAGTTTCATAGTAAAAAATATTTCGCTCCTTCGCAAAATTGAAATTAATTCGCAGCAAGTTTTCAGAAACCTGCCTGGCATTAATTTTCCATCAATATATAGTTCATTCCCTGTTTTCTATTTGCGAGTGCATGATGGTAATTAGCTATTAGCAATTTCCGAGCTGGTTACGCCGCCGACGTCTCGTTCCAGTTTGCAAGTTAGTTACTCACCGCCTCAGTGCATACGCAGTAAAATATAAAGTTCACGTAGGGTTCATAAATACTATTACTCGGAGACTTATTAACGTTCACTTAATTTAAAGCAGGTTTTTTAAATGTCGTAGTACTATTTTAAAAAATCGTAACATCATTTCACAAATTGCACAAAGTTTGCATCATGTAACAACGAAAAAAAAACTTTATTATGATGTTATATGATACGACCAAGGTTGGGTGGATTTTAATCCAATAAAGCTGTAACTCGCAGTAAAAAAAAAGTCTGTAGATGATTTATAATCTATACCGCCCACATTTTAAGGCCATCAATCAAACAAAGAATGGTTTTCCAATTATAATGTATATAATAATTTATAAGAAAAATCAACTGAAGTACGCATTGTGCCGTTTGATTGATAGATTATCGTCGTCTGTGGTGCAAATATAGTCAACGATATTAAACGATCAATTTCATAATGTTTCTTTTCTGTATTTTACATCATTACAAACTGGAAAGTTTTCAGTTTGCCTGGATTTTTATCATATTACGTAAGACGTTTCTCTCACTTAAACATTCCGTGCTAACATACCTAGATTTGTGCTAATAAAATGTGATAATAAAGACGTCTTTTAGTCTTAATGCCTTGACATATTCCAAGATAGCACGATGGCAAGTTATGGAAACAAACAGACTAAACTTGCATCTGTGGTCTTGATACAAGGCACAAACCCTCACCACAAATCCTGTCGGATGTCATGTCAAACATCCAGTGCATTATTGTGACCCGAGGATACATATCATACATCATACTCGTATAACTGAATCACATTGTTCATGGTCCACAAGACACAAAGCACTTGAGCTCGGAAAATCGAAACTGTGCAAGATCCTTGATACAACATGTACGAATTGAACATGCGTATAAACAGAATGACCCAAAGCAGATTCAATATTGCAGTTTCATGTCGGTGCGGCACTTGATCGTGCTCAAGTTATGCAGAGTGAGTGTTCGGGTAGATATTTACGAGACGAATCCATGGTAACAAGCGCAGCATTACTAAGCCCACAATCAGTAGAAGATATGAAGTAAACCCTAAAGATTTGCGGTGAGTACAGTATACAAACTTAAAGGGCAAACATGTCAAAGTTGAGTGAGACACAGTGTGGGAAGTGTTTGTAATTGAAACAAAATAAATAAAACTTGCGATAGTTTGAAACACTGGTGATTAGCACACACGCGCAATTTCAAACGCAATATTTAATATTAAATTACAGGATGGTATGGGTTTGCTACCTACGATTTGTAAAATAGAATTTGTCACGAACTAGGCGAACATTTTAAGCTTGTTAGTTCATGTCGAATTGGATTAGCTTGGATCGCGATGTTTACCCCTTTTTATCATCTCTGAACTACAAATACGAATCAATAAATTATAATTTAAGTAAATGTCATTTAAAATTACAATGCTTACATTAATGACACCTCAATTTTACTGATTACCCAGAAAGATTACGAAGTAGAAGTTCAAGAAAAAGAAAACTTTGATAAAACACGACTTTTCGCATGCTGCGTTATACGATTGCTCGATATCACGCACGCAATAAGAAAGTGGCGACTATTAATCAAACGTCACATACGACCAATAATATCCCATTGTTTCGACTTGATCCTGCTCCGTACGTGCTGTGCGCATTTTTAATTCATAAACCTCGTGCTAGCATCAAAAGTGATGTACCTACGTCGTTTTGAATCGCAGTTTTAACACGCCAGAAATAGAAATATTGAAACGCAAGAAGTTATTTTTATCATGCTATAAAGTGAGACTCAAATATTTGTCATCGAAGGCTTCGAAAACGCACAGGTTGAAGTAGAATTATGTAAGCACTTGAGAAAACTTGAGCGAACGGAAGTTGAAGGAAGTTTATAAAGTTGCAAACAGATAATATCGACTAGAAGTGTGGTTTTTATGAAATCGCAGTTACCGCTTCAATCAAAACTAATGTTGGCCGACAGAAATCTAAGCTAAATATAAATATTGGCCGATGACGTCACGCGCGTACCGTTTATGAAGCAAGTTATAAATTAAACGACACGCAGAAATAGTTGGAAAAAGTGTTTTTATAATGTGGTTTATTTATGCGCGGCTCCCGCGCGTACGGAAAGTGTCAGGTTTTTAATCAAGGTTTAGCCATGCGTTGAAACGACAACACCAATTTGCTTATGTGGTAAAATGTGCATTTTAATTAAAATTATGAATCTGTATTTATCCAGGCTGATGCCTCTGTGAGCGATGCGTATCCCACGTTAGAAAACTCGAGGTTTTTTGCATAGTACAAGTGACTCAGTTTGCAAAATGTTTGCATTAATAGTTTGTTAACTTTAATATCACATTTAGCGAGGCATGTTTCATTAAAAGCTTTTGTTGTTATAAAGTAACGCTGGGTGTAGTCACGAAAGCACATTAAAACAAGTTAATGAGTTTCGAATTCGGGCACTTACAAAAAGTCTGTAAAATGCTTAAAAAATGACAGCAAAGAAAGTTTTAATTAATAGCGGTTTATTGGTAAACTATTGGATTTAACAAGTCAAAACTAAACGAATAAAAATGTTTGTCATATTATATTTTAAAAAATATTATAACGATAAATAAGAAAATGAGTTAAACAAAATGCATTCTCTTAAGAAATGGCGTTAAATATTATTACAAAATATCAAATTAATATTACCAGATCAGTTTTCCTTTGTAATACATATTTGGACACTGTTTTTGAAGACCAAAAGACATAGCTTTATCTAAATACTTATGATTAAAGTCGTATCCTATAATCTTATGTATCTCTATATTGGTATTGGTATTGGTGCATAAGCTACATTCCTGGATCGAAATGTAGGTAAAAATAATCCGTCAAGGGCTAAAGCTTTTCCTCGGGGTATACCCGAATCACGGATTGAAATAAAAAAAACTTTATATTCAAATAACGTGTCGCTAGGTGCGAACTTGAGCAGATTTAAAATTTTAAATCCAGACCTTTTTCTGAATTAAAGATACTCAACATTCACAATTAAAAAATCAATAACAATACCAGCAGAAAACACTTTGAAATGATTTTAATCCTTATTTTTGTTCACAATAAGAAGTAAAATGTCACGATTTAAATCACAACGCCATCTATTTACAGTAAATATGCAAGTAAAAAAACTCACTCGGAACAAAAACTCAAAAATTGTATTACATAAATTAATTTGCCAATAGTAAAGTTTCCATGAAGTTTTAATTGCAGTTTGTTGCTTCTAATACCTATATGCACTGAAATAAACATGCTTGCACTGGACGACACGTTGCATAAACGCAATTACAAACAAATTTGATACAATTGCAGTTCGACAATCAACATACAATCGAATGCATAATGCAATCATTTTACCGTCATAATCGCAATCACCCATTCAACATGTCGCCTGATTGGCTTCTCGCACGCGTTTCGTTATCGCCGAACTGAAAGGCACATTTCAACGTCAACTCTGAGTAATGATTTAAACTTTAAACAACGGCATTACATAAATATTTAGAAGTGTCGGCCACTGCGTTTATGAAAAATGTAAATTTCAATAGGCGATTCAACTAGAAGAGCATAAATAATTTAGCAGCGATCATAAATCTTAAATAATAAGCTCCGAACAAAAAGAATACGTTAAAAACTTAAACCTACGCATTGCCAATTAGTAACCAAGTAAATTCCAATTTATTTGCTGGGATTTTTATTGAGTTCATCGGAATACATAATACAATGATGTTATTCATAGAATATATCTCAATCAAGTTCGAAGCTAAATCTAGAATTCAGACAGGTGTCTGAAACAGTCACTCCCCGTGCATGAGATTATTAGGTCGCGCATGTTTTCGCATTATGTGCACGGGAATTATTAATAATTCCTCTCGGCGAGGCATTCCCAAGCGCGAGCATCACACCCAGCTCGATTTAAATCTACATCCAGAAAATAGTCAACTCAAACTCCCGCTGCACGTGACAACCAGGAATAGGCTATAAGCAAATTCCCACAATTCCGTTATTGAATCATCAGCACCGCCGGCAAACACGTAAAACCGATCAGATTATGATACTCGGAATAAAAACTGATTTCGTATTTTCTTGGCAATTTGGCAAAAATTAAGATGCCTACGTCTCTTGCCGCTGCGGCATTCAGATACATATAAATTTATTATGTAAAACCTATAAAAATAAACGTGCCCATATCGCAGTTCGTAGGAATTCATCGCGTATGCAGACTCAGCCGAAAAAATATATTGCCTAATGGTAAATAACCGAGCCAAACCAAAGCGAAACAAATTTTGGTTTCGTAATAAAGTGTGTGTGTGTGTCCTTTTTTTATATATTCAAATATATGTATCTGGTGCCGAATAAAGAAGTGTCGGTGTTTAAACAAATTGGATGCAAATCGTTGCAGAACCAAGTCAAGATTATATAACTACGTTACAATTTGTCACATATAGCATAAAAAAAATTTCGTCAAATGCCGAGTCCACGATTTGCCATTTATTTTTTTAATACAACTGTCGATTGTATAGCGCATAAATTTGTAATGATTGTAATTTACTGTACCTGTGGCATCTTTAAGCTGCAAGTTTCTCCAATGTGACAACAAGCGCACCGCTCACTGCACGAATTACACTGCTGCGATATAAACAATTAACTAATGTTTGCGACCGCAGTGGACGCGATTAAGCGAATCGTGTAAACAAACAGCGCGAATAATTAAACGATGTATCGGCACGACGGCGAATCTGTGAATTGTTCGGGCACGCGTTTGCACTGCACAGGATTGTGTCGTGCACTGGCGGATCGGGCGAACGGGGCCGGAGCGCGCACCACGCTACGAGCCGCCTTCACGTCCTGCTATCACGCTTCTAGCCGATACACCTCCATAGCATTGCCTCTTGCTCCATTGTTGTAAAGCGTCGGCCGTGCGGCAGCGGCTTCGAATGCTAGTGCTGGCGCCTGTTGTGTTCAAGATTGCGCGGGCGTATAATCTCCACCAGCACCCACCTCGGCTGGTACCAATGCCAGTACCAGCACCAACCGCAGATAAGATTTCGTGGTTGAGGTGTCGTGCCACCCGGTGTAAATTCACCACGTGTATATGTATTTATACCCCACGATTTGCAGTATAAAGCAAATAAAGATTTAATTGTCATTTTTAGTAGAAGAACTGAGTGCTATAAATAGAAATATTCTTTGGTGGAAGTACGAAAGAATGGCCTGAAATAATTGCGTTGAAATATAATTGGAAAAGAAAGCTGCAAAGCTTTACCAATCACATCAATGACAAACTCCTACATCAACTCGTTGCTATGGCAAAAGTTAACAAACACTATTCTTGGACTTCTTTGATCAATTTAAATAAAGTCATAGACTGCATCTAAACAAAACTTTGTGAATCAACAGAATATATGAAAAAAACTTCATTCGAGGCAAAAATTTTAAATATTTAATTTGCTTTTAAATTTTGGAAAACATTTTTTTTGTCCATAAATATCTGTTTTTCATTGTCACTTTTATTTCTTCAATTATTTAACTATTTATTAAAATTAAATTTTAAAACTATTCTCAAAACTTGATTCTTATCAAAGAATTGATTCATTACATTTGTAGGTTCAAGTTAGTTTCATGCAAATGCCCCAATATAAGCACTATCATATAAAATCATTACTTCAGATGAATATTGCTCCCAAAATGTTTTTTAAAAAGAAAAGTGATTTTATTTTGTGCTGAAATTTAACATTCAAATTCCAGCCCGAAATCAATAAACGCCCGATCGGCTGATAACTCAAAAGCACGTCCTTCCTAATCGAAAATTTTCACAAATCAGCGTTTTTCTTTAGTAGTTGCACTTCAAACTGCATTATACATCCTATGATTTATTTATAAAGGTATGCACTTGTGCTTTAAACTAGAACCACGTGTTACGGATGTCACCGTGACATTTGGAATACTTGAAAGTGCGAAGCCCTTGTAAACATAACGTGAACAACAAACAAATACAGCGTCACACGCGTGTAAAACAAGAAAAAAGTGAAATGAGCTCATTTACATTCAATGAACTTTTTTTACGCGTGAATACAACACATTGATAAATAAAATATATGTTAATGTACTTTAGCATTTTGATCTCGGATTATCAAGAATACAAATGTTATCAATTGCAACAACGCTTGTTGTATAATTGATTAAATATGTACATAACAGTTGACACACCGCATCCCTAATAAAATAGTGTTGTCTCGCGAATTACTATGATAATCGAATATATTGTATGTATTCTGCATTGTTTGACGTCATCGTTTTTAAAAATTATCTGTGACCTAATAAGATTAGCGTGAACATTCGTTAGGCATAGTGGTAATACGCACTTCATGCACGAAATCATCAACAAGTAAATTTTATGATGATGTTTAAAATGTAAATATGCTAATAAGTAGTAATTATCGTAATAAAAAATGAATTTGTTTCCAAACAAACTTCTGGCACGCAAGTCCTTAAAATGTTACAGATACAGATCGCTGCCGACATCTGTTGGCGACAGTACACTTCACTCGTCCCCCGCCAGCAGGAATGGCAGACAGAGTATGTTTGTATCATCGCTCACGCCCATTATGTGCTCGCGCCACGGCACCACACGCTAGCCATACCGCCATACGGCCGCCGAGAAAAACAGAGTGAAGTGCAAAGCGAGCAAACAGACAACAGCGACAACAGCAGTCAGCAGCAGAAACGTATACATACACACAAGTAATGGCGACGCTGACAGCTGCTCTGCTGCAGAATATCGAAAAGAACACGCCGCGCTCGAAGAGAAAATTGCAGAAGCACCTGAGGAGCTCTGGGTTGGCGTACATCTCGCGAACCGGAAAATTAATACCAGCCAAGAGGGTGGCAGGTGAGTACAGCGGCGAAATATCGTGTTTACATTGTCCCATGACACTTCGATTCACCTTAGCATTAGTATATTTACAACATATCGCGTCACATTTCGTATAGAGACCATTGTCATCGCTGTCGAAATGCGTCACGCGTTTTTATCATGGATAATGCACCGCACGGTACTGCTGTCAACAGCGGCGCGAGCATGCAAGTGCACTTTTCCCTCTATGAGTGTGTTTTGTTTGTCACATCGCGTATCTGAAAACAAGAGTTTCTAACCGCGCGGTGCGGAGACGGCAGAAACGCCTTTCGGCGATGATGTTTTTTGCATGCGCGCCGTTGTGTACGCCGCTCGCAGCGGGCGCGCCACGCCGAGAGGGCCCCACGAAGGGGCATTACCGATTTTGCGAGCGCGCGGCATTCGAGCGCGCCGCGCGAGCGAGATGGCGACAAACACGGTGCGCACTTTAATGACCTTCCTAATGTAGGTCGTGCCGTTTAAGAAGGAAAGGTAACGAAACAAAAAAAAAAAAAACCACACACATCCATTGCATTATAGCAACATCAACGAAGCCATCGCGAGCGACACCGGCTCGCACGAATACGTGAAACTCGCGAGAGGCGTTCGCGTTGTCCTTGTAATTTTTCATTCCGCAGTGGCATGCACGTGTGCTGCTCGTGTTCTACTTCGAGCGCGCGGGATTCACGTACGACGGCGCCAACCCCAAGCACACACACACACAAACGTGATAAATCATCATCGACATCGACGGAAAATCGATCATCCCTCTAATCGCATTATGATGATGAGCTGCGCACGATGTTTTCAATAAATTTCATGGTAACTCATTTGCGGTCTCTCTTGTTGTTGTTTCAGATGAACTATGTCAATGTCCACAAAAATGTGATGACCGTGTGCCTATTGAAGTCCGCGAACGTCTCTTCGCGCATTTCTATGGATTGGGCGACACCGACATGCAGAATGCGTTTCTGCGCGACCACATGGATGTGCGAGCGCGTCTCAACTTGCCCGAAATGACCACAAGCGGAAGGTCGCCGCGACGCATCACGTGCAAATACCTCGTGCCCATTCTGCCAGCGGGCGAGACGGTCGACGTGTGCCAAAAGGCCTTCGTCAGCGCGTTCGTTATCACGACGAAACGCGTGCGCTTGCAGCGCGAGAAACTCATCAGCAGCATGGGTCTCAACAGCTACGGGCCGAATCGCAACGCTAAAACCGCTTCACCCAGCAGCGAGAATTGCCTACGGCGTGGCCGTGATTACGATATGGCGATCGGCGACGACGAGGACGACGACAGTGATGACGGCACGGCCACGTCGCAGCCCAACAAGAAAGTCCTCAAAATACCGTCGCAACTCGAAATGATTCGTTGTGATAAAATCAACAATAATCACGCGTCGACGACGAAGTCCTGCAGGCGGCGCTTCGTCGACGATCCGATGATTCCCTTCGGGCTGGTGGTGCCCGATAGCGTTACCATTGCGCCGGTCACCGCCACCGCCGACCACGATCGCGACATCGCCATCGTCAACAATTTCTTCTCGAACCAGCTCTGGAAGCCCGAGTATATTTTGGGCACATATTCATGATGTGCACCGGCGACGACCGCTGGACGTTCACCGCCACCGCACGAATTTACCACAGTACTTAGACTAATTTATATATACTATATGTGAAACAGCAGGCGAGATATATGCGTGATGAGATGGATACCAAGCAAAGCAAATGATACATTTCTACAACTATACCTAAGGATTCAGATTACCTATATACGTATTGTTACATTTATATTTATATAAAGATGATAGTCTATTCAATTTACTTATTCTTAATACTATTGACACGATGCAAACACAATTATATTTGAGCATGTTGTATTTGATGGAAGTATATCGATTGTTTTCAAATAAAGATTGTTTTATAGCAAAAAATTCAAATTCACTTTCACGCTTTTCCTTCATTAGATGTGTTTTATCTTTAAAAAACACTTACTATTTTTCGGCCGTAAAATATAATCATTAAAATCATCTTCCGTGGCAATACTCTCGCTTTCATTTTCTCCATATTTTAATAATAGGCTGTTTTTGTCTTTCCGAGACATAACAGACGCAGACGTCCGATGCACTTGCGTGTAAGCGTGTAAATTGCACTACGTAGGCTTTTAACACATGCGAAATATATAAGAAAAATGTAACTCACCACGCTGAGAGTAAGCATCATTGTACTTTAAATCTAGCTGCACACCTGGCCACTGCAAGGTCCGTGTGTGTGCAACCCGCGGACAATCGGAAGCAAACAACGAAAACTAAGCGAACTGCGCGAAAAAAATAAACGTTGGCGGTCTGCGCGGCGGCGGTGGCGGCGATTTTCGTTGTTTCGCTGCTGTGACGATACCGCGACCTTGGACACCTCGGCGGCAGGCAGCGCGCAGCGGTGTGAGCTCAATGTGGCTGTGACTTGCACGCTCATGCACAACACCACTACAGGTGTCGCGCACGTTCGCCAAACGAAGGGTTGGTGTGGTTGCACGCACCGCAATCGGCGAGGCGCGCAACTCAATGACGTCATTGCCGCCCCCGACCGATAGGGCCGGCAGAAACCGGCGGCGGAACTTATCGACTCCTCAACTATCACGTCACGCAAGCGCCGCACAACGCGGCGAATTCGCAAATCCCCGTGGTGCGCGGCTGCTTCCTACTCGTTCTGCTCTATTCTTCCGTTTCTCCTTTGTGTTTGTATTTTATGCAGGAAGCATTTCGGAAAAACAGCAGCGCTTACAGAGTGCACGAAATTCATGTTGCTTTGTTTGTTAGTGCGAAATATGTTTTCATTACGATGATGGTGAGTAATTAGTTTCAGCAAGCAAGTGCTTTGTTGGAAACATAAAATGATAACACGTTCTAAACGCCGGAAATTTAGGCAAATTATGGATTACACTATTTTTAGAGAGGAATCTAATATTAGCAGGTTGGCAGGTTGGCGTTCAGAGTGGCGGAGCCTTGAACTTCGGTATTTTTCATTTTCACAGTTCATGGACTAGGTTACGCTGTGCCGTGGCGTAAATGTAAGTACCGATATTGCAATTGTGACGACACGGAATTGATGGTTTCGTGGCGTTCGCACGCAAGAAATGCATTTGCTAGTTGAAAAATTGTAGTTATGTCATATACACGCGCCAAATTGTTTGTTTTATTTTATTAGCCATCAATTTAGGTAAAATAGTAGTTGGACATTAATTATTTTCAATGTAAATATATAAAATGCTATTTTTACACAAGTTAAAAATTGAAATAATTTCCTTTTCAAATAATTAGCTTTGTCATCAAGAAATAAAAATACTTTTGTTTTAGATTTCCATTGTTATGTACCTTCTTTGATTGCAGCAAAGCTAACTTTTCACAACTGTAAAAACATTGTGGCCTCTTTATAACAACGTACAAGGGACCATGCATTATATTACGTTTTGGCGAGGTGTAGTTACATCGAGGAACAAAAACATAACCAAATATTGGGTTTTCACCAATCTAATTGAAAAAATTTCTACGTTAGATGGCGTTTGTAGGTTATATGAGTCACGTTATGACAGCAAATAGATGGCACTGTTATGTAAATCGTGACATCACAATCAATTTAACAATCTCTTCTTGGCCAAAAATATCATTGTGCATTAAGGATAGGCTATAAATCAAGTAGTTAATTACTTAGGCATTATTTTAATTGAAGATAATATTCACGAAAGTGAATTTATTACCAAATATTGTAATCCTATTTACCCTAAATATAAAGCTCTACAGTTTGTAAATTTTGCAACTCAAGTAAAACGCGAAATTTAAACATTTAACAATGCATTCTTTGATTTGTACCTATTCGGTGAAAGTTTTTACTCTATTATTATCCTTAAATAATACCTGTTGACTTCTAGGACGCACATAAATACATGTTTGAGCTATTGGTAAAAATAGCCACGAATCGTGAATCATTACAGTTCCCTTATATACATTCCACGTGTAATTCATGCGCATCAACTTCAATTGTTTTAATTAATTCCAACGATCCAGCTCGAACGTCCTATTAAATATGTAATCATTCAATAATACTCCTGTTAGACATTTTACCTAACCCAACTTACAACACAGATTATCCATACCTAATCAACACTTAACATCGGCCAATTCGACCCATGAAAACTCAATAAAAAATATTTTGAATCATATTATGCTCACGACAGTCGGGAACTGATTGAAAATGTATGAGAAAACAATAACCTACTTTAGCATTACACGCATACCAAGCCACAGCGTAAACAATTTATTTCCGCACTCACCCGTTCGAGACGTTGAAAATACTCCCGCAGGAATGTGATCGGATTCGACGGCCGGCTAACGCACAGCTGCACAATGCAATCCTTTAGGACCTGCTGGATGTTGTGGTTCTGTACGTAGGCTTCGCACTCGCGAAGAGATTGCTCCTCGTCCATGTTGCTCGCCATCCTCCGTCGAACACCAACTCACTTACGATCGCAACGCGAACTAAAGAATCAACGTGTTTCGGTCCAACTACACAACTACCTACGACGCGAGCGATGTAAAATCGTCTCGGTAAAAATTTTGAAAAAGTCTGTTAGAAAAATTCGCTACAATAACGGCACTGGTTGTGTAAAATCTCCTAGAAAAAATACAACACCGTTTGACATTTCATGTCGTGCTTATTTTGTCTTGTTTAGAGCGAATCTGCAACCGTAGGTGCAAGTTTAAAGCGCACTCTGTCGAATACAAATTGTAACAGAATTGGAAATGCAACGACATCTATAATTGCATGGAATTTTAAATATCAAAGTTTATAAACAACATCCAAGATAATCAAAATAGTCATTTTAAATGTCTAAAATTAAATAAATTGAATTATACTTAAGATTTAGTAAGATTTCTAAGCTGAAAAGAATTAAATATGTGGTCTCGTTTACACATCTTTAGTCTTGTTGTTTCTAACCAAAAAATAAATTGGCGGGAATTATTGAAAGGTCCATCTGATGTTCTTTCGTTTAGTCTTTTATTAGGTAATTTTTTTGTGATCCACACATATCGTACTAATAATTGGTGATGCCTGCTACTGGAAACAACAAGAAAAAGCAGCTAAATGGAGGCGTAAGTTATTACAGTCCATTTTACTTTTGAAATTGACGTTTAATGTAAATCGTTTAGTCAAATGGAAATATTTTAAATTTCTTCAAAAAAGTCAACAAGGCTGAAGAAGTTAAACCACCTGATATTGCTTCTGATGATAATGATGATTTTATTGCACCATCTCCTGAACCTAAGAAAGTGCTTGATAATGTCACCAACCTAAGTCCACCTCATTCAACTCTGATTGAATTTTACAAGAAGCGTAGAGGCTCATATCCAGATGATATACCAGAGTTAGATGTGACAGGGCCTCAGAGAAAGAAGGCATGTACCTTGAAAAAGGGTATAAAGGTGTTGTCATTGGGGGACATTAGCCAGGATGAATTTAAAAGTTACCAGGAAAATTTATCAATTGATTCAAATAAATCAGCCAAGAGTTCTTTAGCACAAATGATGAGGACACCTGAAAAGAATAAATATACATCTAGTCCTAATAAAAAGTGTTCAAGTAGTGGTAAGAAACGCACACCAGTTAAACTGTTTCACCAATCACCACATAAGGTGAAAGACTTTAAAGTTGAAGTTCTACAAAAGTTTGTCAAGATTACACCTAGTAAAACAGGGAAGAGTGATTGGATTGATATCAAATCACCTGCTAAGAGTGAGAAGAAGCAACAGTTGAGTATCTCTGAATTTGCCTCACCAACTTCATCAAGAAAGTATGTTTTTTTATCATAATTAGTTGGTTGAATATAATGATTATTTTTTGAATATTTTAGATCATCTGTAGCAAAATCAACCAATGAAACAACACCAGTTAATCATAGGCCATCCCACTCTGGGCACACACCAAGCGGGAAAGCTAAAGTTAAGTTAGATTTTACATTGTCTACAACATATTTAACAGTTTTAAATAAAGAAAAAGAAGAAAATGCAGCAAATAATTCGAAAAATTTGGCAAAGTGGACAAAATCTCCTGTGAAGAGTCCATTTAAAGTTGATGGTGTGTTTGAGGATAGTTGGGATGGACAAATGTTTGATGTAAGTTATTAATTTTTATATTACTACTTGATTGTAATTTTTTAATTGAGTATTGTGTCTTTTAGTGTGATTACAATCTAGATTTAAGTGCACCACACCATTGTAAAGTACTAGAGATTACCAAGACTGCTCACCAAGTTACTATTATAGTACAATCTACTAAGACTGAAGAAAAAGCAATTTGTAATTTATTTTCATCATGGTAAATTATCTTAATTATTTACTTCTGTACTTACACTAATATTATTTTTCATTCAATAGGATTCAAACATATCTTGAAATTGGTTCTGTAATTTATTTGCATGCCTATCAAGATGCGTCCAAAGGATGGTGCATTGACAGTACTAATGGATTACTTGTTTTTGAACCAGATTATTTAGTTGCAAGCACAACACTTGTTGGTATGTGTTTTGTTGTAAAATATGTAATTATGAAATTACAATTTTTTATTTTTTTTATTATAGGTGCCGTGTTTTGTAAACGAAAATGCGTTTTACGTGAACGTTTTCATGGCTTTGAGCCTCAAAATAAAGCCATGATTGTCGGCGGCCTAGTCCATACACTACTTCAAGAATCTCTCAAACGCAATCTGCAGGCTGAAGATGCAATCACAACAGTGGCGCATCAATTGTTAACTTCACGCGATGCCATAAAAGATATGTTTGAGTCCTCTTTAACTTTTCAAGAAGTATTGGAAGAGATTCGCATGTTTATTCCACGTATTAAGACTTTCATGCAGCAGTATCTCGCTGCAAACGCGGGCAAATATCATGAGCAACTAAATCCGGATGATTGGCGTGGTAAAATCGACAGTATTTTAGATATTGAAGAAAATATTTGGTGTCCGGAGTTGGGAATCAAAGGCAAAATTGATGTGAGTGTTAAAGTCGGCAATACAGTACTGCCACTTGAACTGAAAACTGGTCGTGCCACGATGAGTTTGGAGCATCGCGGTCAAGTTATTTTATATATTATGATGATGAACACGCTCGGCTACAATGTACCATCCGGACTTTTGCTATACCTGCGCGAAGGCGTGTTAAGAGATGTACCAATTAGTAATAATGAAAAACGCGATTTAATTATGATGCGAAATGAAATAGTTTACTATCTTACAAGGCAGCCCGAATTTGCAAAGTCTGCTGGTAGTGACAAGTGTTCGGGATCACAAAGTGATTGGACAATCACTGATATCGAGGACTTGGTAGCAGCGAAGCTACCTGAGCCGATAAATCGCAGCGCGTGCGGTAAGTGCGAATATAATGTGATCTGTAGTGCGTATTTGCATAAAGAAGGTAGAAACATAGATGAATACGAACATCTGAAATCACTACAACCGGAAATTATGGGACACTTGACGATGAAGCACATTAATTATTTCACGCGCTGGTGTGCGTTATTAGCGTTAGAAAGCAATGTGGAAGCGAACAAATCAGTACGACAAATATTTCTCACAACACCAGAAGAGAGGTAAAAGGCATACATTGACGTTTATAACAGAAAAACTTAGAGTGGCGTTGGTTACAGGGAAAAGGACGGTCGATGCTTGAATAATATGAAATTGGATGGTGATGTGACTGAAATAAACGGCATATATAGCAGCACATTTCATGGGGATTCGGAGGCTGTCAATCTTCTAGCTGGGAATATCGTGGAGTCTAATTATGTGGTCGTAAGCACCAGGAAACGACCAGCGGTTGCCTCCGGAATCGTCTCGCGCGTGGACTACAAGTCTATTACCATCGAATTAGATAGGTGAGTCAAATTTATTTAAATAATTATTATTACTAAGTAAGTAAAGTTAAGTAAACACTTACTGTACGCTAAACCCTCACAATATCGCTGAAACGATATTTTTACTAAACCATTGCAAGTCAATGCAAGTATTTGTCAAGCCTGATGTGGATAGCTATTTCGACCATTAGAGGTCTCATCAGCACACCTACTGGCTTGACAAATACTACATTGACCTGCTATGGCTTATATACGCTTATATTAGCGTACAGTAAGTGTTTACTTAACTTTACTTACTTAGCTTATACTCACCCTCTCGTACTACCATTGTATTTCAATTATTATTACGATGGTGTAAGCACAACACTTGTGGGGGATTTCGGTGATCAATAACACGCGTAGTTTAAACAAATTTCGACTTGCGGGGTCAAATATCGCGTGGTAACTGAATTTAAACAAAAGTTTAAAGTTTAAAGTACTTTTTGAAAATATGTTAATGCATCTAAACATATATATTTTGGCAAATTTAACGCTAGAGTTAAATTAATATCATGGAAATGACATCTTTATTACAAACACACTAATAATACAGTCATAAAAATATCAGTAAATAGTTGGTGCTGTGTTGATTGGTAAACTCATTATTGAACAACAAAAAATGGCGTAATCACTAAATCGGTTTTTACTAACTGTATCTCTTCGGGAGAGGATTACTTAATTACTTGAATCAATCATACCCTTTATTTAATCGCATTCACGTGTTCGTAACAGAGCTAAGTTGTTTGAAAATGATTTAGTCTCTAATCTTCGTCAAAATCAGTTGCATTCTTCATTATAAATAATATAAAAAAATTGAAATTTCCAACTTAATAATACTATTACAAGCACACGAGTTTGACAGTCACACAGTAATTATGATAGCATGAGATAATTATGTCGTTCATCAGTATGTTAAAACTATTCACCCAATGCGCGGAGGATAGTGATGCACGGTTACGTCGCGATGGCAATGAATTAAAAGTGACGCCGCTTGAAGAAGTCGTTGCGGTTTTGCATCCAGCGCCCGTTGTTGCCGCCGCCACCTCCACGGCCATACCCACCGCGATGACCGAAGCCGCCGCCTTGCATGTTGTGTTGCGGCGGTTGTTCAAACCGATTGTTGAAACCACCCCCCTCGTTGTTGTCGTTGCGCGGCGGGCGATCAAACATTTCCTCCGGCGGTCCCTGCTCGTATGCCTAAGCAAAAAATAAAACCGAAAATTATTTTTCATTTCGATTACGCGGAAAAAACATTGATTTATTCAGATCTTCAAAAATATTTATCGAAACCGGGATTTCTTACTTGTTCCTGATGGTTCAACATATTATCCAGTTGCTGTGCTTGCATAAAAAGTTTGTTTTCCTCCTGCCGGCGACGAATTTCTTCATCTTGTTGCATCATTCGCGCCTGCATCTCCTGCTCCTGTTGGCGCATCTCTTGATCGGCCATACGTCGAGCCTCATCAGCTTGCTGTTCCTTCATTTCCCACTCCTTCTTTTGTCTATCCATATCCATCTCGCGCGCTCTTAATTGTTCGCGCAGCATCGCAGTCTCGTGTTCGTATCGCGCTAATTCCATTTGCGCTACCAGTTTCTCTTGCTCAATTGCCAACTCCTTCTTGATATTCTCAATCTTCTGGTTGTACAATTCGTGCAGGTTCTTCCAACGCATGCCATACTCTTGTTCAAATGATTCTGGTTTAGCGAATCTGGGCCCCACGTTCCGATGATTATAAAATTCCTGATTTCTCTTATTCACGTACTTTTCGGCGTGTCCGTCAATCTCATCATTGGCATCATTCAGCTCAACAATGACAGGCCTCAATGTTGAAGTCAAGAAGAAACAATGTTCATTACATTTTTCCACTGCATTGGCAGCGCTGCCTTTTTTGGCAAATTCGACGAAACCCTCCCCCGTTGTCTTGCCGCGATCATCAACTACCACCACACATTTGTTAATCTCTCCGAAAATGGAAAACGCGTGGCAGAGCAACTCGTTTGTAACATATTCATCTAAATTCTTAACTTTTATCGTTGTGCCATTAGGAGCAAAACGAATCTTGAAGTATTTTCCCCTTATAGGCTTTGACTCCAGGTCGTTCTTTGCTTTCTCAGCATTATGCTGATAGTCCATTCTGAGAAATCCAAAGTGTTTATCTTTGTTAATAAATAATTCGCTAATCTCGCCGTATTGTTTAAACATATTGGTAACTTCAGCTTCTGTAATATCAAGCGGAAGATTACCTATGAAAAGTCGACCGCGGCTAGTGAATTTCTTTTCCTTATTCTCCAATGGAAGCAAATCGAGCGTCGGGCCGGAAATCTCATTTAGCTTCTCTTTGAGGATGCGATCGAAAGCGATATGCTTGTTATGCATGCCACCGCGTACATGATTCGGATGATTTTGATGGTTCTGGTGATTCTGATGGTTTTGTTGATTCTGGTGATTCTGGTTATCATTTTGTTGAAAATTGTTTGGTTTGAACCGCTTCTTTTCATCGTTTTTCTGATACGGTCCCGTGTTTTGTCGCCGAATACCAAATTTCTGCGCGCCGCCGCGCCGAAAGCCGCCTCGATTGTTATTATTGTTCGGCATAATCGGCGGTTTTAGATCCTGCGGCTTCGTCTCCGATGTGCTGCTCTCCACCTTTTCGTTCGTAGTATCCGCGGACATTTTCACTGATTGTATGATGCCGACACGAGTAATAGACACAAACAGGCGCAATGACACTTGCCGCGATGGTTGTGGAAAATGTCTGCCAGATGCCAAAGCGACCGAAGCCAAACGGACAGAAAAGACGACGCGCGTCCGTTACAAGTACGCATGCGCGTCCTACGCCATTTAATAGACGCCTGCGCATTGTTTGAATGAAAAAGTTAAAACTTTTAACTTAAACGTTTATAATGTTGATTTATTATTAATACAAACAAATGAAAGAAGTTAAACAGGCCAAGGCATTGAAGTTGTATTTTCTATTATAAATGTGCAAAAATATAGCTTTATTCTGGTATGTAATTTTTTTCTCAAGGAATATGTAACGTAAAAGTCGATTGCTAATGAGGAAATTCACTTTTCTCAAAAGATTGCTCATATTTTTACATTCCTTTAACGAAATAGCAAATCTACTCCTTTTCTCTAAAGATAATATTGTCCGTGATTATAGATTACGCTTTTACATTTATTGTGGTTTTATTTATTTCAGGGATTTAAGCAAAAAATTCGCAAATACATCTTTTATTTTGGATACCTACGATTCTACATCTGCGAGCACATTTAACTTTGCAAACTTAGCGATACTTCTCCAATCGGATGAAAGAGCCACTCAATTAAGAAAATTGATTATTGATAAGGAACCACCAACGTCACAGAGAACCTTACCTAAATCTTTCTATGAAAAATCTAAAACAATTTTGAAAAACATGAACTCTATGCAGCAACGTGCCATTATCAAAGCAATAGCAGCAAACGATTACCTGCTTATCAAAGGAATGCCTGGAACTGGCAAAACGGCAACGATTGTTTCTCTGGTTTTGCTTTTAGTTAAAGTAAACTACACCGTTTTAATTACAAGCCATACCCATTCAGCGGTGGATAATGTTTGCCTACGATTATTGGAGTGCGGCATTAAATTATTACGCTTAGGAGCAGAAAATCGAATTCATCCCGATTTAAAGAAGTTCAGCGAACATTATCTGACGAAAAATTGCAAAACTCCGGAGGAATTAGATGAAGTCTACAATAGACCTGTAAGTTGAATATTATCACAGATAAAACAACATTGTCTAATATTTATTTATTATAGAATGTGCTGGCTGTCACATGCTTAGGTTCTAAACATCCTTTGCTCTCTAAACGAACGATGGACTTCTGCATTGTCGACGAGAGCACGCAAGTATTGCAATGTTCAGTGATAAGGGCGCTGCACGCGTCGAAGAAGTTTATTCTGGTGGGAGATCCTGATCAGTTACCGCCAGTTGTCAAAAATGAGGAATCGCTGTAAGTTTATTTTTAGTTGTTATAACAAACAAAAAAAAAACCAAGTTTAATTTTCAATGTAATTCAGATCACGAGGAATGTCGGAAAGTCTTTTCGAGCGTCTTCAATGCCAAAGTGAAGCCACGGTTACTCTACAATTTAATTATCGCATGAACAAAACTATTACCGCACTCGCAAATAATTTAACTTATAAGGGACAACTACTGCTTGCGAATGATAAGGTAGCGAATGCGAACTTGCGCATTCCAAAATTCGAAGTAAGCAAATCAATTTGAAAAAATGTTTTGTGTATTACATGTTATGTTTTTATTGCATTCAGAGTATGGCAGCCATTTACAACAATCAATGGTTATTAAACGCATTGAATGACGAATTGGACCAAGCCGTCTTTCTGCTGGATACTGGTCCAGTATGGAATAAAACACCAGATTCAAATTGGCTGAAACAAGGCGAAAATAATGAAAGCGCTGAGACCAGTAAATGTGTAAATGCCGCTGAATCTGCCATTGTAGTCACTTTAACGCACGCCTTACTAAAGGTATGTCATTTTTTTTCTCTTCAAAAACATCGAATAAGAGTTAAATTTTTACGATATTCTAGGGTGGTCTATGTCCTTCTAACATCGGCATTATTGCTCCATTCCGGGCACAAGTCGCCCAGCTTGCGGCAATCTTACAACCACATGGTGTGGACGTGAGCACAGTCGATCAATTTCAAGGCAAAGACAAAGAAGTTATTATTTATTCCTGTACGAAATCTCGTGATGTTTCTAAGCCACGCAAAGTGTCCAAGGTACTTACTTTCAATTGGACTATTAATTATGTTACTAAATTTCTTTGTTGCAGTTTGAAATATTAGAAGATCAACGCCGATTGACTGTAGCAGTTACACGTGCCAAACACAAGTTCATCGTCATTGCAGACGTGGCGACTGTTCGTGAATACTCACCGTTTGCAATTCTGTTCAAACACATTGATCGAGACTGTCAGTTGCAATTGATTGATGGAACAATGGGTTTTAACTGGGAGCAAGTAATGAAGAATTGCCAAAATTATCAATCTACTGCTTAAACTGGACTTGTTTGTCTTTCTATGTATGAAGGTATGATTCTCATTTAAATCTAATATTTATTCTACAAAATATACATTAATTAATCAAGGTTCATGATATCTAAATATCATGACAATCAATTGTTTGTTTGGGTTATATGTTAGTGTTAATTATCAATATAAAAGCAATTGATTAAATCATTATTAAAATAGGTACTCTAATGTTACTATACTTAAATTTCACCATTGCTTATTAAGCGCCTCGATGAACCGTAATCGTAACTTTAAAACATGTATTTTTCATTAAATTTTCCAATTTTGTCATCAGTTGATCATCATCCAAGTCGTAGTAAGTTTGAATAGCAATTTTATCATATTGCTCCTGTGATTTGCGGAACTCATTATTCTTCTTTTTGATCGCCTTGAGACACTGCTCAAATTGTTGAAAATTCAAATGGTCTCCATACTTTTCCTTGACAATACACCCGATGATTAAATATTTATAATTTTCGACGTTTGTCATAATGATGCTGCCCAGAGTGCGGGGAGAGTTCTTGTAGTCACGGCTTATCCTGAATCTTGTGTCAAGCTCCTGGATGTTTTTATCTATGTGTCCGTTCGCTGTGCCTAGATACAGGACGATTGACCAAGGGTCGACTTTTGTGATAGGCTCGTTCACACGATACAAGGGGCATTTGCGATGCTGCAAATCGTCCTTACTCTTGAACATGCTTTCGTCCGCCTAAAATCAGTTTATTGTAGTATCATAATTTGTATAATACACTTCATCACAACTATTTTCCATAAATTATATTTGATTAATACTTTATAAAACTTTTGAAGCAAAATTAATTTCATTTAAAAATCATTATAGAACTATGCATGTGGTTGAATTTTTATTATCTTCTGTGCTTATTTTTGCCCTTCCCCTTTGAGCTTTTAGTTTTGGAAATATCTTTTGAAACGCCTTTGGAAGAGGTTTGCAGTTTTTGTTTTGTTTTTCCATGGTTCTATAATTATTTATACAGTCTTAAACTGTGTCAAAACCTTAAATTATTCTAAAGTAAATAGATAACTTACCTTTTGAAAGTTGCAAACTGTGACCTTGATATCAGTCCCAGTGAAAATATATTCCAGCATTGGCTTAACCTTGTCCCATTCTAGGCGATCCAAGCCACATCCTAGACGTGGAATTCCTAACTTCTTAACATTGTTCTCAACCATATTATCTCTCAATTTTTCCAGTGATCTGTACAATGTCTCATATGTAGGCTTTTTGTTGGAGTCTTTTTTGGTGATGAGATAGTACACATACCGCCCATCATCATGAATCAAAAACGCCAATCCACCGGACGTCTGTCGTTGGGCCAACAACTCATCGACTTTTTTAAACTTCTGTCTGAAGCCCACTGCAATCCCAGAACCCATGTTGAGATCAGCTGCTACACAGTTCCCTAATGCATAGCTGTCGTCTAACGCAAATAAATCCTCTTGAATTTCTTCCACTACAGAGTATTCTGTATTTGATTTCAGAAAATTGTACTTCTTTTCGAATGCTTCATAACTGGAGGTCTTTAGACTCATGTTGTCATTCTTAAACACATCTTTTTGAAGAGGTGTTACATCCTTAGTGGTTTTATTTTTATATTTGCTACCTTGAAGTTTGCCACTGGTGCTGGAAGGTATTACATTATTCCAGGCATCATCATTACTGCTTTCAAGAGAGGTGCTATTAAGTGATGCAGTTGTCTCATCCAGAAATGAGGTATCTGATACACATTCTTCTGTTCTGCCATATCTATCTGGCTTTGATGTGGTTGCAACATGCTCTTCAATTTTGTTAATAGTTGATGGAGACCTATCTGCTTCATTTGAAAATCCTGGTGTAAATTCTCCTGCATTTGGATTCAGGGAAACTTCCCTTGTCTGTTTAGTACTGTTTTGCCCTTGCCTGACATTATAGCCTTTATTACTGTTCTTCCATTGATCTGTTTTTTGTGTAAACCAATCATTTCTTTTTGAAGAACTGTTATTCTCATTGTTGAGTTGTGATTGGTTATTGGCATGAGAGATAATTTTATTGTTGCTGTTTCTTTCTCTGCTTCCTTTGTAATTATCAGTATCACCATATTGACTTACATGCCAGTCTCCACTTTTCTGGTTCCTTGTAGGTTTGGAATGCTGTCCTCTCTTATAGTTACCAGCTTCCTGCCTATAGTCAGTATTATCATTGTTTCTATAAGAATTTCTGTATACCGTTGAATGTCCTCTGTGTGGGTTATTGTTTCTTGGTTGATTTGTGGAATCATATGTTGGTTCATCAGCAATAACTCCTTGCTTTTTGTTCCATTCACTCATTTTGATTGTCTATACGATCTGCTCTAGAAATAAATATTTATTGTAACATGAAGTTTTATATTTGAAGATATTCACAACCGGTCACTTACCCAAACAAAATGTAACTGAGCAATACTCGGGAGTCGGGAGTGAACTATGATATTGCGATGTTGGAAACGTGGAGGTTCAATTGTGATTCACAGCGTTTACTACACTTGTCAGGCAAATAAGTAATATACAGGCTACACAATTTACGACGTAGGGGATTCACTGAATCCACTACATACGTAGTTGACAACCTGATACCTATCACAGACTCCTATGCACATGCATTCGACACATACGCATGCATACATACAGTACCATTCACAAACATGGTGGGGTCAAGTGGTGTTAATTCGGACCTCGGCCAATCACAACCTTTGACGATTTTTTGACGGCTTGAGATATTCGAATATTTCTTAGGCAAATACCAGCAAGCACCTGCTGAAAATTTAATGGGTTTTAAGGCATACCGTAAACCATGTAAACTGTTATATCTACGTAAATATGTATGTTACTGAGATAGTCCTACAAAACAGCGGTAATATAATATGTTGTTGGAAATATTCGTCCATGACCGTCATTTGTCGGAATTACTGCCTGGACTTGCAGCGCTCCGTGGTGTATATAGGTACTATACATATGTTCGATTTATATTCGTTTAAAACAATATTAAAATTCTCATATTCATTTACTGAGTTTATTTTATAATACCTGTTTTTGTGTTTAATTTATTTATGAATTGTTATTGCTACCGTATATAAGACGCTTCGTATAGCACAAACCTAGAAACGCATGGATCTACATCACTGATTTGCATATTAGATCTGAAGTATACAGACCAGTGATTTACATTCATGCACATGGTGTAATGGCAGCAAAATTAAATGTACAAGCATTCCTATTGTCTCTGCTGAGGCAGATGTTTGATAATTTAAGTTGTTTATTTCTCACTTTTTCAGCATGATTTCTAAATGTGCCAACATTGCTTTGCATTTGAATGCAAATCAAATGCCTACATTTAATTACTACCAGTTTTTGTTGTGATCAAATTATTGTTTTTTTCATGTATTTATAAACATTAGCAAACCTTTAAAACAGATTAGAACTTGTTTTATTTGTTTCGTTTGTTTTTACACCAACGCCATCTCCAAATATTTTACTGCTCTAATCATAACCTCGTTAACCTTTCAAATCGGCGAATTTTTTGTAATATTGTTATGATTAATAAAATATAAATAAAAATATTAATAAACTATGGCTTTGTTAATGGGAAGAAACCTTTTAACTAAACGTTTCTTCTCACACTCGCTAAGGCGTAATGGTTACATTGTTCTGTAAGTAAAATACGCGCACATGCTGTTTTTTCATAACTAATTAAAAATCATTAATGAAAAATTGCAGAGTTCCAGAGATTGGTGAAGATTTGCCAGACAACAAAAACCCATTACAGCAGGATGATGGTTTGCCAGAGTTTAATAATGTAACTATTGAACATTGCATGGCAGCAATAGGCCGGCAAACTCTGGAGTTTGAAACAGATATTAAGAGAATTGAGCAAGAGCTTACCAAGAAAGATCATGTAGACTTTATTAAAGATGTAGTCAACCACTTGGAGAAGCATGGGTCTGCACTTGATATGACATGGGGTATTGCAAAGACATTGTATCTTGGCAATAGTGCATTGATGCCAACTAAATCCTATATTGCAATTCATGAGAGAGCAAAACGTGCTAGGGCAACAAAATACAACTCACCTAAGATTTATAGAGCAGCTATTGAGAGTTTGCAAACTGAGAAGTTGGCACCAGAGGAAGAAAGGGTAACAAAGAAGTTTGTACTTGAGGGAAAACTAAATGGCTTGTTACTTGATGAACATCATGTGGCACAGCTAACAGATAATTTAAATAAACAGGCACAGGAAAAACACAAGTTTAAAATAAAGTATGAAACTATCACCAGAAAATTTAATCAGAAAATTGTTGATCATCAAGTGATGGCTGGATTTCCACGGGATGTTGCTGCTGGCATGTCACAGAATCCCAATGGTGAGGGGCCATGGGTGGTAAATTTGCAGCCACATATCTATCAAGCATTTATGGAGTATTGTCCAGATAGGACACTTAGATGGAATGCATGGAACGCAAATGTTAGTCGAGGATCCGGTTATGGCGATAAAGAGTATGAAAATAGTACAACCATTCAGGAGATTCGATTTTTGCGGCAGGATCAAGCTAAAATTCTTGGTTTCAAGAATTACGGAGAAGTTTCGATGGAAACAAAAATGGCTGGAAGTGTAGAAAACGTGCAGAAAACAATTGGTGATTTATTACTACACGCCAAACCTGCACAAGATGAAGAACTGAAAACGCTTTTAAATTTTGCAACAGATTGCATGTTTAAGGGAGAACGCATTGAGCTGTGGGACTACGATTATTGGAAACGAAAGCAATGCCGGTCCCTTTTTGAGTACGACGATTTAAAGTTGCAGGAGTATTTTCCACTGAACAAAGTTCTCGACGGTCTATTCGACATGTGTGAGAATCTGTTCGACGTCAAAATAAAGCAGCGTGCCAACGTTCCTGTCTGGCACAAAGACGTACGATTTTTTGATGTTTTTGAATCGCATAGTTCCGCCCCAGTTGCTGGGTTTTACTTCGATCCGTACGCTAGATCTAGCGATAAGTCGCACATGCGGCAGAATGCCGGGTGGATGGTAGGCATTCAAAATCACAGCCGCATTGCGGAAACAAAACCCCTTGCTGCTCTAGTCTTTAACTTCCAACAACCAATTGAGAACAAGCCATCATTACTTACTTTCCAAGACCTCCAAACGCTCTATTATCGCTTTGGTCAAACTCTACAACACATCTTAAGTCGCACAACGTTTGCTGAAGTGTCTGGTCTCTCAAATATCGAATGGGACGCTGTGGAAGTTACTGGACATGTACTGTCCATGTCATTACTGAATAAGTCTACCATTGATGCGATAAGCAGTCATTATTTAAGCGAAGACAAATTACCACAGCACATGTTTGATAGTCTAGTGAATGTGCAACGCCACACAGCCGGTACGGATCTCTGTAAAGAGCTATATCTGTCTGCTTTGGACTTGGAACTGCACACGACTAAGGATTATTGGTTGGATATTGTAAAGCGCATGTGGCCGCAATATAGAAGCTTCCCGCTTGATAAGGTTGATTCACACCCTTGCAACTTCCATCAGGTGTTTTATGATGAATGGGCGGCCGCATATTTTTCACGAGTTTGGTCAAAAATGATAGCTGCCGATGTTTATAGTGCTTTTCATGAAGTCCGAGGACAAGAAAAACAAACGAAGGATGTTGGGAAACGCTTCAGGGACACTTTCCTAGCTTTAGGTGGCGGAACCCATCCTAATCAAGTGTTTAGAAATTTTCGAGGACGTGATCCTTCGCCGAAAGCATTAATAGCTTCGTTAGGACTTAAAAAGAGTAAGAACTAGTTATTTCAAAGAGTTGTAAAAGTCGTATGTTTACGTTGTACCATTATGCATGTTATGTATGCAGCCATGTATTTACAATAAAGTTTTGTTAAGAGCGTTACATGATTTTAGAAGGTGTGAAGAAAAGACTTTACAGTTTACATAGATTTTGAAATTGTCTATTTAACAAAGTAAAATCAAATTTCTAGGGAAGAAAAACCATGAAAAATCATCTTTGTATTTTAAATCTTCGAAATTCGCTCGGACACTACTAGGAAATGTAAAGTTAGATAAAGTACTTTAATCACGGCTTGCCCAGCCGTATATAAAGTACAACTTTTTGTGTCTAAAAACCGTGGCAGAATCGGCGCTTTATAGGTGGAACTGGAAAAAAATTTATAGTATGAGAAGGTGGAGCGAAATGAGCACACAAAAAATATTTAGGAGGTAAAATGGACAGCCAAGTCTTCAAAAATCAGCGATTCTTTTAACCCCTGTATTTAATGAACAGTGTAAATTAAAGACAAATACCTGACAAGGGATTAAAAAAAAGTGAAAAAAAAAAACTTAGCATTAAGGCATTTTGTTCTTAAGGGGCCCATTTTGTCCCACCTTCTCATATATATTAATACAGCTGTCTATATTCTGTGGTGAATCATGTACAAAATTAGAGTGGAAGCTCTTGTAATATCACGTTGGCATCGGAGATATGTAAATTTGATTTTACTCTCATAGATTTTCATACCCCGGGCTTATATATATAAAAATTGATTCTAAAGAAGTAAACACTCAAAATTGCATGTATTGAAATGTTGTAATTCAATGAAGTAAATCATTTTTTGTTGATTATTGCTACTCTGTGGAAGCTTCGGAAAACGTAACACCACTTTAATAGTTAATGAAAAATCGTGCAACCTCTCATTAATTTCAATAATCTAAATTCCGGGACTCCTGTATTATTCAAAGATGACACTAGCGAGAACTAAAAATCATAAAATAGAATTGCATTGTTTATTTCTATACATATTTATCGGCAGACGTGGGCATTCGGCAAGAGAATTGTGCTTGTTTTGAACATAATTTACTTTCTTATCGCTTCCGCCGCGTAGAATGCAACGCATGAGATTCCCGAGGGTCGTCGTTGAAATCCCCTCACGCCGCATGCAGCATATTCTAGTTTAGTTTAGATCGGGGGTATCGTGCCTATTGCAATTCGCGCACAAGGTCGCGAGCCATCGACGTGCCGACTTTGCCCATCTCTTGCTTTCTTATCGTAAACTGTCGCATCGTTGGTTGCTCGGCTACGCCATGTGCTATCGATGATTTGCAGCCAGTTTCGTGTCGGTCGCTTGCTGGTTCGGTCGTGGTTTGACCAACTCGTGTTGTTTGTTCGGACTTCTGCTTTCTAAATTCACATAATATTCGATCATCAATCGACTATTTAATTGTAACTACTACAGTAATGTTATTTATTATTTGCGCGTTTAGTGTACATTAATGTACAAAAGTGGTAGACACTTGATCGCGTTTCGTGTGCATACTTAGGTATGTGTACTTCAGTGTCGGTCGCTAATTGAATTGGATATAGAATGGCCCTCATGTAGATTTATTGATCATTATCCATGTGTAAGTAACTTTTAATTCAACAAGTCATGTTGTATTTTTTCTATGTAGTATTTCTCTTATTTTCTTTCAATCATATTTCTCCTTCTAATTTACGCGACAAACATTTATTGCTTTATTACGTACCTCAAAATGACCGCGAAAGTTTGACCTTTTTTCCGAATATTTCAATACTTGCGTCATATTTCGCGAATCCTTTGTGATATTTTTATTTTTTCTTTGAATTCAAGTAGCGTAAGGATGGTTTTGGACGATGCACAAAATTCCGCCCTAATTGCCTTAAATGTCCGCCAAACTTTGCCCTTTACGCGCATTTTTCAAAACTTTTGTTGGAAAACGGGTAATATCTCGGGAACTCTTCGTGATATTTTCATTTTTTTTCAGATTCTAGTAGCGCAAGAAAGGTTTTGAATGGTGCATTTTTTGTCCTCTCCAAAATTTCACCGAACTTTGTACTTTCTTTGCATTTTTGGAAACTTTTGGTGGAAAACGGGTAATATCTCGAGAACCCTTCGTGATATTTTCATTTTTTTTTCAGATTCTAGTAGCGCAAGAATGGTTTTAGACGATGCACTTTATGGCATCCGCGAAGTTCCGACATAACTGCCTTAAAATGGCCGCTAAACTTTGTCCCACTTCTGCATCTTTAGGTGTCTAGCAGGTGATCAGAATGTCCTAGGACAACGATTCTTTGATCAGATTGTAAGTATTGAATTTGTTTATAATTTTCATACGTAATTTGTGTGATTAGTACACGGGAAACCTACAAAAATGTTATTTTTGTGCATCGATGTGTTGATTTTTTGTGGTTTTAGGCATCTAGCAGGCGATCAGAATGTCCTAGGACAACGATTCTTTGATCAGATTGTAAGTATTGAATTTGTTATAATTTTCATAAGAAATTTGTGTGATTAGTACACGGGAAACCTACAAAAATGTTATTTTTGTGCATCGAAGTATTAATTTTTTTGTTGTTTTAGGCGTCTAGCAAGCGATCAGAATGTCCTAGGACAACGATTTTTTGATCAAATTGTAAGTATTGAATTTGTTTATAATTTTCATAAGTAATTTGTGTGATTAGTACATGGGAGACCTGCAAAAATGTCATTATTGTGTTTCGATGTGTTAATTTTTTGTTGTTTTAGGAATCTAGCAGGCGATTAAAATGTCCTAGGACAACGATTTTTTGATCAGATTGTAAGTATTGAATTTGTTTATAATTTTCATAAGTAATTTGTGTGATTAGTACATGGGAAACCTGCAAAAATGTCATTTTTGTGCTTCGATGTGTTAATTTTTTGTTGTTTTAGGCGTCTAGCAGGCGATCAGAATGTCCTAGGACAACGATTTTTTCATCAGATAGTAAGTATTGAATTTGTTTATAATTTTCATAAGTAATTTGTGTGATTAGTACATGGGAAACCTGCAAAAATGTCATTTTTGTGCCTCGATGTGTTAATTTTTTGTTGTTTTAGGCGTCTAGCAGGCGATCAGAATGTCCTAGGACAACGATTTTTTCATCAGATAGTAAGTATTGAATTTGTTTATAATTTTCATAAGTAATTTGTGTGATTAGTACATGGGAAACCTGCAAAAATGTCATTTTTGTGCTTTGATGTGTTAATTTTTTGTTGTTTTAGGCGTCTAGCAGGCGATCAGAATGTCCTAGGACAACGATTCTTTGACCAGATTGTAAGTATTGAATTTGTTTATAATTTTCAGAAGTAACTTGTGTGATTAGCACACGGGAAACCTACAAAAATGTCATTTTTGTGCATCGATGTATTAATTTTTTGTTGTTTTAGGCGTCTTGCAGGCGATCAGAATGTCCTAGGACAACGATGCCTTCATGAGATTGTAAGTATTGAATTTGTTTATAATTTTCATAAGTAATTTGTGTGATTAGCACACGGGAAACCTGCAAAAATGTCATTTTTGTGCTTTCATGTGTTAATTTTTTGTAGTTTTAGGCATCTAGCAGGCGATCAGAATGTCCAAGGACAACCATTCTTACATCAGATTGTAAGTATTGAATTTGTTTATAATTTTCATAAGTAATTTGTGTGATTAGTACATGGGAAACCTGCAAAAATGTCATTTTTGTGCTTCGATGTGTTAATTTTTTGTTGTTTTAGGCGTCTAGCAGGCGATCAGAATGTTCTAGGACAACGATTCTTTCATCAGATTGTAAGTATTGAATTTGTTTATAATTTTCATAAGTAGTTTGTGTGATTAGTACACGGGAATCAATCCTACAAAAATGTCATTTTTGTGCTTTGATGTGTTAATTTTTTGTTGTTTTAGGCATCTAGCAGGCGATCAGAATGTCCTAGGACAACGATTCTTTGATCAGATTGTAAGTATTGAATTTGTTTATAATTTTCAGAAGTAATTTGTGTGATTAGCACACGGGAAACCTACAAAAATGTCATTTTTGTGCATCGATGTGTTAACTTTTTGTTGTTTTAGGCGTCTAGCAGGCTATCAGAATGTCCTAGGACAACGATTCTTTGATCAGATTGTTAGTACTGAATTTGTTTATAATTTTCATAAGTAATTTGTGTGATTATCACACGGGGGGAAACCTGCAAAAATGTCATTTTTGTGCTTTGATGAGTTAATTTTTTGTTGTTTTAGGCATCTAGCTGGCGATCAGAATGTCCTACGACAACGATTCTTTCATCAGATTGTAAGTATTGAATTTGTTTATAATTTTTTGTTGTTTTGGGTGTCTAGCGGACGTTGTCATGTTGTAAGTATTGAATTTGTTTATCATTTTCGTTAATTTTCATTCTTCATACCACGAAGTATAGATACTTCATGATTCATACCATGGATTGTGATTTAAATTAATTTTTTAAAATGTAAGCAAATGCATTGCAGATTTCTGGGTGATTTATTTTAGAGTCCCAAAACTAGATGACTCTAGTCGGCGATGTTTAACTTTGTTTTGTTCCGCCAAACATAGAGTGCGCGAGTATCAGCTATCCTATTTTGTTTTGTTTCGCCGCGGCCAGATGGCGCTTTCATCGATTTGGTTTAAATTCATACCTAACTTTTATTGTTGTGTTTAGTGCGCTGAGTTACGGTGTGTATGTCACTTTTATACACAACTTTTATGTTTAACAAAACATGAAATAACAAAATTTTCATACTTAGACTTCGAATGCTTTAATTTTCGGTTGTTTAGGTGTCTAGCGGGCAAAGCCGATGTCGTAGGACAAGCATTACTTCATATGTTCCTAAGTGTTCTAGTTATTTACCATTGTCAAAATTCAACATTTGTGTTTGTTGGAATTATGGATTTAGGTAGCGGTGATTTTATTAAATAATTACGAAGTTTAATTGTGAACGATTGCCGTTTATTCATAATTAGAGTTTTCGGAAGTATGTCTTATCGATTTCAAGGCTCGAAACGAACTGACTCCATACAACTCTGTATGTCAGAGTTACTCTGGTTGTAGACTAAACATCTTGTCATATTTGGTTTTAAGCGGTCTAGACTGCCCTTAATTATACCTAGATTTATGACTCTTAGCTCGAGTACTTTTTCTCTACTTCTTGGAAATAAGAAAATAAACCTTTTACATGGTACCAAATATTACCCTCAAACAGAAAACTTAATATGTTGGAAGAGAATGAATTTTGTAGACGAACTCAAATTTCAACAGTGTTTAATGCTAGGGAAAGCCTAGAAACTGCTATTTGTTAATTAAAATCCTTATTGCCAAATAATTTTTTTGTAAACTTCACCTCATAACTTGATAACATGCAATATTTTTGTAGTCACATTTCTGTCGTAAACAAATAGAAATAGAAGAATACCCGTCCAACTGCGGGTCTGTTATCAATTTTCTTGCTTGAATAGTTTGGCTTAGTTGGTTGAGCGCTGTTGCGTGGTGCGCACGTGTTTTCTTCATTAATCAAACGTGGTGACAATTTCTTGCGTTTCTTGATATTTTGTAGCATTACTAGAATCGATTGACAATCAGAGGCAGAGACAGCGTAGTAACAGCCCAGGGACGTGCACAACGAATGATTTGAGTGATTCTTTGAGATGCGCGCGGGGAGTCCGTCGGATATGTTCCGGTGACTATGGATACTTACTGGAACTCAAGTTAAATGTATGTGTTTGACATGAGTACAAGTGAGTACGTTTGGAATCTCCGCGAGGAATAGTAAAGAAGTGCGTATCATCAAGTCTACATACTATTTGCGGAAACGTGTTTGTGCGCTTTGGTTCTTTATTGATAAAAGAACAAAGGAGTAAGTAATCTAATAAAACTTCACTTTTATTTAACTTTATAAATCTTACAGTTGCTTTGTAATAATTGTAAATGTTCGGTTAATAAAGAATATTTTTAGGGAAATTTTACATTCTAGTAAACAATGTGTCCCTAGTGTTCACTTAGTCGTTTTCAGGATTAGTATTAAGTCATGTTGCACTCTAAGACTACACCATTGTATAGCATAGTATAGTACAGTGTAGTATATGTATGCTGTTGTTTTATTTTACTGTAAGATATGAAAACATAAATAGAAGAAACCAATAAGATTTGATAAGAATGCCGCGTGGCTCTCAGGTGTGCAGCACGTGTTGCTATATCGTAAATCGATGGTTCGATCCCCAGTTATAGAAGGCATTTTTCTCAAATATAAAAATAAGAGGTGTAATTTGGGTTGCATATGTAAACTCAATTTAAATATAAGAGAAATTGCAATACAAGTAAAGGCAATAAGAGAAGTAAGAAAGTAAGTGGAGGAGAAACGGAGAACAGAAAAATAGGAGAAGTAGAAGAAGGAATAGCAGAGAAGAAGAATAGAGAAGACAGAAGAAAGAGAGCAGAAAAGAGGAGGAAATAGAAGAAAGAGAACAGGAGTGGATCAGATTTTTGAATTTTTTGGCACGTGTCGTTATAAGACAGTCTACGGTCGACCTCCCAGAGCGCCTCCGGCGCTCTGGTCGATCGCCCACTGCTTCGATGCGTCCATTGCTCCCGGCCCATCCTACAGCTACGATGTCTCTGCGCTTCATCCCCGGAATTATCAGGCATATCAACAATTTTTATGGTGGGGATCATCCCCCGAGTGGGAGAATTCCATATAAGGACATTCCTTATGAGGACTTGTAAAAATATTTCTAAGTTTTAAGTCGTCTCAAGCAGGCAACACTTAAAAATATTCTTACAAGTTCTGACCTGTAGCTGAAATGAAAGAAGGAGCACACAAATCACACAGGTTACCTTAACAATTTTTATAGTGGGGATCATCCCCTGAGAGAGGGAACTCTTTTAGAGACCTGTTCCTGAAATGATAGAAGGGGTACACACAAATCATAGGAAGCACAGTCACTTTTAACATTTCTTTATTGAAACATGTATACGAGTACAATGAAAACATGTAAAATATTATAATGTTAAACAATATACGCGCCGCCCTTTTGAATCTAGTTAGAAGAGCAGTATAGCCACGTACATGCATACAAGTACCAAGGGTAAAAATAACAAAGAAAGACATATAATACTAATAAATTTTGCATAATTTTCGCGACAATTATGGAAAACTATTATACAGAATAGAGGTTCCAAAAGCAATATAATAAAATGTAAAGAGAAAATGCAAAAATCAAGTAGAGAAATATATATCTAAAGTCACAGTCAAAGTAAAATCAAAGGAAATTAATATACAGAGTGATGTAAAGAGAAAACCACAAAATTTTAAAGAAAAATCCTAAGTTTAAGTGGGATGACATATTTCTTTCTTACCTTTGACACACCCACTACGGGAAATTATAATACAGGGTGATACAAAAAGAAAACTACAATATTTTAAAACAAAATCCTATGTTTAAGTAGAATAATATATATCTATCCCGTTTTGACAAACTCACTACGGAAAATTAATATACAGGGTGATACAAAAAGAAAACTACAATATTTTAAAAGGAAATCCTAAGTTTAGGTAGGATAACATATATCTATCCCCTTTTGACAAACTCACTACGGGGAATGAATATACAGGATGATACAAAAAGGAAACTACAATATTTTAAAAGAAAATCCTAAGTTTAAGTAGGATAACAATATCTTTCCCCTTTTGACAAACCCACTACGGGAAACCTTAATACAGGGTGATACAAAAAGAAAACTACAATAATTTAAAGGAAAATCCTATGTTTAAATGGGATAACATACATCTTTCCCCATTTGACACTACGGGAAATTAACATACAGGGTGTTACAAAAAGAAAACTCGAAGTTTTAAAAGTAAAACGCCCAAACACTTATAAATATGGTCTATTAAATGATAAGGAAAATATATCTATTGGGTGTTAGACAAAGAAATATTAAGATTTAAGTAGGAAAACGGAGGCGACAATAACAAGATAATATAAGAAGAAAACTATCAGGAATTTAAAAAAATCCAAATGTTTACACCGGAAATTAAATAAAAGTGAAAAGCGAGAACCCATAATAATAGAACATTTCAAAAATTGTATTTTCTTTGGATATGAAGAAAAAGTGAAGGGTTGGATATTAGAAAAATAAAGCACAAAGCAGAATTTTATTTTAAATCATGTAAAACAACCAGCGACCAGCCCGGAAAGCCGCCAGAGGATCAAGAACGCAGCCGACGGCACACGACTATCTTGATCTTTTTAATTTGTACATTAAACAAAAACAAAACAAGGTATCAAATACGTAATGCATATCAACGATATTGAAACAGGAACAAAAATTATTTGTAGACTTAAAGACCACACAGTTGAAGTAAAAACAAGTAAAGGCAGTAATGGATTTGATTTTCAAATGACTTAAGAAATGCGAGAACATACCTTGATGCAAAATTAATTTTTGCGCTTTTGACCTATCCAATAAATTCTAAGAACCTTAATTATGCACATTGTAGAATCATACAAAAAGAATATCCGACGGCCGACGGAACCCCACTCACGTTCTACCTCTGAGTATAAACAATTCGCATTTAACGAAAGCCGCACATTGCTCGCGCACAATGGAAGGAGCATTTAGACATATTACGTAATGACGCGAAGAAATTAAGAAACTCAAATTATTGTGAAGAAAATGTGCGTGCAGATCACCCAGCGACAAATATGAGACTGACGTGGTAGGCAAGCCAACCGCGTGGCGACGGCACAAAAATTGCACGAGATAAGAAAACTTGTTTGTTTGTAAACACTGATACATTCAGTGTGGTAATGCAGAACATGAAAAGAATTGTACTCGTACAATGCATGGAACTTTTAATTTCGATTAAATTATGAATCGGACACCAGTAACAAAATTATAGATCAAAGCCCCCTGGCCCTATTTTTTAAATTAAAATTGCATATAGGCCCTAAACGTTCAATGTTAGGATAATAAATACTTAAACAGTTCTTTTAATTCTATATCGAGTATTTTAGTAACATTTTTCCCTAAGATTAACCATTTATTCGACATAAAAAAGAGAAATCTTTTGCCTGTTTTATGACGAAATATTTTATTTCTACAAATACAGATTCTGTAATAATTATATTTTGAGAGTATGTTAAATTCTAAATTGGAAACATGTAACACAATTGTAGATTAAGGCCATTTTGGCATGTAAAAATCAATTTTTTTATTAAAATTGCAAATAGGGCCTAAACCGTCAGTTATAGAAAAATAATTACTTAAATAATCTATTACGTATTAAATTATCTTTCAAAATTCAAAAGCAGAATTTTAAAATTCCAATTATTTCAAAAGCTGAAAAGAAGATTTTATCATAAAAAAGGCAAAAGAATTCTCTTTCTTATTTTCAGAATTAAAAATTGAATCTAATAATGGTTGAAGAAATGCGAGAACATACCTTGATGCAATATAAATTTTTACGCGTTTGGCATATCCAAAGAAATTATGAAATTGTAATGTAAAGAGTATCCGACGAAACATCACTCACGCTTTACCTCTGCGTGTGTGCAATCCGAACGCCGCACATCAATCGCGCACAATCGAAGGAGCAATTAGAAACAGTACGTAATAACGCGACAAAAAATTAAGGAACTCAAAATATTGTAAAGAAAATGTGCGTCCAGATCACCTGACGACAACAATGAGACTAACCTGATACACAAGCCAACCGCGTGGCGATTGCACAAAAATTGCACGGAATAAGAAAAACTAGTTTGTTTGAAAACACTGACACTCTCAGTACGGTAGTGCAGAACATGATTAGAATTGTACTCGAATTATTATTTTCGATTAAATTTTAAATCGGAAACCTGATAGATAATTTAATTCTACACCTTTTTTTGATAACATTAACCGTTTAGATCCTATTTACAATTTTAGCGAAAAATGTATTCGTTTTTCGTAAACCTTCTGATTCTTGACATATTCACCAAAAAAATCGACCCTGTTCTTCGACCAAAAAACATTTTAACAAAATAGTTCCACTCTGTTCTTTGATCGAAAAATATTTAAGTAAATAAGTTCGACCCTGTTCTTTGACCGAAAAAAATTTAAGTAAAAAAATTCGATCCTGTTTTCCGACCAAAAAAAGTAAGTAAAAAGTTTAACAAAAAAATTCGACCGAAAATAATTTAACAAAAAAATTCGACTGAAAAATTTTAACAAAAACATTCGACCCAAAAAATTTTAACAAAAAAATTTGACCGAATAATTTTATGAAAAAAATTTGACCGAAAAGATTTTATGAAAAAAGTTCGACCCTGTTCTTCGACCAAAAAATATTTATTAAAAAAAGTTCGACCCTGTTATTCGACCAAAAAATGAAATTTATTGGACAAAAATAGCGATATTTGAATGCGATTTTAAGACACTTCCAAAGGGTTTATAGGGTCATAAAGATATGCATAGTGAAAAGGGTCTCTCGATCTTTAACATGACGTTGAGAAACTTCAAGAAAATCAATTAGTTCACGTGATACAAGGTGTTCTCCACACCACGTTTTCAAATTTTCGTAAAATTGCTCATTTTTGAAGGGCATTTTAGGGCACTTCCAAAAGAGCTGGAAGGTTGAAAAGGTATACATCGTGTAGACATACTCCCTGACTCTATTCTGGCGTGGAGAAACTCCAATAAAGTAAATTAGTTTCGGAGATACAGGGTGTTTTCCACCCCATCTTTTCAAATTTTCCTAAAAATGCTGATTTTTGAAGGGCATTTTAAGGCACTTCCGGAAAAGCTGGAAGGTTGAAAGGGTATGCATTGTGTAGAGGAACTCTTTAGCTCTATTCTAGTGCGGCAAAATTCTAAGAAAGTCAATTAATTCACTAGATACAGGGTGTTTTCCACACCATGTTTTCAAAATTTCCTTAAAATTGCTCATTTTTTAAGAGCATTTTAGGGCACTTCCAAAAGGG